TTATTTTTTTTTTTTTTGTTTTCGTTTCTTCTTTTTACGAATGTTCGATAAAAAGTTTATTGTCATGTTAGTATAATTATATTGTAACATATATATATATATATATTATTTTAATTTTTTTTTTTTTTTGTATTTTTAACGCGTTTTTTTTTTTTTTTGTCAATGACTCGTTATACCTTTTTCACTTATTATTTATATACTTATATAAGTAATATATATTTTTATTAGTATATTTTTTTTTTTTTCACTGACCCTCGGCAAGGTCGTTATCGCGGCGTACCCATCACGACGACGACGGCTATTATAATAGCACCTACCCTCCCTTCCCCGGATCGAAACGACGGGATGCCCGGCAGCAAACCCGGACGGGCCTCGCGAAATCGTCATTTACAATCGGCTTTCTAAAACGGTCAAATTCCCGACGGTTTCCATCCGTTTCGCGTGATTTCGGGCGCCGAGTCCCATCCATCCAAACGAAAATCAATACCTTTCCCGCGCGTATTATTTTTATTCGAATGAAATTGTTGTTTAAACGTTTGTCGGTTTCTCTCTTACTCCTCGATTCCGTCTCCTCGCATTTCGTCGCTAATGTCTCACAACCGCCGCGTAACAACCACGACGTGTATCGACCGTGCCGTTGAACGGGAAAAGAATTTTAAAAAACCGTATACTCTCGGCCTATACGACGGAGAAACTGATTATTTTTCGCGCGTATACCTGCAAACCCGACACGCACCGGATTGCAAGCCACCGTTTTTCGTCCGCGCGTCGAATTCACGAAAGTCCGGCTTCTATCGGGGGAGGGGAGCGTACGGACCCTTTGAATCCCTTTCGCCCGTGAATTCCGTCGTTCGCCGTTTCGCCAGAACGCGCGTATAAAATCGAGCCGACGGCCGTATTCGAACAACGGTCGAAACGCGAATTATCGTTTTTCATAAAAATTCGTGACGTTGAAATTCTCAATAAAAAAAAAAAAAAAAAAACAAAAAAAAACCAATTAAAACGAAAAACCGCAGCTTTTTTCTGTGTAGACCCGTCGGCCCGTTGCCTTTACACGGGTTTGCAAAAAGCACGGGATAATGTTAGACACTAACGCGGCTCGTGACGTGCGCATCATGCGTGTTTAAACGGTTCCCACTTACGCGTTGGGAAAACCGTCGCCGGGTATTGGGTTTCGACCGAAAACGTGTTCGGGCGGCGCGGCGCCAAAGGTCCGAGTTTGCGCGAAAACCTCCCCCGGGGGCCCCGTGATCAATTATTATTATCGTACGCGGTGAGATCAATTTTATTATTATACTACGCGTTATAATTACTGTATGACGTCATAATCGCGTCTCGTGTCGGCCGTACACGTAACGTTATAAATAATTAACATTGATACAATGTGAGCAATTGTGATTGCGTTATATTTTTTGTATCATGCCGTTCCGTAATGTCTCGCAACGCGACGATTCATAACGATAATACAATAAGCGCGCGAGAAGAAAAAAAAAAAAAAACGCTAAAATAACATTATTTTTAGGTTACGATATTGTGTATAATTATTATTAATGTATGATAACGGTGCTATGGTAACGTATATAATAGTATAGTTATCGGTTTAACGAACACGACGACAAAAAGACAAAAATCTCGTAGTTTTCGTTTTTGATATTTTTTTTTTTTTTTTTTTTTAAATTATCTGTATTTTGTAGCTATACAATAACGCGATTCCGTTTCGTTTATTTAATTTGTTTTCTCTTTTCTATCGGTCCGATCCGTACCGCCAAAAAATCACGTCGCGTTTTTAACAGCCTACATGATGTTGTAATCATTGATATTACTGTGTGTCCTCTTCGGTATCCGGGGGAGCGAAACTCGAATCAATCGTTGCCGTTTTTCTTTTTGTCGACGTAATTTCCTCTGTCCCCCCCCCCGTGCGCGTTTCGGTCCGAGCCGCGCGAATCCATCGCCGTACGGCGTATCTGCCGAAATTAATTGGCCCAAATGTTGACCGTACAAATAATTCTTCCCCGGGACCGATGATAATAATATGAGATGAGATACTATAATGTCAACAAACTGTCCCCGCTCGACGAAATAACGGATCGTTTTTCGTAAACGTTTCAGTACGTTTATAATTATCATTATTATTATCATTATTATTATTATTATTATTATTATTATTATTATTATTATTATTATTATTATTATTGTAGTCCGTCGAACATGTTCCGTAACTTGCCGTACGCGTTTTGCACAATTTATTATTATATACAAATTTAGCTAATAAAAACATTAATTACATTATTATAATATCCGTGAAAACATTATAACGTATACGTTTATTATTATTATTATTATTATTATTATTAATGTCTTAATTATTTTATTCGAATATATATTTATATATATTATAATATTTATTCGTCCGTGATACATAATAATATAATCGCAGTGGCGGCGCCCGGGGGTAAAAGTCATTGAGTGTTAATTAATCGCAGCGGCGGCGGATCCCGGAGGAGGACACGGGGGCACTTCCACCTGTCAATGGACAACCGTTTTTGTTTTTATAATTTATAATTCGCTGAAAACATAAATAAAGTGCCCCCCCCCCTAACGTTAAAAAAAAAAATGTCTGGATCCACCGTTGATTAATCGGAACAACGCGGAGTAGAATATTAAGAAACTCGTCACCCGAGCTCCGCCCCTCCCCCCGCTCAAAACGCGTAACGTTACTGTTATGAGCTAGGGTACCCTGACGCTTCGCCTCTAAAAAAAAACCCCCCGTCATTCGAGACGTTTACCCCCTCCGCCACCCGAATAATAACGTATCGTAACTATTATAGCGTCCAAGAGTGAGCTACATAAAACCTGTGATTTGCGATCGCGATACGAAGTTTCAAAATGTACATTAAAAAAAAATACCCTCGGCCCTCTCTCACTCTCTCGCGGCTATAATAATCGGTGAAACTTGCGGGTAGACCCGCGATAAGGGCGACGCGTGTTCGAACGTTTTTCTTATCCAGAAGGTCCGACGGCTAACGGCTCCAGGGATGGAAAAAAAAAAAAAAAATAACCGAAAACCGAATCGCTCGTTAATAACATTACTTACACACCGGCCGTTTGTGAACGTTTTCCTTTTCGAACGTCGGACAAGTGCCCTACCTCCCCCCCCTTTTGCGCGTTTATCAGTACGCGACATTGCGCGCGCACGACCGTAGACGTTGGCCTCACGTAACCTAACCAAACCGAGTCGCGGCGAATCGTGTCGATCGACCCGCGATAAAAACAAACGGTTCTCGCCTCACGATCAATTGTCATTACGAATGTTCTGCGCGTCTATCGCGGGTGAACCGATAGAATTCGACCTCTTTACGGCTTTGCTTTGGAAAACGCGTTTCACGGCCGGCCCGTTGTAATTAATAACCCGTTACGAATCGTTACGGTGGTATCCGCGCGACCGTTTTACGGTTTCTTGTCGATCCGGTTTTCAAACGGTTTTATTGATATCGTATATTTTGTAGGCATTTAACGACTCGCACCCCGCCCGCCCCTCCCCCCTCCCATGTGCAATAAATAACGTTAGATTTTTTAATAATAATCGTTGAATCCCGTGTTGTTAATTAATTGTACATTATTATTATTATTAAAACTTCGTAGACGTAGTTTGCTCTGATCTAACGATTAATTGAGTGTATCAATAGAAATTATTATGGCCCGTGTGCGAAACGTAATTTCGTTTACGTATTATGAACCAAGAAAAATGTCATTTGCGAGTTAATTATTGAATTACCCCTACTTATTAGCCGGTATAGTTCGTAATGATTGTAATTTATTTTATTTATATTTTTTTTTTTTTTTTTTTCGTACGTTTTTCTACCGTTTAAGCCTCTCCCAGTGTCCAGTCTCCACTTTTAGTCAATTATTATTACTACGCTCGGATCGCGTATAAATATCGTATTCGTACGCATTTTTATTATTATTATTATTATTAAACCTACGTACAACACTAATCGTTTAGAACTAGTACTATTAAATAATATTATTATTATTATTATTATTATTATATTATTATTGTTTTAATTTAAACACACATTTTAATATACAAACAGACCTATTAAACATAATTATTGTTGTGTATTGGTTTTTCGCGTTCGATTTACGAACGAACCGCGTGTCCTAAACATTATGTCCGTCCAGTTTTCTAACCGCGGTCGCAGTGCAGAGCGGGTACGTCGTCTACGTGTCACGGGCACGAATCGGAATAATAATAAAAAAAACTGGGAACTATAAGACGTACAAAATTATCGAACTCGACTCAACCCGTGGAGGGCTTTGCCCAAGCCCGAAATCACGGGGGAAGCACAATCGTGATTGTTCAAAGGGGGGGGGGGCGGATTCTGTTAAAAAAAAAATATACATATTTTATAAACAAATATTGTAGAATATAAGAATTGCATAAGACACGGCCTAAAGAGAGGAGGTCGCCATGGTACCCCGTCTTGTACCCGCCACTGCGTCTCACGCGTTCCACTTCAAACAAAATATAGTAGAGGAGGTGCGCTTATATTTCTGAAAAATGAGTTGAGCTACTGCGTTCCCCCCTCCCCAATTGAGCACTGTTTATTGTATAAAAATGAAAACGAGATTCTCGGACTCCAATGATATCTGGAACTACTGGTCCAATCGTCATGCAATATCTTTAAAAAAAAAAATAATAAAAAATTATTAACTCGGAGAATGTTTTAAGTCTATTTCCAATTCTGTAAGTTAAGAGAAAATCTAATAATATTGATTATAAAAATTAAGTATAGGGTCGTTTCATTTCATGCCAAAGTCCAGTAGCCGAACCGAATAGATTCTTCATTACTGAAATAAAAACCTATAGATACGCTATCTGTAATTTCCGTCATATATCGACCGTGTTTAATTATTGCGGGCCTCTCGGAATGTATTTCACCCGACTACGTTTTTAGGATTTCGACCTGGTACGAGAGTTGACTGTAATAGGGGCAGGGGCGTACAACTATAGTGATACAAAAACCAAAAGCATATTTATTATACGGGAGACTTTTTTCACCACACGGGCAATGCCGGACGGGACAGCTAGTAAGTATGTAGATATTTCCGGAGAAAAAGCTTTTCATCGACTACAGGTGTATCAATTTTTTTTTTTTTATAAATATGTTATAAATTAAGGACATAAAATAATGTATTCATATTGGTAGTAAATATGACGATCTTGATTTTAGTTCCAAACATTTTAACCATAGGTTTAAAAGCCCGTTTATCCTGCAGATACACGTAGTATCTATACCAACGATTGATCATTGCTCAAGAAAAACTATTCTGAGCGGAGTTGGTTATACGTGATTTGAAAGACCGTGAAATTTACGAGTTTCGTCAAATTTCTTATAAAAAAAATTCTACGTTACACACCATTTATTTTATTAACCAATAAATACAAGTTATAATGAACCTCTAGTTTAATTTTCCAGCGTTTTTGTTGGTCTAAAAATTGTACTCGTTGACTACCTATCGAATAAAATTAACGTAAAAAACTATTAAAATTAATTGTTTATATATAGCTCAAAAATGGCTAAAATGTTTTGAAAATTTTATCCCGTCTAGAAAAAATAAATATTAGTTTCCTGTCCAATTTTCAAGTCTACGAATATTTTTAACTGAATCACAACAAAAAACACAAAATTGAACACAATATAAGCATTAGGAAAGAAGCACAGACAATTTACCTATTTTCGTAAATTTTCCCAAATTGCTCTCAAAACTGCTTGGAAAATCAAAAAATGATCTCCCTAAAGTATCAACTAGATAAAATTCTCTTACAGAAAAGGTGTTACACATATAGGAGCGAGATTTCTGCAAGAAGAATTTTGTACATAGCATAAACAAAAAAAATTATAAAACTAATACATCCCTAGCTTCGCTCAAAATCTAAAATATGCAAGTACTTATATAATATTATAATACCAAATGAGTAATTACAACTAACGTATATTAATAATTAATAAAAATAAAACATGAATATTATTTTTACAAAATATACAATTTTCAAACGTTTTGTCTGATAACCTAGAACGTGTTGGTAACCATATGAAACAAACAGAAGAAAATTTTTGTTCAATCGGAGCAGATGAACACAAACACAAACTTGTGTTATAGCAAATAAATAATTTGTTTACAATAACATAAATACCTAGCATAGACAAAGACTTGTGCTTGTCATTGAAATAAACTTATAAATCGACTACTGATTCGTGTTGCTTATTCTCGGGTTCATTTGTAAGTATAACAAAACTATTCTTTACAGTTCATACTGTCATTACTGCAGTCATTATGGTTACCTATACACTTTAATATTTTACAGCAGCATTAATACGTATATACTATATATATTTTGTAATCGTTGTCGTTTATGTTCATGTGATTTTGGTAATAACTGAAGTTTATACGTAGGGTAAAAACAGTTGGCCAAAATTACTTCATTAATATCTGATGTTAGGCTAAAAAAATGGTATAAAACGTTTGTCAGTGGATTTGACCAGGGGAACAATTACACAAGGTATTTCGGCAATGAAAGTATTTTTCTTTTAATACTTGTTTTAGCAAGAAAATAGTGATTCAAAATTGGCCATAATAACATTTAAGTTCAGATTGTGGGAAATCTGAAAAACAATAACTATAAGCTATAAAACCAGTATAAATTTTTCATCCAAATATTCAAAATCTGATTCTTTATATTTAAACAGTTGAGTTATTGCATCGTAAAGTGTGTTCCATCTGGTAAGTAATGGGAATAATATGAAATCATTTGGAACTAGGCCTTCTAAGAAGATTCCATAATGTATTGCATTTAATCATTACTGAATTATTTATTCGAGATGCAAAACTACATTTTTAAGATTTAAGAAAATCAGTTGTACCCAGTATTTGGATTTTTCATTTGATCGGTTTTTATGGTCCACTTCTAAATAATCAATTTTCTTAGGATAATGGGGTCGGATGCAGCCATTGTTAAAAGTAATTTAATATACACCTGTAAGCAATGATAAAACATTGCTAATGAAAAAACAATTCTGAGCAGAGTTCAGTTGATAGTGCTGCTTTGTTAATATATATGTCATATTATGGTAAAATTCCAATTCCAAAATTAAAATGGAATCCGTTTTTCTTATTTGTTGAGAAAACTCCTGAGAAAATTGAAAAATTACTACCTTAAGGAAGCTCCCTACACCGAAATTCTTTCAAAAAAGATGCTACACATAAATAGGAGTAAGATCTCTGGTAGAAAAGTTGTCTACAGAAAAAAAAAAAATTTAAACAGCTTTATAAAACCAAAAGCATTTTTGGTCCACTTAGAATCTAAAATTGGATTTTCCATTTAATCAGTTATATTATGGTTCACTTTTAAATAATAAATTGTCACATAGTTTTCATCTAACAAAAATGTTTAAAAAAATAAGACAAATTTTAGATGGTACTTGCATGAACAACATAATTGTAGGGTGCAGGGAGCTAAGGGAACTAAACGGCACTTGTTCCATATATTTTTGAAAAAAAAAAGGGTTTACGAGATCTTTTACTGCATGTTTATAGGAAGCCATAAGAATGTTGAGGGGCTAAAGGAGATTTTGAGAGACTATAGCCCTTTTAGACTCCTTCCGCATTTTATGCCTATGATAAACGATGAAAACGAAATAAAGTCTAAAATAGTCTAAGTACAAAGTCTACTATTTAATATAGACTCAGATAACAAAAACAATTATTTAAGTACCTATTTTATAATTATAATTGGTCTATGTGTAGCAATGGGTGGCAAGGTGTAGCAAGGTTCACTATTATGTGTGATAAATGATATAGGCTTTTTGGAATTTTATAAATGATGTTGTGAATATCAAGCCGTTTTATTATTAAAGAAGATTTGTGTAATAGATTGTATGGATTTTCTACATGCATGGGACAATGCTATTTTATCGTCACACAATCATAAAAATGTAACCATTGAAATGTAATTGTAAATAACATTAGAATAAAAAAAATCATACAAGATATTAGATTAAATACACGGTCTTAGATACTGCCCATCTTTGGTAAGTTATCAGTGATAACCTGTATATAAAGTGCATGTTATACATTATAATATTATAATTTAAGTATAATTTTTATTTTAAACTGATTACTAATTAATAATTTACACAAAATATATTTTATGTGATATAATCATGAGTATGTTAAATAAATAAAAAATAACCATTTTTAAATAAGGTTCTTTTAATGAGAAAATTATTATATTAAACACAATTTTTTGGAATAAATTTACATATCTAATAATAAATTTTGTATAATCACAAATTTTATTACCAATTATGACTAATTAAATATTATTACTATAAATCATAATCGTATATGGGAAAAACAGTATATGAGGCAGTAGCTTACTAGTAGCACTTCCTGCATTCGCTGATACAGTTGACAATCTCACAAGGTAACATCATTTTAAGGGTCATTTGACGCTGAGATTAGGATCATGTCCTAGGATTTGTCACCTTAGTAATACCAAAGGCACTTCTAACTCAATGAGTAAATTATTGACTAAATAAATAATATTTCAACTATAATATTGGTAAATTATCAGTTATACATATTTAAAAACAATTTCAATAAATCCACTAGGTTGTACCCTGAAAAAAATGATTTTCCCAAAACTCTTATATAATTTTAATAAATTATTCAACTGAATACTAATAATAAAAACTTACAAAATTTTAAGTATTTGTGGATGTGTACGTCTCATTATAAATTTCATTAAATTGGAACGAATTGTTAACACGTATATATATTATTGTTGATACATAACATAAAAGTAATAATATAAAATAACTTTATGAGACAAAACAGTCGTTTAAGAACATCTTGTGTACAGTCGTAGTGTGGTTTCATTGAAATATTTTTAATTTTTATAATCCAATTAATAATAATAATTATTAAAATAGGTATGTAAAATTAATAATGAATAGAGCACTAGAGCATTTTAATCCAAATAACAATTCAACTAATTTATTGATTTATCGAGCTCCGTTAATTTGGACGGTTCCGTGAATACATATATATATATATATATAAATATATATATAAAGCATAGCGTTATACTACACGTAAGGTGTAATATGAATATCATCACTTATCGACATTTACGAATACAAATACACATTTTTATAATAAAAATGGCATTTTCATTTTTCACTTACACCTAATTAATTAGAAACATTAGAGCAATAAAACGATTGTGAACAATCAACTGATCGTTGTTACTGCCATAAATTGGGCGACAGTGTTTGACCGCCTTGTGATGGTTTGGACAGGTCTGTAAAACCATTGGCATTTGCAGGAGCAGTTGTAGGACGCCCTAAATTCAGCATTGTCATTTGCTGTGGCAACTGAAAACAAATACGACTATATTAAATTATGAATTATCACTATTAATAAAACGAAACTTAAAAGTGAAAATGCAACTTACATGAACTAAATCGTTTGAAGAATCAAATGCTGAAAACTGGTTATTTTGCACTAGGGGGTTTTCCTAAAAAGTGTATTTATAAACAAAAATTGTGTGGATATAATAATCTACAATTATAAGAGCATATTAATTATAGGGTTAGTAATCAACATGCAAAATCTAAATTAATAATATTTAATAGTTTTAAAATCCTAAGTGTTTTATTACAATACATTTTTTAAAACCATATTTGAGTAAAATAAAAATTTTAAAGATAAAAGTATTTTTTTATAGTCAATTTATAAGCATAATAAATTAATAAGAATAATAAAACATAAACCATGAAGGTATTAATTGCAATTTTAAATTTTCTATTAAAGAACACAATTTAAAATAAAAAATGATTCGTACATTAAATGAATTATTAGTTACATCTTTTGATAGGACATAAATTACTAAAATCATTATTATTTATATTCAAAATTACACTAGATTCAATTAGGAATTTATTTCAATTTATATGACAAATCTTTTTTTAACAATTATACTTAATTGATTTATTATATGAATATACAAAAAAGCATTATGCCCAACAAATGTATTTCATAGGGAAAATATTTATTTTTTAAAATATGTTCAACATTAGTAATTTTAATAAAATAATTTGATTTATCATTAAGGTTTTGAAGTGATTGAAGTACTTTGTTAGTCTAAGATAAGATATATTTAATATACACTCCAAAAGAAATAATTTTCCTTTTTTTTTTTTTAATTTTACAATTGTGAATTTTGTATATAAAATATCCAAAAATATATGCAATTTTCTGAATTACAGTAGATATAATAAAAATAGAATAAAATATGTTGATGATTCAAATTGCAATATATGTAAACATTTAATATAAGAAGTGTAATTTATAAAACTTAAAAAATATTAACTTATTCACCCAGTTATAATAGTTTCCAACAGTTAATACACTAAGGTTAAAAACCTAAAAAGAAAAAAATCCTATTGTTTTCCTCAATAATATTTTTAAAAATCTTCTTCAAAACATATTTAAAAGGAAAGAATAACATTTGCTATTAACAAAACTAATCTTAGAATTAATTAAATAAGTATTATAATTAATTTGTATCAAACTAAGAAACAATATATATATATATTACTAAAATAAAAAAATCAATTTCCAAATCGATTACACTGATTTTTTTTTTAAATTATAATTTAAATTTTTCAAATAGTTATCAACTGAAAACTTTAAAAACTACAAAATTAAAATACTGAGTTATCTAACATTTAGTGGATATCTAATCTCATTACAAGTTCAGAAAAATTAAAATAAGCATTATGCAAAATTAATTGTTAATTTTACACATTTTAATAAATATTGATTTAAAATACTTACATGATTGAGAAAATGAGTAGGTGCATTCTTCGCAGCCATACTATAAAACGGATTTGATGCAAAATTAGAATTTGATGTTGACTGAAGGTTATTGAAATCAGATAGGTTATTGGACAGCAAATTCACCGAATTTCCCTGAATAAATAAGGCAACATTAGAGATATGAGACAGTTAAAAAAAATATAATAATAATGCTATATAATTATACAAAATTATTGATTGGTTGCATCTGTGGCAAGGTTGGGAATCCGTTATTGTTGAACGCATTAAATAATGGCTGCTGTGGCTGAGGAGTAATAAAACCGTTATTTTGACCTACAGAAAAAAAAAAGAAAACCAAAAAAAATTAATCACCATTTAATAAAATGTAGAATTATTAATAATTTATAAAGAATTTTTTAAATAGGTTTACTTCAAAATAGAATATAGGACAGTATTATTGTTTTATATGTACATTAGACTTGATAAGTTTAAAATTTTTTTTTTTAATATGTGTTCACTAGTTATCTTTTCTGATATGAGCCAATTAAAAAATATTGTTTACATGATACAATAAGTTGTGAAGCTCGCTTTAAACTAATGTTTAAAATACTATTAAAAACAAATTATTAGATCAACCTGTGTTTCAATAAAACTATAAAAATAATTATTGAAACATTATTGATATGAATATTTTGAAGAAAAAAAAACCGTTGTTTAAACAGGAAATAATTCCGCTTTAAATTTAAAATTTCTTATTGAGATAATTATATCCTGTATGCTATATGAAATGATGAGCACTTAAATTTTTTTTTTTTTTAATCTTGATTTATATACAAAAATATTATCCTATTTAATAACAAATCACAAGAGGTTCAAAATGAACATTTAAATGTACCTTCTTATTAATTTGCAATGATATTTAATGTACATTTGAATGACTATTTCTATAAATGAAATTTGAAAAGTGTTAAATTATGTGTCAACATAATTAAACATATTTTAATTTTTGATATTTTAAAGCAAATAGTTGCCCAACCACAAAAAATTAAAAATAATTTACAAGAGTTTACATTTTAAAAGAATTATATACTTTTGAATTGGTTTGCAGTCATATTATTTGAAGATGATGAATTTCCATATAATGCCAAAATAGAATCTGTTGTGAGTTTATTTTTCGTAGCAGCTGTTGGTTGATTAAAAAAATTTTCCTCTTCAGTAGAACGACCAACAGTTGGGTCAATAGTTGGTTGAACTTGAGGAGAAGATGTTGTAGTAGACGAAACTGACGCACTTAAAAAACTACTGAATGGATCTGATGAATCTGAACATGAAGACGTGAATGATGTATCTATCAATGTGGGATTGGAATCTTTTGTTGGTGTGTCTAGATTTAAATTATTTAATAAATTAATAACTAAAAATATCAAAATAATCAATTATTTACCTAAACCAAGAAGATCAGTGGAATGACTTGATTCAATGGAAATTGGTTTCTTGTTTGACGACAATCTCGGACTTAAAGAAACAGGTTTAGGTAATGGATTCGGCACAATTGAAGGCACATTACGCATAACAGAACCAGGTTTTGGCTCCCGTTTCTTTTTTTTCTGTTTTTCAGCTTCTTCCTCTAAATCTTTATCCCAATTGACCTGTATATATTATGAGATAAGTTTTTTTTTTTTTTTTTTTTCTATAAATGTTGTAAAATAACAAATAATTTGGCACAGAATATAACAATTTAAATCAAGTTGAATATTAAACATTTTAAAACTATTGGAATTAAATACAAATTAATAATAATTACTATAAATAATATTATATAATATTTATTCCCAAACTAATTTCAATTTTCTTTCTAGTTTTATTACAAAGTTAATTTAACTTACCATCTATGCAAGAATATCTATCATTTAAAAAAAAAATCATTTAAATTGACCAAAAAGAACTGTTGTATGAACTCTAAATAGGATTCATAAATTTTTTTAATACATAGGTAGTAAAAAATCTTAAGGTACTTAGTATAATATAAGATTATTGTTTAATATAAAATAATAATTTCTTTTTTTTTTCAGTTTATGATAATCTATATTTAATATTTATATATTTTTAAATATAAGTACTTATTTGATGATATCAATTTTATTCAACATAAAAAATTTGAACATACTTGGCAACAAAGTAATTTAATTTAATTTAATTTAAATCCATGTGCTCTAATAAATTTAAAAGGAGTTAAAAGTTGTATTGACATAAAACTAAATAAAAACTAAACAAACTTAAAAATTTCAAATGGAAACAACTATCTCAGAGAGGTATTTGCGTAGTTTGGTACGATAAATGCACTCTTACAAACACTCAGGTATTAAACAAAGGCAGTTTATCGAGCAGTGTGAGTGGTAGCCGCCATTTTAGAAATGAAGTATGCAATGAGAATAATATTGTTGAATCTCTACTACACATTCGAGGCGCCTGTCCAAAGACTGAGTTATTGAGAAACGCTGCTCATCATTACATTTGTTCAGAAATAATCGACCTATTTCGGAGTAAAATCTTTTAAGTACACGAGGAAGTTCACTGCCAAACAGTAAACAACGGTATCACACAAAACCGTCGCACAGATATTATAGTGTTAAACAGAATAAAAACCAAGAACTCATCTTAAACCCAACAATATGTTGAGAAACAAATAACTCCTTACAGGACACATCAGTGGATGAGGAAAAGAGGGCGATTTACCAAACATGTGTACTCACACTGAAGAACCAATATAGTATTAACAACTGGGATGACATGGGTTTATAGTTCATTATCCGAGGAACCGCATCTTGTTTACTGAGAAATTTTTTCAAGACCCATGGATCTAACATCTCTGATCTAGTGAAAATATGTTTATCTATTTTGAAAGATACACTCAATATTATAAATTATTACTTATATTCGTAAGACTTCTAATCTCTGGTACATATTATGCAATAAATAGTAATATTTTCTTTTTATCTTTTTCTTTATCAAATTTTTCTATTTTATATAAAATCTATATTCTCTCTTTTTTTTTTTTAATCTCCATCAGTTCTACCTAGAAGTTATTTTATCTTTTTATAATAATTGTAATTATATTTATATAATTATTTACTATAATTTTATTATAACAATCCTATGTAAATCAATACTTAATATGTAAACTGTGTCTTTAGCCAACCCACAAGGTGGGCAGTCCGCTTAATAAAGTTGTTAAAAATATCATTTTAAAGAAAACAGGAAAATTGAAAAATGACCTCTTCAAAGAACCAATTAAACAAAATGTGATACCAGAACCCACCAGTTAAGTTAAAAATTACAGCAAGATTTCTGGTAAAAAATTTGTTTACATACACAAAAAAAAGGTAACATACTTTTGAATGTGAGAAGTTAAAAAGGTAGGATACATAGTTCCAATTTAATTTATGATTTGTAATAACAATATACAAAAACCAATATATTTTTTGCTCAAAATCTAATTAAAAATGTAATTTTGGTTTTTTTTTTTTTTAACAAATTAAGACTTCAAACAATTAAACAGCCATCTTAATATCAGAATGAGATAAATTATTACAATCAAATTCACAACAAATAATAAAAGTCAATTGATAACACAATAGACTATTAAATAGAGCATATTATTGTCGAGAGAGATGTAAACATTTATTTAATATACCTAGTAGTTAACTAAATAACAACAATGGGTTTATGATTGATTTAAATTTGTTGAGAATTTTAGAAATTGAATCTTAACACATAAATGGAACACTTTAACCATGATGTGGGCATATTATTGCTATCAGTATAGAATGCATTGTTGTGTCACTGTACACGAATGGATGCAGACGTTGACGTATTGTTCGCACTATTAATTTGAATAGAAAGGGGACTGACCTTAAGTGTACTAGAGTTAGTTTGAGATGTTTGTTTATAAATAAAAATGATTTGATTTTGTAAATAATTTGATAAAGATCATGTTTTCAAGATAACTAATTGGTATTGAATTCTTGATAAAATTCCATAGCACTGCTTTATCGTTAATAATAAAGTTTGAATGATTTCATAGTGAAACCAAGAATTTCTGGTAACACATTGTTCAAAAATTATTTTATCAGAACAGTTTCTAGGTGAACAATGCAATAAATAATAATGACTAATCATTTTAATTAGACAGTAGAACAATAATATTATGTCTGATAATATTGATGCAATAATATGGCAAAAGGGTTTTTAATATGCCTAAGTGTTATGGTCATAATGAATAATAAATCCGATGGAAACATATATATTTAACAAAAGTTTATAAAACATTATAAGAATTATGAGTATTTTATGAATGAAATAAGATAGGTGATAAAATGTATGTTATGCATCATTGTTCTTAAATATTCACCATGTCATAGCATTGATGCATTACACATTGCCATTGTATATTTTGAGTATTAAATTATAAAATGCCTTTACTCATACTAAGTATATAATTTACTTTTCCCCAGGATGAGTAAAATGTTTTGATTTAAACTTTAAGAAATAAATTGTTTATAGGTATAAATATATATATAATAATAATGTCTAATAGAGATAATACATGAATATGTAGAATGCACTAGATTATAATAATTTAAATTTAAAATAGACTGGGTGACATTTTAATTGTATGTCTAACATAGGATTAATAAATCATTTTTATCATACTTACTTTAGGGAGAGGAGGCTGAACCCATTCCTTGGCAATATATTTTTTGTGTTCATATTTAGAACGGATAAATGCCTCCAAAGCTGAATCAGTTTGTGGGCGTCTAAAGTTATCCGGCAGATTTGCTTCATAAACAGCTCTGGCTCGACTATTGCCCATTTGTTGCAAATTCTGCAATGTTAATATTGGTAGTATGCAAAAAATTAATCTCATAAAAAAACAAAAAATGACTACTTACTACCACTTGTTCGGGAGTCCAAGAATCCAAGTTTACCGATCTTACTTTGCTAATATGTACCCCAAGATTACGATGAATGCCAGCACACCTTATGCATAAGAAAATGCCTAAATTCCAAGAGGCCCATCTAGGACCTACGAAAACCGAAATAACATAATGTTTAATATACACAACCATTTTAAAACTAGCCAAGCAAGGATTTTGGCCTCACCTTTGGAATCGCAATCCACACAGTATTTATTGTCGTCGTCTTTTAACATTTTATTCAATAATGATTGACATCTGTCTTGTATCTGCTTTTGTTTGTCTTTTTCCGCTTTTGAAGACATCGCTATTTTTTTTTCTTCCTATGAACACCGTATACTTTTCAATAGTTTTTAATTTATTTTATTTACAATTAATAAAGAGATAAAGAAATAAAAAAACAGTTAATAGTTAATAATTTGAGTATTTGGCAGTTTTGGGCTTCATTATGATAATAATAGTAGCCGCTGTACAACGATCGGATGCAACTATGACCAGTCAGTGAACGTCGTTTTATCAAATTTAATTCCTTCTTCACTTTGCCGTGCCATTGAACTTTGTAGAGTAGCCAACATTAAAAGAATAACAAAATGTCATTAATGTAAAACTGTGTATGTTGTTTTGTATGTTATCAACTGTTATCATTACGGTATTATCAAGTATTTGAATTTTTTTAAATTTAAATATCATATTACTTTCAGTGTATATTTTTTAACGGGCTATTGACAATAATATTATGGTATAAATAAAAATTCGTAATAGTTCTCTAAATTTAGTGTAATTAGTTTAGTTTCTTCATAAGTAATTGTTTACATCTCTCTCATCTCAATATTTTGTTGATACTCATAGGCATGAACAATTTATTTCTATTTTTCGGTACGTGGTTTTTACATTTTGCATTCGCTCAAGACCCGTCTGGATATGTAGCCTACTGCCCGTGTATGGGTCGCTTTGGTAATCAAGCGGATCACTTTTTGGGTGCTATTGGTTTCGCCAAAGCTTTAAACCGTACTCTGTTGTTACCTCATTGGATCGAGTATCGATACGGCCAACCGAAATCCGTTCAGATTCCATTCGATACGTATTTCAAAGTGGATCCACTTTTACACTTTCACAAAGTCCAGTTGATGGCCGATTTTATGATCAAACATTCTAACAGTGTGTGGACTCCAGAAAGCCGAACGTCATTTTGTTACATGCAAAGAGGTGAATCAGTAGGATGCAATGCAAAATCAGGTAACCCTTTTGAATCGTTTTGGGATACATATGGCATTAATTTTTCTTCTTCTGAATTTTATGCACCACTTAATTATGATGTTTACCACCACGACATGGCATCGAAATGGCATGAAAAGTATCCACCTACAGAATGGCCAGTGTTAGCTTTTGTCGGAGCGCCTGCTAGCTTTCCAATACAAAAGGAAAATCTCGGAATTCACAAGTATTTAATATGGAGCAACCAAGTGAGTGACGAAGCAAAAACCTTTATAAATAATAGAATCAAACCCGGCAAATTTATTGGCATTCATTTACGCAATGGTATTGATTGGATACGAGCTTGTGAACACCTCACAAAGAATTCGCTATTATTCTCAGCACCGCAGTGTTTGGGATATAGGAATGAATATGGTAAAGCGACGGAGGAGTTATGCTATCCAACATTTGAAACTGTTGTAAAACACCTAAAGAGGGTGATTAGGAAAAATGGGAAAGACATAAGTACAATTTTTGTAGCGTCTGATAATAATCACCTTGTTCCTGAATTATCGCACGCATTGGCGAGTTTCAATTTGAAAATTGTGAAGTATGATAAAGACAATCCGCATGTAGATCTCGCAATACTAGGCCGTTCAGATTATTTTATTGGTAACTGTATATCCTCATTCAGTGCTTTTGTTAAACGTGAGAGAGATTCAAACAATCTTCCAAGTGAATTTTGGGCATTTCCTGTTTATCTAAAAAATCAGTCAACTAAAGAAGAATTGTGAGTAAAAAAATATATTAATTATTTAGATAAGTATGTACTTTATAAAATTAATATTGGATATTACTTATTTTAATTTATTATTTAATATTGCAATGATTTTGAAAGTTTCAAGCCTTACCTTTTAAAAAATTATATCATAAAATATATTACCTACTTTATATCTCAATTTAATACAAATACAATTCACACAGAATTTATTATATTTATTATTATTGACATAACTTCTTACTAATACTTTAATTTGCTTAATTTCTATTAACTGAATACCCGAATTGTATGATAAGTATTTTTTTTTTATTTGCTAATAATAACGCTTTGAAATTTATTTAATTTTAAATATGTATACAAATATTATATTAGGTTCCTTTTTTACATTTTTGTAATAAAATATATTGTAAACATATTTATTATTATTTTTTTTTTTATAATTTTAATGTTATAGAATTGTTTTAAATCTATACACATTAGCAGAAAAAAATTGACAAATTTGCCTAGTCAAGAAATTAATATTTTGAATCGGTGGAAAACAGATGTATCTGTTTGTTAATGCGCATAATGATGCTTTTTTTATAATGATTACATTACTTAATCAACATAATATGTTAATGGCTAAAGACTCACAATTTGGAAAATGTCTTGTTTTTCCACTAGATTAAATCACTCATATAATATACAATTCGAATAATATATTAATATACATGTTATTATTAAATAATCTTAAATAAGTACATGAAACTCAACGGGGTATCATTCAGAAATACTTAAATTTAGTATAAATAATAAATGTAGATACATTTTTTTTTTATGATTTGACTTATGTTTCATTATTTTTTTAACTTTCATTTAGTGTTATCAATCAGATTATGTTATCAGTTATGTCCCGTACCAGAGTGATTACATTAAGTGGGCCACTGTTGTAGGTGAAAAATTAGGAAAATAGGATATAAAAGGAAATTTAATGTATTTTTGTATACAACGATTAATCATTGCTAACGATTGCAAACAATTCTAAACAGAGTTTGGTTAAAAGCTCTAATATTTACAATTTTCGCCAAAATTTGATATTGAAATTCTAATAAATAAAAAATAGTTCATGAAACTCGATTTTTTCTTGTTGACTACTATAAGTATAACTTATAATAAACCTTCTGTTAAATTTTCAATTATTTACGTTTGGTCTAACGATTTTATTCACAGAGTACCTATCGTATAAAAATTATGTAAAAAATTTGCAAAATTAAAATATCGATAAATACCTAGTTTAAAAAAAGCTCAAATGTTTTGAAAATTTTACCTTGTCTAGAAAAGCAATTATAAGTTTCCTATTCAAATTTCAAGTCTACGAATATTTTGAACTTTTCTACAACAAAAAAACAAAATTAAAAATAACATATTTCGTAAATTTTCCCGAGTTTTCCCAATTATTATGAAAATCGCTTGAAAAAATATAAAATTACCAATTACATAAACTTTCCTTTCAGTAAATGTGCTACATTTGAAAATCGAAACAAGATTTTTGGTAGAAAATATACTCGTGTATAAAAATAAACACAATAATGTACATAATAATGTATTGTATAACCAATACATTCCTAGATTAGAAGAAAAAAGATCTAAATAATCTAAATAATTATAACATACACATATCCAGTATAACTTAACTTTCTATAACAATATAATATGATCATTCTTGTTTATTACTATAATTATGTCATAGATAAATTAATTAATCTTGATTCGTGATAGAAGTACTGAGATGGAAAATTCTACTGCATTGATGTTTAGTAACGCCCTTTTAATACCATAGATTAACTTCTCCCTTTATAGATTTTTAAAAATCTCATGATCCCCCCCTCCCTTTACAACATGATGAGCAAAAAAGCCGCTCGGGCATTTGCCCCTGTCGCACCTATCTTAATACGGTCCTACTCGTAATACCCGATAACTGGTCGTTGGGTTTTTTTATTTTTTCCCTACATAGTAAAATAAAAATAATTTAATAAATAAGAATTTTATTTCGTGATGACTGTTTGTGCTTCCATTCTCCCCACCAATGTGTTCATGCCCTCCGGGTCGGGAAAGACTGTCAGAGACTTATACATCTAGACGAAACATTCAGCATGAAAATATGTTCCGGTAAGTAGAGTTTCGAGGACAGAAATACATGAGATAATAAACGGAGTTTTTTAGTTTCCTGTCCTTGGAACGTAAATTCGCTCTCTCTCACACTAGGCTTTATTTATTTCAGCCTATCTTTCTTGATCTGTTCGGACCAACCACGCATCTTAGTTTTAGTGGGGGGGGGGGAATATTCCGTCCTGATATTGTATAAATCTACACTTACTATATACCTAGGCAAAGTTCGTAAAAATAAATAGTAAATTAGCGAGTTCGTTAAAAAAAAAAACTAGTTCACGAACGAATTATTATTAAATGAACTTTTAAAGGACTCAGAAGTTTTGCAAAATACGAAAATGAGTAAGTATTGTTATAAAAGATAATAATTAGTAGTATACGTAAACGAGCTTTCTTTTTTCGGAAAAATATAAACAGGAAAAACGTTTTGAATGCATCGACGATTTAATATACATTCTTATCGTATTCATTGTCTGTGTTATGTTTCATAATGTAAAAAATATTACGGTCTGATATCGCACTGCAATATTATTATATTGTCGGTCGTATAATAAAGCGTTTCGAAAGAAAACGATATTTCTATTTGAATCGTTTTTTCGGACACTTGTCGACGCACTCACTGGTAATAATTTTGGGTATTATATCAATGTGCTATAATACTAATACACTAGGTATTGAGTATCTCATCGTCTTTAAACGGAACATGACAGTACTTAAGCATATAGCCGCAAATATATTTTTGCTATTAATATAGAGGAGTGAATCACTAGGTGTTCCGGTCTATAAAAAAAAAATGAAATATGTACCTATTTTACGGTTAATTTCATTGTATAAGTAATTAGTAAGTATATATTATATATTTTATGTATATAAATACCCATTTTGTGCTGTAAGTTTTTAATGTTAAAGTTTACTGAACTATTATTAAACTTAAAGCTAAGAACATTGTCTGTGTTCGCACGTTTGTTTTTTTTTTTTTTATATATTTTAATACTCAAGCAAATTACGTATATAGTGAAGTATTACAATTTAAAAATCATCGAATCTAGCTTAAAAACTAAAATATCGAAAAAAAAAAAACTAACGTAAAAACACAGATAATGTTCTTACTTTTAAGTTTAACAATTGGCCAAAACATTCTAATGATAAAACTTCAACACAAAATCGGTCAAAGTTTAACGATATTAACCGTAAAATGTAGGTATATGATACTCACTAATGTGTCAGAGATACTAAATTTTAGTATTATGTATTTATAAGATAAAACAGTTTGAAGTATTTTCCAAGATGTAATTTATCATTTATGTATCAAAATAAAATTAATTTTTATTATAAAAATGTAATACTTATTTAATTTATTGTTATAAAATGTTGATATTTAAACTATTTTACTCAGTAAATAATTGACTCCATAATTGGTTACAATACGATAGAACATATATTTATAATCTTAATATATAAATAAATTATATAAAATACTAAAGGAATATAATATAAAATAAGTTTTTTTTTTTCAGTGATAAATTATTACTTTTTTTTTTTTTTTGCAAAAGCACAAAAACGTTTTCATAAAGTCTCGTTTTTTTCATATTGCAACACAGCCATATACTAATATATTGTTTAGAGAATAATATGTAAAAAACGTCAACCCTATTTCAGTCTTACTTTTAAATTTGTATGTTAAATTAAAATTTGTTAAAAAAAACTCATTGTAAACAAATCAAATTTTCAACACGAAAATTTCAATTTCCGTGTTAACGTGGACGTATTGCGTTTAATTCGTCCAGTGATGGACTTTAGTCATTTTTTCGGTGTTGAATTTGCTGCTGCGATTTTAATTTTTTCTCGTTTAAGAAATTCTTTGGCCAATTTGTCTGTTGTTCTGGTGTCGAGGGTTTTGAGAATTTTTGAATCTATTGCATACAAATAATTTTAAAAAAATTATTATAGTAATACCAACGTAATAAAATATATCATAATCAAAAATGAATTACCTAAAGATTTTGGTGACGTCAACTTCAATCTAATTTGAGGTATATTACCCGTGTCGTTTTCCAACTGTACCGATGGAATTTCGTTAAAATGTACAAATGCTTCGGATATGAACTCATCAGTCATGCCCATAAAATCTTGATCTTTCAATATAAACGTAACTACACCATTTTCTTCGGCGCGTTGTTCCGGTGTAAGTGGACTGTAAACAATTTAACAATAACAAAAGATAGTATAATACATATTATTCAAATTTGTGTAAACTATGTTTACGGATGTAAAATATGGGCATTACGCAAATTCGAACAAAACTTTATTTTTGAAGGAAAATAATTAAGAAGTATAAGGAGTATCCTCGAACCTTGTTAGAATGAAAATACAAGAGAATAGAGAGTCCAAAAAAGTGAACTCAGCGAGTTGTTTAAGATTTCAGAAATAATCGTGAAAAGGTGACTACAATCGGCAGGTAATGCTTGGAAGAAATCTCTAGTAGGTGAACGTATTAGAAGATCGAGGGATAAGTAGTGTAGAAAGATTGAAACCGGGAATCAATTATCACGATTAGGTGATGGACAGGATTAATAAGTAGCCGAAAATAATTGAAATTTCAATTTTAATAGTCGTATACTAAAAAGAAGATTAACTATTATAGCAATACGAACATTTTGAAACACTCGTCGAACAAAGGGTATAACGTTTTTTTATGCACTGCTGTTGTCGGTTTGTTAATGTTTTGAAATTTTTCTTTGGGCAACAAACGTACTTTGACAAACGGATCACTGAAACCTGAAAACAAAGTTACACCATTCAAAACAACACTGGTTTACTATATTGTATTTAAGTTTATATCGTGTACCGTTAGAATCCATCGCCTTAATTTTATTCGCATTTAACACGTCTACTTTAAGAACGTCGTTGATAAATATTAATTTGACGGTTAACATTCCTTCGTTAGCCTGTTCCATTTCCATCTGTCCGCGGAGTCTTTCTAAATAGTATTCATGTATTAGGTCTACAGTGTCTAACGTGTGCAAATGCAACAATGATTCGAGCTTTTCAATCATTTCACTTTTATTTTCTGTTTCATTGTCTTTTCGTAAAAATCCAAACAACATGTAAAAACTATCTCTAAGATTCCTAAAATATGATGGAGGTCTCTTTTTCTATCACATCAACAACATTAAAAGATATAAATTAATAAATATAATTATTATTAAAATTTATTATAAACCTCCAAATACCTCTAAATTATTCTTGATGAGTGCAAACATTATATTCGCAATTTGATCCACTATAATGTTGAGTATACGTTGGAAATTTTCTTCATTGAGTTCACTACTCAACGTACAAAGATTTTCATCCAAATATTGCATTAAATTATCCAAATGAGTATTGTTCGTGTTAATGACTTCACCACCTTCGATCAAAAATTTATTCATTTCTGGCGACATCTAAAAAAAAAAAAATGACAACTATATACTTTTAACTCTTAAAGTTATCTAAGTTAACATAATGTCGACATACTTTGTTCACGACCGTCTGTAAAAGGTCTATGATTTTATTGTTTACGGTATCGATTGCATTGTCCACAACTAAATCTAGTGTTTTTTTACAGTGATCAGCTGAAATCTCACTCTTGTAGCTCGCCAAATTGTTCATCAATTGTGTCAGGCCCAAATCGTTAACAAACGGACGAATTGATTGTTTCACGTAATCAATATTATTCACGGCCAAGCACCACTGGAGGATATTAAAAACCAAGTCATGTTTTGTAATAGTTTAAAGACTAATTGTACGAGTCGTTATTACCTCTTTAGTGACTTCGAATCTTTTGTTTTCAATTCCTGTGATACGGTAGTTGACTTTGTAGCTCATCTTATCCGAATAATACACCGAACATCTACAAATGTCGTCGATTATCTTTGCCACAAACGAATATGAACCTTCGGCGTCAGGCCACGCGAGTTGTTGCCAAAAAATTTTGATCTGATAAAAGATGGTCGATGTGTCTACAGCCGATGAACTGTGTTGGGACGTTGAATCCATTTTCACTAATTTATCCAAATCGACAGCTCTTTCGATACGCTGCATCGCTTTGTAAGCGGCAATATCCAACCACCTAGCCACTCCTTGTTGAAACCACAAATGGTACTTGGCCAAATGAATTGTCTCGGAGTCTGCATTACATTCGACTTTTCCCAATCTATGAAATTGTTAAAATTAGTCTCAATAACACTACAAATAAATGGTAAGTAGGTAAATTATTTATTATTACTCCGTGAAGTCTTTAATGCCCATATAAAGTTCGAAAAGTGATGTTCCCATCGCGAGAGGATCTCTCTCGACCTCGAAACGGCAGTTTTCTTCAAAATTTATTGGTTTCATGTTCGTGCAAATACGAGTAATGAACGGTTCACACATTTCAGATATTTTACATTCGTATATAGAAAACAACGTATTGGCGTACGGAAATTGAGTTTTCCTTTAAAAGAAATAGATCAGCACTGATAAATCGTGATAACGTAAATTTGACCAAAATTATTTACTGATGTAGAAACATTTTGTCTTACTTGATGAACAACTTGTTATGAAATTCAACTGCCTTTTGTAAGTCTAGTTTAAGAAGTTGAATTATTTTCAGTTGAAGTTTCATTTGTCCTTCTTCTGTAAAGTCTTCTGGTTTGTTATTTTCCAATATATGTACGTGCCTGAAAATATAACAAAAGAAATATGCTATGACACATAAAAAATTGATAAAGTAAATAAATATATAAATAAAAAAAATGTATATATTTATTTACTTTATTTATTTACGAGTATTAACCATTTTAATAATTTTGTTTTTACTTTATTATAAAAAAATTGGTAAATTAAAAAATAAAAATTGCTAGAAAATATATTTTAGTAAACCTAATTTCTCGCTTTTCTTAGAATTTAAAGTAATAATAAAATTATTGCTTATTACCAGTCCACCGCGCCCTGAACAACTGCGTCATGCAAAGTACTTCTTATATCTCGGGTGTGTTCACATGGTAACAACCAACCGTAAATGTCCGATGGAAATAGATCCATATCGTTCGGCAATTCGAAAACTAGAAGGTTCCGTAGTATACTAAAAAAATAAAAACCAAAACCTATGTATCACCTATTTATGTTGAACAACAACATGATGGTTTTATTAGACAAAATCAATGATCTTTACTTTAGAACGTGTTCTATTTGGATAAGTAATTGTTCATCATCTGGCGATTTTTTTCGGATTGTTCTGATGGAGTTGTAGCAAAATGGCAGTAATTTCTTAGCAGATTGCCAGAACATTTTCAACTAAAAATCAAGGTGAAGCATTGTTATTATATAACTACGTATTATATCAAAATAAGGTTGGATAGGATTATAAAAATAACAATAAATATATGAGAATCTAGTATCTAGTGATCTAGTGAGAAAATTAAAGAAAATTAATTGAGATGGTACAGACGTAGAAGAAACAATGCAATTCCTAGTCAGAGGTGAGATTAGTGTAGATTTGGGAAGCCAGATGTTATAATAGGAAATGTATAGTAGATGAAAAAATGGTATTGAATATAAGGAGATGTAAAGGTAGAGGATAATAGGTAACTGACTCCACTTGCGTGGTATATAAAAACATACACGAAGAAAAAAAAAACAAAGAAATCTTAACCTCTTCATTGGACAACTGTCCCATGGTGATGGGCTTGACTAAACTATCCAACACATCCGAAAATACTTTAAAATTGACCACTGGACTTAGAGCGTGAGCGTTAATAAATTCTATCCACTGGCCCAAATACTCGTCGACGGGACCAATATTACTCTGCGCCACGTGCTGTTGTATAATCAAACTCGACTGCGGCAAAAAGTCTCCCATCCACGAAAAGAAGTCCGGCTAAAATACAGGTGATAATGACGGTATACATTTATCTCGAATGTAGAGTAATAATAATAATTTTAAAAAAAAATTACCTTTTGCACGTTCATTTGGTGAGTCAACAATACTCTCAACAGATGTCTGTGTTCTTGAGCGGCCACTTGTTTGTTTTTTTCACTGCCAAACGATAGCTTCAACAATAAATTTCCCTGTGGCTTGCCCTTACCCTTTTTCTCCAAATTGTACCAAGCCGTTTGTCCTCGTGTGGGTATTGTCTGTCGCGTATAATGACAAAATGTTGATGTGTAAGGATCTCGTCTCATAAGAAATAAAAAACATTAAATATATATATCACAATAATTATTCTTACCTTAAGGGGTATCAGCGTACCACCAATGATTTCATTGTCGTGTTTGCCGTTCGTGGCTGTTACCGCGATTTCTTTCATGAATCTCTTCATTCCTTTAAATCCTTTGATATCACCGACCTTTGTGACTTTTTCCTTCACCGTTTCTGCTGGATCAAAATCCCAAACTTCCACACACAAAATGTCGTTGGCGGCAGAAGTCTCCACCGGCCTATAATATGAACAATTGTTGTGAATATAATAATATTACATTCGGTTTTGTAGTCAAACAAATAATTGTACATACAGCGAAAAGTATTCTTCCCAGACTGGCCGTAAAGTTTGGGTTTTAACTGACGTATTATATTTGTGTTGTGGGGTGGAAGACAGAAATAACGTACAAAATGGGTCGCTAAAGCCATTGGCGTCTTTAGGTTTAATGTCTTTACCTTCTACGACTTCAATGTTTAACATAATGTTAGGAGCCTTCCGAAAATAATAGTAAGTTATTATGAATGATAATGAATAAGTGATGATTTACTTTTACTTTTTTGGTGCTTTGTTTCAAATAAAATATAATATACTCACTTCTTTTTCAATGACTTCTTGATATATGGTTTCATGAGTAGCCTGTTCGATTTTAAAAGCTTTTTGAGCGAACGCGATTATATCTTCTTGATTCAAACCGTTTTTTTCCGACCCGATACAATGCAATATTTCGTGTAATACTTCTTCATATAGTTCTGTGATCTGTAACACAAAATGATTTGTATATTATACCATCACTGTAATAGTTGTAGACAAAATATTAGAGATATTATATTTGATTGTATTAATTAAATATTTGATTATACCAACAGTCATGGACTGTAATTGAATTTCGTTCCTCCTTTGCATCTCTTCTTTTTTAACACCCCTAAAGTTAAAATGTTTCGCTTTAAAATTGGACTTCATTTTTAATTGTTTTTATATAAAATTTCGGCGAACGAGAATTTGTTATCCGAGACTGAAAATATACCGTGTGTTGCTGAACACTCGGATGAAATAGCACTTCTAAAGATAAATCGTACGCGTGTGCCGTTGAAGCCAAATGTGCTATTTCTGTGTTTATCTGCTATTGTGCCAAACAGTGACCTAAACCAAACTCCGCCCCCGTATAGTTTATAATGTTTAGTTTTTTAAATTTGTATTTTTTTTATTACTATTATGTGAATCTCGATAAACGTCAAATTATGTTATTAAATTATAGAACGATTAATTACATAAACGCGATTTCCCATTCGAATGTTCGTATTCAATTTTAATTTATTATTAATATACTTGATCTTATCGATTTAAAATGAATATACAATAATATTGAAACGTAAATATTATTATGACGTAATTTAAACGTAAAGTTGATTACAATATTTAATTGCAAAATCAGATAGTTAATAATATTTATAAGGACAGTTCATTAACACAACTCAAATACTATCCGGACGTCCGGTTAAATTAAATATAGATGAAAAAAGCAAAAAAAGACAGTGTTTGATGTTCCGGCGCTAACTGTAAGCATACATGCTAATTACAGACCAATCGTTCTTCAAAGTTTTGACGCACACTTTCACGCTAATATTCATCACATTTTGTAAAAGAATTGCCTGTATTTCTGAACGAGTAGGTATAAGTTATATTTTCGACATTTCCGTCCAAATGAAAATTTATTATTTTTAAAGATCAAGATCACATTTAACGAGAAAAAACTTCGCGATGTGAATGCGGTGGGGAGAAAGTTAGAAAATTTGAATCATCATTTTACGGTTAAGTACCTGTATAGACTTAAGTATTAATAAAACTTAAAAATTGAATTCTATATACATTATAATGTCACTATATACAGTACAAAACCAAGGACGAATACGGATACACGGAATTATTTTCTATTCGATATAACGTGAACAAAATACAAGTAGGGGGAAGAGTTTAAAAAACCCGAACCCTCTCGATTATGGCCTCGAATGTGATAGTTTTCGTGTTTTGCAAATCAAAAAGTTATCTAGTTAAATCATACGATGCACAGGTATCTACGTTTTAAATGTGTATTTCGCTTTTAAATTAAAACTGATGTTGTTTTTGGTGTAATATTATGTACCTATTAATTTCAAAGAAATAGAGACTTTACTAAAAGAAGAAAAAAAATATTTGAAATATCTACCATAATACTCAACGGTTTGGGTATTTAAAAATGTAATTCATTGTTATAAGAAAATATTTAAACAGCGGTAATCAAATATTTTTACTCGTAATAATCGGGTTTTTTTTCTAGACATGCACAAGGATCAGATAGATATTTTGTATAGTAAATATGTTTTTATCGGTCTCAGACAAAAATTATACGTTATTAGATTAAATTATTTATTTTTATTGGAAAATAAAAACCAATTATGATTGTTGGTATAATTTTTGTTTTTTACAAAACCATAAATCTTTTCCAATTATTAACATGACTTAAGTTATCGATACTCGGAATAAATGTGTAACTAAAGAAATTTAAATTTTTTAAATTATTTTGAATTATATTCCTCCGATGGTCAGTCGATTTTGTATAAAATAAGAAACGTCCGCCCATTAGTTTACGTATTACGTAATTTTAGTATTTCTCTGGTAGGTAAGTAAGTGGTGTAATGGTTTCACAGCATACCTGTTTTTCGGGATTTAAATAAATTCCAACAAATATTATGTAAATAATTTCCATCACGATATCAATACAAAAACTTAAGAATCTTACATTATTATTTTTTAAAATAACGTTAAATTAAAATAACTGTCTACTGTTCTATTGTTTATTTCTTATAAATTGGCAGTTTCTTGTTTACCGGTAAAATATTTCTCATGCATTCTATAAATCCAATAAATTATACACAATGCCATATTGCAGTTAATTAAATAGTATAGATAATATAGGAAAGGCCGTAGTGCATGATTACAATGTGCAATAATAATTATTGAACTGTTTAAAATAATTGGTACATTAAACCCATACCAGTAACGTCAGGAAAATTAAACATTCTTAAACTATAGAAGCGAATATATCAAGTTTTTACATGTTTTTCATTCACGGACCACTCATCGGACTTTGGCTTTCATCATTTGTTAACTACGTGAAGGTAAAATTATAGATTACGTTTTGTGAGTTAGCCCTTAAAGAAGTGTGGCTCATACAAGAGTTACGTCCTTAAAATAAGAAAGTTGGATTATCTTACAAATTTAGAGCGCAGCGAAGAAAATAAGTATTGGTTTTATTATGATGTGCGCTTTTTAATTATTTCTTTTCTGTTTGTAAACAACGTTGATACCAGTAACCAGTAATCTTGATCGATAAAAAAATGACAAGAGATCGTGTGTGTGACATTTGGATCAAGTTGGTACATTGAGAAAGCCACTTTTTTTCTTTTTTCTAGTTTTTTTAATAATTGGGAACAAACGTAGTTATAGGAAAAACGTACAAATTTAAGGCAATAAAAGTTTTATTATTTTCGATTTAGTTTTTTTATTGTAATTCTTGGTGATATACGATTACGTATGTTTGTCCCTTTTGTTAGCCCTATTGCGTACGTTTATACGACTGTGTATGATTTCTGTACCTGGCTCTTAAAAATATTACGATTGCGTGCAAAAATGAGTGCAACGTTGCCAACATGTGCCACTTAATTTATTTATTATGCATATACAAAATTGTTATGTGAACGTATAACATACGAATATCTAGTGGCTATAGTGAATATAATAAATTAACTGTTTAGTAAAAATTATGCGTGAATTAATAAAAAATTATTTTAAGTTATATTTTATCAGGCACTATTGAATAAAAGCCAATAGTAGTCAATTAAAAACTAATATAAATTATAATGTAAAACCTTGGTATCGATAAACAGACCCTGCAGAAAAAAAATGTAATATATCACATTTATTTAAGATTGAGCAAATATGTAGTTATATTATATGCGGTTATTTTTTTGGATAACTTCAGTGTTGGAATAGTAGTCATGAAAACAATGTCACAATTACGTTTTAAAACTATAGGTACTTTAAAGAATAGTTAATCAAAGTTTGTGAACATGCAACGGCAACGATGCATTAAATTTGGATAGGTAGAACTTACGCAATTGTAATAGTGAAAAGGATCCGTATTCCGTTCTCAATTCTATCGTATGCAATTGAAATAATCAGATACGTGCAATTTTTACAGAAAAAAAAAAAGAACAAAATATTTGAGAGGTAGGTTAAGTATACCAAAAACAAATTTAATCTGTAAATTACAACCACTTTTTTAAAGTTAATATACGCATATTTTTCTTGTTTTTTTGAAAATTCAGCAATAGTGTCTTCAAACGTTTTGTAATATAATGATTGATTGACAGTAATGGTAAAAAAAATCCAATTTTTCTTGTGTAAGAAGAAAAACGCATTCAAGTGCAGAAACTAATAGATCCGTAATATAATTAAATACAAAAATACTTTTACATTTCGTTACATAATAATTTCTTACTAAGTAAGTACTTAATCGTAATATATCAACCAAAAATTAACTTTTAGATATAGAATTTTTTTTTATAGAGTGTAAAGACTAAAAGACCCTCAGAATTTGGTGCCCCAGTATTTGTGCACTGCATGCATATGCGTGTATCAGGTCCTGGTCACCACTGTACGAAAACACTATTATAATAATAATCTCAATAAAATTGGTTTTTTAATTTTGCGATAAAACAATTTCCGGTTTTAAAAGTTATTTGACATTTTATTGCGTTTTATGGTATAACATTTTATACATTTCAATTAATACTTGACGATGTATGATGCACATGTTTTTTTTCACTCGAATCTATTTAAAAAATTAATAGGCAAGTAAAAATACTTAAATAATAATTAAATATAAAAAAATATTATAAATAAAAATGTATGTATAAAAATAAAAAATAAATAAATGAATGAATGTGTCGTCTGGAGTATTATGATAAGTGTATTACATGACCAATTTCGAATTAAAAATTCATCATTAGGTATATCACAATCAAACTGTAAAACGCGACTGAATATCAAAAAATTAAATAAAGGAATATATAGAAAAAAAATTAATACAAATTTGTAATAATTATTTATGACATTTTATATAGAAATAATTTATTTTCATATTAGCAATTATTTAAAATGGGTTATTGGTAAGCAATATAAATTATTTGGTTTTTAATTATTATGTATTATCTAAAATATATTAACATATGATATTATTTTTAAAATCATTTTTTTTAATAGTATTTAAATTAAAATTATTTCTATTATTTGAATAACTCCTTGTACTTCGATTGTATTCAATTTATTACCATGTCTAAGTTTATTTATTTTTTAAATACACTGTTTCGTGTTTAGGAATGGATGTATTACATTTTTGACGTCAAGAGAAATCATTTTATAACTTGGCTCAATATTAATTTTATTAATTTTTTCAATAAAATCATAAGCGTTTTTTATAAAAATATCAGTATTCATAATTAATTTTTGTTTTTTTATGAGAAAGTTAAATATTTAGCAAGATTGTAAGCTGGAGCAGTTTTAAAGTTTAAAATATAATGTTATGGCTGGTTTATTCAGCGGCATATTTGACATTATCCAGTATTCGAGTGGGTGAAAATATTTATTGACTAACATTGAAAAATTACCATTTAAAAGTTTTAATGCTAGTCAAGAAGCAAAGTAAACATTCCCATTGAAAAGCATAAAGAAATCATACAAAATTAAACAAAAAAAAAAATTCCCAGTGAATACTATATCAAATATCAAAGTCAAATCGAAATTTACCATACAAAATTAAATATCTTAAAAAATGTATATAATAACTGACATACTTTAGCGTTCCCTGTGAACATTTCAATGTCTAATTACATTTATTTTTTTTTTGTTGTATCAATTATATTTATCATATTATATTATATATTATCAATAATCATATTATATAAGTTGTGTTGTATACCTAGTGGTGTTATTGTAATATTGTAATATTTACCAATACCGCTGATAACAATATTATTGTACTGTAAGTTAGAAATTAATTAAATTTAATTCAGTTGAATTGCTTTTATTGCATAGATAAAGTTTAAAAAATAATATAATACCGTATAGGTATATATAGTTTTAAATTATAATAGTAAGTATACGATACGATGCGAATATGCTATATAGAAAAAGGTTGACCAAGTCTAAAGTTGATTAATAATAATTAAACTACATAAAATCTATCGACTATGTATACAGTTGTATACATAGTCTGACTGTACCAATGTCCTTTTACTTTTAGCAGTTGAGATTATTGTGATATAATCATATAGATTATAATATTATATTATCGAACATTGCGACTTCTATTAATTACTATTAATATCTCAGGACAAATTAAAAAAAAAAAAATTAACAACTACATGGGTATGTACTTACATTCAATTCCAACAATGATGATAATAACTCTTTATATGATAATTGAGTCCGGGTTTCCGTGTCTTTGTAGACATCTAAAATTTCTCTAGTGTTGAGAGTAGCGAATTTGTCTTTTTCGGCAATAATAGTGTCTTCTATAAAATTGTCTTTTAAACCGGAACCGTAACGTTCAAAAAATCCACCATCCAATTGCTCAACTCTATGCATAAATAAGAAAAACATAAAAACAATGTTTTAAACATATTATGTATTAGGTTTATATAAATATTACAATATTATAAACTTTAGAAAAGCAAAATCAATTTAAAAATTCAATACTGGACGCAATTCAAATTGAAATTAGAAATATTTATTATTCAATTCCAAAATCTATACAGAAAATGTACAACGAAAATGCACAACTATCATTATTGTGTAATTTTGTAACTATATTGTTATTAGGTAGTACAATTATCAAGAATAATCCTGAATTCAACTTAACGCCCATATAAGTGATTTATACTTTAAATAAATTGTTGTTACAAAATTTGATTTGTGTCCAATTTTAAAACAATTATAATTATGATCTTTCATTATTAAATCTGTATTATTTTCTTACTTTTTTTATCTAAGACTTTAAAAAAATTTATTTTTGGAAAATATCCAATGGGCAAATGTCAAATAAGGTACAAGGTTAATATAAGACATTAAATACATAATATATAATGGCAAGGTAGAATCCAAATTTCTAATAAATGGCGAAATCGTGATTATTATTAATATAAAACCCTATTTTATTCGTTTCTTCTCGTTTATTAGGTTCATGATGTTTAAATAAATTTTAAACGCATTTACATACTATGTGTATAATAAAATAATTGCTATAATAAAGTATAAAAGATTAGATTATTTTATAGTTTTTTTAAAAGAATATTTTAAAACTGGTATTAATTTAAATAAATATCAGCAATATACCATACAAATTGTATTATTTTTTTCATTTATTATTTATTTTTAAGCAACTTCATTTAAAAGATTCCATAAATGACAATAATCGAAAAGTAGTACAAAATAAGGCTCAACATAATCAAAGGCGGACAATGATTGATGGCGTTAAATTATCGTCACCATGCACGTCAATTTTTTACGATTTACACCCATATAAAATATGGATACGCATATTTGAATTTATTTGTATTGATTTCTGGTCTTTCTTGAACAAATGGAAATAAACGAATAAATGAAAAACAGATTTCTGTTTTCTTTATATTGATAATTTGGTTGCCACAGGCAGCTCCACTGACCGCAATTGTATATTTAAAAAATATAAGGTACGAACCAAATACTGACAAAAAATAAAGAAAATAATCGATAACGATAAATTTTGCACCTTGAAAAAAGGCTAATGTTTCGAATTTGGGCCACAAAACATTTAGATAGTATTTTTTATTTGAATTATGTATTATTGTTTTAAAATTTATCTGAATATGCAATAATAGTCTTCATAAAACGATATGAGTACTTTTATGTTTGTCTTTTATTCACGTTTTCCTGATTGTAAAATATACGTCCAAAGATACCAAGAAGTGACAACGGTATTCAATTACATTTATTTTCATAATTAATTTCCAGCGTATCATTTACACTATACAATATACATATTTACAGTTATAATATATTTTTATTTTCATTTTTTTTAATTGTAAATTTACAAAATCTATGAAAATATATTAGTGTAAAGTGTAGCACCTTTTCTGAAAGGACATTGTATTTAGTTGGTGCATTGGAAAGGTCAATTTTTTTATATTCCAAAAGATTTTCCAAATAATTGGAAAAACCCGGAAAGAAGATTATAGGTAAAACGGCAAATATTTACGACACACCGCAACATTGCCGATTTCATTGTTTTTAATTTTTGCAACTTATGTTTTCTACCAGAAATATTGTTCCATTAAAATACTTATTTACAATTTTGTTTTTTTATTGTAATTCAGTTGAAAATATTTGTAGAGACTTGAAATTTATTCAGAAAACTAATATTTGCTTTTTAAAGATGTGGTAAAATTCCTAAATTATTTGAGCTATTTTTGAATTTTTTATAAACATTTTAATTATGTGAGTTTTCAACGTAATTATTATTTAGTAGATAGCTCTGTGTTAGATTCAACAGAAATACTATAAAACGTTATATAATATATAACGAAATACTATACTATATTATTATAAGTTGTACTTAGTGGTAAAAAAAAATCCAGTTTAATGTGATATATTTTTTTTTTTTATATAAGAATTTTAATAATAAATTTTGATGAAAACCATAAATATTTCGGCTTTTCATAACATGTAAAACCGAATTTCACTCTGAATCGTTTTTGCTTTAGCAATGGTTTATCGTTACTAACAAATATAAATTAAATAACTATATGTACCTATATCTATTCTACCTTCTTAACTTCCCACCTGTAGCCCCAATCCCCAGTATCAGCTCTCTGTTTTTATTATTTATTTTTCTTCCACTGTCTATGTTGATATGATATGTTTATCACTGAAGTTTGGTTTTAAATAGCATCGTAGGCTAGTGATACGGATACTTGCCGTGTCTATTAGACAGTAACATATGTAAAATAGACTCCTACGTCGTCCTGCCACATAATATTATGATAACGCACCGTTGTTGTTTTTACTGATAAGTATACTTGTCTATATACGTGATTGTTAATACAACACGTACTAGTGTTTACGTTATTATAACATTATATATTTAACTATATTTTGTATAAAAAATGATGAAAATCTACCTTTTTCGTAGGTATACTTATTAATATTTTCATAAGTGTAAAGGGAATAATTTGGCCTATAAGGATTTAGGTTGATTTTATAGCTTGCTTATAAATCGATTCGTTCCCATTAGGAATGTTTCAAGGCAAGTTCCAAGGGGTGGGGGTGAAAATATTCTGCATATTATACATACTTACCCCACATTTTCCCCCCATTTTTGAACATGAGTATTAACACATAAACACGGCCGAATGGAGAGGGGGTTGGGGCGTTCGATTAATTGATCGTCCTCTTCCTGGAACCACTATAGTAGAGCCCATAAGAAATTTGAATTCTAAAACCACCCCTGCTAATAAAACTACTATTGAGGGAGGGCTATAATTTGTTGGAAAGTATTTTTTCGGAAAGATAATTTGTCAGAAAATATTTTGTTGGAAAAATAATTCATCGGAAAGTATTTTTTCAGAACTGTTGAATATAATTTTATCATAGCACTTCATGACTGCATGTTATTGTCGTTGGGTAAAAATTATTTTCCTACAAAATATTATTATTTATCTGAAAAAAAATTCACCGACACAATACTTTCGGACGAAATGTTTTTCCGATAAAATACGGTTCCTACAAAATATTTTTCCGAAAAAATACAGTTTCGACAAAATATCTTTTCAATATTTTCCACGCCCTCTATTGCAGCCTAACTTTTTGCTTATATTATACTATAGATATAATTGTATTTATTTTATATTACTGTACTTGAGTTATATTGTAGATCAAATTTATTTTAAGATTCTATTATGATGATTACTATACATAGTTACTACTATGAATCTATAATGATATATGTTTGGGTTTTTTTTTGTATGTGAAAAACTTTTTTACCAGAAATATTGCTCCGATCATCAACTTTAAAAATGATGGTTTCTATTAAAAATTATCGTTTCATTGGGACTATGAGGAAGTTATTATTTTTTGATTTTCTTTGTAGTATTTTTAATTATGAGGAAAACCCTAGAAAAAACGTATAACCTTACAAATGTGTAACCTAACCTAACCTAACTTAATCTGGTTACGTAGTTCTCGTCTTACTTCTATTGAACTCATACTATTTGTAAATATTTACTACTGTACTTTGAGACAAGCCCGTATTTAATTAAAATAAAATAAATAACAGTTTCTATTCTATTTTTTTGTTCATTCAAAAAAAAAAACAATCGTAGAGGCCGGAAATTTCACTGATTACTTATATAGGTAAAATCTTTTATATTATACAACACTTTCTAGACATGGTTTCAATTCATACTGACAATATTTCAGTCATAGAATTTTATTTAGTTTTATGTAATCAAAATTGTTTCGATAAGTTGCAAATAATGGTAAAAAGTTATGATTTTTTATTTTCATTAGCAATTTAAGTTAAAATTTTAATGAAAATAAAAATTTGATAAAAATACCGTCATATCAGTGACGGGTTCTAGGATTAAAAAGGGTGTGGATTTTATTTAAAAGTATATATATTATATAAACAATTGTTGAATATAAGAATCACGTAAACAAAACACGGGCCAAAAAGTGGAGGGTGATCGCCTTGGTATCTCCTCTTGTATCTGCTTTTGCATCCTATGCGTTCTACTTTAAACAAATGGCAGAGATACGTTTAAATTTCTGAAAAATGAATTAAGGTACTTCGTCCCCCAGCGTCCCCTCTCCCCATTTAAGCACTGTCAACGAGCGGCTATGTCAGTTTAAATTATTGCTACTATAATAATATTACGTTACTACTGTAAGAAGATAATTTTAGGCCGTAAGAAATATTGAAACTGTATTATCATGTACATATTTATACACACGATATAATATCTATCGATCATAATTGTTTTGTTGTGGCGGAACAATAATCGCCTCGCTCTGGCGAGGCGATAATAAACAAGTAACCAATATTATATTCAGTTGAACAGTTTTTACGTTAATTTTTAGTTTTTACTAAACATATAAACTATAAATTCTCTGTAAACGTCAGCCGTCGACCGACATAACATTTGGCTTAGTGGTCTGACTTTGAAAAAAAAATATAATAATTGGCCTGGTTGAGTTTTGGCATTTCTATTAAAAAAACTCAAACAGCATCGCTGATGGGTATTGTACATAATTTTAATTATTATTAAAATAGAAAATACGATGTTGATTTGATAACAATAGTATTTAATCGTTTATTGGTTCACCCTTATATTCGGTGGATAAATTAAAAGTATAAACTTTTGATTTTCAAATAGCAACCAAAATTGATAATACCTTAAATTTATGAAGTTTTAGTTAAGAAATACACGTTGATGGGAACAGAAATAAAAAATACTTGCGTTTTTCATCAGAAATATCAAAGGTTAATATTATTACGCTAACGGGTTAACAGAAATTAAAAATTATAAAAAAAAGATACGACTTTTCGAGGTAAAATGAGTCAGCCGGTAATAATAATATTATATAGTACGTATACAGTATATATTTATACTTACGAATTTAAAAATCATTTAAATTAAACATATACACTATTATTCATTGTATTGAAACTGTGACGTTTAAATGAAATGTATGTTTTAAGTCATGAAATTTACTATTCTTAGTATAAATGTACAATATACATTATACATACAAGGCGATGTATTACGTTTAGTGTATACAGAAAATTATGCAAATACAATACTTTTCTGGCACGCGTTACCTATATAGAGCAGAAAACGCGTGTGCAATTTTTACTAGACATTGAGTCAATAATTTACGAAATTATACTGTTTTATTACAATTATTGTATGTAGCTATTTTCACGAAATTTCGATTAAAACTCGTAATTTAAAAGCGCGCATTATGTACCTTGAACCATATTGAAGTTCGCTAAGATTTTCGTTTCGGTCATCTTGGCAGTGTTCAATATCGTCTTCGACAGTTAATTGATTAGGATCGGAATTATTATCGTCGCCTACCAACATGTTAAAAAAGACGGACAAAACGAAATAACGTGCCACGCGAAAAACTTTTAACGTGCAAATCGAAACTAATAAATTGAATAATATGAAACCGCGATAATCAATAGAGTATAGAGTCTGTAAATAGTTAGATTAACGGCCCGTCATACACCACGAGTCCGCACTCTCAACTGAAATGATATACGCGCACTGCAGTAAATTATACGACAAAAAAAAAACGTATTAATAATAAAGAATTTTTAATGTCCGTTAATCGTTTTCATATGATATTAATAACGTGACTCATATAAACAAGCAGGTAATTATTATTTAATCAATCGCCGCGAAACATTGGGGTCATTAATAATTCTACAATTGTACGAAAATTAATATTAATAAACAAATAAAAACCGACGAAACTCTCGGACTCTCGGCATTTTCCTCGATCAATAGTCAAATAGTGTTATTATGTTATAACGTACAGTCGCAGTATTTCTCAACTTTTACTCCGCCGGCGCTTCTTTTTTAAAAGCGTTGCTGCGCATGCTTTCATACCTACTAACGTATTATTATTATTCCCGGCAACTCCCAAGCCGCACTAACTCGCCGGTCCTATTATGTAAACTGTTATTTTAGAACATGCGTGCTATTACATATTAATTAATTAAGTGTTTATTACTATAGTCGATTCGATGTTGTTATAATATTATATCCCTATTACGAGACATCGTGGCAAAATACCCCATTCAAAATATGTCCGTAATAATACATAACTAAATCCACAACATTAGTGGATTCAAACTGTGATGGTTATACTAAGACAGCGGCGTACCCAAAGTGTCGCTACATGGGTCTCCAATCCCCTTAAATATATTATAACCCGCAAAAAATTGATTTCTGGGGCAGTCTGGATGATTATTGATTCACCCTCTCGTGTACCTTCTCCGTTCCATAACATTTTGTACAGATCTTGTATCCTTATATCTTTATTATATATTATCTTTACATTAGTACTGAATTCAGTTAACAAAATCACCTGGAAATAATCCCACGTGTGGCTAATAGAAAATGTGGAGAGGTGTGAAGCGTCTCTCTACATTCTCATAAACATTGATTGTAAAAAAAAAAATGATAAAATCTGGTGAGCCCAATGAAGATCGTAAATTTGTTTGAGATGATAAATTGTTGCGTTATAAATTAAATTAAACCTATATTTCTTTAATATCTTCTCATCTAGATCAGTGACCAACCCGCGCAAATCAGTGACCTAAATGGTCAATTTACGACGACAAAAATATAAAACAAAATTTTATTTCATATTATTTTTATAAAGAGAGACTTATAAGGATACTGCTTCATAACTATATTAAAAAAAAAAGAAAAGTTAATTAGTATTAATTAGTTAATTTAAATTTTATTATGTCTGTCTTGTGAATGAATGATATAAACAAAATAACGTGTATAAAATTATACATTATTCTATCATCTATATCCCCAAGGTCTTTTGTCAAACCCAGATTTACTATAAGACCTAAGGCTTCTTCATGGCTGTACGGTCTTATAATAATAGAGGACGATTTATCATACACCAATTTCAATTTTCTTAATCTAGTGGGTGTAGATTCTATGGCTAATTTTACAACTTGAGCTACAGTTTTCCTGCCTAATTTCACTAAACTTGATTCTACAGCTAAACACATTTGTTCTGAACTATGTTTTAATACAATTAAATTAAGTAAAAAAACACTTTTTGAAAATTGTTTGGTAGTAGAACAGTACAATGATTCATCTTTGTTGGAAATTTCAAGACTCTAAGATTATTATTTTTTAAATTATTAATTATAATACCTATATTCGATGTTTAAAAAAGTTATTGTGTGACACTACTACCTGAATATAATGCGTTCTATTTTGCAGACAGGGAAACAAAAAAGTGGACATTAATTTTACATTTTTACATTTGTTTCAAGACATCCTTTTGAACAAGTAAAATTTAAACTTGGAACTATATGGAACTTTTAATATAACACAAGCTATAATTGACATCTCAATATACTTTTTAAACAAAAATAGTATTTTATAAAATATATATTTTAATGATAACGAACAGCTATTATGTTAATAACAATTGCATATTAAAGTACACAGCTGATACTTCAATATCTATATTATAAAATGTGCGATTATACATTTTAAAATAAAAATATTTAATTTTTTATTCCAACATTCACGTTTATGAGTAACTAATTAACAATAGTGGTGCGAAAGATAACCCAAGTTTAAGTGCACGCACAAGCTATTATGTCACGATAAAAAAATAAATGAAACGGTTCGTTGTACACTGGTTTATAAATAACGTTTTCTAGGTATTTGGAATTCCTCTGATGGTAATAAATATTTCAATTTTTTCGTCTTAAATTGATAATTTGACCTTATGTGCCGCGGTGTGAATAGTATGTGAACTTTTTTAATACTAACCTACTCGTAACTAATTTAATTTATACAACTTTTAATTTTAATAGATACCAAAAGTAAATTTTTTCAATTCGAAAAACGCTAAACTATTATAATTTATAATAATAATGTACTCGTAAGACATTGATGAGCCTCATAGTAAAATTAATATTGATAGAAAAAAATCAGCCGCATCTTAAATTAGTTTAAATAAATATCGTTTTGTATTTTACGAAATACGAAACTAATGAACTTTATCAATGCATTATAATTTATCACAACACCGATTAAACAACCATTTTTTATTATTATGATTATTATACAACTGAAGTTGCATAATATTCGAACTGATTCTATTGTAATACAAATACCAAATAAACAAACGCACAGGTTGCATTATAAGTATAGTAAGAATTTTAAATATTAAAATAAGTTACCTACATATTACTTATTATACGCATACCAAATATAATTAAATGCATGGATTGTAAATACAGTTTTAAAATATACACAAAAACAAAACAAAAATAAGAATTTAAAAAATGAACGATATTATAAATGTGTGTATTATAGACGTTTTAGTATACACTGTGAATGACTAACAAAACTCAAAAGCCACTCTCTGTACGGATGTGTCATTATGTTTTTATTACATTGTACGAATGAAAGCCACACCTTGAACTTAATTAAGTGAAATTCTGTCGTGTTTGACACCATGAGATTAAAAATAGATTTTCATTTTATAATGCATTTTTTAATAATTTTTTTTTTCAATATCATTGTTCAAAACGAATTAAAACGTCAACATCCGATTTACCTTGAAGTATGTAATGTATTCATAGTGAAGCCCAAAGATTTTACATACATATAGGTATAAATTTCATAATACAATTTTGGTACCTTCACTATAAAACAACGTAGGCGGAATATCACAAGGTAAATATAAATTGTACGAGATTAATGATTTTATAATATTATTGGCGACGAATCAAATAAAGCAAAAACTGTACCTATATACAAATGATGCCTGCACTTCTTCATTATAATCTTACTTTTATAGAATACTACAAAATGTATCAACAACCTTTCTGTCGCATTCTCAGACATTTTAAATTTAAATAGTTGACATTCGTTTTTAATTATTTTTCCGAGTTAAAATTAATTTTTGATGCCACCGACATGTAAGGCGTAAAAGTTCCCCTAAAACGTAATACAACAAATAAGATGATAATAATAATAATAACTGTCGGTATGAGAAATAATTTTAAAAATAGCGAAGCAGTGATAAATCATCGATCGCAAACGATTTTGAGATGCTATTACAGTGTAGGTACTAACACAATTTTATACTTGTACGAAAATAAGTTTCGTTTAGAATGATTCGTATTAGTAACGCGCGTAGGATTTTTTTTCAGAAGGGGATTCGTTTATAATAATTTCCTAAAGAGAGAATATAGCATATGTTAAGTACCTATAGTGCTATCACTATTATTACTGAATAAATGATTTTTGATGAAATTAAAATGTATTTTATTCTATGGTATAAGATATATTATGTTGTTGAATATAAAACTTGATTTAAAAAAATCTAGTAAATGAAGACATTACGGAGTGGGTTTTGACCCCTTAACGGCCTTAATCCCACCATTGTGTGCGCCGTTGCTTCGTATAATTTATTATTCACTATACTATATAAATCATAATAATAATGTATTAATATAAATAAACAACTTAAATAGTACACTAATTCGTATATTTAACATTAATAAATAATAAATGGTAGGGTTAAAAAATTAGGGTAGGGTTAATCTTAATTAAAAAGTAGGGTTATCTGTTATTTTAATTAATGTTAGTCAGTAAACTATGGTTTTCCTCGGGCAAGGTTTTTAAAATATGAAATTTAAGCAAAACACAAAAGGTGTTACACATTATAATAGCATGTCTTCTATTGAAATTTTAAACACAATTAAATGAAGAGTTTTCACTACCCCAGACCTCTCTATAATTTTTAAATTACCTAAAAATTATTTTGATGAAGCAGTACGTACAAATATATGATTAATACTTAGTAATTGTTTATTTTAAATTACATAAATTTTCCTTATATTAAATGAAATCGAATCCCGTGTAGGAAGTATTTCCGATGTAGGTAGCGTGGTAAAACAATGATTAAATCCAACGTGGGTATAGGTAACATACTAAACGAGAGCCGAATTATCATTTTACCTACCTTTTTAGTTTATTAAACTTTGTAGGCCATCGAATAAGAAGTTTCGAAAAATTCGACATGTACCTACATATTATGTTCAATACGCTCTTACAATCAATACATGCATATACCTACGTTCAATTATTGTCAATCATCCAAACATGTATTGATGGGTAATAATTGAACATTTTGACAATCCCAAAAAGTAATAACACATACACGTCATTATAAAATAAATAGTTGCAGCTTTCTTACTCCGCCCAGACTCTAAAATAGGTATGCAATATGTATCAAGGATTTTATGTCATATTATTTGCAGTGTAACGCTAAGTCATCAGCTGATGATGTCATTCACGACATTCACGTCATTTAAATTTTTAGCCTAATATCTATTACTTTTTTTTACTTCTATTTATTCTATGAAAGTATTAACAATAATGTATATATATACATATACCTACTTATCTTTATGGTACAAACATTTTTTGTTTAGGTTTATTGCTCGATTTTTGTATAGGTATAAGTAAGTACTTCGCATAGGTATATGTATATTGATTGTAAAATTCTATTATTATCGTGTCACATAAAAATAAAATGTATTTTCAAAGATATTAGATTAGTATTATAGTTTGTAATTTAACGATGATAAATCAATACATTTATAATTGTTGTTAAATACATTTTTTTTTTTTTTAATAATTATACGTGCACAAGTGTGCAAGCCAATAGTTCCATCTAAATATTACCTATAACAAGAGTATAAACAATATGAACATATTGTATTAAACTACTTTACTATTTGCAAACTAGCCAAAATGTAATCTCTATAATCAAGAATTATCATAACTATTAGTGACACAAATATTTAATATGAAACTATTTTAAACTTGTGATGTATACGTTTTTATTAAAGATATATTCAGTATTTAATAATTTATCAAAATTGATTAAACCCGTAAACCAACAAAACAAACAAGATATATAACATGGATATTATTTTATTAGACGGATATTCAAATCATTATTTGTCAAGTACTCGTATTTAAAGATCATATTAATTTTTTGTTAAATAATTTGTCTAGGAGTTAAAAAAAAATTATTATTATACTTGGACTCCTTTTTTAACGTCAAAAATTGTATACGAGTTTTTCGCATATAGCTATATTATGACCGGAAATACTTCAATAGGTCGGTTGCTTTATACATATTATATAGTGACAGAATTTTAAATATTGATACTCTTAAAGGTTTCTGCCTTGTTTGAGTTACATTATTCATACTACTGGTGATATTAATACACTAATATTATAATATTTGACAACAAAATTATGAAATAATTTCTTATTTTTTTTTTTTTTGCCAACAGTAATATTTTAAAACGTAAAAACTCAAAATGTCCAATATATCTAACAACAAGCAAACGCTTTAACTTCGTTAAATCGATAAAATACAATATTCAATTAAATTGGCATTCGTATATAACCGACCGGATACATAAGGTACAATCTATTACACGATTACTTGACAATTCTAAACATACATTCAGAAATTACTATTATTAAATTTCCTTAATTAATTACGATTTTTACGTACATCTTATGCGTTGTTAATTACGCTATGGGTAATATCATTGATTAAATACATTTAATCAATGGTAATAAAGTCATTAATATTATATGAATTAGTAGGTACTTCCATAATTGAATTTTACAATATTCTCATTGAGTAACAAATGAGTTGTTATATTGTTTTAAATGGAATTATAAATATTTCAATAAATAAATTACTAATTCTATAATACACGTAAGTACATATTATATTAATACATACATGAGTATATCACGTATCTATACGAATAATATTGTTTACTATATAGTAATAAACAATTCATTACTATGATGTTTACAACAATTGTCTTACGTTACTATGCATTGTCACACATATTTTATAATATATAGTATAGTACCAACTATATGCTGTTTTAATTTAAAATTAATAATGATCGACACGAATAAAAACAATTGCACTCACAGGTAAACCATTCGTGAGAAGTTTGGTCGTTAACTCGTAACACTCAATAATTAAATCCATAACAAAGACGAGTAAAAAAAAAAAACCTAACAATGGGTAATACACACAATTTCAGAGTGATTATATAAAAAAACGATTCACTACATCAATTATTAAGACAAATGGACGATAAGAATAAGTAATGATATTATATTTCATATCAAGACGAATTCATATTTTTTTCTTCAAATAAAATATATTTGTTGTTCGTTCTACATAGACCAGTTTTTCTAGATAGACCAATCACTCCCTGCCCCCGGCCTTCTCGGATGCAATCATAATTTTAAGAGGAACGTAAAATTCGTATAAATATAATATGAAATACTTATACAATGATAAGTTTTCAACTAGTCGTGAAATACTGACATAGACGATGTCTATTATTTAAAAAAAATTGGTTAAAACTGTTTTAAGTGCTTGATTATAATCGAGCAAAATAATATAAGTATATATTATACTTATATTATTTTGCTCATCGAAAAACCGCAATACCGCTCTAATCCATGCATTATTATTTATTTTTATTACAAGTTAAACCACATTTTACGAATAGCTAATAATATTTAGCCCTACTGCTCTGTGAGTTTTCAATTTTTTTATTAAAATACCAATAACTAAATGAAATAAACATGATTTAATAAATAATTATATTTCGTAATGATATTGAAACTTAATTTGAGAATTGCTCAGATTATCAATTATTCATTACTTCTTATATTAGGCTACACGTTTAGTAAATGTAGTGATAATAATTGTTTGCGGATTTATTTCGTGAATATTTGACTTAATATTTAATTTTTCAACAAACTTTATTTACAAGAAAACTAAAAAAATAGATTCACTACACTTGTAATATAATAATAATTAATTCTAATCATTTCGGTATTAAGAATGATTAACATAGTATTCGTTACTCATTAGTAGAGCTACGATTTACATATACAACCATTCTTATAATTTTGAAACATAACCTATATTTGAACATTTTAATTTTTAACTCAAGTATTTAAATATTTACTTTCGAAATTTAAAACAATACTACAACAGATTTTGTAAAAATACGATTTTGTAGGAGGTTTTACTTAAATTAAAAAATATACGATTTGATAAAAATATGAGAAAAAATTAATTCAAAATAACATAAATAGTATACATAACTGATAAGTGATGAACGATGACTAGTGAATTTCAACTTATGAAAAAAACATTTTTATACGTCTATGAACATTGCTTTCTATAGCCATACTCATTAGCGTTACTATTTTTCATATGTTAATTACAATATTACAAAACGAAATTGAATATTTTTTTTGTCAAAAATGACGATTCGAAACGATTTGAATTAGTATTTTTCTCTTTTTAGATTTTAAGCGAAAAAAACGAAAATTTATTAGTTTTTATTAGTACACGTAGTTATTAATAAAAAATTAGTTTAGTTGATGCACCAAATAAGTCCTTTTTATAGATTCTGAGTGTAGTATAGAAGTTACTATAATTATATTAATATATGTACGTTTTTAATTCTTGGAAAAGCATTTTTGAGTCGATCAAAATGCTCCAAATAATAAGCATTAAATTTTAAAGGATTCTGATTTTTTCTCAGTGTTTTTCATTTGAAAAAAAATATCTAGACTCTAAATAGTTGTTTCTTATCAATTTGAAAACTAAAAACAAATATTGAAATATCGGTTTTACTTTTATTGATCTCTGGATTACCTTGGCTACAAAGAAAAAAATCCACGACTAATACTACTTCACTCAGAATCAGTTTTGATTGCAATGATTTACAAGTGCATTCTATATACTTTTTAAATTAACCTATATACTATTTAATATATCGTTCAATTTCCCACCTCCTATTACAGTGATCTACAGTAGCCATGATGCAAAGTACATCCGGATTTTTTAGTTTTAATTTTTTTGGAGGGAGAAAACCCGGGGAAAAAATCCAAACAATGGGAATATTCATTTTAATTCCTGAATTCTTTACATTTTAGTAATTAAAAAGGAACAATACTACTTAACGGTATCACAATACCGGCGTGAAAGAAAACTAGTTAAATTACTTTTCACAGTAATCGAGAATAGCCTTGTCCGTGAAAAATTAGTGTAAAACAATTGAACTTATTCGTAAATATAATTGCATGCAAATAAACTTAAACTACAAGTTCGTTATATGTTGTTTATTTTCTTTATAATATCTTAACTCATTCGAGTTATCGATAAACTGATTTATCTATTTTTATTATTTTTATTTTTAAACGTTAAATTAGAAAAAATTGAACTAATATACGATGTAGGTACATTTAAGTTCGAGTTTTAATTTAAACCAAAATATAAATAATATACCTATGGTCCATTTATTCTAACCAAACGTCGAATTTCTTTACAGTATTCAGGATTTAATTAAATCTAGTATTAAAATCTAAAGAAAAATAATCGACAAAGCAACAAAATTTTACGAGTGATTTTTTTCTGTCCTAAAAAGTGTAATCATCATATTATGGCCCCCTGAAGTAGATAATCATAAACATTTTTGTAAATCTAATTAATTGAACAGTACAAAATATTGGCATGGCCCATACATTACATACGAATAACAAATTATTAAAAACTGCGTCATTATCAGTAATGTAGGAAATCAATGAGATGAAGCTAATTTAGTAATGGTATATAATATACGACACCCTTCTATAAAAACTTGGATTGATCCCCATACGCCAATACGCAACTGATATTACAATAGACTATTTCGACGAATTGTTTTTTTTTTTTTGTAAAATAGTTATAAACAATAAAATATTTTTAGTTCGATAAATGTATAGAAAGTAAATCATAGAAGTTAAATTAGAATGGAAAGTTATATTATTTTCAAGCGTATTATTGTAATTCATTGTAATATTGTACTTGAAGTAAGATTTTTTTTTGAAGTTAAATGCAAACACATTGATTACAAGACACTAATAATAATATTAATTATATAAAACATTATGGGCTCCAAAGAAAGAAAGGCGATACCTACATCTAGATGTTTTGCAATTTTTCAGGGTAAATATATAGTGTAAAATATTTAGTGTACATCTTATCGATACAGCTCTTTTTGAAATTCTGTATTATACTAAGCAACGACGGATTAAATATTAATTAAAGAATAGTTTGAAAAAGCGAATTTCGAAAAAGCAGCTCATTTTTAACCGGAGTACACGACATTTAATTATGATAAAAAACGGTCTATCTCTTTTTATCAATAAATATCGATAACGCGTATAAGGTATTTAAGTATTAAAGTCACGCAAAATGATGACCCATACCTTTGGTATATCATATGGAATTTATTACACAATAACCCGTTCGAGTTCGCAACCGAAATTATTGGTTTATTTAAACATTTCCTATCGATATCTAATAATAATTATGTTAACGAGACCGATCCAATATGGCCAGAGGGTTAAAAAAAAAATTATAATAATAAGCGTTAAAAACAAACGAGTTAATAATATACCTATATGTTACACGAATTACGAATCGACGGACGTTTTATCGCGTCAAAAATAAAAAAACCATGGCCAAATCGATATGTATATTTCATTTTCTACAGACGTGTGCCCACGCATAATAATTATCGATATTATTATTACTTTAAATCCGGGGCTGTGGTGCTCAGCGAGCTGAATTTCCGCTGTATCCGATCGTAGAACGAGCTCCATACCGAACTGTCGTCGCCGCCGTCCTCCATTTTTTTTTTATTCGCCTATTACTTCCGACTCGCCGTATACCCGCAGGTTGTGTTAAGTCGTGAAGTCGTCGTTGCCGGACCGTAAGCGACCGGGAAACTGCACACGCTCGAAAATAGTAAAATACGACGGGTACCTGATATTATTATTATTATTATGCACACTACGCCGGAACGACTGAACCGCGGTCCACGCCGGTACAAACGAAAGAAATAACCGGTTGTCAGTCGATGTACTTTCGGCGCGGTCCGCGGCAGTGGGGCTGACCTTGACGTACAAAATAAGTACCACAGAAATTTTTAGTAACACACTATAATAATATTATTATGGATACGGCGTCATTATATTATGAACGGGGATATAAATATGTATACGAAAGAATTATTTCGGTGACGGTCAAAATATTTATCGGTATACACACAAACAAATAATAATAAAAATAATAAAGATAAACCGAATTTTGTTTAGAAACGCATAACTTTTATGGTAAAAAAAAATTGTTCGCAGACACACAAAAAAAAGCACACATCATAATAGAGCCAATGCATTCTTCGTTATACCTGAGTATCCTGAATCGATTTCCGTCACCCGGCCATTACAGAAATCGGTGAAATCACTATGGAAACATACAACATACATATAAGGATCTCGCTCGTGATTGTTGACAAACTGTTCACAATCGCTAATAACAAATTGTTTTTAATTAAAAAGTCTTAATAATCGTTAACAATGAATTCAATCAGTTTTTAATTTTTGAATATTATACACAGACGGCGCACGGCCTGATTTAAGGCCGTGCGTCTACGACTCTTCTGCAGTCGTAGAAGTTTTTTTTTTCTTTGAAGAGGACAACTTTCTACACTCCGAATTGGACTTTGAATTTTGATTATGTTATCGAAAATCACAAAAAAACAATTAGGTAATTAAAAGTTGGTCATATTTGAACTTTAATTATAGCGTTTGGAATTATAGTTTTCAAAATCCAAGTTCAATGCAAGTCCTGTAAGTTGTAAGAGCTATTCTATAAAAAAAACAAAAATTATCGAAACCAAACAACTGTGTAGTAGAAAATGTAAGCCTAAAAAGCATACTTTTGAGTAATAAAAAATTGGTCACGTGTAGTCTTATATCTTTGATATTTTTTGTCGTTTTTTAAACGTTGTCGTTCACAAATAACTAGATATGCCATCACGAATAATATAATCGAGAATATATCGCGCATATTGCATATTAATCATATGCAAACAATTATAGACACACCATTAGTTTTTCAACTATTTATGATGCAGACTACCGAGCTTCGTATAATCATATTCGAAATGTCTAAATCGCTAAAAGTAACTTTTATACAACATTTGAATTACAAAATTTTCTTGGCCAGTATTCAAAATTAAATTTTACTTGGTCTAGACATAATCAATTTTAAACAAATAATAATTTCTACGTTTTTCCTTTTTTTTCTTCGAATAAATACGATGCAACTTAAAAATATTATTTTATTTTTCACGACCGATTATGATATGAATTTAACAAAACCAATTTTCTTTATTTCAAAATAGACTTGTTTTATTTTAAAAATAGTTTTGTATAAAACATACGAGTACAATAAAGTAATAGCGTAGGTATTAGGTATATAGCGTATAGCTCTATATAGCGTAGGTATATAGCGTGAGAAATCAATTAACCACAGTTAAACCAAACCGGTAAAGGAACACAGGATAACAATATTAATATGATCACATTCTTTTCACCGTACGATAGAATAAGTGCATTGAGTCTGAAGAAATACATGTTTTCTCTACACAATATTGTTGAAATATCATTTTTTTTTTTTTTTTTTTTTTTTTTTTTTTTTTTTTTTTTTTTTATTATTAGTTTTGCGTACAACTTACAATTCACGTATATAGTTTTTTAAAGTTTTAACACATAAGCAGAGCCAATTAAAATTCATTAACACTTCTAGCCATTTAACATATTTAAGTCCTAAAATCCTAGTAAAAAAAATTTAAACCCCCCTCCCCCCGTCCACAAACGCACACATATAAAAGATTTATTTTATTTTAATTAGTAGTAATAATTATGATATTTAATAAGAAAAAATAACCGTACCAAACTTAGTATAACTTAAACTAATTTGAAAAAAAAATTGTGCTTTTGTATCCGAAGTGACCCTCATTTTGAGGATGACTCCGGATAAAGTTCGACTTTTAAAAAAGTACAAACATTAATGAACTTAATGATTATTTTACTACTAAATATGGTTAAGACATAGGTAAAGAACATGATATTTTGTCAACTAAATGTTCAGAGTAAATTAAGAAAAACGTAAAAAACTGTCCGGGTCGCCCCATTATATGAAATGTATACAGTGTATACAATACACTATATAGTACTAGGTGATCCATTTAAGTGGGTACACTCATTATCTCAGAAAGTATTAAGTTTTTTCGGAATTTGTTTTCTAGAACTTTTAAGAAACAGGCAGCTCTACAATTTTATATTTATATTATTTTTTGTCGCCCTTATTTTTGCGGGTAAAACCACTTCCTACTTTTGATTTTCAAGTGGCAACTTATATTTAAAAATCCATACATAGATGGAGTATTGTTTAAAATGAATTTTAGTGTTGACATTTTTAATTTCTGTCAAGCCGTTGACGAGATATTCCACTTTTAAGTTTGGGGTGGAGGAGAGCACCGGTGCATTATTGCACCACGGTGCATCACACATTAACACCGTGCACCGTACTGCCACACAAATGATACTAGTATAACTATTTTGCGTATATTCTAAATAAAATGTATATTATTAATAATAAAATATATATATGGTGTATTTTATTTCGGCTTTTGTGGCCCTTTTTTCATTGCACCCCTAGCCTGGGCTTTGCTGCAACACATAAGTCATTTCCAAAAATCTAATTCAAAAACATTGTATAGAAAAAAAATGTATTTAATTACACATACACAGTGAGACACCCTGTATAACAGTGTTAACTCGTATATTTAATTTTTGTGAAAGTTAAGTTATGATATTTTATCATAGATAATTTTAGAAAAACTCATCAAACACCAGGAACATTGAAATGTCTACAATGCCAAGTAATAATCTATAAAATCATATTTAGTTATTACTCAAGTATTAATACAAGAAAAATATTTTTATTTAGATATTTGATTTTCAAAATTATACTAAATTACAAACTTATAGGTGATTTGTATGTTTTTATTTTTAAATTATAAATTTTGAAGAAATTATATTTTAACATACTAGAATATTCAAAGTGAATTTGTAATCCTACAACAATCATTATAATATTATGTAAATCAGGGCTTAAGATTATTTTCCTTGTGATTAAAACTTTAATTTCTGAATACATCATAATAGTTAAAACTAATACAAAATTATTGGGATGGCTATACTCTACACCATTAATGTATATCAATCTGCATCAAAAAGTACATTCTTGTTCATCATGCATTTTATAGTAAACAAATTTTAATAAAAATGGAATAACAGGTTAAGATCAAGATTAAAAGCACAATAAATGATCATTAAAAAAAACATCTTTTTATGCAAAATCAATAATACACAATTCATGAGCTGGGTACTTGGGTTAGATCACGATAGGTTAACGTTATCCAATGTTATATAAACGGTTCACAAAAAAAAAAAAATTGTTCCCAAGGTTATTTGAATGAATATTGATTAATTTTAGAATGTTTAATTAGAATATCTACTTAACTCCTTTCTTCAAATTGGCACGTAATTTCGAGATAAATTTATGTATAAAATTCTCGTATCACATGTTTGTGGTCGCATTCCTCCGAAACCGCATGATCGATTTTAATGAATTTTTGTTTGTTTATTTGTTAGGTTTGAGAAAAGGTCATAAATTATTTTTCACTCTCCTACTCCCACCCACTATTTTTAACCGTGATATATATAAATACACACTAGCAACACTAATTAATTTAGCTCATAATATAATAAATACAATTTTTTTGTTGATGTGTGTTACTCCGGTAACAGGAATAAAAAAAAAAGGTGATTAATTATTATTAGAAATTAGTCGGAAAATATCATATGATCATCAAAATTTGTCCAGTCGTTCTTGAATTACAAATGGTGTAACTAACCCGATTTTGTTTTATTTATATAAGATTTTTGTTTATTCAAGGGTTACTACGGAAAAGAAAACTATTCAAATTATTATTATTACTATTATTTACGCTATTCAAATTTCACAATAGAACACATTTAGTCCGCCGAGGTGGACTACCCACTTTCCATCCATTTATTTTTATTAAATTCTAACACGGCCAAAACCAAAAACAAATATGGGTAAAATAATAATAATACAAATTGGCACGGGCACCGCCGGATGCGGGACAGCTAGTAATCTAATAATAGTCTAATAATCGATCTTCTCTATACATATAAAAACGAATGTATGTTTTTCTTTTATACATTACTACACCATTCATCCGATCGCCATGAAAGTTTGGAAAGTTGTTCCGTGTTATTCACTTTACCTAACCTATTGAAAACCTTCCATAGAATTCGGTTTTTAGCTACTTTTAATACAAAAATCGAATTATCTGTATTCATTAATTAATTTATTTGGTAACACGGTTGAAAAAAAAAACCGGACGATGAATTTTTTACTGAACGATACTTTTGCCATTCCTATACATCTCTTAATTTCTCTTGTGTCCTTCCCGTCTGATATAATCATACTACCTAAATATGGAAATATGAAATCTAAAATACGAATACTCAAATTTTCTGTCGTACTGTGTTTGTAAGACGAAAACAATTACTGAGTGTGTAGAACAGTATATAATTGTTACATTTTTGTTTTGGTTATTTATTGTTTATACTTATTTATTTACGTAAAAGGTTCATCATAAAAGGAATATTAATTTAAAGATATATATATATATCTTAGAAATATTTTCTAAGAAATATATTTTGAAACTATCGACTTTTAACTACTCATTCAAGATAATTTAAAATTCGTATCAAAGAATAATAACATATTTGTCTAAAATATGTTTTTTTGTTTATAATAAAAAATAAATAATAGACATAATATAAATGGCTCACACATCATAGGTATTTAATATTAAAATATTTATCCAATCATAATAGTGAATTTCAGAGCCGTGCCGTTAAGATTTGACATCCAAGGAAAAATTAAAAATATTCGCCCCCTATTTTATTTATTATTATGCATTTCATTCCAATTTAATTGAAATTTTTTTTTTAAAACGTATTTTGAACATTAATTTGACAAAAAACTAAAGTTGATTGCAATAGTTATTATTAAACAAAATAGTTATGTATAAAATAATTAAAAAATTAACACAAATTACAAATTTAACATATTATGTAATATAATTTTTATGTAACATATTTTGTATGATAGTCAACGTATTATATCCAAAAGTAACTTCTGGTCAGTGCTTCTGGTTTCAATGGTGGTGTAATATGAAAACGGTATAATTACACGAGCACGAACAAATAACAAAAAGCGTTGCAAGAAAAATGTAGGAACGAATTTTTCAACTGCTTATAGTATATAATATAATACCAATAGGCAATAATTTGTATCTGGTTATTTTTTGCTATCGCTTATCGCACCCCGCGTGCTCGACGAGCAGTAGATTTGAAATAAAGAATACGATAACTTATTATAAAGCCAAATAATACAAGAATAAAACGTTGCGGTTGACTTGTTATTACTCGACCATAATCGGAGATTGTTCAGAAAAAATGTGTGATAGTCCAAAATAATTGTAAAACAACAATCTTTCTCATATATTTTATTTATGTATAATTTAAAATATTATAAAAATTATTATAAACAATTGTTTTCGGCACCCCTTTAAACCATGCCCCAGAGCTCAAACCCCTTAGACTACCCCCCTCGGCACGACTGGTGAATGTACAGTGTAACACTATCAAGTTAAAAAAAAACAGTTTGTCATACCTATAAGGTTGCATCAGCAACTAAAATAAATTTTGACATTTGTTTAGTATTAAAAAAAAAAAAAATGTTTATAAGTGTTCTTACTAGTGTAATAAAAATTATATTATATTATATTATATTTATAGGGGAGGGGTTTAAAGAAAATTTTTAATTTCGTTCATAAAAAAAATGTTTCGAACATTTTAATGAATATTAATTTTATATTGAGCATAATAAAAGATATTCATATTTTATTAAACATATTTTTACTTGTACCAACAATAGTTTAAGTAAGTACCTTCACTTCAAAAAAAAAAAAAATAATGATATTGTGAGCGGTCGTACATTTCATGTTTTTTTTTTCTAGTTGTACCTTGAACTCACCCGTGAAAAATATTTAATTCCTATAATTACTATACTATAACGTGACTCTATACGAGTATAGGTTAGAATCAATCATTGAATGATCAGCCAGTCAAATGTGTATATTTACTATATAGTTTCACTGCAGTCTACGGCTGTTTTGTATTATAATGATGAGCGTGATTCATTATAACGATACAGCTGTATAAATCGTAAATTTAACACCGATATTTTAAAAATACAACTGCAGTGATTCAAAGAGGGAGGTGCTTATGTATCGTGATGCATTGCTATTTCAATGTTAAAAAGTAAAGCAACTGCGATTATTATTATATGTATAGGTATTCTAATAATAATTTTAGAACATACATTGTTTGTTCCACAAAAAAAAAAATTAAATCATACTTCTCATTCTAGTTTATAAGATTGTAATCGTAATGCTACATATATAAATTTGAGTAGATGATTCCCTGTATGATTTCCTCTCACTAGTTTATTTCATCAATAGTTTTTTTTTTCTGTTTTGTACTCGGTAAAAAATAATAATCTTGTGAAGGTCGTTTGAAGATAATGAAAATAATAATACTGCGGTGATGTGATTATAATGTATGAATGTATGTTAGGTTAGATAAGTAAATACAATATTTATATATAAGATACTGGAAAAAAACTATAATTAATACTTATTATAATAGACGACCGTTTAATAAATAGGTATAAAATAATAATTATTAGTCGAACTCTTTTTTCGGATAAAGCATTTAGTGGAATAGCCAGGAATTTTGTATGGGAATGAGTTGAGCCATACTAAAAACAATTATCATTAAAATATTTCCTTTACTTACACTTTTTGTAAAATTATGTTTATTATATTATGCAGTAAATCATTAATAAAATAAAAAGCGTAACTTAACTATCAGCATTGTATATTATAATAATTCGTCAGTCATTAGTTAATAATTCATAACTATTCATTTTACAGAATTGTTAATATTAACTATTAAATCATCAATGTCAGTTAAAATAATGTGGCTTAAACATTCAAATCAAAAAAAAATGTATGCAATGTGTACTATAATTTCTTAATTTACCAAGAATTAAGATATTTAAAAAAGCCTACATAAACCACGCCCAGGCCCGCCCTTAGAATTTTCGAGACCCAGACCCAGACCGAAATTTTAAATATTTTATATTTTATTGTAGATATTATAATTCGTATTCGTTTTGCCTCTAAAAACGACCCTACAAACTACATCTAACACAAGATGTTACGATTTCTGGTTACCACTACTATATATTTCCATCAGAATCTGACGATAATAAATAATTTATACAATTTGCTAATATTTAAATATTATATTTAAAATTATGTTGAAAAACATAAAGTTTTTGTGTTTAAAAAATGCATTTGTTAGAAAAAAAAAATGAAGATGGCTATTTTAGTTTCAAAGCCTTAAAAACTGTAGTAAGTGCCTACGCAATAATGTTGTATTTTATTTATGTAAGTGATAAGCCAATAACCAATATTCTGATATTTGCTATCAAAATAAAACCTATTAAGATCGAATTTTACAGAGATCCAACAATTAAAACATACTGTTAATTGAACGTCTGAACTCTGAACTCAGCTGAAAATGCATTCCCAATTAAATCGGTTTCAAATTTAAAATAATAATAAAACACTGACTGGTGTATCGGGCACAACGAACCGAAACTAGTGTCAAACGGTATTATCGGTAGGCACCTACTTGTATTCTGTCTATTGTTATCGTGTGTGTTTTAAATATAATACAATTATTTCATCTATTTCTATTCCGTACTTTTTCATCATCAGTAATCCGACTTCCGGCAACATTGTCGGCCAATAGTTATTCGTTTTTACACGTCACTCAAGTGGATCCTAAACTGGAAGATATTATTGGATCTTACCAACTACTAAGGTCTATTTTTGTGTATAGTTAATACTCAGCATCGACATTTAACTATCAATTACAGAATATTCAAAATTCAAATACGCAAGTTTTACATTATGTGATTCGTAAATAACTTATGGATTTGTTAATACTATCAAATATTAATTGTTTTCTCCATTTTGCTACATATCTTTGTTTCTTCTCTTCTGACGTTTACTTGTATAAATGTATGAACTATTAAGTAAACATCCGCGTCGTTGAAAATACGGATCCAAACAGTACCTTTCTAAACAATTATCAATGTGTACTTATTATATATTTTTTTATTTGAAATCTTGTCGCTAATAAACAATTTTTATTACATAAATATCACACCCCGGAGAGACAAATGACACAACTCAAAATTCCAATTATAAGGTTTTTCAGTAATACCATAAATAGGTATTGTGTGTCATAATTTGTAGGAAAACGTCACATTTCTAACCCACAGATTATCCGCCAGAGAGCAGTATCACATTAGTCTTGTTACAAGGTTACTTGCCGGGGTTAGATAAGGTTAAATCATATAGCAACAAAAATATTATAAATTACGACCGAATTCTACTATAGAAAATAATATATAATGTAAAATCATAAAACAAAATTGTTATCTTATTTTTCATTTCACTGATTTTTTAAGTTGTATGTGTACATTTGTTTTTAACATTTATATCAGTACTCATTCAGTTCAAAATTTAAAATATTTTGTTGAACATTTTTATAATATATACCCATGTGATTTTAAAAACGTTTTAAGTTTTAATATGGTATGAAAAATAAATAAAATGTAGAAATTGATACAATACTTGATACTTATTCAAAAAATACATATAGTACACAAATAATACAACATACGCAACGATATAAAACAATAAATATAGTTGTATTTTATAAATATTCCTGAAACATATTATACTGCTATGTCTATATTTTGAGTTGTTTATTAAATAAGGGGTAAAATATAACATCAAAATTTAGTTATAAAAAATTAATTACCTATCTATATTCGGTTTTCTCTGATGAAAATATTACTACAGTGTTACACATGATCAACTAAGTCAACAATACCTGGGATTATACCAAATACTTATATTAGCACTTTCTAGATGTGCAACAATTTTCAAACGATTCTGGGTATTTTTAAGCTATTTATAATCACATGAAATTTTTAGTTGATTTTTTTAAATTTTATGTGAATAAAATTATTTTGACCCATCAAAAATACTCGAGAATTTAACACCAAGTTTATTATAAATTGTACTTAATTGTTAAAAAAAATTTTGCGTAATTATAATGGGTTTTCTCATAATTTTGTAATGTTCAAATCTTAATGAAAATCGTAAAAGTCACTGCAATTCAAAAAATACTTCACTCGGAATCATTTTTTATCAGCAATGATTGATCATTGAAAATTGAATACAGTATAAACTAAATTATCGAAGTAACAACTATATGTTCTACCTTTTTAATTTCCCACCTACAATAATGGCACATACTCCAGCAGTATCGGTTAATTTTGTATTTTTTTGGAAATTTGGTTAAATATAATTATAGAGACCTGAATTTACAGAACACATAATTCTATTTGCATTTTCCATTATATTAACGTACAATTTCACGATTTCATTATTTTATAAAAACACAGACAACGTTTTTTACCAGGAAAAAATGATTTAATCGAAAAATTACAACACCTTTTTTTATTTACTTTCTAACGGTATCATCGTCAAAACTTTTGAGGTTTTAAGGAATTTTAAATTTTAGGAGTTTTTTTCCTGTAAATCGGTTATAAATACACGTAGAGACTTGAAACTTGATAATAATACTTATATTAGACTTACCTAGAAGTGGTAAAATTTCCGAAATCATCGGACGACTTTTTTTTTTTTTTAATACCCGTTTTGAATTTAAACGAAAATCGCTAAAAAAAATACGGTACTTCAAATAATGTATTAACGAACTGCGCTCGGAATCATCTTTAATCGTCGTACCATAAAAAGTTTGGGAACCTCTGCTCTAGAGTATTAAAATTTATTTATAACTATTTGAAATTATTTCGTTTTATATAGAAAAATTGTTTCTAGAATCTTAAAAATGCTCAACAATTTGTACACGAAATGCATCATAAATAATTCTAGTGGATTAAAATCACAAACAATTTCGTAATTATGATTTTTTTTTAAGAATTTAAAATTCTAATGTTGATAAAAATCGTAAATTCATGGCATTTCGATATCTATTAATTTATTTCGATACAATTTTTTTTATTCTTAGAATTTTAGACGAAAAACAGTCATATTATATATATATATATATATATATATATATAATAAATACAATTTTCAATTTAAGATGATTTAATGAACCATTAAAAAACTATGAGCGTACTCCTACTCAACTGGCTAAAAACCTCGAATTGTGATAAAATAAAATGTTTATTTATTTCTTTTATCTTCCCTATCGAAAATACAAAATCAATTATTTTAATTTAGTTATCTGAAATTTTATATTTAAAACTTGAAGAGGGGGAGAGTTTTATTCATGTTTAATACTGAATATTAATATATTTAGTAGGAGATGGCAAAGCCCGCCTTCTACATAAAGGTTTTTACTACAACTCTTCTTCTAGTAAAAATAATAAACACGACTCTGCATAGGTATAGGTTGAGCCGGAGGGGCTACTACTATAGGTACATATTATTCTATACTACGGTTTAATATTATTTAGGTACCTAATTACTTATTGATCGAAATTTAAGTATCATACAATTATATTTGACGTTAATAATTAGCTAAAGATAGATACAACATATTAATATGTGTTATAATTATATTAAATATGAGAATAGTCTTTACTGTATTAGGTAATTAAGACTTAGGATATTTTTAGTTATTATGTGATGATATTTATCAGTTTATAATTTATATATTTATAAAATCATTTTTTTAAATAAGTACCTGCACGAATAACGTCAAGATAACCCATAGAATAACAACAGAATAATTATATATTTTTTTTTTCATTTATTGAACGCATTAAACACAATTTTACTAACCATGCAAAAGTACCATAATCTGAAGTAAGAATATATTTTTACTATAAAAATTCTACACAGAACTATTCATTTTCGAAATACAATGGCTTATGATAATTTTAATGTTTAAAATAATATATAACATCGAAGATGGCAAGTTTTTTTTATTTAAAATAAAAGATTACGTTTCAATTATAGTTAGGTGAGGTTAGGTTAGCTTTCAACTTTGAGAAAACGTTATGTCCCAAAACAATAAATCACCGAATAGGATTAAAATTTGAATGTTTGAATCCTTGAAATAATAATGTGTAAGTTATAAATATAAAGAAGTAGGTATAACAAGAAATATACTGGATCGAGTGATCCAGTTATAGACATTTTGTATTATAAATAAGTTCTGTTTTGTTATTATTAATAATATTATATAATTTATTCCTATTTAAATGAAATAAAAAATAAGCAGTGGCGTATTTAATATTTTCTCAAAGAAGATGTATTAAATTTTGAAACTTTTATCATACTTGTATATCGTATAAAAGTAATTTTTTTATTAAATACCTATCAATATTTTTGTAATTTTAATTAAACTAAAAATTCCAATACATTTGAATTTACAAGATAATGGAGCTATATAAATGGTATTAGATATTTATTACATATATATTTTGTTTTTAATTGACGTAAACCTATCTATGGGGTGGGGGCATTAGGCCGTATTAACGTATTTACGTATTTGTATAGTTTATTAGCTGAATTACCCGGCGTTGCCCGGAAACAAATTCGTGACAAATTAGATAACGCCATGTATTATCATTTACCGTCTTAAATTCATAATTATCAATAATATACATAATAACCTAATAAAATAGGAGTATTGGTGTATGCGCGATGCATGAGATTATTTTTATCGATAAACTTTTCGGAACAATTTTATTCTTGAAATCATTATTCTTATCTACACGACGACGACGACGAACAAAAAGGATAGGTTGCAGGTAGCTGGAAACCCGCGGGCCGCCGTGCNTCGTTAATTACTTCACTAAAACGCAACATTTTTGAAAATCCTTTCTTATTGCACGGTGAAAATATGAGAAGAACCTATATTCCAAATTTCAAGTCCGTACGTTACGTAGTTTTTGAGATACAGCGATCAGTCAGTGGTCTTTGGATTTTATATGTATAAATTTAGAAGTTTAAAAAATTTGCTACATGTTTGCTCTTAATTCTTATCAATTTGTTCGATAGTAAATTTCTTTTTATCCTCTAAGGTGTATTAATCTAATAAGTAATAGGTATCATTGAATATCATGGTTTACTTCATTTTTTTCTTTATGAAATATATAACATAAGAGTCCTGCAGTTTTTTTTGTGACTCATCGTAGATTTAATCATAATAGAATTAAAGAGTAAAATCTACTGAGTACTGACTTCTGTCTAACAAAAAAATTAATCGGCGTCATCATACATATCAAAACTCAGAAAATTGTTAAAAGGCACGAAAAATGTTTATCATGATTCATCTTAAATGATGAGTATATAAAATACATTTCTTAAACATAGAACAATCGAGATAATAGAATGTTGTTCAATAATAATAATATAATAAGTTAGTGGTTACTGGTTACCTGGATTTAAAAATAATGAATGGTTATCATTGATGGCTACTTATCAGTTATCACGTATCAAATATGAAATATTAATGCATTTTATTAATATTAGAACATTTTGTAAGATTATTGATATGTATTTAGCACAACAATTTAAGATGAGCTATTTTATAAAAATATGTAAGCTTAAATACCGTCAAACATGAGACAAACCGTCTCATACGTTCTCCTTTAAAAAAAGTAGAGGTACACTAGAATATCCAACAAATTATTTGAAAGTACTCAGTCTCCCTTCGTCCCCCCAAATTAAACACTTTATAGACCTTATACAAGTAGACTATTATAAGGTCTATGATTGACGTGGTTCTAATGTGAATCGTGTTATTATCATAATTAATCATTTGTCAATTTATCATTCATTATTTGAAACTAATGTTATTACTTATCGTGCTAAAAATCGTGGTAGATCGGATTCTACCCTCCCTCCTGAGCCAAAAAAATTAAAACAATTTTGAATAAATATTTATTGTTTAATTGTTTCATTGTTACTCTTTGAAGTCACTCAGAACTTGAAGTAAATAAATACAATAAATAATAATTTATGAATTATATTTTAATCCTTAGATGTTTAGTGTATTATACATTTTTGTTAAAAATTAAATACTTAAATGCATATACCTATTCTGATTATAAAATTACGGATTTACTATCATTTTATATTCCTAGCTATTTTACTTTAAACTGTTAAACAAGATGTCAAAATAACAACTTTTTATAACAATTATTAATGTTCAAGCGTACACTGTACACAGATGAACAGTATATTTTATAAACGATAGAAAAAAAAAAGATTGTGGGATTATCAAGGCCTGATTATCCTGTCATAAAAAACAAAATGTATTCAAGTACCCCCGATGAAGTGGTGGTTTAATTATCAAGTTATAAAAAAGGGAGTCTGGAATTTGTATTTTAAATGTTTACCTAAATAGTATTAATAATATAATGATAATAATAATTAACTCCCAGAAACTTTGTAAATATTTTTATTTGTTTACCATTAATTATTAGTACCTGTATGTGTTTCATTATTAAGAAAAAAAATATTTACCCCCTCCACAGGAGCAATATTCAATGTACTAATGTATTCCACTAATCGTGTCAAAATATTTTATTCATGATTTAAGATATACTAAATTAAGTAAAGATATATTAAATCGTAGTATTATTAATTATTATTTATTAGTAATAAATCCTGTCTCCTGTTGCAGGATGAACTTAACATTAGCTATTTAGTTTAAAGCTATTAGTCTTAATTTGAACGTGAACAAGTGCCAGTCAATGTCCTTCTCCAGATCTCGTACTTTAATTAGCCACACCTACTCGATTAACAATATTAATCTTGCATCGACCAGTCGTAAAAAAGATCTGGGGGTTCTTTTATCCTCTGACCTTAATTTCCACTATCACATCCAATCAATAAGTAGTCAGATGTATAAGACTCTAAGGTTCGTAAAACGAATATCGTCTGAATTTAAGTTTACCTCTCCGCTGATGGTTCTTTACTGTTCCTTAGTGCGACCCCTGGTTGAGTATGATTCTATTTTGTGGGATCCTCCGACTCTGTAATCTTCGATCGATTCCAAAAACGTTTTCTATCCTATGCCGGCCATGTGTTGAATATCTTCGACCCGTTGCATGACTACTCTTCAGTTCTCCACGTTCTTGGTCTATCTATACTGACCGATAGAAAAGTTGACATTAATTTGAAGTTCCTCCGTAACCTCATCGGCGGTTCTGTGGACGCATCATCGCTCCTTTCCCTCATCAACTTTCGAGTCCCTCCACGTCCGACCCGCTCTACTTTTGCAATCTCTTTGCACACTATCAGTTATTGTTCCAACAATACGCCGCACGATACGCCTTGCTAACGTCCATCTTTCATTCTTACACTAATACCTGGTTAATAAATACCACCAATATCTCATTACCTCGTTCCATTTTTCACTTTTGCTGAATTGTCTGCGTGTTTATTTATTAAATTCTACTGTACTTTGGGTCATGCACGTATTAAATAAATAAAAAATAAAAAATAAAAATAAAAATAAATTATTATTATTATTTCATCAAATGTTATTATTTATTATTGCTTTATATCTGGTTTCATCTTTTTACTTCGAAAATAGACGTCTCTTATTATTAGATTTGTCAAAATTATTAATAACGAATTGAAATATTTAAGCCTTAGCAATTGTTATAACAATAAATTAAATTATTATCGTCAAATCGTTAATTGTTGAGTAATTTTTTGTCTTTGTCTTCCTCCCTATTTCAAAATTCTGACTATGCCACTGAAGAGCGATATATATATATATATCTAATCCTTCCCCCTGAGTACACCACTAGTTTTGTTATCAATTATTTACGTTTAACATCTATACCCCCTTCTTCAATAAGGCTTATTGTAGCAGAATAGTGCAGCTGTTATAGAATTGGGATATTTGGGTGCCAACCTAACGCTGTTCAAACTAAGTACGGGTCCCACAGTAATCAATTAATTAGGTTTAGGTATATCATAAATTAAATAACATAATGGTTACGTTTAATGGTATAATAATATAATATAGGGACCTAATTGTTTTTGTAAAATAACAGTTATTCATTTATAATATTATGTATAATCTATACTACCAGTATATCTATAATACATAGTACATATTATATAATATTATATAGACCAGAGGTGGACAAACTTTTTTGGTAGAGATTTACTGTAAGAATATCTTTTTTCTTTGAGACTTACATGAAAATATATAAATATAAATTACCTAATAGGTATTAATAATAAACATGTATGTCAAGCTAACAAATAATATTAAAAATAAAACTAAAATGTATAGTTAAATAAGTTTTTCATCACACTATAATTAAGACTAATATAATATGGTAAATTCATTTGTCAATCTAAACTCTGTTGAATTGTATTACTTGATTAATCGACAACAAAATAATGATATATTAAGTTAAAAATAATCAGTAATTGTGATTTTTCTACTAATTATAAAAAATAAATTCTAACAAAAGGAGATTGACATTTAAGCCGTCCGTGATCTACCGGTCGATCCCGATCGACCGTTTGGCCACCCTTGATATAGACAATGGACATACATAACAATTCAAGCCAATTTCCAGGTGCACGCGTGATTATATGGCGAATTTGAATAAAATGTTTAATATTCATAGCGCCACCACGCCGTGACAATCAAACGCACATTTATTGCACGAAATTATGATTCATTTGAATTTTTAGATATTTAACCGTTCGACAATACCTACCGCATAAACGACAAACACAAAAAAACGTTTTAAAACTTTTTACACCAGCTACAGTGTATTAGGTATTCAGTTTGTTTTTAAACACATATTTCAATGCACACGGATTTCTAGAAAATTTTAGGTTCGCTTGGTTTCAGAAACCACAAAGAAAACCCTGCATGGACTGTTTACCGGCTTATTGAAAAGAATGTTGCTGTTACAAAACACCTGCTTAGAGGGTGCAATATAGGCACTATATTGCACACAAAAGAACAACATTTTCCGAAATTTACAGTGCATTATATATCTTAAACGTAATAATTACAATCTAAAATAATACGATTTTATTTTATAAAATTTATCGATTAGAATTTAGAATATGTTTGCATAATGTTTGATGATTCCGTTGCTATTGGTTTTACCTAAGGTGTACGTCATAACGTTAGTTTTTAGTGACTAGTAACTATAATACCTACTGTATGTATCTACCCACTATAAGTAAAAAAAAGTCTAATTTTTACCTTTAACGATTCTGTGTCTATAACTTATACCTACAGACATTGGATTTCAGTTTATATTGGTCATATGAAAAATATCAAAAACACATAAATAAATAAAATAAATTACTAAAATCGTATATTATTTAACATAGTACCTACACAGCTAACTCTAGGTATCTACTAGTATTTTATAGTCGTTAATAAAATTTGACCTTTTTTATAGGTTTCTAATAATATACTTCTCGGAGACGTCAGAAGGTTTTTTTTTTTTAAATTTTCTCCTCGATAAAATTCAGAAAATAAATCGAAAAAATGAAATCCAAAAATGGTTAAAACCCGTAAAAATAGCCAATAGATATTAGACAGGAATAATTATAGGTACTTACGGTCTGACTTTACGTCCTTTTCTTATGTGCCATCTGTCCGCGATGGTTTTAGTGATTACAGCTTTTTTGCCCATCAGATTCCGTCCGAACTTGATCGCCTTTTGCTTGGTGGTCTGCGCCATTTTCTTACACCTATTTTCCGGCAATCTCAACACTTCCTCCATATTTTGTGTATATTATTGTATAAAATACTATACTCGGAAAAGATGCGAAATGTATCACGCGTACAGTTAATTATGTTACATTATTTAGGTATAAAGTTAACACACTAATAATTATTGTACCGGTTTCGGGTAAAATAAAAATGATGAAAACAATTTATTAGCCACGTATAATAATATTATAAACAACAAACAACAGACTGCCGTCAAGATTCCCACGACACCATTGAGAAAATTATTTTTAAAAAAAAAACCCAAACGCACTCGCCAACGTACACGGTGCCCCGGTGTTACACTGACAAGTGCACGACCACGGCTTACCCCGGACTGGAGTGCGGCCGACCGCGATCACAACACGTGCTACGCCATAATAACAGTATCTCGGTTTACGGGGGGTGCTCGCGAAGATTACGGTCGTCTGACTAGACCGAAGCAGCGCTCTCTTTCAACAATAATACACCGTATAATTTTCATGTTTTTCCGCGACTTCCGCATCGACCGGTAGACCGGACAAACTAACTGGACATTATACACGCTTCACGCTAACTGAAATCGCACATAACAATAGTATGTAGAACAAAATCGAAATCCCATAAAAATTAAAATAAATAATAAAATCATAATACGTGTCGAGTAGTAAACAACGTAGTATAGTACATTATTAATTATTATACAATATAGTTATTGTTACACGGCGAGTTTTTGAATTGAGCAAAAAATATCACAATAAATTTTGTAATATTTCATTACACACATACGATCGATATAATATTATTATTTTCTGCGATTTATCCATTTTATTATGTCTCGTTTGTTTTTTTACCTTTAATAGATATACACACACAAATCTGGATTTAGAGAAGCTGTCACCCGAGGACTTTTTTTGATATACAGCCCCTTCAAAAAAAAAATTTTAGTATTCATTATAAACTCGAAGTTTTAACAAGTTAAATGAATTAACAATAAACAATAAGAAACATGCAGTTAACAAAAACAAACAATGCGGTTATATAAGCAAATAAACTATATATTTAATTTTTTTTTTTTAATTTATTACAATATTTACCGCACTCCAAAATTCGCCACCTGGGCCTCACGGGCCTAGGCGTAAATCCAGCTCCACATACACACAGATCAAGTATAATGAATGCAACTGCAATGAATCAATTTAATATTGTAATAAGGCTGTATATTATTATATAGATACTATAAACTGTAAACATTTTTTTAACTAAAGTAATCGAGAATAAATTTTATCCAAAGCTTAATCCATATTAAATTCAAATTAAGTTAACTCAAATTGCGTAAGAGTAGTTTTGATTTTAGCTATCCGTTCATTAATTACTTCGTACGTATTATTTCTTCTATTTATGTTAATACTTAGGTACCTAAATATATCCACTTTTCCGAATCTATATTTCTCTACTGTTATATTATGTGGTCTATGTTTAGGATTCTCCTTGCTATCATTAAATATTTAGTTTTGTCCAAATTTACACGTAAACTTATGAATTTACTTGGTCTTGTAAGTCTAGACATTGTATTTATCACTTCAATTATCGTCTTTTGTCTCTACTATTGCCACGATATTATCAGTGACCAGCGTGTGTCAATATTACCCGTCCTCACATGTCTATTGTTCGGTTATCCCATATATTTTTTACTGCTTTTTCTAATGCTAAATTAAATAGTGTAGAAGTCAAAATATCTTCTTGTCTGACTTTACCTCAAACATCTCCGTTATTCCTTACAGAAACCTCTGCAGAAAGTTTCACTGTTACATCAATTTTACCTAACATTTTTATTAGGTTCATATACTTCTTAGAGATATCTAATACTTTCAAAGCTTTCTACAATTCTTCCCCGTCGATGTTATTATAGGCCAGCTTACACATTATAAATATAAGATGCATAGTTGTTTATAAAATTCATAATACGAGTATTTAGCTATCATCTGCTTCTGTGCAAAGCTATGGTCATTAACCACTGAAATGTTTACACACATGGTAGTACACTAGTACCACGTCATGAGAATAAAGTATTTTCCAAGAAAAAAACATCTTACTTATCTATACAAAAGAAATGAAAAATAAATATAAAGTAGTGAAATATTATTTGAAAATTAAATACATACAATACAATATTTAAGCTTAAATAATACTTGAATCTGCTACAGATATTTGCTATAATCTAGCTTGTTATTTTTTAAGACTTTATCAGTCTTCGAAAAAGTAGGACATTATTCTCAATTCGTTTTGTTTTTTGTTTTGCTATTTACTTGTTAGTATATACGAATTGCAATAGTATTATTATACGAGTTTACTGAACGAATATAATAATATTGTAGCCGTTTATACGTATCTAATAATTCGGAAAAAGTAATATTTGTTTTTTTGTACTTCGTATTATTTGCGTATGCTCGAAAAATGCGTACCGGCAATATCGATTCGTATTTGTGATAGTGGGTGTTGAAAAACCACCTGGCCGATTTACACGCGATCGCCGTCGATACGCAATAGGTACACGGATTAATATTCTATGACGAAGGGTGGCGGGACACGCACACCACAAAAGATGGCCAAGTAAACGCACGAAACGGGAGACGCGTTTTCGATTTGAACATAGATTTTTCGTAAATCGATCCGGACTCTGACCACGAGTATAACAATAATAATATTAAATTGCACCTATAAATTGCACCTGCACTGCATCAGAAATTTAATGTCGACGGTGGCTATAATAATGAAACGTGAAAACTCGTATCTGCGTGTAAAAAAATCATATTTTATGCCTACAAGATATTTGTTTTTGGTTTTTAATTTTTAACAATAATGCACTAAGTTAGCTCACACTGATTTTACACTGATTTTATGATCACGCACTCGTAATTTTTCCGATTTTATCGCTATTCATTCAGTTCATTCTATTTTGAATGTTTTTTTTTCTTGAATTTAATAGTACTGCAGGAAATTAAATAGTTTTCAAATTTTGAGATACACCTATAAGATTTTGACGGAACTACCATAACATATCTTTCTCAAAAATATTTACTCGTTTTTCACAAAAATGACAAATCCGAACGTGTTATATTTATGGGTTTAATATTATTTTAAATCACGAAAAATATTTGTCCAAATACGCTGTGACGCAACTAAGATTAATTTTCGGAGATGAGGGCCCCCCTCCGCCTCCTCCCAGGTGGAGATTAATAATAGTAAATACATTTTTGGGTAAATACATGTAACGTAGAATTTGTAAAAAAAATGAAATGTTGGAAACATTGTAATTTACAGTTATAACTTATAACCCTACCTACAACCCATTACCGGTTGTAAAACTACAAATGATTCTTGTGTGTCTTGTTATTTTAGGATTTTTTATTATATTTGCACAAAAAACCCGTATAAGTATATCCAATTTCATAAAAGACAACCACTGAAGAAGTCATAAAACTACGGGGACAACAATCTCTCGACAAACCCGTTCTTTGTATCTGTTATAGTGTACACATTTGTTTTAAATTTTTTTTTATTCAAATAGACACAAATGAAAATAAATACGCGCATTATGTGTTTAAAGTATCAAATTCATTCTATATAAAGATAAACAATGATTCATAATAAATATATATTCATAGACCATTACAAATATTATCAATGCATAACGCCGGATGTTTAAAAAAAAAAATTCATCTCTTTTTCGTACAAGTAAACTGTACAATAAAATCAAAATGGCCTCGCATAGACGTGTTTTCGTCATATTTCTTAACGCTTGGCCGTTTGTTTAGTTTGCAGATGATCTTATAAAACGTCGGTTTTACGAAATTTCTGAACGGTCTGTCATTGTGCGTACCTATTTAGTGTAGTTATGTTACAAGCGACTTGAATGCCCGTCGCTCTAGTATTATACAATGTCGGTACAGGGTGATGTTTTTAACGCGGAACATTATAAATTATATGACTCTAATCATAGAAATAACTTTTATCGCGTTATTATGATCTTTTTTGAGACATTTAAGAAACAAACAACTCAAAAATTTGACATAACGTGTTTTCGTCTATCCATATGATTGGCAATTAAATCACCAATTTTGATTTTTAACTTGTAATAAGTACCAATATTGAAAATTCCAAAAATTCAATAGTTTTTATTGAAATATAAATTGAGCAGATATTGACGTTCTTTAATTCATGTCATCAACCCGTTGACGAGATTGATGTACAGACCAATTTTTTTCTATGGGCGTTTTCGAAAGATGTCAATACTTGCCGACATGACAAGTTTTTTTTGATTACGAATTATGCGTTAAAAACAGTGTCGGTGCGAGAGGTGTGCAGAAAGTGCAATCGTCCTAGGCCTCGAATTTTTGGATTGGCTCTGGGGTCTCGGGCATTTATAGGACCCCAATACAAATTTAAAAATATTATAATTTGTACAAGGCCTCGCAAATCATAGCACCGACATTGGTGAACAAACACCCTGTATACGGCGTTTGCACGTGGTCAACAGGAGGGATTATTATAATAATATGTTTTCTTCGATCGTGTATTATAATGTTATAATCTAGGGGCCGCCTTGGGTCGCTAGCTATATATTACAAACGGACCGTGAACGAAAGGATTCTCTTTGTTCGGTCCGGTCGGACTCGCGCATATTGCGGTACGCTGCAGCATTCGTCGTTACTTAGCGGCACATTAAAACACAGAAAATACACGCGAGGTCCGTCGTCGTTACGGTTTGTGGTCACCCCGATGATGATGATGATGATGATTGTCGATGGCGACGATTTAATGCGTCGTAAACACTAAAATAGTAAAATTATTACGTGTTATTATCGTAGTGCGTACCTACTGCGGTGTACAATTAAATTGTAGAAAATGATTGTTTTATCACGAACCGGCGATTATCTACGATGATTTTTGAGTAAATTTGAGTTATTTTTTCAATCATTCATTATAATATAGAATCGTTTAAGAGGACGCTACACATTATGGATTTGCTGTTTCTGTCTTACAAACGCAGGATATAGTAAAAACATGCTTACGCAGACTACACGGAACTCGTTTAGTTATTATGGTTTTAGAGTAAAAGCACTTATTATGAAATTGACAGAGAACCATATTCCGGAAGAAAATAAGTTGAATTTTTTTTTGAAAAAAAGTTGTTTTCAAATGTTTTAGTGAATTAAAAAATGTAGAAAAAGTCGTTATTTATATACGGTAAATTGACTAATATATTAGAAAATGGAAAAGATGAAACGTCTTGCCCTCCGGAATATTGATCTCTATCAATTTCATAATACTCGAAAACCATAAATAAGCAAGTTTTGTGTATTCTGCGAAAGCGTGTTTTAACAATATTAAGACGGAAATAACAATTGCGTGTATAGCGTACTCTTCAGAGGTTATTATAATTCTGTCGTCTTATAAACGCACCTTAACATTACTTCGGAAGTTCGGAATATCGGATATACCGTTGACGAGAATAAGTGTAATTTATAACTTATAACTTATAACTGTTCAAAACTATTTAGACCATGGGAGTAGGAATATAAAAGGCAACATTTTTCATTTATCAAATAGCAGTCAATAGTATTATATTGATTATTTATTATTAACAGGATATTTTAATATTATTAATAATATTTTCTGATCAGTGCTTATACCTTATTTATATTTGTTTGTACACACTCTACTGATAAGAAGTATATAATCACGTAAATTATTCAGTTATTATTCAATAATCCTTTGCAATACGATTTATTATATTATTATATTGTATTAGTACTTTGATAAACCGTCTCTCTTCGGCCTATAAAACGAAAAATAGACCGTGTTTATATAATATATTAGTATAAGTAGGTACCTACTACCATATATCATCATTTATATTCAACCTTTACGAGTTTGAACGTAAAAATTCGTCCATTAATTCTCGTTGACGTTTTTTCCGCCGGTATCGGAAAATCCTTTGAATACACTGGGTGAGTGGTGTTTTTATGCGTTCATAAAAACATCCCGTCCCTAGGTACATTTTGTACACAGGATTTATTAGGTCAGATTTAATATAAATAGGTTATATGCTATAGCTAGTGTATAAGTATACTTGTAGGTATTAGAAAATATGATGCTTACATTTATTATTATAAGGCAAATAGGTACTAATAGCCTATAGAGGATATAGGTAGATAATTAATTGTTAGCTACACAGTCAGTTAAAGATTAACCTATCAAAATACAATGACTGTTGTAAATAATAAATTTGTATTTAAAAGATCTGAAACTCCGTCACTTTTTTAACTACTAACATTCTTATTTTATAAAATTATTTTATTTTATTAGGATATATATATATAATTGTTTTGTGAATGACAATTATGAGATTCAAAAAAAGATCTGCGCTATTCAAAATTTTCTTTTAGAAAAGGACTTGAAAATCGGAGTAAGACTTCTGGTAGAAAAGTTATTGTGTATCTCACAGACATGAAAAAATAATAATAACACAAAATCCACACATCACAAAACAACCAATACATTTCTCACTGTGCTCAGAATCTAAAACCATCCTAGAAATATATTTCACGATTGAGTTCCGTGATTTTGCATGATTTATACGCGAGTATAATTATTTTATATAGGTGTAGGTATTCATATAATATACTCATTAGTCATTACTTATGACTTCGATCCGCACAAATTATATTCCTGTATTATGTAGGTATTACATATTCATACCTAGGGGGTTGGTGACGATTTTTCAAATTTTCTTCAATTTTCATTTACATTTTAATACGGCCATTTTAATGATAAGACTTTTACCACCGATCTACAATCCGATAACCGTTTAAGGTATAGATGTACAGCCATTTTCACGAATACAAGTATGATGTCATATTAAGACCGAAAAGCCACACAAAATTAATATTATAATCAATGTAGATATTTTGTCGGTTAATATTGTTAAGTAATGTGCAAAAACGTTAAACTTAAATCGTATATTATATCTTGCCGTAAACGATAACGAGTAAGCCACGATCAAAGCACGGTATCCAAAACGATCGCCATTCGTCTCTACTATACATCCCACTGAAAAACGCCGGATGAGTCACACCAAGCACCGATAATGCGCCCGCAGTGTTGAACATCGACGGCCGCGACAAGTCCACCGTGGTTCCTGTCGCAACCGCTGTTTAACGTTCCACAGTTTAACGAACCGTGAACTACTGCAGTGACCGCTTGGTCGATTTCGTGTACGGTATATAGGTTTAAAAATATAGCCGTACTTTTAGGTGTAAACCAATAAGGATCGGGATTTATAACATGTAAAACCAGAGCCACGTTAAGGGAAAATTCACATAAAGTAAGTAATTTTGTCAGCACGCTAATGTCGCCCGTACAGGTACCACAAGTTTTTACAAAGGCTTTACCCCCTCACCCCACCATTGTTTTTTAAATATAGCGATAGACCGTGCAATACAGAATACAGATTAATTCGTACATATATTAAACATATATATTTTAAATGCATGTTTCTTTTGCACTTTTTCATCTTTTGCAATAAGATAAAAAAATTCAACAAAAAAGGTCTCTTGTCGTTTTTCGATCGGACCATTATGTCTGGTTAAAAACTTAAACCGGATAAATTTAAAATAATGAAATCATGACGCAGTAAATTGGTCAGTTTTTTAGTTTACGTCTTTTTCCGGGTTTTCAAATTATTACGAAAACCACTAGAAATATCGAAAAACAACTTACTTTCTCAGTAAACCAGGCAAATTCAACAAAACAGGTCTCTTGAAACTTTTTGATGCAAGCAAGATTTCAGGCAGAAACGCAATGCGTAAAAATTAAAAATATTGAAATCGGTTACACCAATAAAAGGTTTGGATTTAGACAGGGTCGTCTACAGACCTTGGCTACGCAGGGGGTGGGGGCAAAATAGTTAAATTTAATATTAATGATTGATAAGAAAAAAAGTTGGACATACTTCGCACGGTAGATGGACCACTGTTATAGATGAGAAGTTGGGAAAATAAGATATTGAAGGAAATTTAATGTACATCTATACCTAAGTAAATTTAAGCATTGCCAATAAAAAACAATTCTGAACGGAACTCGGTTAATAGTATTGCTTAGGATCGTCTTCAGGTTAACAAAAACTTAAAACCTTTATGTCTGATGTCATTTCAACTTATATTAGCTAGAATACTGCAGATATATTGTACAAATGCAGTAAAACAATACAATTTAAAAGTTAAATTAATTTTTTTAACAAATAAGTAACAATTAAAATAATGATAATATGAATAACAAAAATAATAATTAATAAAAGTTAGATGACAAAACCCTAAAGGCCAAAACACTTTTATTTTAAGCAGCGTTTTGATTAACAATATTTTCTATATTAATATTTTCATTTCGATGAATATTGAAAAGTGATAAGCCGGTTAACCTCAGCTGATTTTTTTTTTTTTACCACAAAGTACAACTTTTAATGAACCTCATGTTCATGAACAATTTTATCTACAGAGTACCTACTGAATAAAAATTACATACAAAACTCGCAAAATTAAAATGTTTATAAATTGCTCAAAAATTTTACCACGCCAAGAAAAGACAAAATATAGGTAAGTTTTCTGTCCAAATTTTAAGTCTCTGGCAATAATATGAACTAGACACTCCCGTGGTTATTAACATATGCACATCTATAACCGTGGTCCGTGATTGTACGTTTCTTGCGAAAATGTGAGACCTTGAGCAAAATGGATAAAAAGATGAAATGTGGACGATGATGTATTTTATACAATATTATTTGTCTGTAGTTTGATAAGCGATTCTCAGTAGTATAATTGTGTTTTGGCTTACGATAAGAACTTCGCTATTGTACATCATACAATTGTTCAAAATTGTGTTTATGTACGAAAATAATCGCACGATAGTACAACATTGATGAGCTGTTAAACTATCCGTCAAAGGTGTACGACAATTATTGAACGAGTTGTTGCACGTGTATTAATTTCAGTAATCTGAGCCCGACCGAAGTCAGGCATTTCGAAAAATTATTAATCTAGACTCCTTAGTATGCTCCCCTCCACGGAAATCTTTAGTAAAAGGCGAAAGATTTATTCGTATTGAAAGGGAACCGGAGTGATTGAAACGATAGTTTTCGGGTGACTATATAAGCGGGAGAACCATATTAGTCTTATGAGAGGACTTTAAAACTGTATTTTAAATATCGCACCTTTGAAGTCAGCCAAACTTATAGCAAATGAAACGAGAAGAGCCGTTAACAGAGCAGTCTTTTTTACGGGTGAATTAATCATAAATTGTTATGAATGTTGTCAGTTATTTGACAGTGAAATCGTTCAAAATGAGGGTCAAGGCTACATTCTCAAACGACAAAAAACCGCCGCGTCATCTACCGGACACGAATGGAGACCAACAATTGCTTTAACTCCGTCGTACAAATTTTGTCCGACTAATCGCAACGATCGTTTTGCGTTTTCAATCGGATCGCGTATTCTATCGAAAAACTACTACAGATCATTTTATACTACTAGTATTTCATTTAAATATGTACGAAACAAAATTACAATTGTGTACGTGAAATAAACGGCTATTATTCGATAATCGAAAATTAAATTTTTAAATAACTGGCATTCGATTAGGTAATGTTTAAAAATGAACACCGAATAATTTATCGAAAATAATAGCAGTCAAATAGATTTTTTTAATCGATTATTCGATGTTAATCAAAAAAAAAAATTTGATATTTTCTATCAACTGATTTGAGAAAAGCCCCCCCCCCCGGGAATAATCTAAAAAGTGCATGCGATTACGAATTTACGATACAATCGTAATCTATTACTTATATATTATATAATTGTAATATCTTACACTTACATAGTAGGTAAGTTTTCCTGGTCCATATTATGTATGGTCCGATGGTCGAATGGAGTGGGAAAAACGTCTTGTCTGATACAAACACCTTGTATGATTTCACGTATTATTTTTATACGAATAAAATATCTGTAGGATGTAAATAACAAATTGATACATATCATTACGTTCATGTTCCAGGGAAATTGAACCCGAATAAATGGTATTATACTAATAGTATTTTTGGTGGCCGGTGAACAATTTGCATTGGCTCATTGCACATGTTTCACGCATTATGGTTAAGTAAGTAGGCAGTAAGTATTAAGTTTCTGTATCAATTATTTATATCTAAAAAAAATCGAATGCATTACAAAAATATTTATATCAAACGACACTATAATATATGGACAATGACACAGCTACATAATGATACATGTATAGCTGCTTTGTACAGCACCACAATAAAACATTGAGACGAACGAATAATAATAATATAACTATTTTACTGGATTCGTGGGTTGTTTTTTTTAATTTGTGTATAAATGCAGAACTGTATATAGCTAAGTAGGTATTGTAAAAAAAAAACGAAGAGAACGTCTACACGATGTTATTTTGAACATACCTATGTATATATATATATATGAGGTGTTTATTAAAAATTATGTATAAAACTTACAAACTATTTAAATGGATTACCTTCAAAATAGTGTCCTTTAGCTTCAATAAAATGCTCCCAACAGTCTTGTCACTTTTTGAAACACCTTTGAATTGCTTCCATAGTTATAGCCTTTATCTCTTGTATCGCGTTATGGATAGTTTCGTTAACGTCTTCGAATCTGTGGCCTTTGAGGGTACTTTTTAGTCTCGGAAACAAAAAAAAATCACAGGGAGCTAAGTCAGGTAAACATGGTGGGTGAGGTATCACTGGTATATTTTTAGATACCAAAAATTCACGTATGGAAAGTGCTGAATGCGCTGGTGCATTGTCATGGTGCAAAAACCACGACTTTGATTTCCACACTTCTGGTCTTTTACGGCGTACTTTCTCTCTTAATCGCTCAAGTACTAGTTTGTAGAACATTTGATTTACTGTCTGACCCGTAGGTACAAACTCATAATGGACTTAACCAAAAAAATCGAAAAAAACAATGAGCATTGTTTTGACGTTTGACCGGACCTGACGACATTTTTTTGGACGAGGTGAATTTGCGGTCTTCCATTGCGATGATTGAACTTTGGTTTCGGGATCATATCCGTATACCTATGTTTCATCACCCATAATAATTGATTTTATAAAACGTGGATCATTAGAAATCCGATTTTTTAGGTCCAAACACACTTCAATGCGATGTTCCATTTGCTCTTCGGTTATCAATTTTGGCACTAATTTTGCGGACACTCTTTTCATGCCTAATTCATCTGATAAAATTGAATGACAAATGCCAATTGATATGCCAACTTCATTGGCTATTTCTCTAACAGTTAATCGTCGATCGTATATAATTTTGTTTTGAACAAGAGCAATGGTATTATTTATTTTTTATGTTGATGGACGCCCAGGACGATGGTCATCTTCAATGGATATCCGACCTTCTTTAAAACGTTTAAACCAGTCAAAAGTTACACAACGGCTTAGTGAAACATCTCCAAAAGTCAATTTAATCAATTCAAAAGTTTCCGTAGCATTTTTACCAATTTTGAAACAAAATTTAATACACGCATGTTGCTCCGTAATATTATCCATCGTAAAATCGCTATTTAATACAAAACGAGCAACTTTGAACACGTATTATCGATGACTGATTTGAGATAATGGTTATAATTATATACTGAAATAATGGTCATTATCTCTAGTTTATTTTGGTATAACAATATTGCCGATAACTTAAAATGTTTATCTGTAATAATTATAGTCTGGGTATTTATTGAACACACCTCGTATATAAGCTTAAATTTACTTTATCAACCCTCACAACACTGTGTTTATTTTATTTTTATTTTTGTACTGTAGTTTTTAACGCTGATAACGATAATGTAAAAATTAATTTGTAATGAATGATTACCTAGTTTTAAAATCATGACACTTTAATTTGGAGCACTTCTTTAAAATGTTGTAAAATTAAAATAATACCAGACTGAAAATGCATTTGTTTTCTCCCTGTTACGTACGTGACAATTTTTTTTTTCAAATTAAGAGAACGCTATCTACCTGCATGTGCTGCCTCAGTCCAACTAACGGCCAATATAGCAAAACGTACTTTACGCAGACTGCTTAGAACTTGCATGATTTAAAGAATTATACAATTAATAATATTCCGAAGAGTATGATAGACGATGAGTTTTTTTTTTTGTTACAGTAATTTAAAAACGATGAATCAGTTTTTATTTTTTTACATTATATTGAACGTTATATCCGGAATAATCATTTTAATACTTAATTCCAACTTAATACTCACAGGTATAGACTTGACTTGAGAAAAAAGTAGTAGAGTTACTCTAGGTATTTTTAAAAAAGTAGCGTCATTAGAATTTCAATATTCCTCACATTTCTTAATTTGTAAATTGTATGCCGTATACAAAACGCATTTTTTTTTTTTTTTAAATGTTAATTTATATGATTGTATACATGCGTATTTATACTATTTTTACAGAGTACCTATAGATACCATCCAAAATATTACTGGGTACGACTACCACTGCACAAAAATTAGAATATGAAAAAGGCAGTGCAAAATAAACTATATAAGTACCTACCTACAATAAAATGGCTCTTTCCAAAAATGGAAAAGTGTCGTAACTCAAAAATTAATGACTTCCAACTAATTTTTTCACAATTTTTTTAAATTAATAACATATACAGGATTCGAAAAAAAAAATGTAAAAATTTGAGGGTTGATAAACTGGATTTGTTCTTATAAATAGCTATAGCTGTTGTAAACTCAATTTTTGTGAAGTAAAATAACTCTTCAGTTTTAAAAGTTAAAGTTAGCAAAAGTAAATCAAAGTTATTATGTAAAAAGATAATAACTTAACTAAGTTTAAAAATCTGATTAATTTTTACAACTGATCCTAATACAGAAGGAAACCGGGATTCTTCAAAATTCTCTATATTCTGATCAAGCACTCCTAATTAATACAGAATTAAACATTGTCTTATGGTATTCTCGTCCATAACTAAAACAGCTGGTATTTGACTGATCTTTTAAGTTAGATATTTAATGACGAAATTTTAAAATTGAATTAAATTATTTACTTTAACACATTGACTGTTATCTGCAGGGCTAGAATTTGTATGCAACAGCATGTTTTTTTTTGTGACTTCTGATTATTGATTTTGTCAGTAATGTCCACGAATTACCTCATGATGAGATAAATGGTGGTGTTTTTATTTTGCATATTTTGGATAAAATTCATATTAATGCATATATCGAATAAAATGAATATTATTGCATATTTCGATTATAAAAATGCGAAAAATGCATGTTTTATAGTATATTTTGTAATTAATATTTCGTATTTAATTCTAAAAATCTACAATCAATAAATAAAATATTAAATGGTGAATCGGATGAGGACAATTTCAGTTGTAACCTAACACCAGGACAAATGTCTTTACTTAAATACGCGCTAACTACATCATGTGACGTTAAACGAAGCTTCAGTCAATACAAAGCCATACTACGATCCAATCGCCGATAATTAATTTTCGAAAATTTAAAAAAATATGTGGTTGTAGCATGTAACACACGTAGTGAATGCAAATTATAAATTTTTAAATTATTTTATTTTATTTTTAAGACAAACAGCAAACCTGTATTTCAATAGATAAATATTTTTTTTGTAACTATATTTTTGTTTATCTTATAAAAATTAAAATGCATATTTTTGTAAATAAAATGCATATTTTACAATTTTTTATTGCATACAAATCCTAGCCCTGGTTATCTGTACAATTTTTACACTGCAAATTTAATGTTAATGTGTAGGTTTTATTGTATATTTGCCAAATTTTAAACAAAGATATTCAATAACTTAACTTCCTTTTTATGGGCATAATTTTTTATTATATTTTTAAATGACATTCTAATATAAATTCATATTTTCGATTGTATCAAAATAATATACATATATTTTATATTAATTTAAGAACAATTCATGCTACATAATAGCTAAAAATACAGAAATGGTTCTGCTATGAGATTCAATTCAAATTCCTATCTAAAATCAACATTTTAGTGTCAGGTTTTTGGACACGAAGATAGTAAGTCCAAGAAGGTCGATTTTCGTAATAATGTATATGAAAGCAAGTATAGTAATTTAAGGTGTGCACACAAAAATGTACACATGGCCCCTAGAACAATATTATTGAACATTAGACAAAGTGCAAGACCAGTTAACGTGTTAAATAGTACTGTAAAACAAGGAGATTAGTTTCTAAAATAAATACAAAAACAAATGTAGCAATAACCAGAAATCTGGTAATTGTTACATAATACATAATACAGTGTAATGGAATATTGTTATATTATACTATTATAGTATAATAAATATATTGAAAATTATATAAAGCAATGCATATGAAATGGTAGGTCATAAAAAATCACAAGTACATTAGAAATAATTTTTTTTTTAGTTACATATTACATAGAATATTTTATATTGTAATTTTTTTCCCAAAAAATGTTAAAATGAATAACTATAATACATATACATTTTTAAATTGAGGTTGTTACTACTAAACCCCTATCATCAAAAAAGGGTGTCTTTTGATTAACTTGTTCTTTATTTTGCCCAAAGAATGATGTTATTGGAACAGTTGTCTTATCTGTATTCTCTTCTTCATCATCAGACCTTAAAAATACAATATAATACAATTTAAAAATGCATATGTAATAAATAATAAACTTTAAACAATTATGTGCACTAACCAGTCTACTTGTGCTGCATGATTTTTTAGAATCAATTCTGCTGTAGACCAGCAAAATCGTACAATACTTGGGAATCCAAATACTGGATCAATATTTTTCTTCAAATAATCTTTTGTTACTGGATCTAATAAAAATGATTTTAAAGGTAATATTATGCATTTTGGAAAAAGGTCTTTAATAGACATTTTATTTTTAGTTGTTATTGTTGTTTTTTTTTTTTTACCATTTGGGTAACCACTTCCCCAATTTGAATCAATACATTCACCGGGTCGCTCAATGAATTTCCAATTTTTCAATGCTGCATCACGGGTCACTTTAGCACAAATACTGGCAGCACTTACAATTGGAAATAAAGAATCAGCTTTTTTAGATACTGTAATTTTCAATTGAGGAAATATTGATGATAATTTTGCCTAAACATAAAATATGAATCAATTAATAACTAGTTTAGTCCACTCTGCGAGCATGTAAAGTTTCGGGGTTATAAATGTATTTTAAATAATAAAGTTTAATTCTATAAATAAATTAAATATCTTAATTTGTAAATAATGAAAAGGATATTTTTTTATAAATCTTGATGTATTTAAATTTTGGACCTATTTTTTTGATATATTGGCTAATCACTCATCTTATCATGCTTAAAATAAGCATAATTTTAAACCACATAATGATTTAGGTTATAATTATGCATAATAAATAATAAATAAATAATATTTATCTCCTTGTTCACTAAATCAACAACTGTAATTATGTCAAATTATATCAGTACTACACAGATGGACAGATAAACAAACACACAGAAAATATAAGATATTCTAAATTTTGGCCCTGGGAGTATACACTAATTAAATGCAGACATTTCAGCATATACAATATACAATTTTAACGCAAAAAAAATTGTTTAAAAAATGTAGTAATACAATAATTACAGCCAATAATAATAAAAACAGCAGTATTATTTAAAAAATATACAATAAATTTAAATAATAAAATATATAATAATTACTCATCAACAATACTTCATCCATAAGTGGTAGGTAAAAAATAAATTTAAAAAAAATATAAATTATGAACACATTCTAAAATTACTGTGACCAACAGGGTAGACTAGCAGTATATTGATGATATGTGGGGAAAAAACTAAGAATTTTGTAAAAAAAAAACAGTGGAGTTCCTAGAGTTTCAAGGAAAATAATCAATAAATAAGCGGCAAGGTTAACAAAAAGTTGTTAAGAAAAACAAAAATCGGATTATATAAGACATTGTTACACCGATAGTGCTTTATGCTTGTGGAACCTGGGTCTCTACCAAGTTTGACAAAAACAAACAAATAATATGTTTAAGGAATAGAGAAGAACTGGTAACACATAGAAAAGTTTGGAGTGAGATTGTGGAAGCAGCAAAGGTCCTAAATACCTTAGAATAAGCCTAAAAAAAAAAAAACTTTCATCTTATATTAAATTTCAAATATACAAAGTTTCATTGAGACTGTAATAAACTGAAGATTTGTATAACAAACAGACAGTATCTCAATGTATATAATATAGGATTACATTTTTTATTTTATTTTTTCTGTTAAAAAATGTTTGTCTAATATTATTCTTACTTCGTATTTTTCAGCAGGGCCAACAGTATCAACATATACTTCACAAATATTAACTCCTCTATCCAAAACTCGCTGTATTAAACCAATTGCTGAATTATGTGAAATTTCATTTAAAGAACACTTTTGCCTAAAACAAATATTTAATTAAAATGTATAGGTACAAGTAGTAGTAGTGACTTATAAAGGAAGATTTGATTTCTTTTAATAATTGCTTTGTAAGAATATCTAATTTCCACGGTACTAAGTATAAATTGTATATATAATGGTAGTTATTTAAACAAGCATGTTGAATAAAAACACTTCAACAAAAGTAAATATTACAGTATTCTATTTAGTACATAAGTGTACAAATTCTTATTTTAATCTTAAATAGCTACCTTCTAAAGCTACAATTGCTTATTGTTGTAGGTGATATAATGTGTACAGCCCATCCAAGTATGTCGGCTTGCTTGTTTATGTTGTCAAAGATTTCATCACGCGCATTTTCTGTTAAAACTTTAGAGTCTGCACATCCTAATGTTTTTAATATAGTTTGATTATTCATGGAGCAATAAGCTGTTCCGTAAACCATTGGACCTTCATTATATTAAACAATCAGTAACAAGTTTAAACTTATGAATGTTAGACATTCAATATTTTGTTAAAATTATATTTGTATGTATATTATTATTTATTACCGAGGACAGGACCACGACCAGCTTCATCAATTCCTAAGATACATTTTTCAATCTTTGTTGCTTCTGGCAATGCAGATTCTATTCGCACATCAAAAGAATTGTCTTCAGTCGAGATCACTGATTTTACATCGAAAATGGATTTGCAAACTTTATAACTACTTTGCATTTTAAAATATATATTTAAATGATGTATGTATAACTTTTGTAATAGGTAAAATATGATGTCAGATGTATTCTAATAATATGATATAATTTAAGATTGTCAAAAATTGGAAACTTTAAAAAAATACCATAAATGATGATACAATTTACAAAAACACAATTAAGTATTTTCTAACCTGAAATTTCTAATAAGCAGGAAGGGTTTCCCGCCAATATAAAATCCACAACTGTGATAATAATGTTAAATCACAGAATAAATAAAGGAACAGCTATATGTTATCATTAATAATGTTATCCTACAGATACATAAACAAACTTGTGTACCAGATAGTCGACTAGGATATTATGAATGAAGCTGGTCGCCAAATAATGCTGAATGTAAGCAATGTTATTATTAATTGATACAGTATCACGTTTAAACGGAAATCTCTTCCAAGTTCAAATATTGGAATTCCTTCTAAATTTCTAAATGCAAATTGTCTACACCTACGTATGTTTTATGTAATAAGTTATTTAAATTAGTAAAGAATAATATTATTATTACTCTATGTCATATTTAATTTGTACAACAGACAATTACATAAAACACCCATTTACACAGTATCAAACAACCATCGTCTCATATTATATTTCAGGATTTCAGCTAAAACCGATAAGAAAAAAAAATTACATTTGATTTCAGTACTTTTATAATTTTTGTATTTTGTGAACGATTAAAGATATTGGTACCTTTAAACTTTAATCGTTCTTAACAATAATATAAAAAAATAGATATTAATTTATCATATTCTTATCACATTTGCACTCTTGAATATGGCGGCAAACTTTGTTTGCTTATACATCTGTGGTTTAACCCATAGATAATAAAAAATTGTATTATTGAAATATTGCATTCTTTATTATCCATGTTATCGGCCTATAGGTTTTATTTCAATTAATTGAAAGTGGTTGGTTGCTGTCATTTCTGTGATTTAAACTATTTATATTAATTTATCTTCTCATTTAAGTCATGTAAGTAAACCATTTCATATTTATTGTAATTTATAGTTTAATTTGATATTATAATACTTAACAAATATAAAAATTTAAAAACCAAGACTGTAGATGGGTAGTATACACCAGTGATTAAAAATTAAACCATACATTTCTAAATAATTTAACTTTATATGCTTGAAATTCTAAATATTCATTAAAACAATTTTTATATTATCTCAGTTTTTGTTAGTCCTCTTTCATTAGCTAACAATACCAATTATACATTTATTCATAAATCGTTTATATTTCTTTTATTATTTTATTTTCTTTCTAATATTTCTTGTTGTTCAGTACTCCAAGTATTAAATGATAAAGTAATGCTATTCTAATAAGCACGCTATTACACGATTCAACATAAATAAAATTTTTTTTGTGTTCTGAAATTGTATAAATTAATTTGAAAATTTTGGAAAAGAGTAAAGTTGGTTTATGTAAAACTGGTTTTCTACAAATAACAAAAATTTCATATCATTATAAATACTTGTAATTATAACATATGATTATTTTTAAATTTATTTGAAAGTAAATTTAAATATTTTTAAATATTTCATTGCAATAATAATTCTGCTTGTATTTTTGTTTTGACAAATAATGTTAAATTATTTATGCAATTCCCTATGTATAGAATGGCAGCCAAATTAAACACAGCTAATGTGGAAAATTTGAATGATAGCATGAAGTCAATTGTGAACGAGTTAGAAGCTAGTTGTTATAAACTAAAATCAATGGAAGGCAATGAGGATTTATATAATCAATTGAACTCTATTATTAAATCATTATCAATTGAAGTAAAAAACAATGAATTTGCCATGCAAATATCAAATATTGAAGAATCTATTAAAAATAAACAACATTTTTACAGAAATAAATTTGGAATTGAGCTTAATGCTTTACCAGAAAATGCACAATTAGAATTCACATCAAATCTTTTACATGAAACGGGTATTGATGATAATGATTACCGATCAAATAATTTGTTTACAAAGTATATGTCAATGATTGAAAAAACTAGAAAACAAAAAGAGATAATTGATGATATCGATGAACATATAAATAATTTAAAAATTGTAATTGAACAACAAAATGATCTTAAGTGTGAATTATCCAATATCACATATACACCTGTTGGTTATACAGCTGAGCCAATTAATATTAATTATATTGAAAGTGTACAGCCTGTTACAAACTGTGATAAAGTTGTGGAGTTAGTAAAAAAAATTCATGACATTGAAAAAAACCAAGCAGATATTTGTGGAAAGATTTTAGAATTAAAAGCAGAACAAAAAAAAGTGTACCATGGATTACCACCAAATATAGACCAAACAATTATGGCTGTTCAAATAGCTGAGCAAACAATGAAATCTATGTCTAAAAAATTGGCTGAAAAACTTACAGATAAATAATTTTGTAATTAATACTTAAATAAAACTAATTTAGGTGAATTTACATTATGGAAATAATCTTAATATTAATTTATATTTTTTATTATTGTTAACATAGGTACTATTAAATGTATGTATTTTATTATTTTACATTAATAAAATAAAATGCTTATATTTTTGCTAAAATAGGAACTTTGTTATCAGTTTAATGTTTATCAATTTCCTGCAAAACAAACCAGACACATATTTCAGTTATCAATTTCAGGACAATTATTTAATCATTTTGAAAGTTATACTTTTTCATTTTTTTAGTTATTGATTCACTATGGATGTTGAAAAAACAACAATGGAATACTTATTTCGCGTAGAAAGACAAGCGGAAAAAATTCTTGTTGATAAAAGTGAAATAATTGCTTTGGATAAAATAAGAAATAATAATCGGATGGCAATCAGATCATTAACAAATTATAAAATACCACAAGCCAAAACATGGATGGCTCTTGGGCCAATTATGGTGAAAGTTTCCCATGAAAATGCTAAAAAATTGTTGGAAGAAGGTATATTTTCATTAATTCATTATTTTAATCAAATGAAATATATATAAATTATTTCCAGAACAAATATCTTTAAATAGCCGTATTAATATACTGCGTAGTGATATAAGAGTAAATGTGAATAAATTAAGAGATTTAGAATATCAAGAACCTGTGAAAGGATTATTTCTAAATCCACTCACTAAAAAAGAAATGGAAGCAATGAATCAAGTCCTTGGTGTAAATAATTAATACTGATTTGGTACAGTAAAATGTTGATAAAAAAATAAAATGATCTATATATATAATAGTAAGGTTTATATGAATATTTTTAAGTGTGGAAATTTTAAATTAAAAAATTTATATTATTAGTAAAACATTATGTAAATTTTTCAATCTGCTTGTTTTAACATATTCAAGACATATTGACAATATTTTATTGACTATTACCATTGATTTTATATACCTGCATTATCTGATAGAATGCTCATAATAATAATTTGTCTCCAAAAATCCTTATGCTCTATGGGCTATTTGTTATAAAATCAATGTAATTACCCATCTGTAAATAAGTTATTAGACAACATTTTAATAGTTTTACTGCAAAAAATCATTCTAGTTCTATTATAACAAAAAAGAGTATAAATCATTTTTTAAGTGTATGTTCATTTTAAAACAATTAATAAAATTGGTATGGAATGTATTATTTTTATTTTATTTTAATAGATAAAAAACAAATAGTATACATTAAATAATTATATCCTGTCTAAATTTTTTTTAAATAAAAATACCAAATTCATATTTTAAAATTTAGTAATAAATTGTACACACATAATATATACTCGTATATATTAAATTTGCATTTTAAGTAATAATAAGTCTGTATAAAATATGATTACGCTTTCAAAATATTATATTTTATAATAAAAATGTTATACTTATCATTTAAAATAAAGTACTTTTATAGATCTTTCAAAAATGTCATTAGATTATATTTTTCTTTTAAAATATGAACCAGTCTTTAATTTCATTCTTCTTCTTTAATACATTTTTCTACTATGTCTCTCAAACTTGGATTTTCCATTGCAGCTGCAACACGTTCTTTGTCATTTATTTGTTTGTTAACTATAAATATAAAATACCAATTATTCATAAATGTAGAAATATTAGTCATATAATAATCTAAATTTTCACAAAAAAAAAAAATTACTTTCTTCTTCAGTTGTGTGTGCACCTTCTTTAATGTATATATCCAATTTAACACTTTCTAAAATAGATCTTATAACTTTTATCCTGATGCTAAGGCCAATTAAAGTGGCTAAACTACAGTGTGGAACTGTAGGATTAAATTCAATTCTTACTGTGTATAATTTCAAGTTTCTTTGCCTAATTACCTGCAATTTAATTTTAGTTCTTAATGGTTAAATAAGCATATAAAATATTACAAACCTTTTAAAGGGATTTTCAATTCAATGTTGAATTAGAGGAAATATTTTGATTTGTTAAAAATAGAACTGAATTCTAACAATAATATTATCAAGGTGGATTTATAAATCTACCTTGATTATTATTACGATAAAAATGTCCTTAATATCTAATAATTTATTTAAATTAATTTTTAAAAACAGTAGTACATTTATGCCAATGATGACTTATGTTAATATGATAGTCCTCCACATTAGAAGAGACCTAAGAACCAATACTCAGTATCCTACATATTTTAGACAACACCTGAATCACAGTTTATGCATTATGGTGAATTAGATGTTATATCAAAAATCCAACAAACAAATAAATTTTAGTGTTATTTTGATGATCCACACAATTGCAGTGTTTTCTTTAATATCTCAATAAAAATAACCTAAATTTGTGTTAAATAGTAAGCGTTGTTATTTATGAAAATGAAAATTGTTGGAGAATTTTATCCCTACTAACGTATAATGTGTGTTAAATATTATGTCAGTAGGTATCTGCACGAGCCTGATTTTTAAATCCCAAGCCCGTCCAATATTTTGTTTACATAGATTTAACCCGGCCCGGCCCAGTTAATCTTAATGAAAAATATACCCGGCCCGGTTCATCTTAATGAAAAATATTACAATGGATTACAAATATTTATTTACATTTATTTCTGATAATCTCTTAAAAATAATATTGCTGAGCAGAAACTCATGATTTTTCTTCGATCACTCAAAATTTGATAAGTGCACTTCTTATTCGGCCCGCGTCCATAGTTGAAATATGATCTTGTAAGCCCATCCCAGCCCAGACAACTCACAAGTGCATACCCAAGCCCGGTTCAGGACCGGGCCAAAATGGGCTGGATCGGGCCGGCCCGGCCCATGCAGGGCTCTAGTAGGTATAGTAATATAGTTATCTAAATATAATGGAAAATTATTTAACTACCTACCTAAGTTAAATCAAATATAAGAAATTATTGTCACGGAAGTAAACCAAATGAAACAATTATTTTAATATACTAACCTCTACACCATTTTCATATACAACATTAAGATCTTCCAGTGTCGCTGGTTTTTCTGGATCCTTAATTGTTCTGATCAGATCTATTTGGTTGAAAACAATATATTAAAATTAAACAAAATCGAATGACCATGATACTGACCAAAAATCTGGTCTTTCATTTCAAGTGCCCTTTCATCGAGTTGTTTATCTGTAACTTCAGTTTCTTCTGTAGTTATATTTCCATCATCATGTTTTAAATACTTTTCTTGTATGATTTTTTTCGTTTGTTGTATGAGATTGGCAAACATCATCAACAAACTGCTTATAGTCAAAATCATGAGCGAATGTTTTTTTTTAACCCTCGGTTTTCATAAAAATTAAAATATTCATACTATAAATGAGTATTTAAGATTTTTAGAACGTTTGGTCTAGTAGAATCGACAATAATATATATAATTGGATATTTCTAAAATAAAAACAGTCAATAACGTTGAAATTAAATTTATCTACCACATAGATAACTATGACCACAAAGTTAGGGTTCATAATATTATCACACTCGATATAATTTTATCTGCTAACTAGTTATCATGCTGAACGACGTTCATTAAGTGATAACGTATTTTGTTTTTGTATTATTAATTACCTATTTTTCGTTATTATGTGATAACAAACAATTAACACTTAATTTTGTTTTTCATTGTCAATTGTAATTGGTACGGAACTATGGAATTGATAAATTTATTTGTATATAATTGTATATCTACAACCTATTATACTATGTACTACTAGTGGACATTAGTATTATTTACGTTTTAATAAAACATTCAATAACCTTAGTCGACATGGGGAATTTTGCAGTTTATCCAATATGTCTATTAAATAATAGTAACAATAGCAACTAATATTGTCTAAAAAATATTTTAATTATACTCTCTACTAATATTTACTACCTAAATATTATTTTACTGGATAGATTCTGTGAATACATTAAATTATTATTATTATTTATTGATAAACACCTCATTGAAGAAAAATAGATATTTTACACTAAAAAGACATAAAGCTAAAATTACAATTAAATTAATACTATATTAAATAAAAATACAGGCTCTATGTTAGGATAGAAGATCAACATGAAAATCAAATCTGACATAAACATTGCATATCCTAAAAATGACATTCTGGATTATTTTAGAAAGAAATAGACCTGGTAAAACGTATTAAAAAATGGTTTATTTCTTAATTTTTAAATAGGTTAAGATCGAAGTAACTCTGATGTAAAGACAAAATCAAGATAATTGAAATTATTAAATTCCCCCACTTTTTTTAAAAATATTTTTCATTCTGTTTTACAAAAGATTTACTTAAACACAAATACACATAATGAGTATAGATTCTAAAAAAAAAAAGGTAATATTAAAATACAAGTATAAATTGTACATATATGTATAATCTATACTCAATAATATTAAATACAAAAAACAATTTTCAATAAAACAATTTTATTATAATTAGAATAAAGCAACAAAATTATATTTGAAAAAAAAAACAAATTCCTTTTAGGCAGATATAATTTTAGACAAAAATAATACAGAAACAAAAAAAAAATTCTTCACATGATCAACATGTGCCCTCTTTTCCAACGTACAACAAATAATTATCACCCTTTGTATAGTTCACAACAAATTGTATTTTATTTAATAAAGAAGTAAACTATTCATATTTTGTATAAATGAGAGGGGCATAAGTAATTGATATACATATTAAAGTTGTAATAAAAGTATACAATCACGACTAATTCAAATATTGACCATGTTTCGTTTTTTTTATATAATTTGCTCTACATATTACATGATTAGCTTGTATCAGGAAATAAACAATTTGTCATGATACTATGAATTGAAAAAAGAAATCCATATATAAACATGTGACGACAAAGTAAAATATGTAATTTTTAGAACTGAAAAATGACCTAATATTAAGAAATATTGAATTACCTTAATGCTAAAGAAAATAAAAATGACAATATCGCATACTAATGCACTTTTACGAGATAAGACATATCACCATGTTTACCCTTAATCTGATACCATTCAAGCAGCCACGTAATTAACAGTGTGATCTTTCTTTAATAAAACTGCTCGATCTCAATGGCTAATAATTTTTGGTTTTTTTTTTTGTTTAATTTGTATAGTTATTTAATTATTATTATTTGTTTTTATTTTTATTTGTAATTGATAATTGACTGCACTGCTAACCCAATTGTGTAGTTTTGTTCATAAAACTCGTTTAGGTTTTGCACGGTCGATAAATCGATTTGTCGTAATAAAAGTGTTTAATGTTTTCAATCCCAAAAGACACTATATCAAGTGCCTTAAACTTTAGTTATTCACACCCACGGTGTCCAGCCTTCATACAGCAATGCCAAATTGTCTGGATTTGTGGCTTCATTGATCACCCAATTTACCTACAATAAGATAAAACAAAATTAGAATGCTCTTATATTTATCATACAAAATTAAAAATATTGAGAATAACAAGAAGATATAAAGAGAAATATCACCATTCTACATGGGCCACTTTCGTTACTTTTTTTTTTTTATTGATTTCAGATTTCCCTTAATTGTATGAAAAAAAACAACATATTATCTAATGGTTGATATAGGTAATTTATATTCGTGTATTCTTCATTTACATTATTTAGGCATTAATAATGAATTGTTTAGTTAAAATAAATACAACTCTGGCAAAAAAAAAAACCATCTGTTTTATTAAAAGGAAATATATGTTTGCCTGTTCGCATTCTACAGCCAAAATCTAACACAAACAGGAGTCTGAAAATTTACCTGCAGCAGATAAATGGAGAAACAGAGTGCATGTTGAAGCTAGATTTGGAAATTTAACCCATAAAAGTTAACTGACATAGGATTTTCAGTATTTTTGTAACAAAAATAAATTTTTTGATTTATGGGTCACCTTGGTGACACAAAAGAAAAAAAATGGATTATTTAATTTGATTGTGAAAGGCATGGAAACAGTTTTTTTTAAAAAAAAAAATGTCAGACAACTGTAAAAATCTCAGTGGTGGAACCAGGGAAACAAGGAGACAGTTAAATTTGTTTTTTTCCCATTCAATAATGTGCATGAATAAGCTTTGTGGGATAGCTAGTTTAATATTATAACACATTAAATAATTTATATTTTTCTTTCTGAAAAACTCAAATTTATATGAAATATTAAAATAAAAATATTATATACTTGTTCAGTAATAGTTGATCTCCGGCCTGGATCTGGATCCCTGCCTTCAAGTTTCATTCTTACACGACGCCAAACACTCACTGCATATGCATTACATTTTTGAACAGCTACAATAAACAATGAACATAGCTAAATTAATTTATAATTATAAGACACAAGAGAAAATGTACTAAATAGCTTGTATAATTTTACCAAAGATGAAATAAATTTTTTAACGCATAACAACAAATTTGTAATAAATCTAATCAGTATCTTGAAAATTACTAGTAGGAAGAGATTCAGGAAACAAAATATAACTAGAAAAGCAATACTAGGACTTTGAATCCTAATAGAAAAATAAATAGCGCATAAAAAGTTATATACTAATCATTCATAGACATGGAAAAAGATTTATGCATTATATTTTCGATAGAGCAAGAAATAGATTTAGGTTTTAAAGAAAAAAAAAATTGTATTCAGGCAGTGGCGTGCCCAGGAATTTTCAATGGGAAGGGATGTAACAAATTAATCATGAAAAGATATTAAAATTGTTTTCCCCACCCAATCAACTATGAGAAATGGTTATTTAAAAACCGAATCCTAAAAAAAAGGCAATGTCTAATCAATATATCAAGCTTTTTCTAGGAAACTGACAGAAATGTATGAATTTATATATTCGGTTACTCATATTTTAATGTATAAGCCAATGGGGGGATATAACCCAAACTTCTTCCCCTGGGCATGCCACTGTATTCAGGTAACCTTTACAAAAATCAAAACTTATTGATACTTGTTTTTACTATTATTGTTCAACTACTATATAGGGATCAACTTAAAAGAATTTTTTATTAGGATCAAAGAGGAAAGTAAATTGACTTAAATGATTTAATTTGCAAACATTGTATGAAATCTAAACACAACCTTCAGAGAGCCTTGATCGATAAGTAAATGGTTATACAAACAAATATCATATGTAAAAATTTAAATTAAATAAAAGGTTTAAGTAAGTGCAAGTTTAAAATTAATATAAATATCTATTTAAAAAACTAACTTATGGAGCAATTAACACATTTTAAGAACTTGTGTAGTACATATGAAGTATATAAGTACGTATGAAATTAAACAGCAAATTAGGCAAGTTAAGTTAAATCAGCTTTCATCAAGAAAACAAAGGATTAGTCCCAGAGAACATAAGCAAAGCAATTAAGAATACATTTATTAACACTTATAATAATGTTTTGTATGACGGTGTTGAATTTGTTTGAAGAAGAAAAAAGATTACTTGAAAAATATGGTGTTGGAGATAAATGTAAAATTGGCAAAATAAGCTGGACAGACAAAGTAATGAAGATAAAATAACTAAAGTCAAAGAAAATGAATCTTATTGAACGCCATAGAGATAAACTAATAGAAATTAAAGAAGCTTGATAAAGATCAAGGAAAAATGAAACTGAACAAAAAAAAGGAAAATAAAAATCAATATTTACTATTAAAAACATAAATACCTTTTCCTGTATGAGGATCTCTAGGTAAACCTTTCCTCGGAGATAAGCAAATACTATCTTGTCGTACTAAAGGTGGACGTTTATGCTGTTTGACTAATAACCCTTTTTCACCCAAGATTGTCAATAAATCATCATACATTGGTGCTAAAAATAAAATCATATATAATTAATACAAAGTTTATTTAATTATCTAATGAATTTGTTTACATGTTTTTTTATGAAGTGATTGTACTGATTCCATCAAAACATTCACTTTTTGTGTAGTTGGTTCATTCATTATAGTTAATTGTTCAACCAATGACACTAAATGGTCTAAATAAGAACAATATTTTGTTACGTAGTTTATACTAGCAGTACCAACATTATCAATCTGAAAATGAAGTTATTCATTAGTGATATTACTAAAAATAGTATTGGGTATAATTAATTGTTCAAAACAAATTAATTAAAGTATACTTAAGAATCAAATATTATATAAAATAGGATATACCCAATTAATAATAGAAAGATATAGATTTATTAAATTAATTGTATTTAAAATTTAAAAAAAAACCATCAGTGATAAATGTTTTACTATTAATTAGGAGATTTACTTTTATCAATGATTTTAGTAATACTCGTATGTCAGAAATTATTTTATTATGTGATGTTAGAGTTGACTTAAGACCATTCAAATGTTCTTTAATTGATTTTTGAATACAAGCAATTTCTGATCTCACTGGTTCTTGGGCAGCTATTAATTGTTGAACGTTATCTAGACAACAAACAAGAAATAAATAAAACAAGTTCCATTATATTACAAATATTGAGTAACAGTGATAATTACAAATAAAACAAAATTTTATAAAGGATTTACCTGAAATTATGCTGACTGTATTGTTTAACCAAGTCCATTCAATAGGTCCTTGAGGAATAGGAACTACTTTAATAAGAGTTTCTTCTTCTGGTGTTATCGATATACCAATATTTGAAGCCATGTAACATGCTTTTTGATAATCTTCTACCAACTATTCAAAATAATATATAAATTATTATTATGTGCATGTTATTTTATAAGTATTAAAATTAAATATAATTGTTTTATTTTTTATTCAAAATAATTATCCTTAAAAATGAATTTTAATATGTATTCTTAATGAACTTCTTATGAACTACTATTAACAATTTGTCACAAAATGATTAGTTATATAGTTATATAAAATAATATAGGTTCATAAATACTTGTAAAAATGAAATATCAGCGGAAATCGCCTCTGAAGTACGAGTAAAAAGTGATTCTGTTTGCAACAAAGAACTAATAACTGTTATTACAGAACTGCATAAATTTTGGCTGTTATCAATCATTAATTTTTCATGTTTCATTCTCTCATCAAAATTATTAGCGATCTATAATATAACATTTTTAGCATTTATATAAAGTCATATTCCATAACTGTATTAAAATTTATAGTTAACTACATTATAATTTATAATTCTATAAGTATTCAATATTTTATACCTCTACAATAGTTGGATTAGCTCCAGAAGCCCATTTTAAACGTTGTTCAACACTAGATTTTAATGAATTTCTGTGTTCCATGTGTTCAATAATTTGAGATTGCATAACTGCCAATGGGGATAATATATTATTCAATTCCATTAAAATTGTAGCTCGATCTGTAGCACACATAAAAAAAATTAAAAATTGAATTCAAATTTTAAATATAACTTTACTCACCTGGAATCAGCAAATTATCTAGATGACCAGCAGCTGGAATTGCATGAAGACAACAATGAGCAGCATATTGTATGGCTAATCTTTGTGTACAAATGTCTGATTGATGAGCTCTAAGTGTTAAATGACTGTGTAATTCAGTTTTTCTCCAGACATCCTCTAACTTAACTAAAGCAGATGTTAAATCCATTGATTGTCCCCGGCTGAATTTACCAACTTTAATTCCTTCTTCCATGCACTTTTTACAAAGTTCTTCTAATGGGACTTTACTATCTGCCCCAATATCTCTTTTCTCTAATTCAGCTATAAATGAAAAATAAAATATATCGAATATAAAAAATTTAACAAATAATAAATCACCTTACCATTGATATTAAATCCAGTGTGTTGTAATAAAATGCAAACATTAATAGCCACTGTATGTGAAAATAGACCCAATAATCGTTTGGTTAAATAATCAGCAACAAAACATCTCACAGGTCTTGATATCATATCTTCATTATAATGAGAACTACTAAGACCTAGTGTATTTCTTCCACCAAAATTAAATGCTATTTCAGCACACATATTAAAAACCTCTTTCATAGTAAGAAGTGACTTTAAAAACATTATGTCATTTAATATAAGACAAGGTCCTTCATCCATAACAGCTCCCTATAGTAAAATTAATAAAATTAATGTAGATTATTTTATTACATATATCTGCTGCTGTAACTTACAAGTAATGATTTTGCTTCCCTAATTTGATCAACAGTTTTCCAAGCTGTGGAAACCTTGAGTTTAGATGACATTTTAATGAAATTTTCATTAGCTAATGAGACATCTTCAAAAAGACCATTGAACCCTATTAAAAGCATCTCTCCTTCAGATAAAATCATATTATCTGGTTTTTTAATTATCTCGGAAAATTGTTTTCGTATTTCTTGTACAACTGTTTGACAATCTTCATTTGGAGACTGAAACATGAATATAGAATATAGTTTTCCTCCATAATGGATAACATCAAAAAGTTAATAAAGGACAAGTTATGATAGTGCATGATGTTTTTAAATAAATTAACTTTTAATATAAAAAAAAAATTAGTTTTTATGTCAACTTTAAAAAACAATAATAATAATAATTACCTTCATTCCCATAATTACATGTCTCAGATGAATGTTGAGTTGTTCAATTAAATCATTAAAATTTAATGAACAATTGTTTATTACATTATTCAGCTCACTAATAATAGCTATTGTACTTGCCTCTTCAACACACAATTTCTTAATGGTTTCCGGCATAATAATATCCAAAAAATTATAATTCATTTTCTAAAATATTATAAAGCACAGAAATAAATATTTAGCATTTTCTATTTATATCACAAAATAAATTAACAAAAATCATGAAAATATAATTATATTTATAATTTATATATAAATAAAAATAGAAATTGTATGTATATATAACCTTGATTTTCTCTACAACTACTGACTGTAATTCATTGATGGTTGTGTGTGTGTGTGTGTGTGTGTAGTCTAATATCTTCCAATATTAATAAGAGAGTTTGGTCATAGTAGGTTTAGAAGACAAGGTGCTATATGCACTGAATTAGATGAAAATGCAGCTATTTATTATGTATCTATGGTGTTAAAATTGCACGATTATCTAATATATAACTTATGGTCTACCTATTCCAAATAAAAATAAATATTAATTATTAAAATGCGGGTAATATGATAAGATGACCTAAAAACCACAAACAAATGCACGAAAAAAAATGCATAAAAATGATAAAAAATGATTTGGACTATTTAAACTGTGAAAATTAGAAGAAGTTAAATTACAAACAATTAACAGGAAAATACATAATATAATAAAATATTTTTTATAGAAATGTTTTCTTATCATTAAAGGAAAACACAAATAAAATATTGCAGGTTTTTGTTAGGATAATATTATGAACCAATTAGTGCTGGCGACAGTACTAAATATAAACATACATTCCATTATTATTTTCTTTATTATCTATGGGTTAAACATATTATTATATCTATCTGGAAACTGATTTCAAGGATGATTTTAGTTTTACATTTTTTTTTTTTTAATTTGAATTTAAGAAATTAATATAAGATGTTTATGTAGTACAGCTCAAACTTACAATGTTTAAACAAAAATAAGGTACTTATACCTACTCAAAGTAGAAAAATGCTTAAAATGTACTATAATAGCTAAAAAAAAATGACTTAAAAGCCAAGAATTATCAAAAAAATGCAAAATAAAATTTGTACCATTGAATTTTGTGTGACAAGTCAAATTTCTAAAAAAGATGAGCCTCGAATATAAGTATTAGAAAAAAGATGCAAATGCATCAAGTTCCGGGCCTTAAATATATTACACTAGTGGAACAGTAATGGATTAACTTAATTTTGTAGTAAACAGAACTATAATCCACATACATCATTCATGATGAATAAATAAGTAATATAATAATTTATAACCATACCTGTAAGCTACAATAAAGATTTTGAATAGCACGCAAGCAATTGAAAGCATAAGCTATATCAGAATCAGATTGAATATTATCATTATCAGTTAAAACTGAAGACACCATTCTAACAGCAACAGTGGTAGTCATATACATATCAACTAAAACCCATTCTCCTTCTTTGGACATCATATCTAATAATTGTGTGCCTGCATCTAAATATTCCAATTATAATTAACTAATTCATAACACATTGTTTGTTTTCATGATAAACTTACTTGATGCAGAAGTTTCCAGCATTAAAAACTTTTTATTTATTGTGCATAAAGCAGTAGCGATAACAAATTCTAAGCCTTCATTTGAGTTATCATTCAGTTTAATTAGGGAATTTTCATTATTTAACAATGAACATGTTACTTCTTCTGCATCTATTATTCTAATTCGTTCTACAATTTTGGTTGTTCGATGACTAGCTTCTATAGCTGCTTGCTGTAGTTGTATATTATATGCCAATGTTTGTGGTGTTGGAGGCTCAGCATTAGGAACACCCAAATAAAATATTTTATGTTCCTCTTTGATTTGTTCACACATAGATGTGGTTGGACAATCCATTAACAATTGTAACCACTGTCTATAATATGTGAGTCGGTGATTGCGTACATGCGATTTTGGAAAAAAATTCATCAAACATTGCATATCATACAGCAACCTTAAACTTAGAGTGAGTAATTTGCTTCTTTGATGGCATAAAAGAGTTAAATCATTGTTTGATTGTGTACACTGAAAAAAATTATTTATTTATAATTTATAAATGTTATACAAAAAAAAAAACAATATAATTATATCTTAACATCTTATTTTTTTTTATTTTTAGGAATTTATTATAAGTTAGATTTTAGAATGTATTGGTTGTATTGGTTGCATAATGATGTTTATTTTTTTATTTCCTGTGGATAACTTTTCTTTCAGAAATTTTGCTTAGATTTACAATGACAGCACTTTTTCTGAAAATAAATCTGACTGAGAAAATATTTTAGAGATAATTTTTTGATTTCCCCAGTGTGTTTATTCTAAAAAATGGCAAAAACTAAGAAAAATGTAAAACCGAAAAGAAACAAATGGGAAAATAGGTAAATATTAAATAAATATTATTAAAGAAAATAAATAATGCATATGTTACCATATTATTTTACCATAATATCACATATATATTGTAGAAAAAACCAACACTATCAACCTTTTTATTCAATTTAGTCAATTTATATCTACTGTTAAACAACTTTGGGGTTCATTAAATTAAGCTAAATTATGTTAATTTTGATTTTTACATAAAAATAAAATAAATACTAATTTTGTAAAAGTCTAATGATTATATTAAATATTACTTGTTCAATCAGAGCTGGTTGACCAGCATTTTGTAAAAAATCTTTCACATCATCCAACAAAAGATTATTAAACACTTGAATAGATTTTGATTTTTCTTTATCAATTAAAATCCGAATTTGACTACTTCCCAGAAAATGCACAGCCATGTCATACTGAGACAACCGTGAGTCACAGTCTTCAACTTTTTGTCTTAGTGACATAGTTGCTCCAATCATCATATTTTGAGCTTGCTGTAATGCATAGTACCGTTCTGGTAACTTGTATAGTGGATGCTGACCAGCTGGTGATGCTTCAGCTTCCTTAACTAAAGCCATTAGTTGATGACTTTCTGCTAAACCTTCTTCCATTTTTTGCAATTTTTCTCTTTCTGACAAAAACTTATTAAAACTTTCTATAATATTGGCCAATGATTCCAGCATATTATCTCTAAAAGAATTTGTTTGCATTAAAATTACTTGTATATATATTTATGTATAATAATTACCTATTATTTAACCAGTCATATTTGGTTTCTGTGATACGCACATTAAGCATTGCCAATGTAATTTCTTTTTCTAACTGTCTTCTATTTAATCTATTTTCCATTACAAGTGTGCGCCCTCCACCATAAACAGCACCTGTGTATCCAGTTTCATTACCGGGAGTCCAATCAATAAGAGGATCATATACAAAAGCTTCCAATAATGTTAACAATGTTTCTTTATTTTTTCTCAACACTTTCATTACTTGTTCACATGTCAAACGGAATTTACCCTGTTTAAATAATAATAATTTAATATAATACAAGGAAAAACAATAAATATATATTTACCTCAATTCCTGTAACTCCAAGAGCTTCTTTTAAGTTTGGAGTTAATCTGAAAGGAACTTTCTCAGGAACACGTAATGTTTTACCTTTCTCAAAACAGACATTGTAATCAATGTGTACAACCTGGTAATATAAATATATATATATATATATATATATTATATACATTATTAAATTATTTATTGTTCATTCTTAATGAGTAGTAATCAGTAATTCTATGAGAAATGGCAAGTATTTTTAGTTTACACAACAAATTAAAACTTATAGAAATATACTATCTAAAATAAGCTAAATATTTTATTTTGTGTTTTATAAAATAGATTAGGGCTTAGTATGAAACTTTTAAGAAAATAAATATAACTTCAAGATATTAGTTTAAATAAAATACTATAAAATCAGATTAACTGTAGAGAATTCATTATAAAATAACATTTTATGTTGGCTATTTGTTTTTTAAATAAAACTATTTAAGTAATTTAAATTTATACTAAAGATATCCATGATATAATAAAACTTCTTTACTTGGCGAATAACATCAAAAAGGTTTTAAAACACTGTTAAAGATATTTATTAAAGCATTATTCAATGGTGTATAGGGAATTCAAACCCAGGCCCTAGTAAATGCTGAAATTTAATTTAAAAATAAATAAATACAAACCTCTCCAGTTTGTAAATTAACAAGTACATTATCTAAATGCCTGTCACCCAGACCTATAATGTACCCAATAACAGACATAACAGCCAAAGATGTAGCATATAATGATGTGGATTGCCACCAAGAACCAGAATCAACACTTTGTGTCCATAACTCACTAAAAAAATTGTAGTAGATTTTAATTGTAAATTTACATTTGATTACAAACAAAAAACAATTTAAATTTATTATATGTACTTTGAAAGCAAATTCTTTGGGGTTTCATTCATCAAAGTAATTAATACATCTTTTAGAGTGCTTAGTGGCCACTCTTTTCGATTTTCCATATTGATAATTCCTTTTTCTTTTAACAGCGGTGATAATTTGGAATTGAATAATTCTGAAGGGCGCATAATTACACCTATGGTAAAATAAACATAAGATTTTTAATTAAAAAGAAATGTACAATTAATCTTAATTAACTAGTATTTAATCTATTTACCATCACTGTTTGAAGCTTGTCTTTGTTGCCATCTCTTGTACAACATAAATATAGGAACAACACCATCTACCCAAGATATTAAACCAGATCTTGGTCCTAATGGTATGACAGGATAATGATGAGCTCTATAATGGTCTGAGGAACCACTAAGCAATGTATTTGTGATACATAAAAGTTGCATAATTCGTTCGTCTAAGTGAAGATCTTCTAAGCCTTTAAACAAGTAAGTGTATGCTTTGCCATCAGATCCATAGAATATTAATTTCTTTGGTTTAGTAAATGTAGGTAAAATGGCCACATTATTATGAATAGAAGCAACTGTTACAACTCGTTCAACTCCTGGCATAGCAATTTTTGTGTCCTTCAAATTAGCAAGGACAGGGCTAATTGTTTCCATTTTTAAAGAATATGAACCTCTTTTGCTTATACGAGATTGAAGATTCATTTGCAAATTTTTAATTGATTTCCATACTTCTTGTACATTAATGCTGCTAGAATCTGCAGGTCTTCGCAATTTATCCAACATGTAATTAATATATGCTCCTAAATTTCAAATTACATAAATAAATACAAATTATTAGAAATACATCAAATAATAAATAATTACCAAACTTTTCTTGAAACCATTCTTCATGAGGTGTTTCAGCTTTAACAGAAGTAATTGCATGTAGTTGTTCAAATATAAAAAGAATCTACAAAAGGTATATTTTAAAAATAATTTTTTTAAAAGAATGATAAAAATAAATTATATTACTGGTTTAAGTAGCATAGTATATTTTTCAACAGCAATATGATCTTTTTCAATATCTGTAAGATGTGGATGATTTTCAGTTTTATTTAATTCAGCTTCCAATTGATTAATACGTCTACTTATGTCTGTTTGACGCTGCACTAATGTTCCTAACCATAGTTCATCCCACAGCAAGGTAATTCGTCTTAATTCAGATACCAAAATTCGTACTTCAGAAATCATTTCACCTGCCTAAACATAAAATACATTTTTTTTTATAAAAAAAATGTCACAAACAACTGCATCTTAATGATAATAAGTGTTATAGATTGGTACTGCGATTAAGTTTTAGTTTTATGGATTGTTTAAAATGTTCTCAATAGAACACCCAGTAAAACATCATCAGCAACACACTATAGGTCTCTAGACACACCTAAAATGCACTTATCCCCCCCCTCAAGTGAGTTTGCAAAAAGTATTTTCTGGAACTTGTGATTTCTGGGATAACATGTATGTACCACCACTAGACTAAGACAGTCATGCTATAAAATTGACAATATTAAATAATTTAACATAACAAATAAAATATTCGCATATCAGAACTTCAAAAAGCTATAATTTTGAAACTAAGTCAGACTGCTCAGTTCTGACTTCACTATTGTTCTTAAAAACACAAATATTTAATACAAAAAAAAAAAAAAAATTTAAAAAATTAACATTTATTCCACAAAGTTTTTACTCAAATTATTTTAGTCAAAATTTGATGATTAGGTATAAAGGGGAAAATGTCTTCATAAAAAAAAATACTACATTAAACTCAATTTTTTTGTTTTACCACAAAGTATGACTTTTAATGAACCTTTTGATAAATTGTCAAACATTTCTATCAAATCTAACAATGTTATCCACGAAATACCTACCAAATAAAACTATCAAAATCTAAAATGTCCATAAATAACTCAAATATTTTTAAAATTTTACCTCGTCTTGATAGGCAAATACAAGTTTTTTATCCAAATTTCAAAATCTCAAAAAATATTTTTAACTGGATTACAATGAAACATAAAATTGAAAATAAATAAAAGCAATATATTTGTAAAATTTTCCATTTTTCTTTAGTTTTATCTCAGGTTTTCCCAAATATTATGAAAACCACTTGGAAATTAAACAAATGACTTTAATAAAATATCATCTAGACAAAATTTTATTTCAGAAAAGATGCCACATTTACAGATCTAAAAAAAATGTATAGTAGAAATTGTTGACACAAAAAAGTTAGAAAAAAAAAAAAAAAAAATAAACATTGCAAAACCAATATTCTTTGTTATACTCAGAATCTAAAATATTAGGTTCATACTTAAATTCTCATTTATTTTTACATGTATTGTCATTATGGCACTTGATTTCCATTAAAAATTGAAATATTGACCAGTATTATGTTTCTTAACTTTAAAAACATTATTTAAATGATCACTGAATTTATTTTTTATTTTTACAATATGTATACTCTAAATTGAATACACCAACGTTTAGAAAAGTACTAACGTACAAAATTGTGAAAAGTTATCTGGCTAAAAATTATAATAATGTGGCCAGATTACCTGCTAATTAAATAATACTTTCCTAATGCTTAAAAATTGATATTGTCTATCTACTTATTATATTTAGTAGGTAGATACTGAAATAAATTTATACATTTAAGATGATGTATTATAAATTGTACATAACAGCAGCACTAATTTTAGCATTATATACAATAGCTAGACATTGTATTAAAATGACTAGTCTATATGAGAAATACATTTTTCAAATTTACATTGCCCAAATTTCATTGCATAGTGTTTACATTGAACTCTTTCTCTACTTGGACCATAGCATATATACCTGTTTTGATAATGTATTGACCATTGAATGAAAACAATCTTCTAAAACCATAGCCTGTTCATCTTGTCCAATTTTCAATTCATCATCGTCTTCTTCATTACAATCAAATTCTTCATGCACTAAATTTGTTTCATCTCCAATATCTTTACTAGATTTCAACAAACTTGAAGAAGGCATTTCATTTATAGTCCTAAGACCAGTATCAGATCCCACAACTGCAGGGAATGTAATTAAATGGGGCACATCACTAGCTAATCGACAGAGTAATTCAGACACAGTGCGTCTAACATAAGGTTCAGGATGAGAAAGTCTAGAAAATAGTTGAGGTATAATAGAACGCCATGGTTGGGTTGGAGTATTACTTAATCCTTCTTCTAATGAACCCTGTAGTTCAAGAGCATGTTTAACAGTAAGGCGTAATAAACGCAATGTCGCTGCAATTGACTCCTCCTAAATAGTAAGACATAGAATTAATAACCAAAAATTTATTATTCAATATGATAATATTAAAAAATAATATAATTTTTGTTTAGTACAATATATTAGTTTAAATTTTCCATTAATAATTGAAAAATATTCTTTTAATTTAATGTTTACCTAGCTGATTTAATAGTACAAAGTATACTAGAATCGGTAATGGGTAATATTAACAATAAGGACAGTAATCAAAAAGATATTTTATTTGGCATCTTCTATCTTGTATTTTTTTTAATATTGACCTTATGATTATACTGTTGATTATATATCTATAATAGTTATTGACAAATTCTAGTTAGAATATAAAAAATTCTACTTATAATATGTTTGTTGTTTTATGATTTCCATGGTGACCGGTCAAAATATCTCCGCAAAAATATGTCCAGATAAGAATATCTCCAGTAAAAAATATCTCACAAAAAATAATAACTATTTACAATATTAGTATTGTATAGCATTATCTGAAATATATTTTACGATTACGAAAATATGAATACATTTTCCTGCAGGCAATAATAACATGATAAATTAAGACAAACAATTTTATCAACATTCCACCAAACACTCTTAAGAGTTAAATTTAATACATGTCTATTTTTCCATCACAGTTGACTGAAATATTTTAGTTTATGTATATCACTATATGGCTGGGATATTATTACTAATAGAAATAGATTTTCTATTAAAATATTAAATATAAGGAGGGTTAATATTTTTAACTTTTAAACATTAAAAACTTATAACTTGAGTGATACAATACAGTGAGAGTTAATAATAATTATTTTTTAAAATATTTATTTAATTTTTGTTCATTCAAATTTTTTTTTTTTTTAAAAGGATTGCTTTCTAAAATTAATTGGTTATAAAAAATATTCACATAAATCCTAGAAATTTTTTTCAGGAGATAATTTATCTATAAGAAATATTCCCATTAGATATTTTGTTAGAGATATTTCTTTTATGGGAGATATTCTTAATTGGAGATGTTTTGTTAAAAATATTTTGATCGGACATATTTTGACCTAGAACTATTTTCCATGTAGTTCTCTTAATCATTTATTAAAACTGAGAAAAAATGCAGAAAAACTGGAAAGTTTACAGAAAATAATTAATGGTTTCATAATTTTTAATTTTATTTTTTTGGGAAGTATTAAATGTACATAAGTGTTTAAATAAAAATGCTTAAAAATTTAACAGGAGATTTATTATAAATTGTTATTGCGGTAAAAAATAGAGTGTGATTATAGTTAACTTTTTTTATATTGGTTTTAACTTTTAAGAACAAATTTTGATAAATATATTGGATATTACAGCCTTTCAAATCATGTATAACTTCGAGCATAGTTTTTTGTTGGCAATAGTTAATTACTGCTTACATATATAAATTAAATAACCTTATACATCATAACTACAATAATAGCCCACACACAAACAGTATCTACTCTTTTTTTCCTTTTTTTTGAGATAATTTAGAAGTCCAAAACAATTATACCAAAATGAGAAAATTAACAGTTTTTCCAATTTATTAGGAAAACTTAGAGAAAAATCAAAACATGACCCTAATAATGCACTAACCAGATCAATATTGCTACAAGAAAGTTCCTGTAAAGTTTTTAACTAGAGCAAGATTTCTGGTAAAAAACATAAAAATAATAAACTAATAATATACATTCCCCCTTCATTTAAAATCTAAAATTAAAAAGGTATAGTAATATTAATTCATATTAGTGGAATTATTTAATGGTAATTATATTATATGTGTGAACATTAAAAATTGCTAATTGTGTTTAATATTACATATTATATTTTTGTTTACCTGGTGATTATCACACAACTGTAAAAATTTAAAATAAGCTTGTGCTGATAGTTGATAATAACCATAAATCCTTGAATGTGATTTTCTCCACCAATCAATTAATCCTGATAATTCTTTTTCTTCAAAGTGTAAAACATTTTGTAATTGATATTCTAGAGTTTCGGTAGTATAAATGTGTTCACTCTGAAATCCATAAATAAATAGAATATTTAGATACAATTAGAAATACCAGGAAAAAAACATCACTATAATATTTACAGAGTATTTATATGTCATTGTTTTATTATTTAAATATTAAATAGAAACAGTAATTATTATTAACAAATATTATTCATAATCTATATTAAAAAAGAGAAGATTAACTTTTTTAGAAAAAAAAAGAAAATATTTTAAATCTTTAAATTATTTAAATGTATACTATAAATGTCATACTCCAATATCATCATCATCTTGTGGCGATGATGTAACTACATTAAGAATAGCATATATTTTGTCACGATCTTCTTGAGTAGCATTTAGAGGAATATAAGCATCTACTGTAGCCATTTCCGAATCATTTAACAAATATGTATTTCGTTTGTAAGCTTCATCAACCACTTTACGACCTAATTTGTAACACCAGCCTGCTAATTCATTCCATGCTTTTGCCATTGATGGACAATAAGAAACTGAAATTCTTAAAAGTTGACCAATCATCAATGTCTGTTCATCCAAATCACTTGCTGGTGTATAATCAGATTCTGTAGCATTAACAAATATATAAATTTAACATTATTAAATAATATAAATTAATATATATATCCATTGTGAACTATGTATAAATTATCTTTATAATAAATCATACTTATGACTTCTCGAATTAATTGGCTAGTTTTAGATAAATCTCCATTTGAAAAATTCAATAAAATTTCAGATTTGTCAATTGATGATTTAATAAGAGTTTTATCAGGAATATTATTTCCACAATTTAACCATTTTCCTAGTGTAATTAAAATTCTAGAACTATCTTCTTTAAGATTGTTGTCATTGCATAATCGAGCTTGTTCTAATAACTTAAATACAGATTTCATGCACATCTCTATGCCCAATTCTTGAGACACACAGCTAAAATATTTAAAATTCACTAATTATTTGGCAAGTACTATGTTTGAATTTATTTACTGATGAATAAGTTTGGAGAACTGTCGCACAACTAAAGCATGATTTTTTGGCCACAATGCTGCATTAGTGTCATCAACAAGGAGTTCTCCAATTTTTTGTAGCATACACAAAATAGAATCAGATTTGTTTCCCATAGAAGGTAAGTTTATAAAATCATATGCTCTATTTGATCGCAAATATTGAAGCATTCCTCGTGTAGCAAGATTTACATTACCTTCTTTTCGAGCAACATGAGCCAACTATAAATAAAAAAAATATTTGAAGTGTTCATTTGGAATAAATCTTATTTTAAATCTTACCTTTAAGTATAATATTGATAAATCAGGTTTTGGTTTAATAATTTGTTTAATATTATGTTCATAATTATCTGACTGATTTTCGAGAAGTTTAGTCCAAAATAATGCCTGAGATAATAAGTTAGATTTTATTGATTTATTACTTATGTCATTAACCTGATAAAATAATAGAAATATACAATTATTTCTTTGAAATAACAAAATCAAAATGGATTCTAATAAAACATACTAAATCAAATTTAATATTATTGTTTTCTAGAATAGAGTTAATTGCATAAGATAGTATAGACAATTCTTGTGTATACTCCAAAAGACTATCCGTTAGACTTTCTTTTAGAAGATTGTGTACTACTTCTTGGCAATCTTCAACAATCAATTTGTTTTCACTAAAAAGAAAAATACAATATGTTAAAAAAAAAATTGTTTTACATTTATATCATGCAAGTAATCATACTTATTTAATCTTCCTTTAGAAATATTTGTTTTCAAAGCAACATACATCATTCTACTTTTAATTTGGTTTATAAGATCATAACAATTCCAATTTGTTTTAATTATTTTTGAATTTTCTTCAATTGACCAATTAACTAAATTATCAATGCAGCTATAATTTCCTTCTTCAACATCATTAATGATTTGTAGATTATTAGAAGAAACATATCTCTAAATTAAGTATAAATGAAATAAAATAAATAATGTAGAGTAATCGAGAATATATTAATATCTATATTATAATTATACACTAAATAATTACGTTTTGCCAAAAATATTTGTCTTTTGTATTTGATGATATAAAGTTTTCTTCGTTCTGGGACCAATCCATTAATGGTTTCCAATCACAAATGGACACATAACATTCCTTTAACTGCAAATAATATTAATGTTAGATAATAAAACAATTTTATATTTTTTTAAAAAAAATTGACAACCATCATAAAATACACAACTGGAGTGAATAAAATCACAGCAGAAGTAGTACAAATTTTTAATGAAGACACAAAAATCCCCTATTTAATATTCCGACTAAATTCTATGAATACTGTGCATTCTCAGCTGATTTTACTCTTAGTAAAACAATCATTTAACTAAAAAAAGGAAACTCTACTGTATTGATCTATTCTAATTGCTTGGACACAACACTAACAAAACTCAGTATTAAAATCAATATAAAAAAAATAAGTGCTTGTAGCAAGACAATCCACCAAATAAACAAGTAAAGGAATCTAGTAAGCTATCTAAGAAAGCCTAATTACAGAAGATAACAGATCAACAAAGGAAGTTAAGAAAATAATAGCTTTAGCAAAACGAGGATTCAAAAAGAAGAGATCTCTATTGACAAATAAGAACTTAAGCATTAAAACTAGGAAGAGTTTTAAGTTTGACTACAACTAGACCTTGCCTCTCCAAGACTTCTCCAAAACAATAAAAATATGACTACTCATTTATTGTGGCCTCTTGGAAATTATAAGGTGATAAAGAAGAAATTAAATTATTGTCGGGTTAATATAATGTGCTATTTAAGGTTAGTCTATTTATTATCTTTTGATATTTTTAATTAAATACAGATAATAATCTTATAACATTTCTTATGACTAAATAAACAGTCAATTAATTATCAGTTAAACTTGTATATAAATAATATTATGTAATGAATATTTCTATTACAGTAAGATTATATGGTAAATACATTTTGGTTTGATTAGTCATTATTTTAAAAATATGATAAATTCAGTTGGACAAATTATCAGTTATTATTGATGAATTAACATTACATCAATGCATATTTTACTTATCAAAAATTAATATTTAGTTACTTGTTCAGCAGTAAATTTTTGTAAAACCTCTACAGGACCTTCAATATTATTTAGTGTACCACCTTTGAGATTTATAATTATTTTATCTGGACTTGCAGTAAGTAATTGCATGTACGATTCAGCAGCTTCTTCAAATCTACACAAATATAACATTTATATAAATAAAATAATGTGATTATTATTTCAAACTTACTTTCCACTGGCTTGATCAGCAAGTATATTCAAAAATGGAAGTTTTAGATGAGCAACTTCTTTAGACCATACATATAGTCCACGGATACAATCTGATTCTTTTAATTTACAATAAGCCCAAGATAGTTGAATGATTGCTAAAATAAATTCTTTAATTGGAAAATCAGTTTGATTCGTTAAATTTTGAACCAAAAATTGACCATGACGAATAGCTGAAGAGCTTAAACCAGAATTTAATGACACAGCCAGCATTGCACTGCGTATTGTTGAAGTCCATTCATAACAAGTATTACGATTTGTGTGAAAAAAATGTCTAACAGGCTATAAAATAAATATATAATATATAAATATACTATCTAATTAATTAACTAAATGATTAATTATTTATAAACGATATGTAAAAAATAAAAATTGTGGTAAACTATTAATTGACTAATGAACATCAAAAACTATGAATAACTTTTTATTCATTTTAATAAATAAAGTAGACACCACTTATAAAGCTCACTTTTGAACCAGCACAAAGCGAGTATTATAACCCAATGAATCTTATAGAAAGGTGGTGGAAAGAAAAACAAATATTTTAATTATTTATTAATTTTATTTTACTATTTTGCTTTTCCTTTAATCTACTTTAATATTACATATGAATTATTAAATAAATTAAATCAGATAATACAGTTTTATATTTTAATTTTCCATATAGACAAAATATATATTATATATAGACCAAGTAATCGGAAATACATTTATACCTCACACTACAATAATGATAAATGTGAAATGCAATAAAATTTGTTATATCTAACAATACATATTATAAAGCATGAATTCCAATTTCTTTAAAGTTCCAACCTAACACATGTTCCAAGTTAAATCTTAAACTTTAAAATAACAAATTTAATAAGATAATAATAAATAATAAATTGCTTACTTTCTGGGCAGTTGGTAAAGCAGTCGCAGTACCATCAATGGCATTACAAACAGATTTTTCTAAACATTCTATGAATGTTACTAAATTTCTAGTATATCTTAAATTATTTAATTCACCTTCTGTAGTTTTAACTTTTGTATCATCATTTAATGTTGATATTGAATCACGTGCCCAAGATTTTATACCACCTAAAAATATTTGAAAAACACTTGTATTATAAGTTTTACTAGTGATAGAAATAGTTAAAATATGTTTTAAAATACCTTCAATTGCTCTAAAAGTAGAATTTGGTTTTCCAAATGGTGTACGCAATCGATTTGTAACACAAAAATTTGCTGCTTCCCAGTTAATCCAAAAATATAATAAAACACGACAATGTTGTGCATAAGACAATAATTCAGTCTCGCTGCTATCAGTGTCAGATGAACAACTGTTCAATACATCCAATAACCAGTGATTAGATGAATTACTAGAAAAACAAAAACCCATTTAATTAGTTTGTTCTTTTAAATAAAATATAGAAAAATGTATCAATTTCAACTTACTTATTACTACTAGGTTCAATTAATTCACACATATAATTTTTGAAACATTCAGTTTGTAATGTAACAACAGTTTTTCGTCTCATATGAGAACTCATCATGAGTTTAATTTTTTTATTAAATTTGTTCTTAATATTCTATTAAAAAAAGTACATAAAAGTTTAAAAAAACAATATATATACGCTGCTCCATGGATAGACCATAATAGGTGGAAAGTTTGAAAGGTATAAGACATAAGGTAATTTAATTTACACACTGAAAGCAACAATAAATCACTGCAATCAAAAACTGATTCTGAATAGTAGTATTAGTAGCATTTTTCCACTTTTGTAATTAACTCCCAATGATCAACAAAGATACTGATTTGTATACATTCGTAATCAATTTATTTTTTAATTTGATAGAAAACTGTTGAAAATCTAGAAATTAATGTTTACTACTTTTAAGGTACATAATGAAAGAGTTAATGATTCCTATTGAAAAAAAAAACGCATAATCTTATCTTATATAATAATTATACTGATAAAACTAATAGCCTCTTTTGCTATATTCAAGTTCTAAAGGATTAGTAATCCTTGATGAGAAATCCATTATCTCAGGAAATATTAATTTATTTTTGAAATTTTAATTATTAGCACTATTCAAACACCGCAAAACATGCCGCTATATAGATGATGTGAACTTATTTCTTCTACCATAACTTAAAAGTGTAATATGTCAACAACGGGTTTACAAAAATGTTAAAACTGTTTTAACTAAATTTAAAAAAGATGTCCTAGGATAATGGGGTCGAGTGCAGCCACTGTATAAATAATTTAATGTACACCTATAACAACGTACACCTATATAACAATGATAAACCATTGCTAATGGTTCTGAGCAGAGTTCAATTGATAGTGCTGCTTTTTCAACAATATATATGTCATTCCAATTATTCTAATTACAAAATTTAAATGAATCCCATTTTCCTACATTTTTCCTCAATTTTTTTTCAGTTTTTCACATTTGTTGAAAAAACTCCTGAGAAAATTAAAAATGACCTTTCTAAAATTTCCTCCAACCCCCAGGATGACAAGAGACATGTGTAACTATATGATTATGACAAATATTCTTTAAAAAAATATAGTTGTTTATCAAAGCATATAATATCTGCATAATATCAGAACTTTAAAAAACTATAATTTCAAAAAATCAGTCTGCTTAATTCTGACTAATAATGAAGTCGTTCTTAAATTGGCAATATACATATGTTCAATAAAAAGAAATTAAAAAATTAGATTTGTTCCATATAATTTTTCAATCTAGCGTTTTTGGTAAAATTTGATATTAAACTTGCCCTTTATAAAAAAAAAAATTCTATTAAATTCAAATTTTTTTTACCACAGACTTAAAGAATCTCTTGTTAAATTTTCATTTCAAAAATTTTACCACACAGTACCTACAGAATAAAAATTACATATATAAAATTCGAAAAACTAAAATGTCTATAAATAGCTCAAAAACAGTTTTTATAATTTTTTTAAATTTTACTACGTTTAAAAAAATCAAATATAAATTTTCAGTCCAAATTTTAAGTACATAAAGTCGATACGAATAACTTTAACTGAATCACAACAAATAAAAAAATTGAAAAATAATAGAAGCATTATTTTCATAAATTTTCATTAAGTTTTATCTTGGTTTTTCCCAAATATTATGAAAACCGCTTGGAAAATCAAAAAATTAATTCCCAAAAGTATCATTTGGGAAGCATTCCCTTCCAGAAATGGTGCATAAAAACAACTAAGTAAATGACATATATTCTACGCTACAATCAGAATCTAAAATCGTAATATTTTCCCGTTTGAAAACTTTTGAAAAAATCGCTACTAACGGATTTCCTTTCAAAAAAGGTGCTGCACATAAGCAAGATCTCGGGTAGAAAAACTGTCCATAGAAAACAAAATAAACATCTTTGTAAAACCACAAGCTTCTTTGCTTCACTTAAAATCTAAAATTAATTACAATAATTATGAAATTATCATTAAATTCTGAATAGAGCGAAAGACTTATTGGTTTTACAAAGATATTTTCCTTTTTTTTTTTTAATGTGAATATTTTTTCTACCTGAAAAGTTTACAATGATGTATACGGTGTAGACTATTATTTGAAACAAAATTTTCTTGGGGTGGTACTTTAGGGAGGCCGTTATATGATTTTCTTAGGAGTTTCCTCATCAAATGTGAAAAATCAAAAAAAAAAAAAAAAAAAAAAAAAAAAAAAAAAAAAATTGGTACAATTTTTAACAAATTATGTAATGCCTATTTAATTATTTTACCATAATGTAACATATATATTGCTGACAAAGCATCACCATCAACTGAACTGCCCTCAAATCGTTTTTTTTCGTTAGCAATGATTTATCATTGCTTACAGATATACATTAAATTCTTGTCTGTACACTACAACAGTGACTGCACCTATCCCCTTTATTTTAAAACAGCTTTTTATTAATCAATTATCAATATATTTGTTTGATATAGGTTCATCTCACACCAAAGCACAGATATATTTCTTATTGAATAGTAATAATAATAAAAATAATAATTAGGAAGGTTATTCAAAATATTATTAACTGTAAGTTAATAAGTTATAATATTTAAATAGTCCATTTAACTTTAAGTAATATTAAGATATAACATGAAAAATTACTTACTAATGAACAAATTGATAAATTATGTATTACGGTAATCAATGATATTTTATGGATAATGGCATAGAATCGCTTGCTAATTTCTTTTTCTGTTAGATTAATACATGATAGACATAAATTTAATATGTCCAATACTAAAAGAGGCTGTAAAAACAAATCTAGATTAATTATAATCATCATTTAATATTTTTGATAATTATGCAGTTACCTTTGATTGACAAAATGTAGAATTTCCAATAATTACATCTAATATTTGGGCTATGCCCTCAAATAATACAATTTCATAACGTTTTAATGCTACATACAATAAGGATTGCACAATATTGATCATTTCTTGAGATAATAATATTATGCTTAAGTAACTGACACTATCAGCATGCATTAGTAATTCATATATCCATTTCAAAACCAAAAGTTTACAATCTACATTCACACTCTGAAAATATAAACTTTGTTTAATTTATGTTTTTTTCATCATTTGTAAAAAATGTTGAATACCATTTTCAAATATTTTTCAAACATTTTTAAAACTTTTGTAAGATTTTCACTTTTGTGTAAATTTATTTCTACATTTTTTTTAGACATTTCAGATGATCGTACAGCTGTCACTAATCTACTACTTGCAACAAAATTATTATGCCTATAAAAGAGAAACTGCTATTAATAATCAGTAAAAAACTTACAATAGTAGTAAATAACATTAATAATTAATAATTTCTTTGTTTATTAGTATTATTAATAATTATTTATTACTATTAATAGTTAAACTAGGAACATGGACTTAGATTTCTTATGAAGTAAAACACTATGATAGTTTGTTTTATATGGTATTAACTTCTAACCTAAAGAATATATCTATGAATAATATTAAAATACCTGCCGGAATATACTCCATTATGTTCAGTTAAATAAGATAATCAATAGTTCAAAATGATAATATTGTAACATGAACATTAGAATACCAATTCCTTAAAGATTTTGATCAATTTCCACAATTTTTTAATTTTTAAAATACTAATATATGGATTATTTGTTTACAAATTAACCAAATCCAACTTCAGTTCAGGTGAGTTTCAAGCATGGGTGGTTGGTGGAGTGACAATGACATGTACAGATAAGAGAATGGTGTAGCCCTCACATGTCATATTTATCCTTCAATAGTTATTATTTTAAAAATACTATACACTAGTCTATAGGAGGGGATCAAAATACTCCCACAGTACCTCTACTTATCGTAAGATGCAGTAAATAGGATCCTCTCAAGTTGAAAACCAGGATAAAGTTCTAAACAAAACATTTTGCCCTTCTCTGATGTGTGCAGAGAAAACAGGTAAGAGGAAGGACATATCTGTAGATGATATAGTTTTAAAAAGAGATCTAAAACAAGATCAGTTAACAAGCTTCAGAAATGGAGGAAAGTACTTGAAGGAAAGTGACTAGGATAAATAGAAGCAAAACAGAGAATAACTTCTGATAAGCAGTGCAATACAGCTTACAATAATAAGCGGTCATGTAATAGATGAAGTTGAGAAATATAGTAAACTGAATTGAATGTAGCAGATGAGAAACCTTAGGTTCTCCTTAGATCCTCCAAATTAAATGAAGGAATACATAGAAAAAAAAAAAAATTGGTCATTTTATATAGAATATAGAAATAATTTATTTTAATGGGAAAGATTACTTAAAATTAGTTATTATTAGACATAGATATGTTAAGAAATAATAACCAAATAATTTATATTTCTTAATAATAAATCAATCAATTAATGTATTATTCTGATTTAAAATTGATTAGTTATAATTTTCCTGTAATGATTTGAAAATCAAACTATTGGGTAACTGACTTTGATCAATTATTTGCAATTTGAAGTTCAATTTTAGTATCATTAATAAAATTGTACTTATAAAAAAAAAGGTTCTTACTTTTTACAATGAGAATATAATAAAAACATCAATGAAAAACGCAGCGGATCATTCACTTTGATAATAGTTGGATCTAATTTTGTTGTTAATAGTTCAAAAATACTTGGTTGTAGTGCCCACATACCAATTATGGAATTGTTGTCGTTGGCTTAATGAATAAAAGATATTGGTCATTTTTTAAAAATATGTTAAAAGTCTTTTTTAAAATCGATATTAAATAGATTTTACCTATAATTGTCAATGATTTTAAAATTATATGGACAACAATTGATGCTTCTTCAAAGGTATATGTTATGTCGTTAAATGGATTTTCTGTGCAAAATGATGGTAAATTAGGATCTAATGTTTGGCAAGCTTTTTCTAAATCCCCTGTGATATATCTAAACAAATATTATAGTTTCAAACACTGCATTTTATGGTATTAATTATAAAACTAGTATTTTTATTATAGTCAAACAAAATTAAATACCTGTAAACAATGAGTACTAAAGAAACATTTTTCATACTTAATAAACTCTGATAAAGAGCTATATGTGAGTCGTGTAATTTAACAGATGGCAAAAATCTCAAATTACGTAAATTTGAATTATTGCATAAAAGCATTTCAACAAATTCTTTAGATAGATTTGCACTTCCTTCTCTTATAACCTACATAAAATAGAAAATAAAATAACTTTTTATATTTATGTTTGATATTTTAATTAAATAACAAACACTCAAAACATTATATTCAATCGATGAAATTGTTTTTTTTTTTAATTAAAAATTACTGATTTTGAGCACAAACCTTTGATATCATTCTAAACATGGACACAATAACATTTAACTTGAATTCATCAACATATGATATTTCTTTTTCAAGAACATTAATCATCAGGTCATTAATTGATGGCATTTGAGTTTGAAGGATATTTAGCATTAACCAAATACAATTATTAGCTGCAAAATATTTTGCAATTAGTAAATTATCCAATCATAGGTTACCAAAAAATTTGTTGATTTTACCTGCTTCAACTATATTTTCATTAACAGTTACATTTATACATTTAAGCAGAGTTTTTATTATTGTCAATAGTGCATTACTCAAAAAAGGCCAAGAAACTACAGATGAACTTTGAGGACTTAAATGTATTCCAACACTCTCAGCTACAGTACTAAATACTCTAAACATAAACAAAATAATAAATATAGTACACATTTTACAATATAGTATGTTTTTGATACATTTAGTATTGATATTAATTTATACCTGATAAATGCTAAAATTTTATCTAAATCTCCATTAAGTTCATCAGTTTTATCGTTTCGTTCAAATTCATCAGATATTGATGACATATCTTCTAATAATTGCTCAAGTAAACCAAGAGTGAAACTCATATCAGCAGTCCAATAAGTTGATAAACGAAATATACATTGTGAAATACGTTTATTTGTTTCTATAGATTGAGAAGTATCTATATGCCAACCAACTAGTATATCTACAGTGTCCTGTGAACATTAATATATGTAACAAAAATAAATGTAGTTACATAAAATTTTAAAATCTACGTAATATATCTAGTATTATGATCACAAATACTAACCTTAAAGTAAGGTTCGAAAGCTCGGCAATAAACACGGGAAAAGTTTATAGCAACATCAGCAGTGACTGTAATTAATTCAGGTGAATCAATTGATTCTAAAGTCAAGTGCATGTTCTCCAGTATAAGCTCAAAAACGAAAAAACGAATGCAAGTTAGTTAAAAAGCCAAATATTTAAATATGGTAAGTTTTAATATAAAATCAAATAATATTTTGAGTAAAATTTATTACCATAATTATTAATTATAATGAGAATAAAAGTTATAATTTAAGAGTATACAGAAAACACAACAATCACTTACATAAGAAGAAATCTATTGATTTTATATTAAAAAATTAAAAAAACATATTTCTAATAAAAATTGTATGATTTTGAGTAGTTTCGTTATAAAAATGATTAATTATTCATTTTTTAAATAAATATACATATATATGCATTATACAATAAGAATTGTAATTCAAAACTAAAATGTAATATTCACAAAAAACATATTAAACAAACAAATAAATAAAGATCCAATATCCAAAACCATTGGGAAGTAATGTATCTGCTTTTTGAAATAATTATTATTTAAATTTGTATATAGACATAAAACTAAAGTACCTATTAAAATATTACTAAAATAATTGAGTAATCAAAATGTTTCCCAATTTAAATTTAAATCTACCAAGACCATACATTTTTTATGAGGAAATAAAATCTGTATAAATACAAAACATAAGTATATATGTTATGGCTAATGTTGAAAATTGGATATTGTAAAATTATCATTCATTTAAACCAATTTTGTAATGCTAGCTTTAATATTAGAGTGATTGGCTTATTATCAAACTTAATGGTATGAAAATTGTCTGTATGTGTATTTTGAGTTTTTAAGATTCAAAGCATATGTATATGTATGGAGTGATCAATCAATCTATCATAAGAGACTAACTATCTCGGAAGCTGTTAACTTTTTTTAAAATTTGTTTTAAAGAACATTTAAGAAACACACTGTTTTAAAATTTAACATTTAAATTATTTTTTATCATTTTTAATTTTTAAATGACAACCTATTTTAAAAATTCCATAAAAAGATGTGGTGGTTAAAATAAATTTTTGTTTAAATTTTTAATATCCGCCAATCCGTTGACACAATATTCAACTTTTAAGTTTCAGTCGGGAAAGAGTAGTGGAGCATCATTAGTGTGGCAGCCCAGGGTGCAGCATTTCAAAAATGTATGACTACTCTCCCCGACCCAAAATTAAAAGTGGAATATCTCATCAACGGATTGATACAATTTAAAAATTTAAGCACCAAAATTTATTATAACTGCTACTGCATTTATGCATGAAATTTTTAATATAGGTTACCATTGAAAATCAAAAGTAGATAGTACTTTCACCCCCAGAAATTAGAGTGACAAAAAATAATATAATTGTAAAATTGTAAAACTGCTTGTTTTTAAAATTTTCTACAAAACAAATGTCAAGATAAGTTCATACATTCCGAAAATTGTGTGATGATTAATTGATCACCCTGTATATATATTAGAAACATATTTTAACTTTTAAACGAGATACAAGTATGTGAAATATTACAATTTAAAAATCATTATTTTGTTTAAACATTGAAACATCAAAACAGTAATAACACAATATTCTAAACTTTAAGTTTGATAATAAGCCAATTTACTATAACAATAAAACTAATAGCACAACATTTATTCTAACGAATTCTAACGGTTCTAAACAAAAATTTACATTATTTAATTTTCAATGTTAGTCTTAACACACGCAAATATATATATATATTGTATATATATGCTATAAAAAAAATGTATTTAACAATCCTTAAAATAATGTTAAAATGTTACTGAAAAATAAAATAATTTAATAACTAGGACAGAGAAGTAATAGGAGCTTTAATTATTGATAAATATGCATGTGAATATTACACAAATATTTTAAGTATATAGGTTTGTTAAGTTATACATTGTACATTGCAGTAAAACAATGTTTAGTTATTTATAGTTTTTAATTTTAAAAATAATCTAGAATTATTTTGCCCCTTACTATTAGTGTTACAACTTAATCCTTATTTGAATTACTTCAATGAATTTTTAGTTAAAATATTTCAAAAATTTGATTTGAGAACATAAATTTATAATGTTCAATTGGAAATTATTAACTAAAAGTAAAATTATTTTATTTAAATTGATGAGATTGTGACAAAAATTGTTTTGAGTAGAATATAAATAATTATAATACACAATAAAAATCATTAAGTCCAACAACTTTTCTGTTCTATTAATATAAATAGGTAAGTAAACGCCTAACTTTATTTTAGTATTTAAATTGCTAATATTTTAAATATAATTAAAATACATACCGGTGCTAAACTTTCCAAATAAGAATTTTTTTGATCTATCACTGATAACTAAAATAACAAAAAATTAAACCATAAAAAAAAAATAATGATTAATGAAATTTCTATATTATTCAATTAATTTTTTTAAAACTTACTTCATAGAAAGAGAGCATTATCAAAGTTTTCACCTCTTTACTACGTTCAGAGTTGTATTTTAAAAACATTAAATCAATAAATCTGAAATATCACAGTTTAACACATTACACAAATGTTTGGTATTTTTAAAACAAATTATTATTTCTTTATACCTTTTACAATCATATTGTAAAGCATGTCCAAATTTGCCTAAACATTTAGCAATAGTGCATTTACCACTATATGATATAGGTGAATAAAAACATACATAAAGATATTCAATTATGATATCAGTAGAACGTCTAATATATTTTTTATTTTCAGGCAAAACAAATGCTTCCTTTAAAAATACACAAAAAATTACAGAGCCATTTTTAAACATAGGTAAATGGTTTAACTAGGTATAAAATAGTTACCTGAAGTTGAAGGCACAATGATATCAGTGTTCTAGTATCTTCTTCATTTGTAATTTTTCTTATTATCTTTGAAATTTTTGAATCCTCAGATGGCCCATTATTACTCAAAGAATCTAAAATTACAAGATAAATAACATAAAAGTTTTAAATTCTAACTTATATTTACAGCTTTAATAATCTAAGCATATCATATAAAAAAGTATGTACTTTTCTTTAATTATTGGAAGAGTTTTCTTAAGGTAATGATAATTATATTCAATAATTATAATATTAAATGTGTATGATAAATAATTTAAATGTTCTTAAACAAAATATTGGTTTAAATTGTTATAACATAATAATATTAATATATAATTATTTTATGCCAAACGGCCATTTTTTGTACCACAAAATAGCAGTGAAGATTAAATAAATAACACACTAAATATATTATAAATAAATTACAAACAAAACTAATAAATAAAGTGAACGTGAAATCTAAGTTGACGACATTATTATTATCTTGATAATGTTTAATTAAGTATTCAATATTACTTGAATATAAATATGTACTAATAATTGTGATCAATTATTAATAAGAATTTTTATTTTATTTTACAATGTTTATTTTTTTTTTAAAATCAGAGAAAAATCTCAGAACATTTACTTGATTAAACATTTCTTTAGTTTATCAAACTTTAACAAAATACAATACTACAAAAAATATATTGATATCCATTTACAAAATACCTAATCAATTTAACTAAGAAGTTGCACAATAGTATACTAATACTTATATTGCAAAAAAACAAAGACTGTTACAGATAGAAAAATATAAATTAATAGTAAATTTCATACCTACTAGATTCTATACTATGAAGATCATTTAACTATATTACTACAAAATAATAGGTAGTACTATTTTTCACTATTAAAAAATTAATAGAAATATATTTTAATTCAAACTTACCATTACGATAATTTGAATAATACATAGATTTAGAGTCAAACATCTCATCTCGTTTTTTAGGAATATCATCATAATATTTTCGTGAAGTAAACCCATGATCACCATATCGATTCTTCGTCAAAACTCTATTGTTTTTATAGTATGATCCTGTGGTCTTGATACGATAATCATCTTTATTATAGCTACCATTTTTTGTAGAATGGTCAACAGTAGGTATATCTTTATGCAGTTTAATTGAACTGGATTCTGGCCTTTTATCAATGGAACCATTGACGGCTGCTTTATCCTCGTCTGGTTTAGCCTTAGATTTGATGGTGATCATAGTCGGTAGTTTTACATCGCCCATATCCAGTACGATGGTTATTCAGAACGGAAAATTGAATTGTTTATCAAGGGAACGAATTGAGACTGCATCGCACCAATCATTAATTCCGTTCATGAAAAAAAACGTCATACTTACATTGAGAAGTTTCATTCATTATCATTGAACCTGCGCACATGTATCACACGAATTGAATGAATAAGGGATGACGGCAAAAGATGAAACTATGAAAGTTCGATGTTCGAGCGGTTATCCCTCATGAATGGCTGGAGGGTAGAACTGTAGAAGAACGTTCGAACGCATGCGCTATCTTGTAACCATGATAACATTATTGAATCTATGGTTTAAACCACGAACTAGAATATTTTCAGGATCGGCTGTATTCAAAAATGATAAGAAATATTTTCGGTCCTAAGTTTTGGTCATTTGCAATCTGCAATTGCATCTTAACTTTATTCTATGATTGTATCTATAACCGTGTGCATAATAAATTCACAGATGAAGAATTAAACCAATCGGAGTTTATTTTTGATTAAAAGTTTGGCACACGCCCCACGATCTTATAAGTTATAATATTAATATAACACCATGGTCTGACTTTGGCATATGCATAGATAAGTTTCTTATTATTCCTATATTATTATTAGGGTGACCATATGTCCCGTTGCCCCGACAAAAGTTATACGGAACTCATTTTATATCGTTTTTTCATGTCTGTCCCGTATTAATCCCGTTTTTCTCTTATCTAATGTATATCTTGAAATTTATTTGACGTCTTCATGACATTATTCAATAAAATATACTTTACAATGCTACTTTTGGGTTATTGTTATGACCCATTTAGCAGGTATATTAAATTGTACATGGCATATAATAAGTAATGACCACATTTTAAAAACAAATTTTGTAATGAGTTGTACAATATTTTATTAAAAGATAATAAATTGTAATCAACGCAATTAGCTCAGCACGAAAGTACACAAAATACTCTAAGAAGAAATTCTACCAGAAAGAAACCAATCACCATCATGAAAATAAAATTGTCTTTGTGTATTTATATTTTATTCATTGGTATTTAAAAATTTTTATGGAACTCACATTTATTTTGTTTTTGTAAATTATAATAAGTACGTTTACTTATTATACCTACCTACATTATACTTACGTCATTTTTAATTTATTTATTTTTATGATCACCCTAGATAAAAATATTTAAGACATAAGACATTAGATTTCGTATTTTAACAAGCAACTCATGTAACATAGATCATGTTTACATAATATACCTATATATTTAGGTCAGTCTTCAGTGTCCCATAAAATGTTAGAATAGTTAACTGAAAATAAGTGCCTGAGAGCACTTACAATAGCATAAGCCTAATAAATTCACCCATTTGGGCTTTCCATTAAAATATTTAGACAATAAAAAGTCTAAATATGAATGACTTTGCATAATGCACATAATTGCTATTTACTGTTTAGTGTTCATGGATATAAATATATAATAGGTATAATACAAATAACAAGTATTTTGATTTTATAAAATCAACGATACAAATTTACATACAATTTTAATTTGAATTAATTACTCATTGTAACACATATCCAATGTCAAATTATTGTATTTTTTTAAAAAAATAACATGTTGGTAATATCAAGATTATCAACATTTCAAAATAATTATTATAGTCTGGGGTCTTATCATTTTCAAACAAATACCCAGACTCCCTACCTTGCCCCCTTACATAACATTTTGTTATCATTTAAGTATCAATATTTACAGATGAAAAATGTTATAAATATTTGAAATATCAGATATATTATATTGTATTAAAGTAAATTAAATTTGGTATACAAATGAAATAAAATCTAATACAAATATCGCCTAGTTGTTGAAATAGGTCATTTCGTTAGCGAAATGTTTCCATTATTGTTTAATTATGATTATATTAAATTTAAATAAAAACAAAAAAAAAAGGACTTATTTTTTATGTAAAAATGATCAAAATTTTAAATTTAAATTTTTATGTTATTTATTATTTTATCTTTTATTATAGTTATAACATTTCTTGCTTAGTTATTAATGTAAAAAATCAGGTAATTATCTTATATTTAATTATAAGTTTTAAATTGATATTTTAGTAAACATCTAAAATCAGTGAAAATACTTAAAACTAGAACTTACCATTAAAAACTTATTTTTATCAAAGGCATAAGCAAAACCATAAGTGGTGTCCAAATTTTGAGACTATGTAGAATCTTAATCTTCATTAATCTACATATAATGGATAGACAGCATAGGTCCATGTCCAGAGCACCATTTTTCAGGGGTGGCATTTAAAATTATCAACGTAGTATTTACATGTATAAGGAGCGGCAAAACTTAAGTTTGCTCAGGTACATTTAAATGCTCGGGTTGGGCCTGCTTGTAGGGGCCATTTGACAGTTTGATTGTTGGCTTATTTATTTTTTGTATAGTAATAATATATAACATCTTCATTAGCATATTTTCAGCTAGAAAACTAAAAGGAAAATCAAAAATTGATCTCAATGTACAAACTAAATTACAAATGCTTCTAGTAAGTTTCAATATAGTTTTTAATTGTAGTATGATTTATGATAGAAAAATTCTTTGCAGACACATAAATTAAAAACTTAGTGTTTTTGTTGCATAGACAACATTATACAATTCATCCTACTATTACTTAATATAATTATTCATTAAAATGTTTGAAAAATGTTAACTGCTAGAAATTTGAAATACCTACCTTACTCCAATTTCTTAATTCGTTCTCAATATTTTCAATTAAGATAACTTTTTCACATATTGTTGAAATGCACATTAAAATTTAAAAAAACATTGTTCTCTAAACTTAAAGTATTTTGAATACAATTTTCACCATATTTTTATTTAAAATATTAAAATTTATGAAAAATTGTACTTATTACTACTGCTTTCATATGACTTTATTAACTCAACAAAAGCCAAATTAAGTGCAATATATTATATTCAGTTATAAGATTGTTACCCATAGGTAGACAATAAAATAAACAAAAAGTTTAATCTGTTGTTAAGACAGACAAATAAATAAGTACATTTATATAAATAGATGTATTATTACTATCATACAACTCAACTATTGAGTAATTTATTATTTATTAGTCATATTTGTAATTCCTTTATACTTTGTGACCATTTCGATTCTGCTGCTTGTAAGTTTTCTAGTCTGTCTTCAAAGTGAATTGTGTGTGGGGCACTCTTTGATAATGTATCTTATATTATGTACGTACCCACACTAACAGTTTTGAGTTTAACTTAGGCTTGATTTATATAGTATGCATTGGTCTTTCTCTATTTTAATTTAATTTAAGGTAGTCTACCGAGATCTGGGAAGATCCAAACCTAGGACTGTGCGGTGTGAGTTGATTACTAATTCAGCATTCTTTATACTCAAGGTTTTTCATCAGCATACAGCTAAATACACACTAAACAGGCTGGATGTCTTGACTTCAATCTTCAAGTTGGGGGAAGGGGGTTCATGGTATTAATGATAAATTTCCCATTTAAAATACATTTATTCTAAATTTTGTATTTACAAAGCATATAAAGTTGACGAAAAATAATTGTCTTGTATCAAAGTTAAGGTACCTATATTGGGCATTGCATCTCACTTACTGAAAATTATTAATTTTTTTTTACTTTTCTAAAATTTCGTTAATATATATCCGGAAAATCTATTATTTTTCGTGTGTTAAATTTTTGAAAATTGTATGAACATCAAATATGGATCATTCTGTATAAACTAATAATGTGAGTCAACATTTTTTATTAAAATTCTTAAAGATTTAAGTTATTAAAAATAAGAAAAAAAGATTTGTAGTGGCATTCAACTAATGAAAATGTATAGATTATAAACTAAATTTCATTTTCTTTAGCATTCTTTGTTTTTTTATATTGATTGAGCATTATAAATAAATTATTAAATATTCATACTTTTCAAAATTTTCTTTTAAGTTTTATCATGAGTCTACCCAAAATAGTGCATGTTTATTGAAGTTATATACAGATAATTGGATACCGTTGGATACAGTTTTTATACATACTTTTTAATTTAAATACTTATTATTTGATACATTTCGACCCTTATTTAATACTTATAAGATTTTTAATGATCACCCTAAAAATCATAAATTTTTTTGATTCATTGACAAAATTTTAGAAAAGTTAAAAAAAATTAATAATTGTCAGAAAGAAAGTGATATGGAATGTCTGATATACTTTAAATTTTTTTTTTTCCCTTAAAGTCTCTTAACTTTGATTATTTCCATACAAGGCAAATTTTTCATGTCAACTCTATATGTCTTATGTAAACTCAATTCAGAATAAACGAAAAACATATGAATTTTAAATGAGAAATTTTACCTCATTACAAGAGGACTTAAAAATTGTCCTAGGAATCTCAAATAGGGTTCAATATTTTTATTTTTTTAGAATAAAGTTTGGTGCCAAATATTTTGCCAAAACCCAAATAAGAACCACACTATTGTATGCACATTTATTAAATTAAGCTCAGATTATATTTAGGAATGAAAGGGGAGGGGTGATCACTTCTATCATCTCTCCTCTGGATCCACCACTGTACCTATATTAAATAAGAAATCAAATGGAAATTTATAATCAAGATGGTCGAAACCAAATAGTTTTGAAAAATAGATGTATATTTATATATTTTATAATAGCTAATAATAGTTCAATATAATATTTAGTTGATTTTTACTTATTAATTAAATTTAGAATATCAGTGTCGCCAAATTGAACTTAAATTACTGCAACAGGACTTAAAATAAAATATTTAAAACATCAGTCTGTTCAGACTACGGCAATAAACATTATTTAAAAATATAAATAAATATTTGATTATTTAAATCTATCTGTAATAGGTTTCATATTGGTGGTAAAATAACATATTAATAACTTCATCATAAATTCATTGATATTACCTCAAAGTATACATTAAATAGTATTCTATTTTTCTTAAATATATTAATATTAAATATATTATTTTAGAATGGTGGAATTGTAAAAGAAACAATAAGTGCAAATATAACAGATGATACAATTACACTAGAATTACAGCTGCTTGATTCTACATTAATTACACAACATATTGATTTCACAAAGGTATAAGTTTATACTAATATATTTGACTTATAAATGTATGATGTATTATTAAAATCAAATAGGAAGTTCAAATAGTGCAAGTATTATTGCTTGGAGAAGAAGAGCGTGGCCAAAAGCCTTATCAAATCCTATGTTTTGTTAATCATATACATGCAAATGAATTTATTTCACCAGATGCAATGGCAAAGCTTAGACAAGTAATCATATTACTATAAATTTAGTACCTAAATAATGTTTGTAATATAAAAATTAGCTAGTGTAAATTGATGTCCTTAAGTTCATAAATCAAACTCAGTAGAATACAGCTATTAATTTATTTATGATTTTAATCATTTAAATGTATACTGAATAAAATTCTAGAAACAATTGTATCTATAAAATTTAAATTTTATTTTGATCATATAATATTAATTAATTATGATCTAGATATTTTAAAAATTGTGTGTTTTTTTTTGAACATACACTATTTCTTAAATATAGATTGAATGTATATTCTACTAATATCAAATACATTATTTCAGAAAAATCCTGGTACAGTTCGAGTTGCTGAAGATAACAAAGGTGTTTTTAATGTTACAATAGACATGAAGATTAAATTAAAAGACAGCATTCATATTTCACAGCACGTTGGTTCATTATGTTCTGAAGCCCCAGACACAACATTTACTAGTAAAGTTGATATTGATAAATGGGCAGCAGTACCCGGTAATGATAACTAATCATTTTAAATTTATTATTTCCAACATAGACATTATATATATATATATATATATATATATATATATATAAATGGAGTATCAGTACAGTTCCAGTGTTCTTGTTAGTATGTACTAATAGCAGATCACAAAGTACTCTGTATTTTTGCACAAGTTTTAGCTACGTTCAATGCACCTATATTCTACTGTCAGTGTCATAAAATTGCTCTATCCACCTAAATCCCGCCTGAATGCTCCATCTAAGAGTATACAATATATGATTATTTATAATTTTAACCAAAAAATAATATAATAATATATATATATTACATAAATTAATAACTAATCTATTCTTTTTATTTTTTATTTGAAATACAGTACCATATTTTTATAATGTGTACATCTATCAAGAATAATAACAGTTAAAGTCTAGGTTATTCCATGCAATTTAATATATGATAACATTTTAACACATTCAACACATTATAGATACATACACTTTTGGTTTTCTTTAATTGTATCAATAAAATAATTTGGGTAATATTTGTAACCACTAATGGTTTAATATAACAAAAAATAATTGATATTTACTATTTTATAATTACATTTTTAAATAATTTACATGATTTCTTTCTGTGGGAGGGGATCAGAATACTTTAACAGTACTTCTGTCATAAGAGGCGATAAATAAGGTTGCATCAGGTTCATAGTCAATGTAAAATTTTGTCAAACTATATGAGAAGTTCTAAACAAGACTATGATGGATTATCCTATCTCAAATGCACACAGGGACAACAAGTAAGAGGAGATACCATAGTGCATGATGTTTGCAGATGATATAGCTTTGATAGAAGTAAGTTTGAAACAAGATCAATGAAAAATAGACTTGAGAAATAAAAAGTAATACTTGAAAGAAAGGGACTATGGATAAGTAGAAGTAAAACAGAGTTAGTAACAAGAGGAACAGTACAAAATAGCTTACAACAATAAGCAGTGACATAATAGGGGAGATTGAAAGTTTTTAGTATGAGGATGTGAAATATTGTAGTATGTGATTGGATAAAGTGGAGAGAAGCGTCAGGTATTATAATTTGTGACAAGAGAATTTCAATGAGACTTAAGTTAAGTTCTACAAAAATTTGGTGAGACTGACTATATTGTATGGGTCAAAGTATTTAGTGGTAGACAGAAAAATAGAACAATGAATGGAGTGTTGTAGAATGAGAATTCTTAGGTAGATGAATGGGATGATGAGGAAAGTTAGGATAACGAATCAATACATTGGAGGTAGCTTTTAGGCGTGGCTTTGATAGCAGGCAAAATGAAAAAAAATAAACTAAGCTAATTTGGGCATATCATGAAGAGAGAGAAATCTGAAGCATTAGGAATTGTAATGAAAATAAACATAGCAGGAAAGAAGGATGGAGGATTGAAAAGTAGGTGGTTATATGTGATTGAGATTGATAGACGTCAGCTGGAGTATATATAAATTAAGTGAACATGTTTAATGAATCATTCTGTATAAATATAAATTACAGGTATTTGCTATACTTAATGTCTTTATACATATGTCTTAATAAAAAAGTTTAATAGTTTTTGACCTATACTGTTAAGTGTTAACCTCCATATAGCAATATTTATGTCAATCTTTAGTTTATATTCAATAATTATTATTTATTTTATTATACTTTCTTTTGGGCCGAATTCAAATAGTTAGGACGAATGTGAGAGAAAAGAAGAATTACATTTTCTTAAATTTTAGTAATAGAATAAAAGTTAAGGTTTTGACTATAAAATTAATCTCAGCTATTAATGTGTACATTTTATTTATTTCAGGCATGTATTTGGGTAATTTATTACAAACTGTTGAATATATCAATTATAAAATACCCAAGTCTAATTTGAAATTATGTCGAGATACTGGAAAAGTTTGGTCTCACTGTTTATGTACTATGGAAGTAAGCATTCCGTGGTATCCTTGTGCCTTAAAATTCTGCAAAGATCATATTGGTAAAAAATCAACAGCAGTTGAGAGTTACCGATGTGGTATACAAACATGTACTAAAACTATGAATTTTATGTATAGTGTAAAACATAAACAACATTGTTTATCAATTGAATAACATATGTTATCATTATTGTTAACTATTAAATATTTCTTTTCAATATGAATTAAATATATATTATGTATGCATTATATGATTTTAGTGTATAATTATATTATATATTAGTCTAAGTAATTAAAAAACCCTTATAATATAATTTTATTCCAAAAATGTAAATTACCATGCATGTTATTGAGTTTAAATAATTGGTAGACACGTATACTTATTTAGCAAATTAAAAATATAATGCTGCAAAATAAGTATATTTACTAGAGTTACTAGAGTTACTTATACCTTCATAATAATAATCATATATGTATACATATATATTTTTTTTTGAAGTTTACTATTGAAAACTCTATAGACTATTTCTCAATCTATAAATTAGAATAATATACATAAGACTTCTATATTCAATTAATGTTTTGCTATTCAAAAAATTTGACTGGTTGATAAGTTAGTGGCTTTGAGTTTTATTTAGAAATGTTTAGTGGTAGAAGATCTCTCAGTAGTGTCCTGTCCATACTTAATTATGTCCCTGGTCTCAAGACCTTATTATCTGTTTTTAATTATATTAAAAATACAATATCAATATTAAATTGTTTAACTGGAAATTATATAATATCTCAATATTACAATATTATGTATTGTACATTTCATACAGTCTATGCTAAATTTAATTGATCAGAGTATATATATCAAAAATTATAATTTCAAACTTGAAAAAAAAAAATATTTAGAATGAAAATGTTTTATTACTTATTATTAAAATTATATGAAAATTAAATATAAATGCAAAAATCAACCATAATTTATGTTTCACACATAAAACAATTCATATACTAAAAATTGTGGAAGTATTTTAAATTGATTAACTATATTTCTTCTTTTGTAATCAATTATTCTTTCAACACAAATCATGCCAATTCCCCTATCCATCACTAAAACATACTAATCAGCATTTAAATATATTTAATATTTATTTTATAATTATTATAATGCATCTATCAGTAAATACCAGTACCATTATGAATATTACATAATTTTGTATAGTATCTTCTAGATTTCATCTGTGTGTGGTTTACTTAATGAAGCTAATAAAGTACAGTAATGTTTTTTGAATGAGGATATGATTTTATGTTGATTTATCTACTGTCAAAATATGGATGTGTGCATCGTGGTTCATGAGTTTAATATATTACTACCTAGTACTGGTATAATGTCTGGTTTACTTCTATATATTGTTCACACAATATTAATATACATACAAGGATTTAGAAATGTATGTTATAGTAAAATTTTGCATAAAATACATATTTTTTATAAATGACTTGTATGAAAACATTCTAAAACAGTATATTGTCCTTATTTTTTTTACAATTATTTTTGGGAGTTGGTATATTGACAATTTCAATAAATTAGGAGTGCAAGACAGAGTAAAGTGGAGGGGAATTGTGATGGTGGCAAAAACTTTTAGAAAGTATTAAATGCTATCAGAAGAGGAACTATATTGAATAATCGATAAATGACTGATGTTTTAGTTAAAGTATGTTTTGAAGTTGAAATTTCTATTATTTATAAATTTGTATTTGAAATGTTTCACTTTTAAGTTTGGATAGGAAGAGAATATAATTTCTGTATAGTAGCACAACAAGGAGCATTTGAATAGTGTTCCTTTATTTTTTTTCCTGACCCAAATTTAAAAGTAGAATCTCTTGTCAACTAGTTAACAGAAATTAAACAAATTTCAACACCATAATATATTTAAGCTAAAATTTAATTTATTTATAGAACTTTGAAAATTCAAAGTTGGTAAAATTTTATTCCAAAAATAAAAGTGAAAAAATAAGTACAGTGTAACATTTTAGAATATGTGATTCCAAAAAGTTTGTATACAAGTCATTTTTAGCTGTAAATTCTAAAATCTATAATGTTTTTTTCACTTCACATTATTGTTTACTTTACCACATATATTGTGTAAACGATACACATGTAATTTGTTGTGAAGAAACTAAATTTTTGCCAGTTACAACTATAATAGAACAATCATTATTTTACCTATGTGATCTGTTATAAAACATTTACAACACAAATAAAATATATACCTATACAAATATTATAAATATCAATAAGAATGTAAAATGAAAACCTAACTGATATTTTTATAATTAATTTTATCTTGTGTTAACAAATAACAATAAATATATATTTTGTGATAAAAACTCTAATATCATGAAATTTTACCAAGAGTAAATTAAAACAATTGTAATGGTAGCCTTCAAAATAAATTATATACAAATTTATTGCTTACTATGTAATAATGCCACACTGGAATTAATTTTCTCCATCTTTGTAGTACAAATATAAAAATAAATTATTGCTAATTATTTCCATTACATTTAATTTTATGTGAAAATTAAATTAAAATAAAAAATTATTATACAGAAAGAAGGAAATCAACCTAATGATGACTGTACTTTGATTTTTTTTTAATATTTTAATTTTAAAACAATTATATCAACATTAACAAATTAATAGGTATCCAAAATATAAATTTTCAATAATCATTTTATAATAAGAGAATTTTAATGTTTCATCCTTTATTCGATTCTGTTGAAAAAACTGAAGCTTAATGCTTCAAAATGTCTTTTAAAGAAATAGGTAAGACATTAGTGTAATGTGCGTAGTATTACTTACAGTATAAAACTTCATACATTTAGTGTTGACTTCTTTGATTGAGATTAATGTTTACAAAGTGTTTTATTTGTGTCATTGCAATAACATTAATTTAATTGTCATTGTATTTAGTTTTAGGTCATTTGGCATACTTACAAATTAACTATATTTAGATTTTATAATAATATTATTATCTATTGTCATGTATGACTTATATTTAAAAATATTTTATTTAACTCAAAAATATGTACTTACCCAATTTTCAATTTATGATAAAACATCAAAATATTAACAATAAATATAACAATAGAAACATATAGGTATATCTAAAATAATATAAATTAAACTATAATTCAAAATAATTATTCCATACTTTTATAGTATACAAATAATAAGTGTAACACATGTTAAAATACAACAATTGTTTAATAAAATTGACATGTATGTTCCTATACTTTCTTTAAATCTAAGACGTTAACTTTCTAGAACACAAAAAAAAAGAAATTTATAAAATAAACTATATCATCATTTTACAAAATGTAATGCAAATAATAGTAATAATGAACAATATTTTAAATAATATTGTGAGTTAACGATATTCATGACGTGCCAATTTTTATGAACACTATTAATTTGTAATGATATCTTAAGTTAGATGTACAGTAAGAATGTCAGGTATTAATGGCGAAAAGCCAAAAGGTATTCTGAGATTAGAGTATCCTAATAGTAACTCGTCAATAGTGCTAGAATACAAATCGATCGCATGGTTGAATAATTTTTTGTTACGATGAACTTGAAGTTATGCAAATCACTTTATAGAATTTACTTTAACATCATTTAATTGCTACATTTAATTAAAATTCAGATCAATTTTATTTGTCAACGAATATGTGTGAAGAAATTGAACTTCGTCGATATGACGATACTCCCTGGGGATTTCGATTAACTGGAGGTCATGATTTTGGGATTCCTCTTACAGTCGTTCGGGTAAGTCTTTGAACAGGAATAACTTAATACAATATAGAGAAACAATACAACTAATTTAATTGTTTGCTTATAGGTAACTGGAGGCAGTTTAGCCGAAGAGGCGGGCATGTGTGTTGGGGATATGATTATTGAAATTAACGGAGATAACACAGCACAAATAACACATAGTGAAGCTCAGCAATGTATTTTAGAAGCAGGAAATTATATAAATTTGTCGATATTAAGGTACTTATTTGTATAAAATGTTAATATTTGTTAATATTACTCACTCAATAATTTGTGTAAAACTGTTAAATTATTGTTTTTATTAAAAATAAAAGTAATTAACTACCGATATGTCTTTTGTAATAAAATTAATGTATCAGGTGTCTATGTGTCTACTTTCTGTTTACAGAGGAAGTCCTGTACCTGCAGTTACACCCACAAGAGGTCTATACACACCTGCAGTTACTGATCGAGCAGCATCATCTGTTGAAAGTCTAACTGAGTATGAATCTATACATAGCGATATTTATAGAGAGCATGCTGTATCAAGTAAATCATAACTCATAAGTTTAACCAATTATAAAACAATTATTATTTTTTAATACAAAATTGTAATATAGCTGTATCAGAACCATATGAGAGTGGACATGAAATGACTGAGGAAGAAATAGCAGAAAAATTATTAGAAAATGCAGAAGTTATTGAAAATAACGGGAAAAATGTCATAGGGTATAATAAAATATTATATATTAAGTTTGTTTTTATTTTAAAAGATAAAATATGTCGATTTTTGTATAGTGTCAACTTTAAAAGATTCGTACCCAAGTGTGATTTTATTAAGAATTCCCTTGTCTTTCAAACTTTACAAGAAGAACAAATTTTTGATCAAAAATCAGAACAAGAACAACTAAAAAAATATCCAACCAAGAGATTTTCAACGTTTTTAACAACACCAAATAGGCCTAAAATCAAACCTCCTGAAAAGAAAAAAATAGAAGAATCAAAAATGATAGAGGTAAGTATTTTAAAAATGATTAAATTATCATTATTTATAATGTTCATTGATTTATGATAGTTCTTAAACGATGGCAATTTTGATCTCTTTAATAGTACCATCTATGTTCAATTTCTTTTCTATATGAAAAATTAATTGATACTTACATGTGTACATTTTTTACATTTTAGTATTTAATACTCTAAAAAAAATAGATCAAAACTTTTAGAAAAATTATCTGTTTCACAGTTTGCATTAAAACATGTAGGTTCTTATTTAAAGAACTAAAGTTGATATAACCTCAGAATACTCCTTAAATATTGTCTTAAAATTCTAAAAGTCAGAATTTGAATGCATGCATAATTTAATCATAAAAATGGGGTGAGTATTTAAACTCTTGCCTAATGTCTTAAACAAATTGATAACTAAAATAACATTTTGGTTTTGATATTTTCCCAGGAAAACGAATCTGAAGTTCAACAAGTTGTAGAGAAGTGCATGAAACCAGATTCTTGTGAACAAGAATGCACTAATGGTAAATGTGAATTGAAGGATATAGAAGATTTTGTTGTGCCTGTGGACACAATTACAATAGAAAATAATGATATGCACGCTGAAGAACACAATGATAATTCAGAAATACAATCTAAAATTATTGAAACTGAAGTTGAAGAACCCAAGAATAATCAAGAAATATCAGAAGATATTTTAACAGATAAAGTATGTTTACAAAAGTGTATAAATATTTAATACCATAATTATTTAAAAAAATAATAATAATTGTATAGTATTTTATATTGTATGTAATTTAATTTTAGCTATTTATATTTTATTCTATCATTCCTTTAACTCAAGTTTTAATTAACTCATTAAAAAAATATATCTATCGATATATATATATATATCGATAAATTGATACATTATTCAATTTAATATTTATTTTTTTTTTTTTTTTGATTATATTAGTAATATATAATATTAAATTTTTTAATATTTGAACTTCACTTATTTTTAATAATATTACCTACGGAATATTCTAATTTAAAATTATTGACTACATTTTTTTAGGAATTAAATGATATATCTCAAGAGTTGAAAACTGTAGACGTGAAAAAAGAACCCACAAATGATTTTGAAAGAAGCTTATTGGACATTCAAAATCAATTATCTGCTATTCGTCAACTACCATTACAGATACAAAATCATATTTCATTATTAGAAAAACAACTTTCAGATTTACTTTTGCACAAAATTAAATCAACTGAAACATCTGAAGGAGTTGCCAACGAAAATGAACAAATAGAAAATATTATCAAACAGGAGCACGATGAAAACGAGCAACAAGAAAAATTTGATGATGATGATGATGTATTTGAAACGGACATTGATGATACATTTGAAAATTTACAAGAAATGGAACCAAATGAAAAGTCGGAAGAAACCAGTGATGAAGAATCCAATGGAAAAGAAGACAAAGAAATCAGTGAAGATGAATTCAATGGTGGAGAATACAAAGAACCCAGTGGTAGGCCAATGTACCCCCTTACACCTTTACCAAGACCTATTGTATTACCTGGTGGTCGCAAATGGAGAGGTCCCAAAGATGCGTACAATGAAAAATTTATTGCTGAAACGTTAATCTCACAAGCTGAAGTCCTAGTTGGTTCAACATTAGGGTAAATAATTTGTACCATTTTATTAATTATGATTACATTAAAATGTTAGAAATATAATCTTTCCAATTAGTGTTTAAAATTGCATTTATATTTTAGTATGTATTATTTTTAAAAGAAATGAATAGCTAACGTTGTAAATTTTATTGGAATGTAAAATATAACACTGTAAAATTTCTAAGCATTTTGATGGTTTCTATAGCATACTTTTAATCATAACTATTATTTTCTATAATAATGTCAATGAATTTAATAACCCTACAGTATCAATATTCGAAAAAGATTGTCCTAAAGGGTGTCCTACAGTGTTATCCGAATTTTAATAACTCTGCATTATAATTTTGTTTTTGTTTTATTTTACAATCATGCTTTGTGTCAAAGGGACACAAATGTAGAAAATTTTTACTTTCATCCATTAATCACTGAAAAAATTATTTTTTAAATTTTCCAAATATCCAATTTGTATATTATGTATATTATTCATTTTGGATGAACATAAAAATGTCTATATTTGTGTCCCCCAACACAAGACCCAATGGAAAAAAAAAAATTAATATTGACAGAGTTATCAGCATTTGAATAATACTGTAGGACATTATGTATAAAAACTAAAAGTTTAATTGAATTTTGCAAGACCGGTCAATAATGTATCCTGCATTAATGGTCTAATGATGGAGTATATATTTTAATTTAAGTCTTTGAAGTTATACATTGGGATTATTACTTTTATTATTTTAAGTTTATTTGATTATTAGAAAAGTTTTTGAAAACCAAAATATGTTTCTATTAACATTTAAAAATTTTATTTGCAGTGTGAACTTTAGAAAATATGAACCACCAAAGTTTGATTTATCTAACTCGGCAGTTTACAAATTAGTACATAATATTGAAACAAAAAATATTGGAGGCATTGCAAATAGACCAGAAACTGTAGCGGCCAAAGAAGATTTTTATTATCACAAACCAGTAATATATGATTATAATGTTATAATTAGAGAACGGATTTATATACAATTAAAATTTACAAAAAAGCGCTTAAAAATGTCAAAAAATCCCTATAGGAATCACTTAAAATATATTTAAAAGTCCCCCCCCTAATAACCATAAACTAAAATAGAAATAAAACTAAAATAAACTATAATAATAAGTTCTAACTTAAATAGAAATAATTTTTAACACTACAAAGATAATTATCACAGAGTAATGTTTTATGTATTATATTAAAAAAAAATTCTCTGTGTTAATCATTTGTCAGTGTTAGACAATTTTATTTATTAGGGTTAGAACCATTAAGGGTGGGAATTTAAATCACATCTATCACTTTAGCTTTTTAAAATATTTTGAAATGTTTTTTTGTGAACTTTAAGTGCACATACATTTTTTCCCTAGTTATAAATATTAAACAGATTTATTCTTACACTTTAGAAGAATTGATTTTGATGTTATTTTTTTTACAGATTGACGCACGGCAATTCTACTTAGCTACACTCCCACAACCAACAATAGTAAGCTCCTTATTTATATTTAAATATAACCCAAGATACCATTAATTTTATAATTATGTTTTATTACATAAAATCAATAGTAATATTAAATTATGGGGACAGATATGGCCAATATAGGTTACTAATTGTTAAGTGTATTAATATAATTTGATATTAATAAAAAATCTGGTAATCATAATTTTCTAAATTAATAGTGAAAAGGAAAACTGCGTATAAATGTAATATATAGGTTTCCTAAATTATATGTTAGGTACAGTTTTAAAGAAGAATAGTATGAAGTACCAATTTCCAAAAATATAATATAGAATCTGTAAGACCCTTTTTAATATTTTACTTTTAATTTTAAAAATATATAGGTATTATGTAGGCAGGGACGAATCTAGAGGAAGGGCCTAGGGGCCCAGGCTCCTTCCCCAAAAAATATTAATATTGGAAGGATGCAGAAGACTTTTGAAAACATGCATATATGAATATATCTCATCATAAATCTCAAGTATTCTTAAGTTGATAAGAATATGTTTCATAAGTAGTTTTGTTCTCCAAATATTTAATTCAGCTAAACTAGAGCATTAGTAAATTATAGGTGAAACAAATTCTATAAGTTTAGTAAAATCTTCTTCATACTATTTTTATTTCGGTGTTATTATTGTATATTGTCACCTGCAGGATAAGTAAACAAATGTCAGTATATATTCATCTATTAAAAATATACAAGTAGATTAATATGTCACCTAACAGACCACAGAGTGTGTATTTAATATGTTTCTAGTTAGTCTCACAAAAAAAAAAAAAAAATGACTAGGAAAGGAATCTTCCTCTCCATAAATATGCCACTGGTATAATATTTTTGAGAAATAAATTCTGATTAAATGTGAAACTTTTTTTAGCCACTTTGCCTTTTGAGTTCTCAGTTCTTTAACCAAGTTTTCACAATAGAGGGAGCACAAAACAAAAATCCAAAATGAAATGTTTATTTCCTTTACTTTTAAAAATATACCTATTTAGTGAATAAAGTATAAAAATATATATCAAACATCATAATAAAGTTACATACTCATGAAATGATTATAATCAAAATATTTAAAAATCTATTACCAATGAGGTTGCCATGGCCCCTGTACTTCCCCTAACTACACAACTGTGGCTTCTATAATATAATATAGGTATACCCATACTTTTTAATTTAATACAAGTTATAACTAATCATTTTATTGATTTCTAGATTCCGGATTATGAAAGAGACAATCAATATGGACATTAGTTGTAAACAATATTTTTCAAAACTAAAAGTAGATTTCTGTTGAATAAAATACCTATACTATAAGTTTACTTATATTGTTAGTACAATTCAACCTATTCGTATTAAATAAATACCTGACCTAATCTAACTTAATCTATCCAATCATTAATTGGTATAAAATTGTCTACATTTAAAATTAAGAACAAAACAATTTGAGGTGTTAAAATGTTGTTATAGAAGTACTAAATAATAAGTACTATAAGTACTCATATACTAATAATTCTAATTTTTTTTTTTTAATTTCCTTAATATTGCAGTCTATCCTATTGAAAACTTTTACATGTTTAATTTAAATCATTAAAATTGGTTTGATTTTTAGCATTTTATTAGGTACATAAGATTTGTATGTTTTGTGAATTGTAAATTATAATTGACTAGGTACCTATATTTTGTTATATTAATATTCTTAGGAGTGTAAAAATTATTCATGCTACCAAAAATATTTAGGAAGTTATAAGGATTACTTAATTTACATTATATCAATTTGATATTTTCTATAAAAAAGTAAAAATATCAAATATCTTATTCAAAGAATTGAATTTAAATAATTGATTATAAAAAAATGTTTAAAATGATTTGAATAAGTCTATTAAGTTAGTATAGATGACCCTAATATATATTATTTTCACTAAATATATTTTTAAATACTTAGAGGCTAATTAATTGAGAAACCTATTGAGAAATTTCCAAAAGGGCTGTTCTATGTAGACTATTATTATATAATTTAAAAATAATTACATATTTTATAATACTCTTTCAAATTTATTACAGTTACACTACTTATGGTGTTTTATGATAATACTATATAATAATAACAGTATATATCTACTAAAATTTACTTATTATAGTATACTAAAATTTAATTTTTAATAAGTCATATATATACCTGTCTATCTCAATTGTACAGCATATAGCTGTAGTTAAGTAAGTAGTCAAGTAATAGTATTAAAACTCAACAACAACTCTGGAAATATTTTAAAGTTCCAATCAAATTTATTAGATAATTTTTATTAATTTTTATTAACTATACTTTATTAAAATAGTTGTATTTAATGAATTATTTAAATATTAATTTTCCCTACTCTAATTTTATATATTATATACTTATAATTTTACTTTAATATAGGTATGACAATTTATCACAGACAAATTAATATAACATCTTAACAATATTAAGTACAAATTATTGTCGTTTTTCTAAACTTTTGTATTTTGCTTCCAATCTTTTGGCATATGCATCTAATTTAAATGCAGCTTGTTCTAGTTTTGAAACACTGTCTTCGATCTGGTCAATTTGAGAAAGATATGGTTCTAATGATTTATCTAAATAATAACAATATATCAATAAGTAAATGTAAACAAAACTTTAAATTTTTAATAAATATATATATATATATAAAAACATAAATTTAATTTAAAATATTTAATTACATTTTTCGTTAAGTTCTAAAATTTGTTTCCCAACATCTGAAGCAATTTGTCTATAAGACCCATATTTTTCCATAGTCATTTTATTCATGGTTTCCAATAATTTATAATCCTCCTTCATAAATACATCAACACATTTTTATTAAATATAAGTATTTGGGGACTTAAATATTTTAGAATTATATACCAACCTCAGTTATATTTAGTTCTCCCATCAAATATTCAGATGTCTTTTCAAACATTTTGGTGGACAATAAGCTTAAATTAGGGTCATGCGGATCATTACGCTCAAAACTACTAGTGCTTGTTGAAAGAGTTGGCCCTTAAACATAAAATATAAACTAGTTTTAATAAAGAAAAAAAATACATATAAATCAATAGATAATATTGAAATACAATAGTAGACTGGGAATTAATGTTCTAATATAGAATTCACAATAAGTTTAATAGGCAAAGTAGATATTGATATTTTCTGTTTTGTACTGAAATTTGTACAATAATATAATCAATTGATGATTTTTAGTATCTGTATATTATGATACTAACAATTACAGCTAACCAACCACAATAAATTATATATTAACCACAATAAATTTTAGCAGTCTAATATATTTTTAACAATTGGGATCTTTTAGTCAGTGTATACTACTATACACTATTACTATATATAAAAAAATTTAGATTTATTAAAAATTAAAATAATACCTCTTTTAGGAGATTCTTCTATGCTTATGCAATTTTCAAATTTATCTTCCTGGGACATTATTAGTATAATTGATTACCTGATTTATACACAACAAATTATTATAAAATTCAACAGTCAATATTTTCAAACTCTAAAATAGTTTTAAATTAAGAACAAATTCAAATGGACAATTCCATTGAACAATAAATAATTAAATAAATTAAATAAATATTTATCAATTTAACCACTATCACCTTAAATGGCTTAAATTGATAACAGTTACACAGATTATGTAATTTATGGTTACATCACTGTTTCCAGTGTTGATCAACTGTAATTTAAGTGTTTTGGTTTTGTTTTGAAAACTATTTCTTTTATAGACAAATAGATTTAATTACTTAATCGTAATTTCGTATAAAATACAATTCAATTTGATCAAGACCATGAACATTAAAGTGTACATTGTAGAACTCTAATATTCATGATCAAAATCAATAAACCATCCATTTTGTCATGATCATAACGAGGAGTTAAAATTAATTCGTGATTAAAATTTTCCTTGGGTAGATTAAATTATTAGAATATTGATGATTAAGTAGCACGATTAAAGATATCTTTAATCGTGGTAGGTAGGTAACTAAGTAGATTAGGTTAAGTATATTTTAATACCCGTTCTTTGTAATTCTTCATCCCATAGGGAGGTAAATTTCTTGTTCCCTAATGTGATTGACAACACATACATTCGAGATGCGACACGCTACAAGGTGTTCGTGTTCACAGCTCATACATGATGATATGATACGTATACAGACTCGCTAATACTGGCTTACGCACATTAATTATTACTAATTAAGCTCACACGCCTTAACTTAATGAATCAAATTAAGATATAAGAACATATTTAACGAAAAATAAAACGTGTATTCTATTAAAAGATCTTGATAAGACAAGAAACAAAATTTGTTATATAAATGTTACATAAATACTTACATTGTTCATATTATACAGACTGTACATAATTTTCACAAAACTTCAACATCGGAAATCAATGTAAAAGAAATTCGATAAACGTGTCTCCCTGCTTTGCAATTGTCCGATAATCTATCTATTTTCATTTTTAACTTTTTATGCATTTTAACAATGGCGAATTTTTAAACAAACTTTCATTCCCTATTTCATCTCTACAGGGGTGGAATTTTCAAAATATTTTTTAAGGTATATCCCAACGGTATAAACTGTATGTTGATTAATCCATCAGTCAGTTTCTTCTTTTATATGTGCCTACGATAATATCAAAATTAAATATCTAGTTGTTATATCTACTACCTAGGTATAATGAAAAAAAGTATTAGGGATTAAATTTGATTTATCTTCATTACTAACGCCTAAGAACATTGGTAGATTTTTTTCCACTTTATAACTTAACGAGCCAGCGGGACAACTACCTAGTCATAACGCCTAATATATAAAACGACAAGTTGAAATATTGCACTTAATCAACTAAGCTATTACCGTCCCGTTGATTAAAATCATTAAATATTTACAAGTCTTATTCGTTTCATATTTCATATTATGGTATCAGTACTCGGTGGTACACACAGGGAATAGGGGATAATAACCCTCTCCGAAATGTTTTCTTTCACTACATTTTTTTAAATCAAATTTTATATTCAACAACATAATATTGTGTACCACAGAATAAAATAAAATTTTATTTTATCAAAAATAATTTATTCAGTAGGTAGGTGTACCTAATAATAGTGATAGTATTGTACTGTTAATATGTGTTATTCTTTCTAGGAAATTATTATAAACAAAATCCCTCCCGAAAAAATATCCTACGTGCGCTACTGTAGGTACTGTCTATTGCAGTTTTCTTCAACCTCATTGACTCACAACCAGTGGCGTATCCAATGAGGGAGTTGGGGGGTTGTAACCCACTAACCCCCCGATAATTGTTAAATAATAAAAAAAATTGTCATTAATAAATCATTTTCAGTTACTGTATTTCAAGGAAAAGGATTGTCTGATGTTATATTGAAAAGTATGACTGACTTCGGACTAAATGCTAAATATTTAACTTGGCAAGGGTACGACAAAGCGGCAAGAATGAGTAGCATATATAATGGTGTACACAAAAAAAAATTGTATAGGTATTACACAATATTATACATAATTTTTTCGGTTATCCAAAAAAACAAAGTATTTTGCAACTGTCAGCAGAAGAAGTATTTCCACAGATTAATCGTTTTAAACTAAAAAATCTATGTGCAACTCAATGGGTCGATCTCCATGATGCAGTTATAATATTTGAAGAACTTCAAACAGATATTTTACATGCACTAGATGAAATTACACTTAGGACAGATTCTAACACTTCTAGTTCTGCAAGTCATCTTCTTACTGCGATAAAACAGTTAAAATTTCAAACAGCTTTATCTATTTTAGTGAAAATACTTTCCATTAGTTTTCCTCTTAGTCGATATGTTCAAACAGTAAATCTTGATTTAAAAACTGCACTAGAAGCTTCATCTAATGTTCAAAATAATACTCAGGATATTAGAAAAAATAGTAATATAGAGTTTCAACATATATGTTTATCTATAATTGTCTATGAAATATTTGATATTACTGTTAGATTGACGTGACCAATTAAATCAGATGATCCAGAATATTTTTAAGGTCTCCGTATTCATACCTTTTATAGATGATTTTCCAGACCAATTGAACAAAAGATTTATATCACACAGGATTGTTTTGAATAATTTAGATTGTATTTTACCTAAGATAGAAATAAAAATATCTGAAAATATTAAAAGTAAATTCAAACAATTAGTAGTCACATATCCAAGATATAATTGATGAATCGATGAATGTGCCGATTCAAATTTAAATATTTATAATATATTAAACGGAGAATTAGATTTGTAGAACACTAAATATTCAACTTTAACATTTTCCGAACTCAAGAACAAAACAGCTGTGGCTGTCCTAGGATAATGAAAACGGATGCAGCCACTGTTATCAGTAATTGAATGTATACCTGTAAACAACGATAAAATGATTCTGAGCGAAGTTCAGTTGATAGTGATGCTTTGTCAACAATATATATACATCATGTTATCTATAACAAAATAATTAAATAGGCATTATGTATTTTCTACAATAATATTTATTAACTAATACCTACTTTTCTATATTTTTCAACTTTTCCTCCGTTTTTTTCACATTTGATTATAAAACTTCTGAGAAAATCGAAAAATGACCCTAAAGGACCTCCCCATACCGGTTCCTTTTCAGAAAAGGTGCTACACTTAAAAACCGGAATAAGATTTCTGTTGCGCACAGATAAATGGAAAAAAAAATAAACATCTTTGATTTACTAATATTAGTAAAACTAATAGCTCCTTCGCTACGCTCGGAATCTAAAATGTTAAAATTGCTTAATGTCTTAGTATACCATGGTAAAAGTAATTTTATATATGTAATGATACAAAAAAATAAAAATTATTATGATACTTGACCTTTTAACTGTTATCACATAACGATAAAATAACTATTTCAGCTTAATCTTATACAATGTAATCTCCAAATTATATTACGTTCAATCGTGTAATAATATACTATACAATCTATACAGACTGATAAATGATCAAATTATCGTAAAATAAGTACTTATTATCTCGAAAAGTGTTAAATTTGTCGGTATTTGTTTTGTAGAACATTTAAATACCAAACCGCTCTATTTACATTTATGTTATTTTAGGGGGTTAAACTACTACCTAGGTTTGTTTTTAAATGACGACCTATATTGAAAATTCCATAAATTTTGGTGCTGAATTTTTTGATTTCCATCTATCCATTGACGAGATATTCCACTTTTAAGTTTAGGTGACGGGAGAGTAGTAATGCCATTATTAAAATACTGCACGCCCTGCCGCCATAAAAATCATGGAAAAACTTGAATATCTCATCAACGAATTGATGGAAATAAAAAATTCAACAATAAAATGTATAGTAGGTTGTCATTTAAAAACTAAAAGTAGGTAGTGGTTTTACCTCCCAAAAATAACATAAATGTAAAATTGTAGAGCAGTTGGTTTCTCAAATGTTTTATAAAACAAATTCTGAAAAAAATTAATACTTTCCAAGATAATAAATGTCTTACGATAGGTTAATCACTCTGTATGATGATTGCTTTGCAAAAATAAACAGACGGACATATTTCGCACAATGGGCACAGCCACTGTTGTTGGAGAGAAGTTGGGAAAGTAGAATATAGAAGGGAATTTAATATATATATATATATGTAAGCAACGATAAACCATTGCTTACGAAAAAATGATTCTGAGCGGAGTTCAGTTGATAGTGATGCCTTGTTAACAATATAATATTGTATCATAATATGGTAAAATAATTAAATAGGCATTGTACATTTTCTTTGATAATATTTGTTTAATATTGTAGGTTGGTACTGATTTGTCCGTTTTACCTAGTTTTCTCAGGTTTTTCACATTTGCTGGGAAAACTCTCGGGAAAATAAAAAAATTAACTCCTTAATTTACCACCCCAAGAAAATTTCCTTTTAGAAAAAGATCTACATTGTGTACATCGAAGTAAGCTTTCCGGTAGAAAAATTGTTTCCATAAAAAAATAAACATCTTTGTAAAACCAATAAATTCTTCACTCCACTCGGAACCTAAAATACTAAATATTAACTGTTCAGCTAGGCATAGCAAATATAAATGCAATATTTCTATAAATTAATGTTAGTAATGTTACCGAAAAATATATAACAAAATGTTAGTATGTTCACATAATAATATAAGTAGTAAGTACTACCTGCACAAATTAGGCATACGAATATTGCGAACTAAGCCAGCTATGCATTTTGCGTAGCATTTTTCGAATTTTAATCGAAAATAACCCTCGATTTGTTGTGCAAAGCCACGTCGGGTAGATAACAGGGAAAAGTGAAAAGCATCATAGATGACATTAGAGAGCCATTGTAGTCACACGCTGTAGGGTTATTTTTGATTAAAATTCCTAAGTGAGTGCAGCGAAACATGCCGCGTTTGAACGTTTGTAACTTTAAAACTAAACCAGATAGACTTATTCTGACTTCAATAAAAAACTTTGTTATCAAAATATCATTGATATATGTCATGACAATGTTTGTATGAACGGGCAGCTAGTCTTATAATATAAAATACAAATACGAATAATATTTGTATACATTTTTAGTCTAACCTTGAACATAATGTTATAATGTTATACACAGATACACTATACAGTGATCAACATAATGTAAGACACTCATTATACACATATATATATATTTGTTCGAAATTATTTTTTTTTACAATCATAGATCTAAAATGTTTAGTTACTCTTATTTTCGGATGTAAAACACTATTTTTGACTTTACAAATGATAACCTGTATTAAATTAATTTAAATTAATTTTGGTCTTGAAATTTATTTAAACTTTAATTAAAATTTTAAGAAAAGTTATCATTTGAAAACCAAAAGTAGCTGGTAGGTAGTCGATTCGTGCACAAAAATAAGAGTGGAAAAAATTAATGATAATATTTTAGGGTACTAGTTTGTTACAGCTCCGCCACTTAGGTTTGATATCGCCCCGCCATTCATATAAAAATAAATACATCGTGTAAATATAAAATCATTCGCTGAAAAATACGTACCATTACTATTAGGTGCCTACCATAGGTGTTTATCACAAACAATCAATAGTATAAAAAGTTCATATAAATAATAGTTTAATATTGATATTTATTAATCTAATAATTCAACGATATATTGATATAACTCGGGAATCAAGGAAAGCATAAACACTTTTAAATTTTTTTTTTTAATACTATATCATTATTATTTGATTAAAAAATACCATTAAATAAACTCATTATTTTTATCTTATTGATTATTTGTGATAACAATAATATAATAATATCTGTTAGAGCTATTTGTTTCTACTAGAGTAGTGGAACCTCCACCTATCCACCAAACAAAATAATTAATAGCGGAATATTTCGTTTAACGAGTTGATATAAACTAAAAATATTATTTAAACTAAAGATTTCTAATATAGGTTGTTATTTGAAAATCAAAAGTAGTAAAATAACGTAACATTTTAGAATTACGTGTTATAAATGTTCTAAAAAACAAAATTCCGAAAAAAGTGAACAGTTTGTGAAATAATGAATGTCTTATGTATGTTGATCACTCTGTACGTAGCATAATATATTTTCTGCTCGCGGGTCAGCGTGCGGTGACGGTCAAATTCGCATTTGAGGAGTTGACATCCGGCACTCGGCAGTCGTATATTCGTAACCGTCATTATCAGCTATCACTAATCATATATAGCGTTTATCTTTAACCGTCGACAAACACGCGAGGGAGACGTCGATGTTTTTCACGTAACGTAACCAAAACTAATTGTTTTTATTTTAATTTTCTTGCCAATTATCGTTATTGTTTGGTACAATCGTTCCTGTCGGTGGATTTTTGCGAATTCCGTCGTTTTGAAATGGTAGACATCGAAAATGTGCTGGTTTCCCTGGGCATGGGCCGCTACCAGTACACGAGATGTATGCTGTTAGGCATAATGTTATTATACTCGAATATATCACGATTTACGTACGTCTTCACCGCCGGTGATTTAAAATACAGGTGATGAAATATACATTTTGTTCTTTTTTAACGTTATCTGTTTAAAATTCAAAGTCTGTCAATCTAATGAATATATTAACTTTGTTGAGTCAGTTGAAAAAAGTTAGCAAGTATTCCTTCGTTAAATGTTAGTTGTTTTATAAATTAACCGAGGCAAATTAAACGTTAGTTTTAAATACTAATGTATTAACTTAATTAATTTAATTCAATTTTTTTTTGGAAAAATTGCGATTTCTGAACTAAACTAGGAGTCGTACTTCAATGGGGGTTTTTTTTTTTATTCAATTGGAGCAATCAATGCCGTTACACATTTCATAACCCAGAAATCAATGGTGGCGACTGGCCGTAGAAATCCGTATACTAAACTCGTGGTTGATACGTGGGTATATGATGTGAAAATAACATAGACACATGGCCGTATGGTGGTATTTATACTATTTTCTAACAATTTAATATATGTATATGTTTTATGTAAGGATGGTGTCACATTACAACGGTTACGCCGTCCGGCGAAGACGTGACAAGTCACGGTTTCATAGGACTACCGTCACGCCGTCGATAAAATGTGTAAACACGTTGTTTCTTATCAGCTGTTACACTACAATGGCAATGACGTCCGGTAATGGACTTTAACATCTTTTATTTCTTTCAAAATACTGTATTAGCGAGTAGCGCAGAAACAACCTGTGTCGTAGTATTTACATACCTATTTATTCTTATAACGCAGTCCAAAATGAGCGTGTTTGACACCGAAATTTTCATAAATGATCCATACTTGAAAATGTATATTTCATTTTAATTGGGAATCAATATATATTTCTAGATATTTAATAGAATAAACTCTTTCAATATAATTACAAGAACTAGCTGAAATATTAGTAAGACGAGAAGTATTTTGGATGCTTAATTTCTGTTTTATATCACGATTTATATTTTGATTAATAAATATATGCTTAGTTTTATTTAAGTTAAGCTTAAAAAATTTCGGTCTATCAAAATCTGTCGTTGAAAGTAGGTGTTGCTATTTAAATAAATGCAAATTGTATTGCGAATGGGCACAAAGGGTTAAAAATTTGAAAATTGTAAAAATAATGTCTATTTCAATATTTCAACTATTTAAAAACACTTGAATTCAATATCACTGGACAGAATTATTGAGTGTTACCTTTAAAAGGAATTACACTGTATACAATTAGCTTGATTTTTTTTATAAATGATGCTTTACATACAATTTTATAATCGCTTCCTATTATTACCTGTTCCTGGATCCACTCTGAATATGACTAATACATACACAATCAATAGGTTAGAACACTATTGCGTATGTCTGTAAATGGATTAAAGAATTAGTAAAAAAATATTAAGACCTTTTTTTTTCATGCAAACAACTTTTTTACCTACAATTTTGCTCCAATTTATAATGATAGCGCTTTTTCTTAAAGGAAATCTGACTGGGGAGGTACTTAAAGGAGGTCATTTTTTGATTTTCCCAGGAGTTTTCTCAGTAAAGGAGGAAAATAGGAAAATGTTCGAAATGTAGGTATTAGTAAAAAAATATTTTTTGTTTTTTAATATGTGTATTATATATTTTTTAAATATGACTTTGTTTTAGAAAATATTACAATTCCTATACAAGTGAATAATAATTAATAATTATGGTAGGTTTATATATATATATGAATAAGATGGATTATTGTCTTAGCCAGTATGTTTTTGATTACATTGTTGGTTACAAGATCGTAGCCAAGAGATTTCCTGTGGGCCAATTTTTTTATTGTATCTTTTATTTCAGCAGGTGAGGTAGGTTATGCAGGCAGGGCAGGCAGGTAGCGGTAAACGGAGTGACTTTGTGACCATCTGTTGGTGCAGAGGTGGTGGTGAAATTGAGTTTGGTATAATTACTGTTGATAATTCCTCGGCTAAATTACGGTTTTTTTTTTCTGTGAACAACTTTTCTACCAGCAATTTTGCTCCGATTAACCCCCCAACGGGTAAATCGGTATCTATCTACAATATTAAACAAACATTATTAAAGAAAATATATAATGCATAAATTATAATTATTCTACCATAATATGACATATATATTGTTAACAAAGCAAGTATCAACACTATCAACTAAACTCCGCTCAGAACCATTTTCGTTAGCAATGGTTTATCGTTGGTTACAGATATAAATTAAATAACTTTATGTACCTATCTCTCCAACTATTAACCTACAACAGTGGCTGCACCTGTTTTCAGTATCAGCTCTTTTAAATTTGCAGATGTTCATATTTTGCCAAATTTACCTCCTATAACTTCCCAGCCCTAATAATAATTAACTTGAAAAAATTACATTTTCTAAGAACTGTAACGTATGCCTACTCACTTACTAAAATTGTAGCAGGGCATTTTGTCTTTCATTTACCTATGTTACTTTTCCGTGGGTTTCAGATGCGAAATACCGGAATGTGAGGGTACAGATCCCATAAAACAAATATACGATCAAGAGTGGTTGCGGTTTACGACGCCTTACAAAGAAGACACTCAACTGCCCTGCAAATGTCAACGATACGTCGCGTTGTCAGCCCCCGTCAACGGTACGCAATGTGCAGCCAGCGCATTTAACATTAACATTACGGAGGCGTGCTTTGGCCGTTGGGTATTCGAAGAACCAGAGAACACCATTGGCACAGAAGTAACCATATATTGTAATACCAATGTGACGTGAATGGCCGTCCTTATATAGAATTATTTAATGATACAATAATTATTGTTTTTTTTTCGAACACGAGGTCCAGTGTCTAGGTCTTGTCCACTCAGGGGTAAATCTGAAACTTATTTAAGGGGGGGATAGGAATATTTATGAGTGATATATAAAGTAAATTAAAGACTTGCCAGTTGTTACACTAATTTATGAAAAAGAAGTACAACGCTTATAATTAAATGTATCATTAATTCAATTTATGTACAAAGAAAATGGGCAACTTTACATGTGAGTGCAGCCATTGTTGTCGAAGAGAATTTGGGAATTTAGTAGAGTGGAGATTTAATGTAAGCAATGATAAATCATTGCTAACGAAAAAACGATTCTGAGTAGAGTTAAGTTGATAGTGTTACATTGTCATGTTTTATAAATGCCATATTATGGTAAAATACTTAGGTACATAGGCATTATATATTTTCTTTAATAATATTTGTTTGATATTATTCCTATTTTCCCATGTTTTTTCAGTTTTTCCCATTTATTGGGAAAATTAGTAAGAAAATAAAAAAAATGACCTTTTATAAGTACCTCCTTAGTCAGATTTTCTTTTATTTAAAGTGCTACACTTAAAGATTGGAGCAAGATTTCTAGTAGAAAAGTTGTCTACAGAAAAAATAAATAAACATTTTTGTAAAACCATAAGCTTCTTCTCTCCATTCAGAATCTAAAATGTATTATTCAAAAATATTAATTACAATAATAATTTAATTTCTTTTTTTCGTTGCAAATTTATTAATGACTTCTTGATTCTTTTATATTTACAATAATGTCTTTATGTGTGTGCAATAAAGCCAATCCATTTAGTCTACTATTGCCTATTCGTGGTCTTAACAATGTTTTTAATCTATAAATGAATACAAATAAAAAATAAAACAAATAGATTCTGTCTTCAAACATACGCTCCCAAGTCAAACACTCTCTGTATAGTAAAAAAAGCAAATAAATGGTCACAGAGTATTTCATTGTGTATCAAAAATATTAAATAAATCTGTAATTTAAAAAAACCTAAGGGAGAGGGTATCACCACAATGCCTCTCCCATAAATCCGCCACTATACCCACTCCTCCTAAGGACGGCCCTAGTAACTTGGTATAAAATCGTTCACTATTAATAATTTAAATCAATTTAATTGATTATAATGTATAGTTTGGAATTATGTGTGAAGAGAACAAATGGAAGTTATCTATGGTGGGAACAGTCAACAATTTTGGTCAATTCATCGGGATACCAATATCTGGTATTGGCGCTGATATGTAAGCACAATTTTTTCAGCTTGTATATTTATATCATTGTACATTCCTAATGTACATAATGTCTATATTTATTTTATCATAAGTATTAATGTTAATTTATTATCTGTTAATTTATTGATGTGAATGATTGTATTATTACAAAATTAGTTATTAAGGAGTTGATTTTATGTTTTGCAGATTTGGTAGGAAGTTTACTTTGGTGTTTTGTGCAGTTACATCAGCTGCATTAAGTATTATCCAGTCGTTTTCCATTAATTATGCATGTTTTTTGGTTTTGGAATTATTGTCATCAATAATTTCTAGTGGAATTTTTTCAATCACTTTTATATTAGGTACCTATTTAAAAGTAAATAATATCATGTACATTAAGTATTTTCATTATAAAATGTCTATACAGTTGAAAACAACTAAAAACAAAATAATGATTTTTTCTTCTAATTTTAGCAATAGAGTTTATTTTGCCTGACCAGCGAATACTCTATTTTTCAATCCTGGAAAGTTTTGTTCCTTTCGGATTAACACTGGTGTCTCTTATAGCCAGCCTGGTGAAAGATTGGAGAGTTTTATTGCAAATATTAAACATCCCAGGGCTACTGTTCATCTCATATTTTTGGTTCTTATATTGTAGATTTAAAGTTTAATGCTTATAGTTGATTTTCAGAACAGCAATATTGTTTTTATTTTATAAATAGGCTTTTAGAAGAATCAATGAGGTGGTTAGAAATGAAAGGTAAACACGACCAAGTGCTTAACGTCTTGAAAAATATAGCGACTATGAATAAAAAAGCCATGCCTGAACCTCCTCAGAATGTACAAATGAAGGTAATATTTCAAATTCACGTAACATTATTATACAGGTTGTTCCACAAAGATATACCCTTTACCCTTTTAATTTCTCTGGAGATAATAAAGATAATCAAATTTTGATTTTAGATTCTTAGTGAAACAAGAAATGTATTGGTTTTTGGGCTAGACGCTTTTTTCCCAAGTTTCAGTAATGCGATTATCTTGGCCTTCCTCTAAATCATAGGTATTCTTTGAGTGTCATTTATGTTGTTGATTAGGTTTATAATCCATACTTTTGTTTTCGGTCCAAGATTGCCGTATTTGCTCTGTGTATATATCATCTGGTCCAGTTGCTTTATGCTCTTTCATACTAGTGACTGCGTTTTCAAGGTCTTCCTTATCAAAATGTTTACTTATGGTTGGGGCCACACGAGCGTACAAAATGCGTAGATTCACACGAACTTTTTGAAGCGCGTCGTAGGACTACATTATCGGTTACGGGAGCAGGCACACGAGTAACGCGCGTTAAAAATAACGCACGTCAACACGGATGTCAAATTTTATCGACGTATTATCTCTTCGACGCACGTACAACGAACGATGTGTTGGCTTAGCTTTCGGGTCATTCCCAGGACTTCTAATTAGTTCCCAAGCTTTCTTGCTACTATGTCTCATGTCTATGTTCTCTAACATTTCGCACCATATGTTTCTCCTTACTTCCGATATAGTTTCTAATATTTCCATGCCCTATTCTATTGTAGCACTGAAGGGGTCTGTTTCGTATTAGGTAGTATATTTGTCGAGCTTTTTTACTGATTTCTGGCGTGATTTCCGTTATGTTTTGTTTTCGGCATCCTCTAGGTATATGTCTTCTGGATGTTTTCTTAACTATGTCGATGAATAGATCATAGTTTGTCGATGTGAGTGCTACATTTTTAATTTTTATTTTCGTTTAGGTTTTCAGTAAAAGTTTTCCAGTTGGCTTTTTTAAAATTATATCTCCTTTTGGATATTATGGTATGTCCCTTTATTGCTGATGTGACTTTACATAATATGGGCCGATGTTGGGTATTGGGCACTGGTTGGTTTACCAATTTCTTTCACATACTGGGCTGCAATTCTTTCGTTCACAAAGATGTATGTTATCTAGATTGTAACCTCTTGTCCATCTCCCATTAAGATGGCGGAAACTTATGATCATGAATTAGGGTCATTTTATCTCTTTCTGTCTAGGCTTCTAATTCGTGTCCATCATTGTTTGTCTCAGTATATCCCCAATTTTGACTATGGCAATTAATATATTAAAGTTCCTTGGCTGATTAAACTCAAAGGTAGAGTTTGGGAGTTTGTGCACAAAGGTTACTGTGTATTTCCCAAGGTCTACCAGTAATATTTCTACATGATTAATTTTTGTTATTTCTGAAAATTTTACTTGGGTGTTAGGTTTGACAAAGATTGCGCTACCATATTTTCTATAGAGTCGTAGTGCTGCTAATTTCATATCATTTATCTTAAGTATTTTCATATCTACGTCTCTGTGCGTCTTTTGAGGCAGATCACATCACAGAAATGGGTTTTACATAACTCTGCCAAAACTTTTGTTGCTTCACAGTTGCTTCGGATGCACCACGTAAAGGTTTTTTCATTGTATCCGATAATATGACATAATACCATATATTGTATTGTTGACAAAGTAACATTATCAATTTAATTCTGCTCATAATTGCTTTTTCGTTAGCAATAGTTTATCGTCGTTTACAGATATACATTAAATTACCATCTGTAGCCTACATTCCCAACTTCCCACCCACAACAGTGGCTGCATCCACGTGCGAAGTATGTCCGTCTTTTTTTTATATTACTCACATGGATGAGGACTACAAATACTTATTTTTGAAGATTTTTTTTTTTTTAGTAAAAAAATAACTTTATTTTATTATCTTTTGAAAATTTTAAGCTAGCTATTCTATAGAGTTTATTTTTCTGAAAATTTTAATGCATCGCACATTTATATCCAATGAATAGTTTCTAAGTGGGTAACAGCTGTTTTAAATTCTACTAATCCGTGTTGAAAACGGATGTTATCTAGGAATAACATAACCGCGTTATGCGATAACATCAGTTAGGTTAGGTTATTGAATTTAAAAAGGCTGTTACTTAGAAACTATCCATCAGATATAAATGTGTAATACATTAAAGTTTTCAAAAAATAATAAAATAAAGTTATTTTTTGACTAAAAAAAAAAATGTAGTTCAATTATAAATATTTGTAGTCTTCAGCCCTGTGAGTAATACAAAAACCATAGAAATTGATTACCTTTATTATTCCCAGGGATAATCAAGGGGTATATTTTTCTGGGACAGCCTGCATATAATTTAATTATTTTATTAGTGCAACAATTGTTTTTGTTGTTCTTTTAACTGGTAGATTCCATTATGAAGATGCCTATTGTAATACCATTAAATAATATTTTGGTTTTTACAGAAGTTGGATGGTGTAGATGATACGAACGACCCTAAAATAAGTTCCAATAATTTTAAAGATATGATTTGCTCTCAGGCTATATTCTGGAGAATGATCAGATGTTCATTGTTATGGTAAGATATCAATTAGTATATTATTAATTATTACCTATTTGTATCACATCGTACTGTAGTATATTAGCTAATAATCTATATGCATCTATGACTTGTGCAAACATAATACTATCCATCAACTACATCCCTACATGATGGAGTTTTTTTTATTTTTACAGGGTAATAGTAACTCTAATATATTATGGACTGACGATAAATTCAATAGACATAGATGGCAACAAATATTTAAATTTCTCATTGACCTCATTTATCGAAATTCCATCGTGCCTGTTATACTGTATAATTTTGGATAAGATGTCCAGGAAAATGTCATTGTCCTGCATGTTTTTATTGACCGGCTTCACTTGTGTCGTGTTCAACATTATACCTAAAGGCAAGTATCTATATTAGTACTTGTTACTTGCATTAATCACTCGCACCTTCTATGTAAAAGTAGTGCGAGTGAACTGAGGTCAAATAAACCACGAAAAACAGTTTGATTTTTTGATGTCACTTTTTCACTATGCCCAAAACAAAGGAAGTTTAGGTTATGCACATAAAGGTTATTTTCACAAAATTTAAAATAGTTTAAAACCCACATAGCCATTTATGTTTTTAAAGTAATCGGAGTTGAGGGATTTGGATGTTCGATCCGTGTTGAATGTTTAGAATATTATTATCACACTGCGATTACCGGTTTAAGAATTTGAGACGAAATATTTTTTCAATTATTATCAACATTTTCCATTACAATACTAAATTCTTTGAATACAAATTATAATGATTACTATTTACTATTACAAATATAACTGTAAATTATATTTTAAAAATGTCCATAGGGAAGGTAATCATCATACCTTAGTGTGATCACCAAGCCTCTACTTCTAGTTAGTACTATTTAAAATACATAATATAACTATAACTATGTTATTATAATATTATTTTGATTTTTTTTTTTGCACAACAGAATTCCACTGGATAAAGCTGTCGTTTTACCTGATTAGTAAACTGACCATATCCGTTGCGTTTTCCATTGTCTACTTGATGACAGCGGAAATATTTCCTACACAATTGCGTGCTACCATGGTATCCATATGCTCAATGTTCGGTCGGATCGGATCTATGTTGGCGCCACAGACCACGTTGTTGGTATACATATTATAACTAATTAAGTACCTATATTTATTTAAGATCTAGTGATAATGGTAAACATACTTACATATAATCATAAACTTGTATTCATTCATGACGGAGCTGTTTACGGGTTAAGTAAACTTATAGCGCAAGACCCAATACTAAAATATAACTTTTTTGACCAATGTGATGTACTTAACCTGAGATTTTTGTGAACGTAATACTATAATAATAATAATATATTCACCTGGGTCGTGTAATCTTAAACACATATAAAGAGGCACACAACATAGGCATAGAGGCATAGCACTTCATGGTTGTTAGTTTCAGTCATAGATTAAATAGACGGAGACAGCACATATAGATGTGGGGTCCTCTTAAGTTATTGTTTGTACCGATTTGTTTTTTTTCGTAGACTCAGTTTTTTGGTGGCTACATTATGATGGCCGTATTCAGTTCGGCCTCAGTCTTAGGAGCTGCCATCATCACCACATTGCCGGAGAGTAAAAATATACAATTGCCAGACACCATTGAAGAAGCCGAACAGATCGGGAATCAAACCGAAAGAGGGCGAGAAAATCGAGATTATAAACAAACATTTTGAGTGGTCTGATGTCATCTTTTAATGGGAGAAATGAATATTTTATATTTCATTTTAATTTTTTTTTTTTTTACCCAACACATTTCTTGTTGCTCTTTCTATTTTTGATAAGAATAAAAAGAAGAAAAGATTTGAATAATTTATTGACCATGAAAATCACAAAGCAATAATTATTTCTTAATTATATTACTATTATTATGTAGCATTGTATTATCTATTTAAATCAGGGTCTAAAATTATGTGCATTGTACAGTACTATGCTGTTTACTGTTAGTATAGGTAGATAGTATTAGGTATTGTTATATTTATTTAATAATTACTTGTTTTCCCGTATGACTTTGTTTGTATAAGTATTGAACGAAAAATATAAATGAGTTTTCATATAACTCTTGTTTCCATATCCAGACCTAACATTGCAATTAACCGTTATTTCCCGTAAATTTTTAAAAATTCATTTTTTTTTTCTTTTAGGGGTTAAATTTTGAGTAAATCCTTTCTTACTGATTGCCTTCTATACTTGATTTGGAGGATCGAGCCCCTCTATTAAAATCTAGGATATAAACTTTCCTTGAGTCCAAAGAATATGTGTGCAAAAACTGGTACTAATCGCTACAATAGTTTTTTAAGTCTATGGATCACAAATGAATATTCATTTTTATATAGTAGAGAATAGATAACACAAATGTGATTTTTCAAATAATGATTCATGTGTGAAAATGTTATTGAAATTCTTAATACTTTATTCTAGGGAAACCTTTTCTGATTATTTAAGTTCTATAACTCAATAAAAATTCAGTAATAGGATGTCTAATATTATATTATTATATATATATATATATTTATGTTTTAAAAAAAAAAATGATTAATTAATATAATTATGTAATGTAAAATGTATATGTACTTTTGTATGGGGACAGGGTGGGGTATGTTTTCAGTAGTATAATTAAATACATTTTAAGCATGGATTTAAATACAATTTAATTCAAAATAGTCAAAATGTATATAATATTATCCCGCTCCTCACGTCTACTACAATGAATATATAAGTTCGGGTGCCTCAATTACAGCGGAACTATTATCAAAGTATTTTTCAACAGTTAAAATCCTATTAATCATTTAACCCCCTATCCAACTTATCCCGCAGTCCCCACGTACAACCTTCCTAACTACATATTCTGCTGCACTTTTCTTCGCAATATCAAGTTTCTAGGCCCGGATTGTATCCAGGGTGATTTTCTTTTTCGGCTGAAAGATACCATTGCCTGACCACTATGTATTCTTTTTTTCAAAGTCCTTAAACTCCTGTATTTTTCCCTTAACCTAAAACTTGGTTCCATTACCTCTATCCTTAAGTCAGGCAACCCACAAAATCTAAATGTAACCAACTACCGTTCTATCACTATCTTACCACACGTTTCAAAAATCTTTGGAATAATCATCCATTCATTCGTCCATCTATTAATCATATCCCCGTTGACGAACAACACATCCCGCCCTGGCTAATAAACCGCAACCTGTAACTTGACTCTATCTTCATATATATACGATTCTTTTCGTGACCGCTGCCAAGTTGACGCGATATAAAACAGTTTGTTTCATCCCACAATATGGGTGATTCCCGGTATAGCTTTATAAGCTTGCTTGTATCTTCTATATTCCATTTTTTTTTTCGTATTCATTTATATGAATATATTCGTCTACGCTTATATGAAAACTATAAAATTATTGAAACTTGAAAACTGTAGGATTGCACTACTCAATTGTACACTTACTACCTATTATACTAAATATCGCACTACTCATGAGACAATATCTTATCTGTTGGTTATTTTTAAAACACTGTCTACACTATAAGATATATATCTTGTATTATCTATGGTCCACACTCGTTCGACAATGTTCAAAAACAAAACACAAACATTTTAAAGTTAACTGACACCGCTCGAGAAATGACTTTGTTTCAAAAAAAATGAACAATTTGTTGGAAAAAACATCCCTAATTGTTTTAAAAATATTTTGATTTTATCATAAAAACACAAATTTCTGTTTTGTTTTTATTTCGTCGTCTCAGTGTGGATTCGGCAATTAACAAACTCGTCATGGTTTAGGACGACTGTTGAATTTCATGTAGTTAACTAACTGATGGAGCTGATACGTAAAAAATTGCTTTTGCCCCTAATAAAGGACTACGGGAACACTGCAATATGTAGACCGTTTTCGAATGTCTTGCAGTCTGAACTACTGATTCTAGCAGTTGTCACGCGAGCGGCAGTAGCTGTCATAGGAATCGGTTACATTTATAAACAAGAAAAGTATAAGGTAGTAGCACTGATTTTTAATATTATAAAATTAACGGTAGTAGGTATCTGTGCAACAAAAATTAAATCGTACTGTCATTCGTTCTTCCTAGACGAGTGTAGCAAAGAATGTATTGGTTTTACAGATATATTTTTTTTTTTATGTAAACAATTTCTACCAGAAAGCTTACTCCGATGTATACGATGTAGATACTTTTCCGATTTTCTCATCAAATGTAATAAACCAAAAAAATAAACGGAAAAATGTATACAATGCAAGTATTAGTTGAAAAATATTTTGGCCCCTTTTTTTATCTTGTGAACAACTTTTCTACCAGCAATTTTGCTCAGATTTATGCTAAGAGTATACACGTTTGCGCGTACCTGACTGAGCACTGAACTTTGCCGGACCCCCTACTTCAATTCTGTACGCCACACTGTGTCGTCGTGTATACAGCAAGTTATAATATTTATTATAAGTATCGTCAAATAAATCGTAATATACACAAATACCTAGACTGTTTCAGCAAAATTAACGGGTAACATAGAAAAATTAGAAGTAAATTGTAGCGTTTATTCAAATTAAAACAGAGGATTTGTGTGAGAAAATACGTGTACGCAGTAAGGCCGTTAAAACAAAATATCATCGATATTTTGTTCTCTACGTATGTCGTATACCATGTCCATAGGCAGTCGCGAGATTGTTAGGTGGGTGATGAAGCTGTACCAATAATCGGGAATGGGAACACATCACCTAACGAACGTGTTTTCGTTCGCCACTGGGTAGTAAACTCTTAAGTTGGACATGGTATACAATGATAGCAATTTTTCTGAAAGGAAGTCTGACTGGGAAGGTACTTTATGGAGGTCATTATTTGATTTTCCCAGGTAGTTGTTTTCTCAACAAATGGGAAAAATCACTACAATATTAAACAAATATTATTTAAAAAAATAATATAATTATTATTTCACCGTAATATGACATATATTCTTGACAAAGCATTACTATCAACTGAACTCCGTTCAAAATGGTTTTTTTGTTAGTAATGGTTTATTGTTGCTGACAGGTATATATTCAATTTCCTTCTGTATCTTACCATCCCAATTTCCCATCTTCAACAGTGGCTGCACTCGTCCCCATTATACTGGGATAGCTTTTTGCTTTATTTCATCCCTATTACCAGATTAACCCATGAATTAACAAAAATAATTAGAGGTATATGGGTACCTAATTGAATACAGATATATAAAATATGAAACATTTTAAAAAAATATATGGGTATACATGAGTGGGCATTCATATTTTTATATTTTTTTAATATTTCAGTGGCACATTTGCAAAATCAGCAGCATACCATGTGAAACATGGGCCATGGGGGCGGAGTATCTTATGGTTTTGTGATAGTCATTGTATACTGTACTTATATTACTTTGGTCATAAATGAAAAAAAAACATAATGAAGAAATTAAATCTAAAGTTCTAACTCCAGAAAAGTTGAAACCTGTAGAAATGTTACTAAGCTTTCTTAATTTCTGCAGTGGAACAAGCAGCCTACTAGGTACGACAAGTGCAGTTAATGATATTGGCTTTAATTAAATAGGTCCGATAGTTTAGGACCAACATGTGATTATTTTTTGTTATATTCGATAAATTTGGTTTATGATAAAACATGTATCATCAAATTTTGTTCAAATAAAATAGTTTCATTATATTATGACTTTACATTTCACGCATTACTTATAAATAAAATTATAAAATAACATCATCATACAATATATATTGAAATATATCATTATCACAGTCTAATATTTTTAATACACTTAATACCAAATTTATAAATACATGTGCGATGTAGTGAACAAGGTAAGAAAGGATAGAAACTTAAAACATAAAAGTTCCATTAGAATTCATTGAATTACACAGGAATCTGAAACAAAATAGATATATTTTTACCAATTCACAATATTTCAACTTTTAACAATGCATTTATTTAATATTAATAAAAAAAACGTATAGAAAAATTATAAAAACTTAACAAAATTGTGATTAATCATTAACACATTAAAAACACCTTAATTGAGCAAATTTTTAGAGATGGAGGGCAATGAATAATAACTACTTATAAAATTATTGGATAGTTTCTGCGAATAAGTTATTCAAATAATATTTATTGTCTAAAACGACCCACTATTAAAATAAGTATTTAAATATTTTATATAATTCACAAAATTATTTGATGGTTAATATGAATGATCAATTATTATTATTCATTACCACCCATTACTACCAATTATTAAAATATTTAATAGCAGTTACATTTAAAACAAATAAAATATTTTAAACCTTACACTACATACAAAATACAATTTCATAAATTATCAATTTGATAAAAATAAGACTGACAAGTTTTTGCATTTCTTATAATAACAGGGTCATATCTCAAAAAAAATATTTAATTTAATTTTTTTCGTTCTTATTCAATCTTAAATTATCTATGGATATTAGATACAAACAAAATATGCAATGTAGGGTTAACATGACCTTTTTCAGTATTCTAAATAGAAATTTAAAATTATTTTAATAAAATACCTAATGAAATATAAAATTATAAGTTTTTGATAGATAAAAAATTACAACACTTAAAATCAAACAAATGCAACTCATATATATGAAATACCCTGTAAGTATAATATGAAAGATAATTAATAAATAGGAACTCTACAATAACAGATAAATTAAGATGAATAGTAATCTAACCATTAAAAAACTAATAATAATATCCAGTTCTATAATTGAATTATAAACTTGTTAAAATATTAAATTGTAATTCAGTTATTACCCTGTAGAATGTAGTCAATAAGTAATACTGTCATACTGTAAGTCAGATATATAACTATCTGACATTATAAAACAAATAAAAGAAAATTGCCACCAGAAGACATGGACTCTTTTTTTTTATGACTTTTGAAAGCATGTTTCAAGCATGTTTGATTTGTTTCAAAACCAGTACAATAAACTAATGAAAACCCTATTTCTTTTCAGGTGATAAATTATTCTTATAGTTTGATCTCAGAACTAGTCTGCTAACAACCCTGAACAATTTTGGAGACTTTTTATCTGGTTTACCTTTACTTAATGATGTTAATCCATCAGGAACATCAATAGAAGATTGGTCGTTAACTTTTTGATCTTTTGACTGCAATAATGCTCGTGCATTTTCACATTGAGTTGTCCAATCATTTACCTAAAAAATGAATAAATGATACAAATACTTTCATAATATGCTTTTACCTAATTACATGTTTCTTAATATAAACTTACTTGTTTGATAAGTAAATTATATCGAATACCAGGAGGTTCTTTTTCCAAGAGCTTATCTAATAAATCTAAACCAATTATAAACTTTTCAAGAGCTGCTTCATATTGACCTTCAACCAAGTACATTTGACCAGATAAGGCAATTTCTACAGCACTAGCTAATTGGGGTGTGTTTTGACATAACGATGCTATAAAATAAAAACACAGTTAAAACAATATTTAATGGTACAAATTTAATATCAAATACTGAAATCAAAAGAATAAGATTAGATTTTAGATTCTGAGTGAAGCGAAGAGGCTTATGATTTTGCAAAGATGTTAATTATGTATCTATGTGCAACTTTTCTACCAAAATACTTGCTCGGATTTCTACACATAGCACCTTATCTGAAAGAAAATCGATGTAGAGAAGTACTTTAAAGGGGTCAATTTTCGATTTTCTCATCAAATTTGAAAAACCGAAAAAAACAGAAAAATATATACAAAATGAAGGTATTAGTTAAAATATATTACGGCCTTATTTTTTTCTATGCACAACTTTTCTACCAGCAATTTTACTCAAACATTTAGATAATAATGTTTCCACAAGGAAATGTTACTATGGAGGTACTTTAAAGAAGTAATTTTTTCCAGAAGATGTGAAAACCGTGATAAAATATGGGAAAATCGGGAAAGAGGTAGGAAAAACGGTACAATATTATACTATATTTCTAAATAAATGGGAAAAATCGATACAGTATTAAACAAATTTTATTAAAAAAAATATATAAAACCTATTGAATTATTTTATTATAAAATGACATATATATAATTGACAAAGCATCACTTTCAACTGAATTCCGATCAGAATCGTTTTTTTGTAAGCAATGATTTATCGTTGCTTACTGATATGCATAAAATTCTTATCTATATATCTTACCATCCTAATTTTCCACCTACACCAGTGGCTGCACCTGTCCCCATTATCTTACCTTTCTTTTTTAATTTAGAACCTTGTTTAAAAATGAATGCTAATGAGTCTTGAGGATAAATATTATAAACATAAATAATAATTTATACTGGCAAATTACACTTGGGTAATATGAGTAATAATATCACCATATTTAAATAATAAATAGCTCTATAATTACAAGAATAAGAAAAACATAATAATTCAATAACATTTTATAATTGAAAATCATTCATTCAAAAATATAGTCTCTAAATAAAGAAAACTTACTAAATGTCAATCAATTTAATTTGATAATGTTTATAGAAAAATGATTTACTCATATAACGTATAAGAATATAAGTAATGATAAATTTAGGTAGTATACTAAATTTGTGTCTTACATAATATAAATATGTTTTCTTACTTAATGTAGGAATCTGTTGATCGCCATTAGATAATGTCAAAGGTTTTTCTGATGTTTCTTCATTGTTAATTTTTACTTTTGACACAAACAATGTTGCTTTTAATTCTTCAGCACGCTTCGTATATTCATTCAGTTTTATTTGGAATGCTTCTTTTTTATTTTTATCAGATTCATCTAAAAAAACAAGAAGTAAATATAGATTTTCAAGTAAGTTAATCATCACAAAAGGTACATAGAGTACCAGTTACATTTGTCCACATTAAACAGTTGCCCATAATGACCAAAATGAGTATTGTTATACGATGCAGATGTAGAATTGGGACTAGACCATTATGTCCATATTAGACTACTCACATTAAGCAAAATCCATTGTATACGTATTTATATTTGGTGTTTGATAATTATTACAATGTAATAATTCTACTTATTTATTTAAAAATACTAGCTTAATAATTAAGTCAATTTCATATATTCCTAATTAATATTTGTATGTATTAAGTCATTGTTATTTATAGAAGGTAGAACTTACAAAGTATAATTTTCAGTATTATTTAAATTTATTAAGGAAATTATATGTAAAAGAAGAGCTAATACTGGGGACGGGTGTGGCCATTGTTGTAAGTGAAAAGTTGGTAAGGTATTTTCATTTAAATTTGATTTCAAAACAATGCTTAAAGGAAAAAAAAAAAATTGTCTAATGATTTTGGATATTTTACCACGTCTAGGTAAGCCCAATCAATATAAGTATAACTATTTATTACTAAGTTTCAAGTCTCTACACGTATTTATAACCGAATTACAGCAAAAAAACTCCCAAAAATTAAAATTCCTTAAAAGCTCAAAGTTTAGGCAATGAAACCTTAAGAAAGTAAATACAAAATGTGACTTGTGATTTTTTCGATTAAATTATTTTTTTTTGGTAGAAAGTCATCCGTGTTATTATAAAATAATAAAAACGTGAAATTGTACGTTTTCCAATGTTTTTTCCTACTTAAAGGCTTTTATTTAAAAAATGGCGTCAAAAATCAAAAAATGACCTGTTTTATATACCATCTAGACAACTTGAGCTTTCAGAAAAGTTGCTACACTTAAAAATTAGAGCACGTTTACTAGAAAAAACGTGTCCCCAAACTAGAAAAAAAAGAAATAAACATCTTAGTAAAACCAATAGTTTTCTCGCAACGCTTGGAATCTAAAATATAAAATATCGAAGGATATTTTATATTTATTTTTCATATCACAAATCTTACTTTGAGAACACGGGATCAAATACTGCAGACCTATGCAATATTTACAAAATGCCGCTTTATATTGTTTTTTACAGTCTAATTTCACTGCCTCCTGAATAGCTTTAAGTCCTTTTGCATAAGATTCGGTACTAGGCATATGATCCAAGTCTAAAAATGGATGATTAAAAAACTGGTTGTAACTCATACGCTCAGATGGATTGTGCTTGAGTAGACCCATTAATAAATCCCTACATTCTGGGCTGACTTGATTAGATGGTATTTCTATTGGTAAAACTTTTTTAACTTTTTCACATAAATCTTTTATGGAATCTGAAGCATATGGAGCACGTCCATAAATACATTCATATGCTATTACTCCTACAGACCAGAGATCAGCTTTAACATCATATCGACTATGAAGTAACATTTCAGGAGCCATGTATAAAGGTGATCCGCGAATATTTTCCATTTGGGTTTTTTCACTCATAAATTTTGCTAAACCAAAATCTAAAAAAATAAAAACAAGTTAAGTAAAATATATATCTTAAAAACATATGGAGTACAATGATTGTACAAAAGGGAATAACAATGCAACTTTTAAAATTAAACTAAGTTTTGTAAAATGATAATAGGTTTACAAACCTCCAACTTTGAGAGTTAGCTGTGGTGTCCTCATTAAAAGTAAATTTTGAGGTTTTAGATCAAGATGAGAAACATTATGAGATCTTAAAAATTGTAAGGCTAAGGCTAATTGTTGCATAAATTTACGACATATTCTTTCAGAGAGCTTTGAGCGCTTTTTAATAAATGATGACAAATCACCACAATCACAATACTCTAGTATAATGTAAACGTTGTTACAGTCCCATACAAAATCAATCATTTGAACAATATATTCATGTTTTAATTTCTTCATTACACCTATTTCAGTTACAACAGCATCTTCCGCACTCTTAGATAATTTACTACGCCCTATAACTTTTATAGCAACCATATTTGAAATATCGTCCTGAAAAAAAATTAAATGATAAAAATCAATGTAATTTCAGTATAAATCTAATATAGAAATTCTGCATTTTTTTTTTTGAAAATCATTAGTTTTAAAGTTATAGCTATTTGAAATTTGGATATCATTATAGTCCAAGTGAGCGAGTGACCCCGCCGGGTCTACAGATACACATGAAATTCATTTGGCGTGGTTTTGTTAACAAATCTGAGGAAATTTTGGATTTTTACATATTAAAGCAAACAAAACATCTAAAATATTGGAAAGAAAGAGCAAAAAAACTGTCAGTTATTGTATTCAAGAACTTCCAATCTCTAGGATAACAGGTATGTATCTCCATTAGACTACAATAGACATACAGAAAAACTTAGCAATATTGGGTAATTTAACATAACACACATAATATCCAAACTTTAAATTGTTACAACTTCAAAACTAATATTTTAAAAAAATAAAAAATGTCGAGAGGGTGCTAAACTAGATTTTTCCCGTAATTATACTAGTACAATAAATCACATAAATCATTCAAAATGACTCCAATCTAATAAAATGTTATTTGTTATAGGATATTTTCGTAATGCTAAATTTCCTCAGTCATATTTGTGCAAAAAAAAAAAAGTTACTGATGGACAAGGTATAACTGTATAATCGTAACATTTAATAACTATAGGAGGTTTTTAACTCATAAGCAATAATCAACAAACATATTATTTAAATTGTTTAATTGGACATCCCAGATCGTTACAAATTGTATGCAAATATGACAAAAATATTATAATTTATTATAGATAATAATAATTTGTACATACCTTGGTGTGAGCTAAGTATACAGTTGACGTGCTTCCTTTTCCAATATTTTTAATTATTTTATAACCTTTAACGTGGGGAAAGGCAGACATTTTTTAGTGAATTGTTAATAGTTGGTTAAAATACAAAAATATAAACAATGAAAGCCTTGAGTTCATCGATTAAACACAAAAAAAAACAAGACAAATGAAAGTGTCACAATTGTAAATCACATTTGAGCATGATGTAATATATTCATTCTATAACAATCACTGTAACAAGCGAATATTGATTACAAATTAAAATACGGTTCACAAAATGTAGTTAATTTATATTGAATAAAGATGAAACTCCAGAAGGCATAGAGATTAAGTTAGGAACTACGATATTTAGCCTCTGTGGCTAAATACTATTCAGTCATCAATTGCAAAGCTGGTATTTTGCCTTTTGGAATTTAGAAATCTTGTTTTGATGAAGAAAAAATGCGCCATAAAATTGATAATGTAGGTTACCAGCATAAATTAAGATACTTTAAACCATGGTTATAAATATGGCCAACGTAAAAATATCGAAATCTAACGACCGTAGACGATAGACTAGAATCTGGTCATCTGATGAGAAAGGTATAGTCATAGATATTACATAAAATAATCTGTGGGTCTACACTCTACATTTACCCGTTGATAAAACAATTCTGTATCACTCGTAGACCACGGTGGAATCTATGTAATTATTGTACTATATCGTTATCGCAATTGTAATATAACATTATTTTTACGGACAGAGGGCGCAACAGTTGGTTAAGTTCGGTCTACTGCCTAGTTAGAAATCGGTATAGCATCCATTTGGTGTTCTGCCTTAAATGCATTTAATAATACATGGCGTTAAAATACTAAAAGATTAATAGTAGTACACCTTCCAGTCGTAAAAGTATGATGCTCGTCAATTATTATATTTTTAAATATTGGATTATACCATACCTCGACTTATGGATCAACGAAAAATTTAAGTTATTTCACTCAAAACTTAATTTAGCTAAATGTGTACTCCATTATAAGATTGGAGAGCAAACGAGAAACTGCACACTAAAACCAAATTTTCCGCAGGATGTTCTGTTACCTATGAAGTCATCCGAATCCGAATCAGATTTATCGTGACCAACTATTATCCTATACATTATTTATTTTTACCTCTATTCAAGTTTATCTATAAATTAAAAATGTATATTTAATTTTTTTTTAATCACTGTAATTACCATTGTAAAAACATAAATATGTCGAAACAATTAATAAAATAATGAAAAAAAAATAAAAATATTGGATCAAGTTTTTTTGATACAATACTTTCTAGTAGTTTTGGAATTATTGAGGTTATCAAAATAAGACGATAATTAGTTACTTGAGTATTGTTACTTCCTTTAGAGATTTGTGAAATATAGGTAACTTTCCATTTATTCAGAAAAACACTCGGCGAAAGAGATAAATTGAATAAGTGTAACAAGAGAATGGGGCAAGGACGAATTTACATTCACTAAAAAATATATTTGGAATTGCGTCCGGATCAGGACAATGTTTTAGTACTAAGGTTGAGTTCTTCGTGTATGCCATTTAAAGTTAAGATACAATTATTAAAATCAACAGATAGCATGTTTATATTTTCGATACTAAAGACTAAGTTATGATTATTTGTTTGATCAAATACGCTAAAGAAAAATTGAGCAAAACAATTGGTTATATTGAAACCACGTTTTTGGATGGTTTGTTACGAGGTAAAATTGACTCTCCTGAATTACTTTCTTAAATCTGCTTCAGAGTACCTCAACGTTTTCTCGATCTGTTGCACCTTTTTATGTTCCCTTTGCCTCCATCAACTATCTTAAAAATAAACTCATTGGACGTATGATGACGAATACCAATGTTGGTCCTTCGTTTCTTTTGAATCTTTTTATATAATACCTGTCTAGTAAAGTAGTAAGTATTAAGCTTTAAGTAATAAATTGTAACAATTAATGTGTATATATGTATATATTATGTTCAAAAGGATTATTCCGTATATTTAATAAAAATAAAATAATTCTAAAATGATTTTCGTAAAAAATATGAAATGCATCATTAATATTCAAATTAATAAATATATCATTCCAGTCTACTAAAGCAATATTTGATCTTATATCAAAATAGTCACAGTATACAGCGTCATAAATTTGTTCTTCATAATCAAAAGGTTGAAATAATAAAACCTAAATATTAATTAACAAAGCCGGATGATACATGCAATCTAATAGTACTAGGGGATATATTACTATGGACACATTTATATTATTTATAGTTGAAAAAAACTATATTTCCTTGTTATTAATGAAAAATACAAAGCAAATTCAAAAACGACCTCCTCACATTGCATCAACTTGACACAATTCGCTACTTTAAAATACCCCTAATATTGATGGTCGAATTAAGATTTCTGATCGAAAATTTGTTAACAGACAAAGAAAATCTCATCAAAATAAAACTATAGGCGGGTATAATATATATCTATACCTTTATATTATATATCCATAATACAAGTAATACGATTATACCTACCTATAAAATAATAGACATTATTTATATTGTTTGCAACTACTTTCGGTTATGAATTTATAATATTGTAAGAACTTAAAAACAAAATTGAGTGTAATTCTTAGGTAAATATTATTATTCCCTTAAATATATACTCGATACTTAAATATTTGTGCCGATAATATATTATTAATATGCAAGATTTAAACATAAGTTAATATACAAATGATTTTTGATAATGCGACACTAGTATCTTGAATCCGAATTAAATTACTTGGAAACCAAATTTTACATTTTATGGGTGTTCTAATATTACTATTCAATGGGCTATTTAGTGTATATTTGATATATGGTTTAAATTATCTAAGATCGTGGTTTAAATCTTAATAAATATGTCTATGTAGGTAACTTGTTTTTTACACTAGGCAACAATGATACCAATGTTTGGTTATTTTAAGTACCACCGGACGGTTTTCATTTATTCTACCTGTTTGTTTGGTAGCCGTGTAGAGTACATTTGTGAACTATCCAAACAGTATCTCAAATTTAAAACTATTAGTTATATTAGACCGTTTATTTTACATCACGTAATAAATAATATATATATAATATGTCCACTAAAGACGATTTGAAATATTTTATGAAACGGTTCGCCCAATTCGAAAAAAAAATAATACCCACCGCGAGTAGTAATTATGACTATTATACATCTGTACAATTACTTTTTTAACTATTTTTAAACTTTATAGTAATTTTGTCTAGTTGGTTCATTTTTGATTTTTCAAAATAATTGTAAAAACCAGAAAGAAAATTAGAGATAAAACAGTAAACTATTACAGCTTGCCACAGTGTTAATGATTTCATTGTACAGTAGAACCTCGATTATCAGAACCATTTACTATCTGAACATTATTTCGTTTCAATTCATGTATTCAAATGTTTACGAGATTTAGCTGTGCAAAAGCGTGTAGCAGCGATTCGTCAAATAAAAATTGATCAGTTTGACAAAAACAAATAATAATATATGTACATTAAAATAATAAGTCTCTAATATTTAATAATAATCATATATTCGTAATAAATAATAACATAGTATATCATGTGAAATAATAATTATAATAATTCAATAATATGTAATAATAATTCTATATTCATTGTATAAATAATATTTTTTTTAATTTCTACATCAGAACTCGGTGTGGTCCCAATAAGTTCGTATAATCTATGTTCTATTGTCTTTAATTTTTGCAAACAATGTTTTCTACCAGAAATAGTGTTCTAATTGAAAAATTACAAAAGATCGATTTTGTTCCTTATAGTATGCATCCAAATAAGTTTTTGTAATAATTGGGAAAAACCAAGAGACAAAACATGATTATTTTTCAAATAATGACGAAATCATTTTTTTTTTTTTTTAATGTTTAAGATTATATTTGTCTAACAAAAATTTTAGTTTAAATTTCAAGAATAGCATATTTTCTGAATAGTTTTTTAACTATTGGATAATAACAGGACATCTACATTATAATTTTACACTTGAAAATTCACATTTTTGATGTTTTAACAAACATTTGAAAAATGTATACATTTCTCTAAAATTTTATATTATTATAATTTGTTTGAAAAGATAATATAATATAATCATGGCTTGTCTAGGTCTTACATGTATTACAATAGACAAAATTATGTTACAATATTTCAAAAAACATATCCATAATTACTATTATTTTCATGACATTATCATATTTTATATTCAGCATTTGAAATTAAAAAAATAAAATGTATTTATTTGTTCTGTATTAACTAATCAGCTGTATAAAAACAAATCAATTAGATAGCTAGTATTCATCTTCAAAAATATCTATAATATGATATAATGTAATCATATAAATACAGTTTTCTTATTATAAGTTATTGCATACATTTTAATTACTTTGATGTCTAAATATAAAAAGCTATACATCAGTTTGATGAAATTATTGCTTTATTTTTACATAGTTCACTGTTAATTCAATAAAAATAAATTTAATAGATAAAACAAAAAAAAAAAAAAATGAAGAAATGAAAAATTTACTTTAATTTTTAAAAAGATAATGTAATATATAAATCATAAATTAAAAACTTACAACTCCAATAAATTAAATACTTATGATTGTATAATTTAAAAAAATAATAAAGTAATAAAAAAAATAAAATTCATACATTAGCAAAGGAAAATATTCCAAAGTGATGGGCAAAATAAAATTTAAAAAATAGAAAAAATAAAACAAAGACACATGTAAATACAATTTTGGTAACGTAACTTATTGCACATGAACATAGTTAAAAATAACCTTGTTAAATATTTCTAATTAAAAAAAGATGGTAATTGAACGGTTTAAAATTATAATGATCCAATGTTTAACTTTACACATTTTAAAGTAATAGAAAAGATATTTATATAACATAAGCATATAAAAATTAAGTACAATCTATTGAAATAGTAAATAGTCAGCCCATCACTGTATATCATATTAAGTACACGGCATTCAAAAAGAATAACCAATACTGAACACAGATAGAATTTGAAAAATAAAATAAATGAGTTTTTAAATATTAAAACCCTGTACTACATGTAATTGGAGGTTTATAAATATAATATAAATATTATTTACACAAATAATGTTAATTCTATTTTTAAGATCACAGTATTCAGACTGCTCTGAATTTATATTTAAATATAATTTTTATTTTAATTGAAATATATTAAAATTAGAAAAATATAGCTACACAGTTCTAACACTGTTAAAATTCAGTTGGTTTTCTAATATAAGTATTAAAAATTGACTACAATTTTATAAGACCAGTTAGAAATGTGTAGATGTTTGATACACAATTTCATGTAAAGTACACCTTAACTAAACATTTACAAAATTATTATTACTTCTTTATAAAATATAATTAAAAAATACTATATATTTTTCAGAAATATATATTTAAAAAAAAAAAAAATAAAACTATTAATGATCACCTCTTAATAATTCCATTAAGAGATTAAAGCTTTGTCCTTCTCCTTCTTTGCTCTTTATTGACAACATTTCTTTTCCAACCTAATAACAGATTAATAATAAATAAAATTTTTTGTTCCACAACTATAGTTAGTAAAAATGATAAAAATATAGAACAATGTTTTTATAATAAGTATTTGAAATATTCTCAATTTTAATATCAGTCTCACCATTATTCCGATTTCATATGAAAGCTATATTAAATTTATAAATGATTAAATTTTATTTAAACACTTATAAATACACAGTAATTATTTTTATCATAATGTTATACTAGCGATTATCTGTTCATGTTTAATAAAGATTTAATTATTAGTCTTTTTAGTAATTTTGGACTTGTCTAAGGCTTTTTTTTTTTTAAACAATATTTTAAACATTGTACCTGTATTCTTTATATTTCAAATAAAAACTTATGAAACTTTGATTCTATCAAATGAATTTGTCCAAAATTTTTTTAGATAATCGTTTGTAAAAATTACCGCCAGGCATTCATAATTATTTTTTAAAGTAAATGCTGTAATTAGGTAGATAAATTCACCTGACAAGTACGTTGTAAATCAGGTATCCTTAACAACAGCTCTCCAAATTTGGATGGCATGTCTGGGTAATGAGATATAGTATACTGTTGTAATGCATGTAATGCTTTTTCCTGTGATGCGCGAACTTTTTCTGGTTCTTTCAAGTCATTTGTGTCTGAAAAAAAATTATGTAGGTACTTTTGTAAAAAAATAACATTCTTATAATTTATTTTTTTATAAAAAAAAAACATACCAGATGATAATAGCACAATGACTTTCATGGCGACATATTCATATCGGTCTACTCTCAAACGTCTTAGATGCTGAGTGAAATTTAACATGCGCTCAATACAAGGTGCCAAACCTAAATCTCTTGCTTGGTCTAATGAAATAGACTTTCCTAAACTGACACGTATTTCCCCAGGACTACTAACTGATCGATAACAACAACTGAATAAGAGTAGCTCACACCAAGCATTTATCAATAATGATATCTGATCATCAATCTAAAAACAAATATTTTTATAAATAAATACAAATTATTATTATGCATACAAATAGCAGAAAATAGTAAAATGTATTTCTAACCGAAATATTTTTAAACAATGGCAATGACTTGCACCATTTGACTATTTTGTATAATCGATGATCAGCAATGTTGCATAAATTGGAAAGAAAATCTGTTCCTGAATTTTCTGCCATTAAACGACTTTTGGCTATTTCTTTGGCACCACCACAATGATTCATAGAACTTCCACTTGCATTTGATGATTCAAATGAGCCTTCATTGTAAGTCCATAAATGTTCCACTTCCATTATTTCCTAAAAAAAATTGTACGAGTATTAATTTGTCTGCAATATTTATTTTATAGATACTATTAAAATCAATTTGAATACACTCATCAAGTGCTAAAAACTAAAATATAACATATTTTCTTCTGAATTAAATATTATTTTAAATCAACCAAACATTTTAATGTTAAATATTATTAAAACTACTAGAATCATCTTGCCAAAATAAATTATTGTAACAAATATATATTAATTAAAGTTCCAAAACTCAATAATTTAGTTTTGTTCCAATGAAAACATTTTGATAACTTTAAATTATTAATAAAACAAAATGTAAATTTAAAAATAGTATGTATACATCACATAAAAGAATAGTGACACAAATCAATTTATAATTTACTATTATTTTTTCTTTGTGAAACTGTCACTTTAAGGTATGACTATTCTGGCTAGAAAATATTATGTAATCATGAGGATTAAATTAACACTAGTAGTATTTCTATTACATACACATATTTTTGGTAATTCAAATTACTTACTTGCAATAATTGGGGGATCAGTCTGGGCATTTCTTGAGGTGGAGATCTGCATGCTCGTTCTTCTTGTTTGACTTTGTTGTCAACAGAACTATTAGTCATTGCAGAGTGCTGCCCACTATGTTGTGGTTGAATATTGGATTGTGGTATAGTATAGGTAAATGGATAGGTGCTACGTCCCCCTCTAGTCCTATCAACTCTGATTGCTTCAAGTTTCATACCCATGTTCAAACACTTGTCAAAACGACAGGCTGGGCACTTTTTGCGCGTAGCTATTGTGATCAAACATACTGACCCATGCAGACAGACATAGTTCTTGTGATTTTGTACAGTACGTTTGAAAAATCCTTTACAACTTTCACACGAAAATATACCATAATGAAAGCCCGAAATTTTATCGCCACAAATCGGACAAGGACTAAAAACAAAATATTACATAGACAATACAGATATTTATAAAGAAATAGTATTTTATTAACTAGGGGCTTTAAATATTAAATACACCACCTGTTAATCAGCTGTTGCCTTGATATACCAGATGTTATACCATGCTGTTGACCGATATCCGACATAGACATTTTTTCTTCATATCCATTGGTTTCCTCAGCCACAGCATATTCATGGAAATTTCTCTGGATGTGTCTTGGCTGGATTGGAGACTGTGTTGGTGAAAACTGTGTAGGTGAAACAGACACCGATGAATAACTATAAATACAATATACAAAGAAAAGAAATCTTTATTATCATATTCACATTGAAAAGTTAAAAATTATCTAACAAATAACCATATTTATTGTATTACCTTTGGCTGTAACAAGAACTGTGTTGCGATCCACCATATTGTGATGCATCACTATTATTTCTTGACAGAGATGATGGTGTGAATGTGGACGGTGATGAAAACCCTGATGATGATGGAGGATTGTGTCTTGAAGTGATAGGTGATTGTGCAGGCGAGCAACATGAGTGAATAGCAGAGTCAGGACTTTGAGTTGGTGGAATGTGTGATGATTGTTTAACTCCGTTTGCCCTATGTTGCAGCAATGGGCTATAACCACCACCTAACAATTTGTCGACAAGTAATGGAATTTCGTTACTTGATGAAGTTACTTTACTTTTGACATGTTCTATCATTCGGTCAACCTGTTAAACATTTTTAATAAATTTAAAACTTAGGTACATAAATAGATATAAAGAAGAAAATATTAAAACGGGGAATATAAATGCTGCAATAAAATTCCATAGGGAAGACAGTTGGGATGACCAAGAGTAGGACTGTAAGATGCTGGTAGCTAAAACGGATGTGGAAGTCTAGGAAGTTGAATCAAATGAAAATGACTTTTCGATTGAAAAATCAGTACCAAAAACGAAAAATAAAAAAAAATAAAAGATATGGGTTTTAAACGAAAATAAATTAGTGCTCTCACTAAATTGTTGTCGTAAATGACTCGTTTAACAGAAGATTCTTGTTGATTGTTTACATTTTCATTTCGCGGAAACAAATAATTTTGATTTCCTGTTTGCATGTCCACGGTCCTGTCTTCATCCTGGAAATCATTTACGTTCGTAAAAATATCGTTATATAATGTGCAAAAATTTGTAACCACGTTACTTGTTTCATTTCTGAATCAGACAGTTCTCCTTCCCAAGACATTGGTCGGGGCATGTTTTCGGCGACGGCTCTCATTTTTTTACTTCTCATGGTGACCCCGGAAAAATCGATCTTACTCACTTCCCGGTCACATTCGGAACCGACTTCGTCGATGATATCCTCTTTGATTTCGGCCATCATTGTACCGTCTTTGTCGTGAGGTTCTTCTGGCAGCGGAAAAAAAAAAACAAAAAAATTGGTGATAATAAAAACCATGTCGTCCAAATAAAACGTCCTCCAAAGTGCGAATAACAGCGATGACGTAATATTATGTATATATGCGTGTGAAAACGACTAACGGTGTAAACAACACGTCGCGATCGCGTCAGTCACTTCCGGCGACAAACTGTCCGGATGAATCACGTCATTCGCGCATACCTTTTATCGTCGTGATCTGCGTCGTGTTGGGCAAATGCGGAGTGATCAGATTAATCGACGTTACGGTGACCGGGCCGGATGACACCTGCACGCTGTGGCCCCACATTATTCTGGTATCGCTGTTGGCCATCAAAAGCAACGTCACATCACGGTGGCAAAGGCAGCGGTCGTGATGTCGGAAAAGACCGTCATATTATATATTTACGTGCTCTTTACCGCGGCGGGGGTGCACTACCACCACCACCACCACCACCACAACAACAGCAACAACAACAACGACGACGACGACAACAACAAGAAGCGACGGTCACCACTACGTCAGATGTAGGAACAGCACGTAAAACCGTTGGCATTTGACGTGCCCGCTACAGTAACGGCAGACGTCGTACCCGGCGTTCGCCATCATCATCATCTTCGTCGTCGACAAACGTCGTCCGCTAGAAAAAAGAAATATAATAATAAACAATCAGTAGTCGTAGTCGTGTCGCACGTTGCGTGCGCCTTCGGTAAAAAATGTTACGCGTATAACAGTGTTCGCGGGCTACTATATTAATAATATTATACTGGTACACGCCGGCTGTCGCCGTGTCCCGGTGCTTCGACGGTGAAGCAACCGTCGAAGCAAACCGGTTGTGTGACCTGACGGTCGAGTGAAATGGCCGGTACGCTAGCGAGCGGATTGGTCGGCGGCGGCGCGAAGGGGTTATTGATGTCTTGGTCGCATTGTTTATAATAATTGGCAGTAGTAACAACGGCGCGGCGGTGGCAGAATATTATTGTGTTTTATTTGGACGCAGACTAATTTTTTTTTTTTTTTTCATTTCCCTCCCCTCCGTTTCCCACCCATTCGACAGTTGTTGCTTAGTCTGTACGCTGGCCGTAAATTTTATTTCGCGATAGAGTTATTTAAAGAAAAAAGGCAGTCCGTCGTCCCGAGTATCTGCAGTAATGACAAATCATAAAATTACAAAATTTTGTACGAGACAAACTCCGCTATAAACCATTTTTTTTTTTTTTCGTAGGTTCGTATGTCACTATATAATATAGGAATTTGAAAAGTAATGAAAAAACTTTATTATATTTTGTTAGGACAGAAGAGACGTATTTACTAGGACGGATAGGGAGATATAGCTACTCCCCTTGGTTGTTTTAAGTATATATTATTCTTTTGACTATACCTATTTAAGACTCGGGGCGTAGCGAGGGATTTATTGGTTTTACCATGTGTTTTTTTGATGTGTGTATCAAGTGTAGTATATTTTTTGAAAGGAAATTGTATCTATAGTTTATGTATTAAAGACGAAAAATGAAACCTGATAAATTTACTGAGTTCCGATTTCATTATTTTTACGTTTTATGTATTCTGACAGAAATGTTACTCCGATCGAAAAATGATAGATCTTTTTTTCAAATTTTTGATCTAGTTGATGAGTGAGAAAGTCGTTTTTTGATTTTCTTTGTAGTTTTTTTAACAAGCCAAATAAAAATATAGAAAGAACGGGAAAGTTTAAGGAAATAATGGTTATATTATTTTCTATTTTGTTTTTTTTAGTTATAATTCAGTTAAAAATATTCGTAGACTTGACATTTTGATCGATATCTTATATTTGCTTTATATAGAAGTGGTAAAATTTTAAAAACATACGAAATTTTTGAGCTATTTATAGGCATTTTAATTTTGCCAGTTTTTAATTCATTTTTATTTGTTAGGTACTCTGTAAATAAAATTGTTTGACCAAACAAAAATGATTGAAAATTTAACAGGTTCATTATAAGTTAAAGTGGTAAAAAAAAGTCGTTTGTAATGCATTTTTTTTTCTTATATGACTATACAATTTTGACGAAAATCGTAAATATTACATATTGCCTTTCAAAATATGTATAACCGCAACTTCACTGCGAATTGTTTTTCGTTAGCAACAGTTAATCGTTGCTTACAAATATAAATTAAATAACATGTATTCTACCTTCCTATCTTCTCAACTTCCTACCTTAGATAGTGGCACACCTGAACGCAGTATCAGTTCTTTTTTTTAATACATAGCATCATGCAGGCACGTACACAAAAAAAATGAGGGGGGGGGGTGTTAAAAAAAATTTACAACAATCAATATTTATAAAAAAATATTAAATTGATATAATTAAATTACAAAAATATTAATTTTCGGGGGGACGTTAAACCCCCAAAACGTTTTCCTTTTATTATTTCCTAATACAACCGCATTGTCTTTTAAATTTAACTATGTTAAATCTTTTACTCTTGTATTATAATATTTTCGATTTAATTTTCATTTTAATCTTAGATTCCGAGCGTAGCGAGGGAGTTATTGGTTTTACTAAGATGTTTATTTCTTTTTTTTTGTTCTAGTCTGTGGACAAGTTGTATCTTAGTAAACTTGCTCTGATTTTTACGTGTAGCAACTTTTCTGAAAGCCCAAGCTGTCTAGATGGTTCTTTAGAAAAGTTTTTGATTTTCGCCGCCATTTTTTTAAATAAAAGCACTTAAGTAGGAAAAAAACGTACAATTTTATGATTTCATTATTTTATAAAAACAAAAAAAAAAGATTTAATTGAAAAACCATAAGATACCTTTTTGATTTACTTTCTAACGGTATCATCGTCAAAACTTTTGAGATTTTAAGGAATTTTAATTTTTGGGAGTTTTTTTGCTGCAATTCGGTTATAAATACACATAGAGACTTGAAACTTGGTAATAAATAATAATATTTATATTAGACTTACTTAGACGCGGTAACATTTTCAAAATCATCGGACGACTTTTTTTTTTTTAATAAGCGTTTTGAAATCAAATTTAAACGAAAATCGTAAAAAAAAATATGGCACTTTAAATTATATATTACCGAACTGCGTTTGGAATCGTCTTTCGTCAATTTACAGGTTTATTTATCGTTGGTTATAGATATAAATGAAATAACCTTATGTATCCTACGTTCTCAATTTGTCACATACAACAGAGGCCGATTCCATCCCCAATATCAGCGGTTTATTTTATACTTAAATATCTTTATTGCGTTAATCAGAAAACCTATGTGAACATATTTATTTTTTTTATAACGAAACGTATATTCAAACTATTATATTATGAAGGAAGTTTGATTAGTACCTAAATAGTTATACGTAACAATTACTTATCCACTTATACCTAATTATGGATACCTAATCATCTAGATAGATACACCTAATAACTTAATAGTTGTTTGATTTGAATGATAATTTTAGTGGAAATTTGAATATTATTAATTGTTCGACAAATGCATAGTAAAGAAACCAATTAGCCTATGACACGTCACACAATACGACATAATTGAAGAGCTCAGTGGAACAACAATGCAAGTTCAAAATTACTTTTTAATAGTTTCAAGTTAAACAATAAGTGCTACATAATTTGGTGTGACCATAATGCGCGTCCGTCAACTAGGTACGAAGAAAATAATGATAGGGACTCGATGGAATAGATGGGTTTTTTTTCCCCGTAAAAAGTTCGAAAGAATGATTTGTCTTGTTGTTGCACTGAACCCTTCAATTTAAAAAATTCTATATAATATCCCTGTTTGGTGAAACAATCTCTTAAATATACGTCAATATTATAAATTGGCGTGTACACGATACCGATACAATAATGTTATTATGTATGACCTTAACACGATAAAATCAGAAAAGTTAAACATTCGTATAATCGTCGAAATATCGTATAGTACGGTGAGAGGAGTTGTATAATAATTATATACCGAATACGACGATGACGACGCCGACCGACATGGTCGCACAAAATCGGTTTAAAATGCAGTAGATAATATTATTATCTGCAGGTATAATACTGGTAATATTATTATGTTAAATCGGTGCGTAACTCTCGTATTATTATTATTATTACGCAACAAGTTCTATACATATAATAATTTCGCGCTGAATTCGTATTTATTTTAAAACGTGTAGCTGATATGTATCTGATATATAAATATATATGTATGTATATTTTTTTTTTCGTAATAATGTTCCCAAGATATTATAAATACGCGGTTGGCGAACGGTGATTTTTACTATCCGATACAATAAAATACTGTATTCGCGCTCAAAGTAGGTACCTCGTACCTATATTATAAATACTATAATATATACCTACCTAATAAATAACGACAATTATTTAGAAAGAAAAAAAAACGGTCGACAGTTTTGTTCGTGTCACGCGCATAAATATTACGTCCGCCGCGGTCGTTCCCTTTGTATTTTTCGAGCTCCAGAAAGAGAAATGATCGCATAAAATAATATAAATAATCGCGCGGAGACAGAGAGAGAGAGGGAGAGAGAGAGAGAGAGAGAGAGAGAGAGAGAGGAGGCGTGTGTCCTATATATTATTATAATTTTTAATGTATGTACATACTTATATTATATTATATATTATAGTTATAATACCGCCGGTTACTGGAAGGAAAATTATAAAATCGTACGCGGTCTGTCGATATAATAACATAATAATTAACAGTGATCAAATGCCTAATCTAAACTAAGCCAAGTTATAGAATCTATAATTTCGAGGAGGGGAATTGGAGAGGATAGCCGAAACGTCATTTATAGCATCGAGGAAAATCACTCGAATTGAAGAGGAACTTCCGCGAACTCGGGATAGATTCACAAAATATATCGATCCGAAAAGAATTTATTAAAATTTATTTCGAATCATCCATTACAAAATTATTAATATTAAAGTCAAACAGATATATCAATTTGTTTTAATAAAAATATTTAATGGCAAATGTCTTAAATGTTTAAAAAAAAATGAAAACGGAGAAAATATAAGAAATAAATTATAATGATGTATACGAGATTAATATCTCGAACTTCAGAGAATATTAACTTTTTTCGGAAAACTCATAAATAATTAACTCTTAAATGTTTCATTTTCATTAATTTTTGTCAATCTGATTTTTTTTTTTTTTTTTTGGGGGGGGGGGTGCAGCAAAACCACTACCCAATTTGGGTTTTAAGGTATCAAAGATACATAAATGAAGTTTTAATTTGAATACATTTTTTGGTGTTGACGATAATATATTCCACTTTTAAGTTTAGATAGGGGAAATGTAATGGAACAATATTCAAACGCAACGTAATGGTACAAACTTAAATACCAAATCAAAAAACCAATAAATTCGTCGTCACGTGTAGAATCTGAAAAACAAATGTAATTTACAAACTGACGAATAACAATAATTAATAGACGATTCACAAAAAAACTAATTAAAACTGGAATTCACAGATAAGCGTTTAAACAAATCCGCACGCACAGCCTTTGTGTTCAAATCCATCACATTTTGGTTTTCGACTATCGCCGACTGTCCCTTCCTCCTTTCTCCCGTTATCATAAATTATTTCTATAGTATATACACATAACGTATAAATAAGTTTTGCGACTCAGCATCGCTCTACAGCCGTGGTTTTATATTCAAATATTTAATTTCGAAATAATTAAGAATATTATAATTTATTGTTGTAAATAAAAAATCTACGGTTAAATGACTTATGTATTTGGTTTTATCCTCTGTATTTACAAGGGGCGTGCGGAACCTATTTGATTTAAATGTGTATAGTCCCTCCTAGTCAAAATTTGAAATTCCTATGATTATAAATTATAATATAGGGCTGTAAATTTCTAAAGCTGCAAAACAAATTGCTCTAAATGTCTAACTTCTTAAGGTTAAATCGGTTATTATAAAAAAAACGCAACATAATTATATTGAAAGTTACTTTTTTTAATTTCTTAACTTTTCGACTGTTAAATTATAATCAGTTAATTGGCGGAACTAATAACGTAAATTATAAAAAACTGTTATAGGATAATGGGGCCCAGTGCAGACACTGTTGTAGATGGGGAGTTTGAATCATAAGATACAGATGGGAATTTAATGTACATCTGTATGCAACGATAAACCATTGCAAACGAAAAAACGATTCTGAACAGAGTTCAGTCGAAAGTGATGCTTTATCAATAATATATATATATATATATCATATTATGGTAAAATAATTAAATATGCATAATATATTTGCTTTAATAATGTTTGTTTAATATTGATTCGATTTTCCCGTTTTTCCTACGTTTATCCCGGTTTTTCACATTTGCTGGGAAAACTCTTGGGAAAATCGAAAAATGACCTCTATAAACTACCACCCAGAGAAATTTTTTTTCATTTATTAGTTTTTGATTATATATCGTATACATCGGAGCAAGAAAATTAGAAAAAATAAACATCTTTGTAAAACCAATACATTCTTCGCTACACTCAGAACCTAAAATGTAAGAAGTTAGGAAACATTTTCAGATTTTGATAATGACGAGGAGTCGTTTGGTTTTATAACTGAACTTCGCTTAGAATCATGTTTCGTTAGTAATGATTTATACCTTCTATACATTCGCGCGTATACATTGCAGTATATTTTTTTTAAAGTCACTTATCTGAAAAGCGGTTTGTTTAAATTAATAAACAAAATTGTTAAATCAAATTACAAACACAGTAAATAATATTGAGTCCAACGAAAAACTTTCTATTTTGCAATAGCACTAATAGCAGCATGCCAACAATTATTTATTAAGTAATGCAAAAAAAACCAATAAAATACACATAAAAATAAACAAAATGTCTTAAAGTTCATCAATATATCATATTATCACGTGTGAAATATAAATTTAAAAAAAAAAATACCTACCGAAAATTTAAAATTAACTAACTTATTTTTATTTTTAACACGTTGGATTTGAATATTTTGGATATCCAAAATAAAGCATTATAAACATTGAATCTGTTTTCTTTTTTTTTTTGATGCATTTTTTAGTATATTGTTTTTCGTTTTCAGTCGGGGAAGATCCCATTTGTTCGATTGTTTTTTTTCCCCCTTAATATATTGAATTTTATTAATCGATGATTTTAAACACAAAATGTGCTGCAAACTCTTTGTATTGTTTTGTATTAGGCACATTGATTAATAATAAATATTATATTAATGGTTGTTTAATAAAGTTGGATTTGTTTTTTTCCAGCGACAGTAGTCGCGGACGGGTACAGGCCGCCCGACGACCGGTGTCGCGCGACGAACGATGCAGAGGACGCGGGCCGCGCGAGGTTGTTTATTTTTATAAATCGACGAGAGGACGTCGGCGACGGCGGCTGCGGCAGACGTTCAAAACCATTATATACGTATATTATACTATATATATACGTATACTATATACGTATATACCATTATATACGTATGTACTATTATATACGTATATACCATTATACCGTGGTGACTGCGTGTGTGCGACGACGGCGGTACAGGCGACGTTGCCACGCAGTTCGTCGGACTCTCAAAATTCAACCTTGCCAAGGTCAGGTTCGGACGCATGCGCGCGCGGGCGATCGCTGTACTCCCTTCGTACATTGTAGCGGCGTTTTTTTTTGGTTTTCATTTCAAAATATTTTATTTCCGAACGGATGCAAAATACACGCACAATATCTAATAATAATTATAATAATATGACGTCTAGCGCATCGGCCGATATCGAACGCCATGAAATCGCGATCCGGCCTGTCTAAATATAATGATAAGGATAACGATTATTGTGTTGTACGCCACTTGAAACGCATTCCTTTTGCGTGTGTAGACTGCAGTGACAATTTTAAGTCATTTTGACCGGGTGACACTGTAACTAAGGACTAGGAGTCTATCCTAGATATCTAAATATGTGCGCCGTAAAAAAATCTGATTCGCCACTGTATTGATTAGATTACCATAGCCCAAAAAAAAGAAAAAACCAAGAAAACCAAGAAAAGCAAAGAAAAACCCACGGGTTTGTAAAACAAAAATTATATAAAATATTGCCAGTTTATTTAATTTATTAAAAAACTACAAAGAAAAATGACACTAAAAATTATACAAGAAAGTTTATATAAAGATTTTGATTGGAGTAAAATATCTGGTAGACAAATTTCCAGAAATCGCACCCATCGTATCAAAACCAATACCTACATAAATATGTACCAACATTTAATACTTAAACATTTTTATAAATTCACTCGTCAACCATTTGCAAAATAAGATGTTTAATTTACATAGATTTCTACACATGAGTCGCCCAAATTCTTCCAAAATTGTATACGGAATTTTAGTTTATTGTTCAAAATACGTTTAGAAACCGAAAATTGTGTACGCTCGCTGAGTGGACTTTTATAAGTAATTATCAGTTATCGTAAGTACTTTAAAGTTTAGATTTACAAATATTTATTGTTTACGTGAGTCGTTTACTCGTTTACTGTGGGCCCGGCTTTTCCGTTTATAAATACCACGGGTAGTCATAAATAGTAACAAAACGTATTTTTCGATATTAGTCAATATATTTAAATTTGTATGGATAAAAACCCGGCTGGGGCCTAGAACTATGGTCCAGCCATGGGAACACTAATAATTCTTCATTATGTGACACCAGTTTCACATAATTTATAAAATGATAGGGGACAAAATATACACATGTTACTCTTTACCTTTATATTCTAGTATAGAGGTAATCTTACTGCGTTTTTATCACGATAAGGAAATGTACACTATTGACTTAAAACGTTTAGCGTTCAATTAGACAATATCGATAAAGAAAACCTCAAACAATTATTGTTTCGGAATATTTAAAAGTTCAAAATATTAAATACATTAGGTATTTTATTAGTTCATTTTTTTTTTTATATTAAAAAAAAAAAACCTCAAACGCTTATTAGTCGTCCCGCCAGATTTCGTCGGGTTGATTGTGAAGGGTTTTTACGTGCGTATTAAACGCTAAAATATCACGAACACCATTCAATACTATTTATTTATTTATAGTAATGTATTATAGTTTATTATATTTATATCCGTTGTTATTCAACTACCGCCGCCATAAGGTACCGTTCGCGAGTGTTTTCCGTAAGAAACTGTTAACCGCCGCCGCTATTCATCAAAAACGGTTTCGTATACTACGGTGAATAAAATAATGATAATAATATAATAAACGGCGGTGGCGGGTCGGTAGGCAGTAAAAAATACCCAATTCTCGAACGATGAGACTATTACGAGAGCCGTCGGTTTTTTTTCCCTCCGCGTGCAGTTTACTGCCTACGCGTCGCGTCGCGGATCCGAACGAATTTCTCGCCACTCGTTACGCGATTTTCGCGTTGTTTACGACAACAATTATTACTGTACACTGTACAACATAATAATAATAGTAATAAATATACAATACGTTACGCCACTGCAGTATTTTACAATAATATATTTATGTATGCATACGTGTGCGGTACGTTAATAATAGAAAACAAAAAAAATAAATAATAATAATAAAAACGCCGACGGCGGCGAGGCCCGACGAGGTTTGACGTGAGGTGTTCGTCTCGTCGTGACCTTGCCGCCACAGCGCGGTCGCAGAAGCAGTGCGGGCAGCACCCGCGGGGGAGCGGTAAGGTTTTGATGAGTTTTTTTTCGCTCTGTTAAAACACAAAACCCTTTTTTATATATTTTTTTAGAACATATTCGCCAACGTTGCCCAAACTCCTCTTGCCGACGCTCATCGTTTACTACACCTACCGCGGAAAGTATACGAATTAATTCGACGTGCTACGCCAAACATACTACGCCATCGCGAAAGTGTAAAAAAAGTAAGAAACGACGACGACGCAGCTTAACGACCAAAAAACCAAAGCGCGTTATTAACGGGGACGGTCGTCAGTATAACATATTACTATTATTATTATATACGACCCGAATCTGAACACGATTACCGCGTGTTTTAGGCTCTATTATAAATTGTGTGTATACACCCCGTAGACAATAATAATATTTAGGTGTACCTCGGTCATCAGTATACCGAAAACGATTTGTCACGTGAGATAGATTTTACACTTTAGCAAATTAGTCTCATTTGCACTGGTCAAATAGTTCTTGGAATGCGAAACTGTTTTTATAAAAGTTTAGATTCTAGACCATTATTAGATCTACTCTCACGTATGGGTGTGATTGTGTGAAGCATGGGGAATAATAACCATAACAGAAAATAAAATACTAAAATAACATTTGAGAGTAAGGGGCATAATATGATAAGGACCAGTTGATGATAGATACCAAGACTAATAAAATACTGCGGTCCTTAACTGCGAAGGAATCATTTTTCGCTAGAAAAAACACCAACTTAATTTGTTTATTATAGCATCAGATTCTAATAAAAAAATATAGCTTCGGGCGAATCGGTATAGAAAGTGAAAAATAAAAAGACCCCGCGAAAATTCATCTTTTTCGTCAATGTTTTAACACGATACTATTAAAATACTATTATTATAACAATACTTAGAAAAAAAAAAAAAACATTTTTACTGCACATGACGCGGATATCATCATATTCTATAAAATGTTTCACATAAGGCGAAATATATGATGAATATTTATAGAAACAGATTAGATTATTTCCAGGGAAAAACACTTTTTTATCCGACTAAATCGAAAAATATCATTATCTTCGTCGTGTTTGTATTAGATTGCTATTTTACTAACGATCATAACCATTAGCAAAGATTAACATTGAATTATTATTATTGTCCCGACGTTACAAAGCCAACGCAAAATTCGAATGACGCTGCACAATTCTCCAAAAAATCATTTCTGCCAACATCCATTCAAACAATAATATTATTCAACAGTAAAAATTAAAATGATTGTTCGAAAAACCCGCGACATCGATTCCAGATACATTTTTCACCGTATATTCAAGCATATGTTTATAGTAGGTTGCAGCATATTATACCGAGCAGAAATATGAAACCAATCGGTCGGAACAATATTATACTAAATTAAAAATAGATAATTCAATATTTTGTTACTCTAATCAATTTTTATTCGACATTCTCCCGAATTAGTAATGACGTAGATTCGCGAGATTCCAAAATGTGTTAAGAAATATTTTGTTTTATATTTGGCCTATATCAATTTTTAATATGCGTGTCAAGTTATTAACGAACACTCAAGTTCTAAAATGGCAGAATTCTGTATAATAACAATAATAAGTAATAGCATAATAAAAATTAATAGCTTGTCGACCTGGTGAAGTGAAGACCCTTAGTGCCTCATCACGAAGCCTCTTTCTTTTTTGTACATCTCGTCAAAAGTCGCATTTTCATGAACAAAATGTCTGTTTATTTTCTATATGAACCCTCTTGTTTTACTAATTAGCTATCAGCTCTATAATCATGTCCGAATAATTTCTAAAGACGTTTGCTTTTTATAAAATATAGAATATCTGACCTACCTATTAGTCTTGATTTGATCTTTTCTCGTAGGTCGCGACTCTTTAATCACACAAAATATTTATTTATTTTATTTGACTATTTTCTTTTTAATAAACAGTGGTATATTTTTTTATACCACTGTCGGTGATATACCTATATTATTGTCATACATATATTTGTTTATTATAATTTAAAAGAAAAGTTATAAAAGAAGTTATTAAAGAAAATTATAAGTAAAACTTTACAATAAAAAAATAAAAAATAAATTTAATAGCCGTTTTGGGTCACGGGCAAATAAAATATAGTTAAAAACGTCAAGTTCTACTATTAAATAATAAAATAAAAATAGGTACACACATTATTAACCAATACCAACGAGCCATATATATATATATATTGCAATATAATGAGTAAACGGTGTAAACCTGTTTAGTAAAATAACTGAATTCATTTAAACGAGTTTAATAACATAAATATAATACACCCAATGTAAGCAAATTGGACTGCATGGATTGGATTGGATATCGGTGATATTTTCTTTCTTTGTCTAACAAATAATACTCATGATAGAAATTTAAATCAATTTGCCTTCAATCATTCCGATTGACGTATAGTGCAGCGATAAGAATTCTGGAAACAAGATTGAAATTCAGCGAGAAGTATAGGTACATAAAATCGGTCAGGCTATTTTTTCGAAATTCAGTATTAAAACTTTCAAAAATTATCTAAATTTGAAAAATTTCACGTTTTGTTTTCAGAATATTCTTATCACTTCACTACATCGTTCGGACCCCGAATGAAGGCAAATCTACCTAAATTACTATGCTGCGGTATATGTGTTAACATTTTGAACAAAAAGAGAAAATGTAATATCGGTATCTGATTAGTAATATTATAAAATTCGACATTCAGCTCGGAAATGTATCATATTTTATAATGCATACCTAATGCATAAAAGGCAGTATTAAATTATTATTGGTGAAGTCAAACGAAAGTTGGAACACCTGTTGGATGGAACGTGCAGTGTCACTATGTCAAAGTCCAAGTCGAATGTTTCGAAAACGGGTCCACATGTAATACATAAATTTCGAACAATCGGCGAATAAAATGTAGTGTTGGGTCTCGTGTGTTCTTGTTCCATAAAGAGAAAGTTATAAGCGCACTGTAGTTATTGATTCGTCTTTGTTCTTTGGTCTTTAAATATCATTTCGGTTTATACGTGGTGAACGTCCACCCATTTAATACGTTACATTAAAGGTACAAACCGAATAACGGCTTTAGGCCAAAATAAGTTTCGTGATTTTTTTTTTTTTATACATAATACACGGTAATTCCGTCCAACGGAACTTTACGGGTTTGTTGTTACATTATTATATTTATACAGCTACACGCAAGGATGCATTGCCGGCAAAATTACTTATTTGATTATGCATATACGGTTCCACACGAAATATAATATGGGGGTGCCTATAGGTTTATTTTTTTTTATAAAATTTTCTTAACGGGCAATTTTTGGTGATGGGCATGTAGAAGAAAAAAAAACGAAAATCACACGTCGGCCGATGTACACCGTCTGTTCACAACGCGTGTTAAGTGAGGTATGATATTATAATTTAATACCCAAACGACCAATTTCCACAATTTACCTGTATATGATATTATAGGTACTCAAAATGTACATTTATTTAGTTCCTGCAATTATTCGAACGTGACCAATTCGGAAGTAGACCGTTATACTTATAGCTCAGTTATAGGTATCTGATAAGTATAGACATAATATTGCGCTCCGCACGCGCACAATTGTTGTTGCAACGACAACTGCTATACTGTTGAATAACTGCTGTCACTACTATAATATACATTATACGTCATATACAGAGTGATTCTTTTATTCTGTAACCTGCAAAGAATATTATTTATTTATTACGAAGATTTTTTTTTTTTTTTTAAAAGATTTCATAGAATAGCATTATATAGGAATAGGGCAGAGTAAAAAAACACTTCATTAATGCTACTTCGATCTAATAAATTGTTAAAATTGCTATCGTAATAAACGGTATCTTGCCAAATATAGCGTATACCTACGTATATTGTCGACAATTTTAGAAGAGTAAGTATAATAGTACATATTATCTGAATAATACACATCATCTTTTCTCAAATCGTTAATAAAAAAAATCCATAGGTACCTATGCAGATTCTTAATATTTTAAAAATCGCTAGAGTTGACGATGTTACTTGTTTACGATAAACGGAAAAAGGATAAAACGAGAGATGTCTTGTTATTAATAAGACAAATTCAAATTGACTCAACAATTTTCGTATAAATCATTACTACAGGTGACGACGAACGCAAGAAGCCCGATAACCAGGTAATAATTTTGCCGATGTTAAAATACAGACAAAATCGGATAAAAATATGTGAAATTTCAGGGTGGGAAACAAAATTAATAAAGATTTAATGTTCTTTCAACATAAAAACAGAATAACTAATATCTATTACAAAGGGAGGGCAAGCCTTACCCCTCCCGTGTCTATATTATATCTAAAATTTAGAGGATATAATTTGTATAGTAACCCTTTCATTAACATATACGTTTTTTATCAAACCGTAGATTGGTCTATTAGAATAATATACAATAATTCCAACTATCTATTTTATAATTGATTGCACTCATTTTTTTTCGTTCTTTAAAAGTTTTAACTTTTGCGTAATTTTTAAATTGTTTTATTATTGTTATATAATACAAGTTAAGTGATTTTCTTTCAGTATCCACTCTTCAATCATGATACTTGTATAATGTGCATATTACGTGGCTCTTCTGAGTGTCTCGAGGCATGTTTTCTAGAATTTTAATTTTTCATTTAAACATTTACTTTTTAGATTTTGAGTGGAACAAGGGTTTTATTGGTTTTACAATGAGTTTTTTTTTAAGTGTAATAACACTTTTTCTACAACTATAGCACCTTTTCTGAAATTAAACGTTTTCCGTGTGATACTTTAAAGAGGTAATTTTTTTAAAATTCTCATAAATATTTGAAACAATAAGGAAAAACTAATTTTAGGTTAAAAAAGATTGAAAGATAAGATAGACGACAGGCAACTGTTTTTTTTCTTTTTTTTTTTTAGAATTTTTAGTTAAAACTATGACAGTTCAACAATTAGAATATTAATATTGACAATTAATGTATATTTTAAATGATTGAACCTACAAAAAGTAGTGGAACGAAAAAGCTTATAGTTTTTACAAAGATACATATGTTTTTTTTTTACCTGTGCGCAACTTTTCTACCAGAAGACTAGCTTGAATTTCAACGGATAGTGTCTTTTCTGAAAGAAAACCGGCGAGAGGAGGTACTTAAAAGCAGTAATTTTTCAATTTTCTCAAGAGTTTTCTCAAAAAAATTTGAAAAACCGAAAAAAACAACGAGAAATGTACGAAATATTATACTATTAAAATATTACGATTGTTTTTCCTGTGCACAACTTTTCTACCACCAATTTCTACCAAGTTTCTAAAAGGAAATTTCACTGTGCGAAGTATGTCCGTCTTTTTTTATTATTTTTATTATTATTACAGAGAAAATTATTATTTTTTTTTTAATAAAAGAATTTGTTTTAGATTTGTGTTTTTAAAGTTTCCACTCATGATATCTTTTTGAATATTAAGCACATTAATTCTTTAGGATTAAGAAATGGTCAAACAATCAGGATGGACTATACAGAATATGATAGCACAATAGCATCCCCCTTCAGCTATAAAAGTATCCTAGATCGCCCCAAACACCGTAGTATTGTTTTTTTCTCATATTGTGGTAAAATATATAACAACTTGCATTGTTTAAAAGGTTTTCGCGCCTCACAATCTCAAAAAAACATTAGATTTTAAATGATTTTGTTCAACATTTTGTATTATATTCACAGTTCTATGAGGTATTATCTTTACTGCAAAACAACGATATTCAAACGGGACTACGAGAAAAAAATATTCGAGTCATAATAATATTATTTAATGCACACAATTATGAACTCTTATTATTTAGACAATAGTAAAATCGGGCGTAAGTACCACCCAGATAATTCCTGTTGATACGTAACTTTAAAATTATAATTTCAGTTAACAACAAGTGAATTTTCGTGGAGGTACCGAAAACAAACATTTTGTTTACCCACCAAACTGTTTACTTTAATATTACAAGGATTTTAATAGTAATAGCAATAGCAATAGCAATTTAATCGCCGTCAAAATAAGTTAAAATTATAATTAATATTGTCCCTGCCAAAAATCTGAAAAAGTTTTTTTTCAAACATTTCAGACCTCTGTGTGCTAAATTTTTCGAAAAACTGGGAATTCTATAGAAAAAATTGATCAAATAAAATACCACCACCGGGTGGAAAATTCGTATCCTTTAATAGTTTAGAAATATAATTTTTACTAATCGAAAAAGTTCTGTAAAAACACACACCTTAGCAAACCTAATATCTATAGGTACCATATTCCCTACACTTGGAATCTAAAAAAAAAGTTCGCTTGACCGACTGAGAAGTTTAGCAAGGAGGGAGGGGAGCTTCTTTGTAGATTTGCACCCCCACTGATTACGTGTCATATTAATTGTCAAAGCTACCGTATATTTTGGACAAAAACATACCTCAGAGGAAAACCTATCACGCCTTGTAGAATAGTTAGATTTTGATTTTTTTTTTTCAAAAATAGTAAAACTTTTTTGTAGGTTGCATTAAACTCTAATTATTGAAATTCTAATTCCTAGAAACCATATTAAACATCTGAAAATGAGCAATTCATAGACTTATTTTCTGAAATTTCAAGCAGAATAATCGAATATCCAAATTCAATGTGACATGCAAAAAGTGTCGGTCTCAAATAAAAAAAATAATAATAATAATATTGAAATGTGAACGGTTTTCCGCGAAGTAGTTTTTGTCCGTACACCTTCGTCTTAAAGGGATATCAGGCAGTTGATTAGTAGAAAAGTCTTATCTTTTTGGCAAACATTAAAATGTTAAAAATAATATTTTCAAATTTTATAAAACTGGAGACAATTTGGAAAACCGACTGTAACTACGGTTTTGGCACTTAAACAATATATTTGTGCTCAATTTGTATAAGTACTTGGTTTATAGGTTAGGATATTATTTTACAATTTAGTAGCGACGAGCAACGGCTTTACGTGCATATGAGTATTGTAGACCGTAGTAATGGATAAATAAGTAGGTGCAGCCGTTGTCGACATAGGAAAGAAAAAAAACAATAGTTTTATTTATTTATTTTTTAAAACATCATCGTCGGACGCATAATAGTGACCTTGACCGCAGATTGACGCGGCCTAGGAAGGATGACCGAGACCGTGGGGCGGCGCGTTTCGGCCGTTGACTCCGTACGATTCGGGAGCAGGTAGGTCCACACACGAGTGCGTGTGTGTGCAGTATACAGTATTATACCCAACAGTATTATTGTTTGCTTCACACTGTTCTTAGTTTTCCCAAAAAAAAAAAAAAAAAAAACATCACCGCGTACTACAATTCGTCCATTGTGCTGCGCAGACGTAAAGAATATAATATACACGGTGTGTAGGTAGTAGATCCGTCGACAACGACAAAAATGCATTTTCCCCGTAAAAATAAAAATTAATAAAAAAAAAACGTCCGCGCACGACAGATATTATTAGCACACGCACACACACAATGGCCGTTATTGTTTCGTTTCGTATAATAATTTATCGGTTCCGATTATTTTTTTTTATTACGATTTTCTTTATCATTGGTTTTTACAATCGCGATTTTTAGCGTGCGACTGACGTTATAAATATAACGTTACATGGCCCTTATAAGGACGATCGCGATGGTGCGCGCGTTCAAGGTCAACGGTCTGAAATATCGAGGAATAGGGTGGCGGCGGTGACGGGAAACAACGGTGGCTGCGACGGCGGTGGTGCGGGGACGACGGCGGCGGGGCACGACGAGAGTTCACAAAGAATGGCACGATACCGTTACAAAACATCCGCAGCTAGAGGCCGTCAACCGGCATCTCTGTTAGCCACGTCCGTTACGGGGCCCCCCTCTACACCCCCGGTCGCCGATTCCTGTCCTTCCCCCTACCGCGGCCGACACCTCGTGACTATTTCCAGCGTATCTACGCGCTGCTGCTGCAAAAAGTCTCGTCCGACACGCAACAATAAAAAAATAACAATAATAAAAAATGATAAATACGAAATATCATCATATTATATTTATCTACTTACGCCGCCGGGCGATTGAATAACAGCCGGGTAACAACAATCTCCCAACGGCCGCTGCACTCGAGCACCGTTTCGGGATATATCCCGTTTTAAGTTAAACACCAATGTATCTTGCACTAAAAACCCAGCTATACGTAGTGAAACGACTTCACACGAATCGTTTATAAACGAGTAATAATAATTGTATCGGTTAAATTGTATTAATGTTTACCTGTGGAGAAGTATTTAATCCGTTTAGTGAAACTTCGAGACTGTTGCTATTATTTTAGTATCGTATTATCGTCCGAAATTCAGGTATACGCACTATAAAAAAAACAACCGCGTTCAGTCTTCGTAACAGGGTCCGCGAACGAGAAAACCGACGGCGGGCGCGAAAATTACCAACGAATATATTACAGAAGTACAAATACTGGTAAACTGGTAACCGGTAACAATATCAATAACAATGAAAACGTTACGAGACAATGGTTAAAAAATAAATAAATAAAATAACAATCGAAAAGAACGCGTAGACGAGTAGACAGCGGGCGATCGGCGACGGTTTAGAAACACGTCCGTACCCACGACTACGACTGCGACTACTGAATACTTGTGCCTGCGCGCGTGTATGTATCGGTGACGGCGCGGCAGCAGCAGCGACGGCAACGGACAACGGTTGCCCCGCTGTTGCATGGGAAGCGCGGCGCGGTGCAATGAGTTATTGTATGTGTATGTGTGTGTGTGTGTATGCATACGTATACAACAAATAATAAGCGCGCGCGTGTGTGCGTGTATTTCTGTATATATGAGTAATACACAACTACGGCGGCGGCGGCCCGTCGAATGTCGGACGGCGGTGCTCGCGGTGCGCGTAGGGTGAACGGGAATGAAGATGAAGGTCGTCTGGGTTTGACGAAGCGCGTCGCGCACGCAGTGAGGAGGGCACAATTGCGCGGCGCGGGCGCCGAGCACTCTCCGCCGAACGTCGCCGCCACGCGTTTTATTACAGAATGGGAATATAATATTATTATTATGCACCGCAACGCCATCTGTTCGTGTGCATTTCGCGGCGCGGAGAATGCGAGATCCGTCGCGACTTTTGAACGTCGCACTTGGTTCACCGTCGTGCCCCGCCGCGCCTACAGTGTCGTTCGTACGGATTTATAGACTTTTTTTTCTCTCATTCGTACGGTCGCGCCGGGGCAGACGCGTGCGACGACGACCTTTTATCCGTACGTCGACCTTGAACCCTCAAGGTCGTTTTCCACAAATTTTTGTTTTTCGTCCCCGCGGCCGTGGTGATATCGCACTCTTTGTTATTGTTTATTGCCGTCTATATAAAATAAACATGTTTTGTTTAAATTCGATAACGCCACCGCTATTTGCACTGCCGATGTATATGTATGAGTGTGTATACACGTACCGCATACAATCATCGTTTTTCACGCGTACACGTGTTGCATCGAGCGCGCCTGTGAATGAATCTAAATTATACAGAGTGATCCTTTTATCACGAACTAGGACCAAGAAGATTTTAAGTACATGTACGTTTATTTTATATAGGTTTTTTTTTTTTTAGAAAATCGTTTAATCGGCGTATTTTTCAAAATTTTACCACAAAAAATACGTACCATAAGGACCATAAAGACAAAAATACAACTATTCCATTTTTAAATCTCATCTTACTATTTTAAACCGTTTACAATTCAAAAGTGAACGCTAAACGTTTTATTAGCTATTCTGGTATTCATATCGGTAACATTAATGTTGATTCATTACATTCCAGAATCCAGACACGACAGAAATCTATAGAGCGTCGTCAATTTTTTCTACTAAATAATCGAACTATAGGCTCGGAGTTTTTCCCGATCAATAAATAAAGCATAAACAAAACGTTTATGAGTAGGTAAGCACAAATCATAATAGTCATAAAAGTTTCAAATTCTTCTTATTTTCTAGTTCAAGAATTATCCTGTATACGCGTTATTATTTATTTTTTATCAAGATTCACGTGCTGAATCGTCTATCTCACAACACCGGGAATGAAGCCACGGAATTTAAAATGTCCACAAAGTATAAATGTTGCGCCCGGCCGCATTATCCTGCAACCAAACCATCACATACTATTATTATTAAACTCAATTTAAATTGAAAACTGTATTAAGTATTTTTAACTTTTTTTTTTGATATTGGAACAGCAGTAGAGGATCTGTTTTTGACAATACTTCTCCGCTACTGAAATAATTTATTATTTAGCATATTATAATTATTTTGTTACAAATCCTATGTTCCCCTTCGCTGAGCAAGCTCGCATGAATAATATACGATTGAATAAATTCAACTAAGAACGGGATGTGCTGGCTGTTGTCCCACAGTATTTCGTTAATTAAATTAATTAACACTACTATTGTACATTGGCCCTGTCCTTCACGGCCCAGTTCAGAAACCCACCGGCGTCAACGGAAATCAAAAATGTCAACACCAAAATGCATTTAAACTAATACACAATCTATTTATAGAATTTTTAATATAGATAACCGTTTGAAAATTAAAAGTAGGTAGTGGTTTCAAAAATAAGGACCATGTAAAATTTAAGAATATATGATTCCAAAAATCATTTGTTGAAAAAATAAGCATATCATAAAAAAATTGAATGAAACTTGAGTGACCCTGTATTTTCAAAAACATTTTAACTAAACTTCGCTCATAATCGTTTACAATGATTTATCGTTTCATACAGTAATAAATTAAATTAACCTATATATAGTTCTACTATTCTAACTTTCTACCTTCTATAGTAGCCTACCCATGGTACGGAAAATCGGATTATTGATTATTGTATATTCATAGAAAATATGAGTGCATGAAAATTTCAAGTTGATCGGACCACGGGAAATGAACGGGGATCGTTTCATTTTTACATAGGCATATAGGTAGGTATCAAGGGATACCTAATTAAATAATAATGATAATTATAAAACATAGGTAAGTAACATTATTTTATAATATGATTGGGAGAGAACTAATACAAATTTTCAGGGATTAAGAATTCTCATAAAATGCTACTTTTTAACCAATATAACTGGTAGAGTAAAAATAAACGGGAGTAAGATTTGCCTATTACACTGATTATAATTAGAGATCAGACGACAGGACACCGATTATTTCCTCGATAGTATAGAAGTAAATATCCTCGTCTCTCACGCGGGAGACTATGGTGTTCGATTTCTCGCTGTAGATTCATTTGACGCAGCTCATTCTCGTCCGAAAATAGAGTTAAAAATGAGGTGGCCGGACCGGAATTCAAATCCGAGTCTCTCGCTTGTCATGCGATTACTTTACCACTTAGCTACCCAGTACTTGAATTCTAATTTTATTTCCGCTGAACTTAAACAATCTAACATCCCGGGTTTAGACTTTTAGTGAAATAGCTATGTTTACAATTGTGAGGACAATACGGCTTGCGGGTTTTCGCTCTGTTTCTCGAGGCTTGAGGCACAGAATATCTTATATTAACATGGAGTGATGAGATCGTGGGCCCAGGCAGTTGAAAATTGGTTATGCTTGACGCGATCAATCATCAATGTCCCGTGATGGAATGCTCGTAGAGCCACAGAGGAGGTCTTAAACATCACTAGGAGTGAGATCGTGTGTTCCGCTATGTCAATCGGGTGTACAAGAGAGACACTCTGCGTCAGAGACACGCCCCATGTGACAAAGATAGGGTCTGAAATACTGAAGTACCTATGATCCAATAGAACCTGAGTGAAGCAGAATATAATGTCTTTAACAGTTCTCGTCACTTATCTCCTCAGGTCCGACAGGGCGTCGGAAGTTCGGGTGACGACGAAAAGCGCCAGATTGTCGGTGAAGCTGAAAAGCTAAAACCCAACTGGACGTCAAGGTTGAAGAGGTCATCGTAGAATATGTTCAACAATGTGGGCCCGAGGATAGAGTTCAAGGGAACGACTCCTGTGACTTGACTCCTTGGCTTGACAGAGCTGGAACTATTCAGACTATAATATACCGTGAGGGTGCAATTCTATACACAATAATATTTTACTATATATATCCTATAGGTAAGTACAAAATAATTTTTGGGAACATTTATAAACATTATTCCATATTACTTGTATTTTTTTTTTACTTATATAAATATAGATATCATTGTAAAAACCAATTAGCTCTATTAATCCGATGCGTGTTCTACTGAAAACTCAATGTATTTTAGGCAGATTGTTTAAAAAAAAAAGATGTTAAGATATAAGTAATTTATAAGTTCCAATCAGGTAACCTCATTCGGTTGATACTCTACGATCGTAAAACAAGAACGTGTCATGATATATATGTAAACTGAAAGGAAAATCTATTCGTGAGTATATTGTATTGGGACTGTAGAAGTGATGAACTTATGGTTTGAAATTCAATTGGGTTAACATTCGAACTATAAATCAAGTCGTATTGCCTGCGATGACTCATCGGCAACTAATCGGCATTTAATTCGTACCTTATGCAGTTATGCGAAGAAGAAGACGTTCAATATCCTCTATACAATACAGGTAAATTTAGTCCAATACCTATATAACTAGTAACGTATAAGTATAATATAGTTTCGACGACAAATATCACGTCAATTAATCATTACAACACGAGATATCCTTATTGGCTTACGGTATTCCATCACGCAAATAGAATATTTCTATAATATATAGAATATAATTCTATATATTTAAGAATAATATAACCGCTAGGCAAAATATATACTTTTTAATACCTATTTCTAATATTTCGATAAAGTCTATAATACCTTCCTACTGGTTTTGTAGTTTTTTTTTAAAATTATGTATGGTACAGTCATAGGCAAAACTACGGGTTAGGCTAGTCACCTAATATACTGACTAGATAACAAATTGATTAACTAACTTGATCATTTTAAATTAAAAACTTAAATTCCTTATCAAAATGCTTATAATTTTGTTTAAATTAATATACAAACATAATACATGGGTAATCTATTCATACCTATTGTAAATGTGAGTTTGATATAATTCCAATATTTAAAATTTGTATGGCTTATGTTTTCTAGAAAAAATAGTGCTACAATAGAAAAACGACAGAGACTTGTTTTTTGCATTTTTCATCTAGATCTTGAATACTGAATAATTAATTCGTTTTTTGATTTTTTTTTTTTTTTTTTTGTAGTTTTTGTTATAATTGAGCAAAACCCGGTAAATACATAGAAAAAAAGGAACAATTTACGAACATAATTCTTTTATTACTTTCAATTTTGTTTTTTTTATTGTAATTCAGTTAAAAATATTTGTAGGGATTTAAAGTTTGGATAGATAATTTATATTTGTCTTTTCTAGACATGCTAAAATGGTAAAATGTTCATAATTTTTATTTATTTAATATTTAATGGTTTAAAAATATTAGATGCTGACGTTCTGTAAAACATAATATAGAGTAACAAAAAATCCAAATTATTACATAATATTATATGTAAAGTTGGTTATTAAAAAATACATAAAAACATGAACTTACATTTTTAACAATGCAGAAGTATCATAATAACTAGGGAATGATTACAACTTTAAGTACCTACATATACTTATGTAAAGTAGGTACTTTACCTACCTAGTTATTACTGAGGTCTACTGCATTATGAATAAGCCATTAACAATGCATTGCTTATTAAAATGTAGGTCTTATTTTTATTTTATTTTCCATTGAGGACTATAATACAGAAATTATATTCTCCTGAGCTCTGGGAAAACCAAAAATGATCTCTTTAAAGTAACAACCCAGTCAGATTTCCTTTCAGAAAAAATGCTATCATTGTAAATCGGTGCCAAATTACTGGTAGAAAAGTTGTTCACAGATAAAAAAAATAAAATATTAACATCATTGTAATACCAATACATTCCTCACTCTGCTCAGAATCTCAAATAAAATGAGAATGCTTTAAAAATCCTCTCGGATAAAAAAATATTCTCTACATTATTCCACTCAACCATTTTTTTACCACTTAGTAAAACTTATAATTAATCTTATGTTAAATTTCTCGCTGTGCTGCCTACCAAAATATAAGTACTTTAAAAATTTTAAACATCTCCTGTTAATATGACAAGTGAATATTAACAAAATTATTAATAAAAAACATATTGATAAAATTCATATAGAAATTTTATCGCTATAATCTAAACAAATTATAAATCTAATTAAATATTATTTAATTGTGTTAAATGACGAACACAGGTCTTAAGTTTTTTGACCTGTTAAATATAACTTAGCGGCCTTTCTTCATCCAATGCCAGCTAATGTAGGTAATAGGAATAGCGAACTGCTCCGGAGTGTTTCACTATCAAGAAATTCGTTGGTACAAACCGGTGTAAATTTCCCCTTGAAAATCAAACCGGTGTGAATTTGAGAAATATTTTGGAGTAACCGGTGTTATTAATTTTAACACCGTTTTAATTTTTCTGCACCATCACATGCATATGGTGCAAACTATTTAAACCGGTTTCATCCCCTCTAATTTGCCCCTCAAAATAATAAACTAGCAGATAAATGATAATAATAATAATTTAATTTATAATAATTAATACGTATTCAAATTAATTTGTATCAAGTACTTATTAGAGAGAAATGATAAGTATAGTATTGGTTAATACACTAATAATTTAAATAATTGATTAATATTAAATTGATAGTATTATCAATGTTAATTTTGGACAATAGTGGAGATATACCGATTTCCATTGTTGAATCAAGACGAACCGGTACAAAATGTATCGGTTCGTAACAAACGAAATTCTAGAATAACGAACTCAAAAACATTGAATAACTACAAAAAAGTTGGGAAGATAGTAGAGGAGAAATATATAATATATATGCAATTTTTTGGTAAAATAATTATAAAGGCATTATATATTTTCTTTAATAATATTTGAAAATCTTGAACTTATTTACCCGGATTTCCATGTGTGTTCCCCGTTTTCCCCATTTGTTAAGAAAATTCCTCAGAAAATTAAAAAATGACCTCTTCAAAGTATCTCAACAGTCAGATTTCCATTCAGAAAAGTGGCTAAACTTAAAAATAGGAGCAAGAATTCTAGTAGAAAAGTTGTCCACAGATAAAAGAAAAATACAAATATCTTTGTAAAACCATAAGCTTCTTCTGTTCACTCAAAATCTAAAAATCAAAATTAACATAAATCTTTATTGCGTATATAGTGATTCTCTATTTTTATATACCGATTTTTATCTCATTAATCATTATTAGAAAAACTTACAAGGAAAATAAAATATTACCATCTAAACGAAGATTGATAGGTAGGTAAGAAGAAAAGATTAGAAAAGTAAAAACCACTCCTACAAGTGATGATGATTGGAACAAGAATTCTGGTTGATTAATTTGTTTAAGTACGTAAATAATAACAAAATTACCATACTTATATATTGACATCTTCATAATGTAAATTATCAATTGTAAATGTAACGTTCTAAGTGGAACAATTTACAATTGGATGAATGAGTATTAGTCCATAATTATAAACTAAGCGGCATTATATTATTATTTATGATGGGAACCAAGAACCAACTTAATATTATAATGTAAAACGTTTTTATTTTGGCTTACCTTACGATTTAGTTGTGCTCTACCTCTGCCTGTATTTTCAAGGTTAATTCTGAGTGGTTTTTGATTTTATCAGTAAAGCCGTATATCTATATTCATGGTCGGTTCATAGAATCATGGCATAATTCTATAGGACATTAATAATTTTCCAGTTTTATTAATATTATACACAGATTATATAAATCGGTTTTTTATTTGTGATATTACTATAGTATAATATTATTATATTGGTCTAGTCCATCTAGTATTAAATATTTTATTTTCTTCATTTTTCTTTTTGTATACTTAATATAATTGTTAAAAATGAATAAACTATCATGTTGTTATGTTCGCTATTGTAAGACTTTAAGTAAAATATCAAATGTTATGAAGACTTCCCATCGTTCGTTTTACAAGTAAATACACATTGATAAAATAATAAATAAAATATTTAATAGGTACTTACTACCTAATTTGTAAATTATTATAAATTTAAAATTATGATCATAATAAATATAAATTAAAAAAATATTTTATACTTTCTGTTACTTATCTAAATAATTTTTATAGACATTTTACAAAAAAAGATGAAACATCACTTGATCAATTAAAAAACATTTACAAATTAAAACTTCTACCTCTTGAAAAGCGCTACTTATATCATGAGTTTCATTTGCCTCCGTTGACTGATCAAGACTTTGATGCGAAACCAATGGTTCTATTTGTTGGCCAATATTCTACTGGCAAAACAACCATGATTAAGTAAATAAAAAAAAACTATTTTTTTTTTTAACTTATAGGTAAACTATAAACTAGATAACTAGTTTAAAGAAATTTTATATTTGAAATATTTAGGTGCCTACTTAAGTACAAATTTATTTCATCACTTTTAGATATCTCATTGAAAAAGACTATCCGGGTATCCGAATAGGTCCAGAACCAACAACAGATAAATTTACGGTAATCATGGGTGGCGATAAAGAACAATATATTCCTGGTAATGCGCTTGTAGCTGATCCATCCAAACAGTTTAATGACTTGTCTCGATTTGGAAATAAATTTTTGACAAAACTACAATGTGCAATAGTGGATTCTCCTTTATTAAATTGTATTTCATTTGTCGATACGCCTGGTATATTATCAGGCGAAAAACAAAGATCTCAGCGAGAATACAATTTTAATAATACATTAAATTGGTTTGCTGAAAGATCAGATATGATAATATTGACTTTTGATGCTAATAAGTTGGATATATCTGATGAATTAAAGGCAGCTATTGATATATTAAAAGCTCATGATAGCAAATTAAGAATTGTTTTAAATAAAGCTGATACAATTGAGTAAGTTTATAAATCATTTTATTTAACTTTGAATACCTAGAATTTAACAACTTTATTATGATGTCTATGTAAACATTTAATTGGATTCTTTTATTGAATTTGGTTTTTAATTTATAATATTTAATTGATACAAATCAAAAGAAAATGCATTTAGTTAGAGATATATATTTTTTTTTTAAAATAAAGAATATCAAACACAAATCAAGGAAATACCTGTGTACTTGTTTGATTTTTTTTATTAAAATATAATATGTTTGACCCGATTTATTGTAATATGAAATAAATTGTTTTATGTAAAATAAAACTAAACTGAAAATGAATTATAATAAAATAGTTAAATTTAAAATATATATACATATATAATTTGATTATTTTATATATATATATATATGTGTGTTTATCAATTTTAAATAAATTAAATGGATATTGTAACAAATTTATTTTATGCATTCAGGGAAAGAGCATTTCATAGAGTTCACGGTGCACTTATGTGGGCTCTTGGAAAAACAATTGACTGTCCAGAAGTTCCAAGAGTATATGTTGGTTCATTTTGGGATCGGCCTTATAAAAATGATAATTATAGAATGTAAGTTTATAAAAAATTAATTTATAGTTAATAAATTCTATATAACATTTGAAATAAAGTGGATTCCGATGTTCAGACTTTATATTTTGCTTTTTTCTTCTTGATGTATAATAGTGGTTTTTTATTATTTTAAATTATTATAAGTATACAAATGTTTTAGTATGTTTAATGAAGAAGAAAATGATTTATTTCAAGACATGAAGTCTCTTCCACAGTATTCAATTGTATCTAAATTGAATCATATTGGAAAGCGAGCAAAATCAGTCATAGTATATTAAAATCATATGTTTATTTAAATGTGTAAATATTTTATCAGACAATTATTATTTTAGGTGCATGCATACATAATAAGTGAACTTAAGTCGCGTATGCCATTACTATCAAAAGTTATAAAAAGAAAAAACTATCAAAATGAGATAATAAATAATTTAGAAAATGTATATAACGATATCCAAGTTAAGTACAAAAACATAAGCTTGGGTGATTTTCCAGATGTAGAACAGATGAAGGTTTATAAATGATTTTTAAATAACTTCAGCATTTTAATTTATAATTATGTTTCAATAGGTAGTGTTAAAAAATCGTGATTTCTCTTCTTTTAAGTCTTTGGATGAAAAATTAATAAACCGTGCAACAAATTTATTGGATGGACTTAATATAGATATTGCAGTAAATGAAATAGAAGTAAAAAGTAGGTTTAGCGTAAAAAAATAATATATATATATAAGTACCTATATAATTATATATTATTTATATTTTATATCATAATTAAGATTATTTAAGATAAAATAATTAAATTTAAGTCCTATAAATAAGAGCTGATCCAGAAAAAGATAGTGGGGAGAAGGGTGATTTTAAAAATAAATATAAGGTACACATTTACAATGAGCTCAATGATAAATCAAAAGCACATTAGTGAGTAAACGGGAGGAAGGGATGATTTCTTCCTCTCTGGATCTGTCACTGTTTGTAATATAATTGTTTCTTGTTTTTGCATCATATATATGTTGAACTATTTAATTTACAACATCAATAAAATATAAAAATGATATTTTTATTATTTTAATTAATTAAACTACAATTGCTTAAATCTTATAAGTACCCTACTTAGAGACAGTTCACAGACATACTTTTAGTCTTAAATTCTAGTGTTTACATATATAATAATATAGTGGATAATCCTAAGATAATCTTAACAAAGTTTTAAATTTGTATTTATCATTATTAAACTATAATGGATAATTTTGTATATTTTTCAGGTAATATAATTTTAAATAAAGTTGACAATTCAAGTCCTTTTAATGTAAAAACTGATGGTATTCATGAAGGAAAATTTGAACAAGGATGGATTGTTGATTATTACAGGGGACCTTTTGATGAAATATTTAATAGTCTTGAAAAAAACAATGGAAAAGTAATTCGTGCAGGTAATTATAAATAGTACACAATCATACTATGAATTAGAATATGAACACGTTTAAAGAATTTTTTTTTCTCAATATTATTTCAATACATTTTTGTTTAGCTGCTAAAGAAGAATTTCTGAAAACGAAATTGCCCGATTCTGTTCTATCAAAAATATGGAAATTAGCTGACATTGATAACGATGGACTTTTGGATTCTGATGAATTTGCTTTAGCCATGTATTTAATCAAAATTAAAAATGAAGGCTCTGAATTACCAACTACTTTACCAAATCATTTATTACCATTGTCAAAACGTGTTAACTCAACTAATAGTATATCAAATCCTATTAAATAACACATTTTTATCTTGGTGGGTATTTTTTAACCGTTTAACCTACCAGCTGATACCAATTGATGTTTCCACTGATTGCGGCTATAATGAGTTCATTTATGGTAAATTTTGTCTTGTAAAAATGTTAATTAAAATTGTTCATTGAATAAACCTTAACCAAGCACAATGCATACATATTTTAATATTTTTAGTGAATCAGACTGATCCTTACAAATACTTTCAGACTTATTTTTCTTGTATTAGTTAAAAATGTTATTTAACCACCTTAAGTATTGTTTTCTTTGGAAGTCCAATTTGGCCATTATGCTCTGTCCAGTGCATTGTAATGTTATTATTTATTAATATACAGGGTAATTCAAAATGTATGTTACAACGATACAATTATCAAATAAATATTTAAAATAGAAAAAAATATTAATATAAATGGTTTTTATTTATAAATATTAACAATTATTCGTATAATTTTTTTTTTACGTTTTTAGGGAATTTTAGGAGTCAACTTTTGAAATTTAAATGAAAACCTATATTTTTTTTCAAACATAGTGTAAAGATATTTTTTAAATACATTTTAGATTTTAAAATATTTGATATAACGGCTGTTACATTATATATTTGTATATTATGTTCTATTTGTTAATTGAATAAGATACCTATTGTAAAATCAATGCTTTTTTTATACAATTTCCTATTGATGTTTTACTACCAAATAATTATATATTTTATTGAATTATAAATGATTTTATAAAATGTTATTAATTTCTTAACAACCCCAATGATTTTATTGTAAGTCATTCATTTTTGTTCTATAAGAGGATTTACTCAGAACATATTTTAAAAGATTTTTACCAGGTGGCAATGTGACAAAAAGAACTTTCTGACCGATAGTACATTTTGATTTAGGAATCTATTTGTTCAATTAACCTTAAATCATTTGTTTGTCATTAAAGTTTAACAAATAACAAATATGAAATAGGTGTATATATATTAAATGATGGCCAGGGCCAATATTTTAAAATATGATCTGTGAGTACTTTATACTGTATAAAAGGATTGTAATTGCACATCATTTTATGATGCGCATGGCTAATGAACAACCTAACTTTTAACTTAATCATTTTGTATTGTTTTATCACTATTTTTATGTAAATTAAAAATTATACTTATATGTAATATGTAATTGGGCTTGCCCGTATTGTTTTCAATAAATAAATAAATAATTAGTTATTCTTATTTTATACAAAACCTATGTTTACAATAGTAATAACCTTATATAATGGTATAATTTTCACTATTTGTTTTAATCAGTTATCTATGTGATCGATATACTGACACTTATAAATTGGGAATATTTTGTGTAATTTATTAATTTTTTTTGTAATTTTGGCAGAGCTCGATTTAGGGGGGACGCATGGGAACGGAGTACCCCAAATAATTTTTCAGAAATTTTAGTATACCCCTACTATTATTTTTAACGCACGGGACGCTTCATCATTTTACTTTTTTATCAAAATGTGCGAAATACTATCATAATTTGTCTTATTTATCTTATTTCAAAACCGTGCATCTATATAAATAATATTAATTTAGTTTTGAGTATTTTTTATTTTTTGCATTAAACTTGCTTTGATGTTTGTTCAAATCAAAATCTATCACTAAATGGCATTTTAATTATTCGGTCTAAGTTAAAAATTTAACTTTGTGTGTATGTCTGTAGTGTCTTACTTAGTTCTTACTACTAGAATATAGTACCTAAAGTAATTGATATTCTTTATGTTATATTGTACAAAATAAAATTGGTATTTTGTTTATATAATGGCTGTAAAAAAGAGAACACAAAGTGATATATTTTTATACTTTTAAAAACATGAAAGTAAGTAGTGAATAATATTACTCAATAGTTTATTAAAATTTTATATTTAGAGTAAGTAGGTATCTAAGTAGTAAATACTAGTACGCAAGGTTACTATATACTTTATTATACATATTATATAAGATTTAGAAAAATTAATTTGAATAGGTACAACTTATTTACCGATGCTTATGTTATCTCTATTTTTTAAATATTATAGATGAGTATTGATAATGTTGATCTAATAGAAAAGACTCAAATAAGTAAAACTACTTCAAATGCAGATGCAGTTATACCACAACAGGTAAATATAAAGTAAAATATAATATTTTTAATTTTTTCATTGTTAAATATTTTATTTATTTTGTGGGTGGTTATAGGCTATGTACATGTAGGTAATATATGTAATTATACATTACATAACTGTATAGAACAATACAACTATTCACATTCAAGCAGTATAATTAAAGAGTTGATATTTAATTTTAAAAATAACTAAAAATTGATTTGGGTGCCAAGAATAATTAATTAGTGAAGGTTATATTGATAAATGCAAATAAAACTATGTTGAGCTGTTGTAGAGTATTGCTATTAAATATATGCTATATAAGCTATTTTAGAGGAAATAAAAAAACTATGTTAAAGCAGCTTTTATGCAATATATTATACTAATTTTATTCTATAATTATTTACAGCTAGATTTATTGAATATGGAAATATAGATAATATTTTATGGCTTTTTTATTTAAGGATATACCAACTATATATTATATAGTTATGACTATTATAAGGAATTATATAAAATATTTTTTATATTTAACTAATAATAAATAATGTTATACAATTTGCTGCAATAAAACTTAATTTCAAGATTAATATATTAATATTTAATAAAATATTAATTGCTGAAATATTAATAATTTAGTATGTATATTTTATAATTTTTGCTTCATAATTTAAGCATAATATAAGATGTTTTATTGGAATTGACAGACTTATCTTTATAACTATAAAATAGGAATATATATCTTTCAGTAGCAAATAATTATATTGAATGTGCAATCTGTATGTTTGATTCTGTCAGAACAATATGGATCAAAAACAGAAGAAGTGATTGATGCATTTTCAAAATTAATGTTTAAAGTTGTTTCATTAACAAATAATCGTAATGTTCAAAAATTAATTTTGGACAAGTTTTTAAAAGTCTAGCCAACAATATGCGTTTTAAGCTATTTACTTTTCAAACATTTCATTCAATAGCAGCAGGTAATATATTCAAAGAAAAAAAATGATGATCTCCTTAAAGACTTAGATGTTCTGAATGTACAAAACTGGCCGGATAAATATGATATTCAATATGGTGACAAATTTGTAAGGAGATTGGCTACACAATTTCAAGTAGATGAAATACTTATTGTTAGAGGTTTTCGCGAGTTTAAGGACACAACAAATTTGTCACTAGTTTACTCATTAAGACCATTAATAGTTGCAATTAATACAATTAACAAAAGTTTTAGTACCATGAATATTATAGCTACTTGGAAAAGAAATGCATTAACTCCCAAGCATTTATCATCATTGTTATTAATACAATGTATAGGTCCGCTCACTAATAGTCGCCACGGCTCAATAATGTTTAATAAGTAATGGGGATGCTCTTTTTTTAAAAGTAAACAGAGTCCCCTACTTTAATTTTGCCAAGTCGATCATTGAATTTTGGATACCTACGCGTAGTTTTAAATGTACAATTTTTATTAAGTTTTGTAATGAGACCATTACCAACTTTTAATTAAATATAAAAAATGTTTGTTTAAAAAAAAAATATACATTTATTGACATAAAGAGTTAACAAGTTTTATTTACGCAACTACGACTTTTAATTTTCAGATCCTACCATGGTTTTTCATTATAATTTATTTTGCTTACATAGTATTGTGTTGTTGCCTTGTAGGTCCATTGTTATGACGTATGATTCATAATAATATGATAAATGATTAATGATCATAGACAAATAAGTTTACGATGTAGATATCCTGTAGATGTGAAATATGGAAATTCCTGAATATAAATATCGCATTTATCGAACAATTATATTTTATATCACTTAATTTAACCTATAATAATATAAAAGCATTGTTATTTGTTTTAATTTTGTTACACTATACTACCAAATCATTACCACACCATCTTTAGTAGATTTACTTCGTAACAATCGTGTGTTTCATCAGTTATATTAATTTTGTATTAACGATCAAATATTTAACTTCATGTATTGTAAAGAATTGTGTATTATTAATTTAGTTTAAATATTACATTACCTATTTATTTTTTATTGGTTATGTTTTATATTTAAGTAATACAGTTATTTTTTGGATTGTGCACATTACACACACAAAAAAAAAAAAAAATACTTATTAACAAGTAAGTCTCACTAACTATAATATTTACTAATTAGGTTAATGTTTAAAGGTAATTTAAGTTGTAAGTACATGATTGACTTGATAAATAAGTTACCTATCATTAGAAATATTTTACTTATATTTTTATAATTAAAATTAAAATTTACGTACTTAAATATTTGAAGTGATTCTTATATTTTTATAATTATAATTAAAATTTACGTACTTAAATATTTGAAGTGGTTCTTATATTTTATAATTAGTAATTATTAAAACACTATTAATTCATTTACTTCTTTATCTTGCTTACCATTTCTACATTTCCCAATGCTCTTAAACAATTTTTTTTTTTGAACTATTCCTCCAGATAATAAGACACTCTTGCCTCTTGATTTTCACATTTCATTATATTTTTATATTTTCTTCTCTAATAATTTTTTTCTGTTACTTATTGCATTTAGTTTCAGATTATGTTTTATAATATAACTAATTAAGTTTACTTGCTCTTTCTACTGTTAGATGAGTATGCTTTGTGAATTATGTAGTTCACATAGCTTTCCACCATATAATTGAATTCGATAGATTAACAAAACAATTCTTTAGAACTTTCAAAAATTTCATTTTAGTTAATATTATTTCTTTATGTTATTAATAAACAGAATTGTATTCAACTATATAATTTATACATTCAAGTAGATTAATGTGATGTTCTGGTTTTAAATATTTCCTTTTTTATTTTGGATACAAAAAATTAGTTGCATGGTGAAAATATTCTTCAATACCATTTCATGTCGTAAATATAAATAGATCTTTAAAAAATATTTCAAATTTGTATCAGAGTGAACACCCTATTTTTTAAGTAATTAATTTCCATAGTAGCTGATCTAATTCATCTATAAAAACTAATTATTGTTTGGTCTCTTAATCAATTGAATATTACATTATTTATTACTATATTAATATAAAATTAAGTACCTACTTAGGTATCTAATAACTAATAATGAACTTTAAATATCTACCGTGATAATATGTAAAGGTACCTATATTCAGATTAAGATTTAACTACAGCTATTTTTAATTTAAAAGTTTAGTTAGATTCAGGCCAAGACTAACCTGACAAGTTAGTGAGAATTTAATTTATTTAAATTTGATCTATTTTGTATAACTTTGGGACAATATATTCCCTAATAGGCACTGATTAGATTTAGTTAGGTTTAAACTAACCTACGTTATTTATTTTCTTAAATCTGAATTATTTAATCTTCAAAATTTAATTTTGAACATAATTTCACGTCTAATATTTAAAACAGTTTAACAGCAGAATGTAATTTTATAGGTACCAATATAATATTATATACAGCTAACTAATGTAGGTACTCAGAAAAAGAAACTTCTTGATTTCCAATAATTGTTTGCACTAAAAATTGTGTTTATTTTTACTACCTACTTATGTTATTATTGATGAATTATTTTAATTGTGTTATTAATAATTTTCAAGATGTTTTGACATAAGTTTAAACTATAAAGTATAGGTATATAATATATTAGTCTAATTATATGTTTTTGAAAAATTAATTGTTTTCTCCTTAATTATGAATTAATGAGCAAAATATAATGCGATCAATTTGAAAATTTAGGGATCTTGTATCCTAAAACACACATTTGTGTATAAATACACTGAAAATATTAAAGCTAATATAATGCTCTAAGTACTAAGTATCACATATATAATAATAATTTAATCAAAGGGAATAAAACGACCAAAACCCAATAGTACAAAGAAAGTACAAGGATTATGATTATATATATTATGTATATTACTATATATTAAGATACAATAAACTAAAAGAAAAAGAAAAAGAAATAGTAATTTTGTATTACTCAGTATCACAAATCAATATTCAGAAAACATTATTATTGAAATCACTGCAGGACACTAAGAAAACAGATACCTACTGAAGTAGTTACAGATGTCACCTATAAATAATTTTTTTTTTTAATTAAGTATCAATTATAATTATTTTTTAATTTTCTTAGTTTTTCTGTTAGATTTTTCAGATACTTCAGTGGCCCTCTAGAATACTTGTACCCTAATGACGATTTTTCGTCGACACAATCGCGTTGGCACCCTTTGATTTTGTCAATAATAATTGCTATCTGCAACTTGTCGGCGTATGCTTACAACTGCCGATTCGTTCAATTGTTCTTTTTTAGTTTCCAACATCTTGTTTTCAACATGTCCACGTTCATGACGCCCACATGTCATGTACTTTATCGCGTACCTTATCTTACCTATACCTTGTCCTACATGCGTGCGAGCCATTCAACTCTAACTTAACTTAGTTAGTAACTATAGGTATGCAGATATACTTACAAGATCAGTCAACGCGGTCTGACTGGAAACCCCGCTCTCTTTGGGGGTATCGTTAGTCGCGCTTCACGTATCGGTATTTCCACAAAAAAATAAAATATATATATTCGTTTAGTCGTTGCAACGATGCCGCGAACCTGTCGAACTATTGCAACTCCCGGGCTGTCTGCTAGAGATTTCGGGACACGAACTCCCGCGATTCAGCAATTTTGGTTGCGCATCCCTGGGAATTAAACGGCCGTCTAGTTGTTGATCCGTAGCGTGCGACGTATGCAGGAGGGTACCGAGAATTTTCCGGTGGACCTTTCTCATATAAACCCTTAATTTATACACGTTTTCTTACTACTATTTTCTTAAATTACCTATTGTAGCTTTGTGATTTAGGTAGGCTGATACTTGAAGAATGTTTATGAATGGATCCTATTTAATAATTTCCGGTGCATAAATAGAACCCAGTACACGACTGGACGTATTCCGCCTCGTCTATTGCGTTCAAAACGCCAATCCGTTTTTACAGACCACAGCGATCGTTTAGGTGCGCCCAGGCGTGGTGGTGCCTTTCTACGCAGTAAAATGTAAAACTGACGTTTCATAATTTTTCCAAAAAATCCAATGGAATGATAAGATAATTTCACATTTTTTGTATTGTTCGATATTTTATTATTACTCAATTTTCAATTGTCTCTCAAATAATTTACTTTGTAATTCCTTGAGATTTGGTCGGTCTAATTTGTTGAACTGGGGCCACGGACTACTGATGATTTTATTTAGTGTCGCAAATTAAACGACGATAATATTATATTACCTATTTAGTATTATACTATTTATTTATTTAAAAGTTCAACAGATATATACTCTATTCCAAATAAGTCTAGACAAATGTACGACGAAACCGTGTTCGGTCTGCTCTCAAATCCATAAAACATCACCTAACATTTTTTAAATGTGATGATTTCTACCGTGTTTAAATAACCTGCAAGTTTTGAGTGCGATTTTCAAGTTAGACACCTGAAACTAGCAGGCTAATTAAATACGGTAGAATTTATCACATAATTCCTATACCAATTTTCATAATTTCTGGGTATGTTTTATGGATTTGAGAGCAGATTATCAGATTTGCTACAAACTGCCGCCATAGTGCAACAAAATACTGAACTGGTTTATAATGAGTGCAGTTTTCATTAACCTAATCTAATCTAATCTAATCTACCTGGTTATTTAAATACAGTAGAATTCATCGCATATACAAAATTTCATAATTTTCGGGGAATGTTTTTAAATTAATGAAAATTAATATTATATTTGATATTAAATATGTGGCTGTATGTTTCAGTAGTACTTTCAAGATTTATTTGAATTCAAATATATATTAATTGGTTAATTAGCTTTAAAATGAAAGAGATTAAAAAAAATATCAAATTTATTGGAAATGACAGAGATAATCAAAATACAATAGCTCAACTCGGATCAAAAGTAGACTGCAATGGAGTAAGAGGACAAAATAACGAGTAAATGACAATTCATAATTATATTGATTTTTAAATTAAATAAAAAGATCTTTTTATGAATCATGATGTATTCATTACATACAAGTACAGTAAAACTTCCGTTAACGATCACCTCTATGTAACAGTTATTTTTTTTGGTCCTATCAAGTATTAAGCCTCTATAGTCAATAGGACACCTCTAAAAGACGATAACCTCAATATAGTAGTCATTATTTCCATTCTCTTCAATGATCTTTTTATGGAAGTTTTGCTGTATAATAAATTAATAAAACAGTAAGCAGTTAATAATTGTGTCTTTTAAAATCAATTATTTATCTAAATTAAAGTGTATTGTTATTTTTTTTTTCAAAAGGAAATATTTTAAAAGGAAACAATGCCATTCACCTTTTCGCCAAAGAAAAGTATTACCTTTACAACAAAACTTTTTTCTACCTAAATTCTATTATGAAATGCAAGTATACGCATGTAAACTATAATGTGTAATATTAAATTGAGTATTCTTTTGATTGTAAATAACACAAATTAGTAATTACCTATTCATTTTAGATCATATGGCAGTGTAGTGCATTTAAAACTCAGATATAAAAATTTGTATGTGCCTTCAAATTTTGTCAAGATGACTTCTAAATGGGTGGACGAATTCCCAAATAGCAGACCTTTCACTATACCGGATCAGGTCCATAGTTGTCCATTTCATGTATTTGGAAAAGAAGTGGATAGGGCGATTGAAGAAAAATATTATACTTCTCCCACAGACCTTGACTTTCGGTATTCGGCTAAGGTAATGTTAACACAGTGAAACGTCTCTTAACGAACACCTCTAAATACTGGATACTTTTATGGTAATTTTATGGCAAATCAAGGTCTTTAACAAGTTAAAGTAACTGATTTTTTTAATTCATGTTAATTTTTAACTTGAAATAATTTACATTTACATTTTTATTAATATTTTTACATGCATAATAATAACATAAAGTTTGATAAAGTAAATTTGCGGTGTTTATTTAGAACGTTGAAAGATAATAGAATTAATTTTGAGAGATAGAAGACTTATTTTAAAACTATATAAAGCTCAGTCAACTATAATTGATATTAATGGAACAACAAAACAAGCTAAAATTAGAAAAGAAGTCTGGCAAGGATGCCCACTATCACCATATTTATTTAATATTTTCATTGAAGCATCAATAAATAAACTAAAATGTAAGATGGGAAGAATAAAGATCAATGGACAAAGAGTTCAAAGCATACGATTTATAGATGACATTGGATTGCTAGCTGAGTCTCAAAATTATATGAATAAAATGCTCAACATCTTGGCAGATATATTTGATAAGTACTTGCTAAAGATCAATAGATAGAAGACAAAAGCAATGTTGATAAGTAAGATAAATAACAATGATGAGATACATATTAATCTAAGAAACGATCTGATACAGCAAGTTAATGAGTTTTGCTTTCTGGGAAGCTTAATTACGAATAAGAACTAATTAGCAGTGGACATAAAAAGAAGAATAACTCTCGCCAAACAAGCTTTCCTTAAGAAATATAATATACTTAGTATTAGGCACCTCAAACTTAAAACTCGTAAAAAGTTTATTAGAACTTTTGTATGAAGTATCTTATGTTATGGTTGTGAGACATGGACAGACAATGATGCAGAAAGATAAAAACAATCTGCAAGCATTGGAAATGTGGTTGTGGAGGAAGATGATTAAGATCAATTGGATGGAACGGAAATTAAATGAAAGAGTTCTAGAAGAAATAGAAGAGAAAAAAAGTCTGGTGATTAACATAATGGAAAGGAAAATCAAATTTATTGGGCACCTTATTCGTCACAATGATTTTCTTAATAATATATTTGAAGGAAGAATAATGGGACGAAGACCAAGAGGAAGAACAAATTATTTCCATGATATAAAAGAGAGATGGACTGCGCATCCTACCAACAACTAAGGAAGCAGCAAAAGACAGACACACATGGCTTACTCGACAAGGCGTTGCCTTCAGAACATGACGGTGATGAATAATAACATAATTTTAAATAATAATATGTATAGTTAATATTTGTTTTAAGATAATAAAAATATACATATTACATTTATAAATGTTGTATATAGTTATTAATTTCTCAGAGTTATTTTCGAGAATTTTTTTCCCCCTCTGAATAGCGTCCTTTAAGGGCGACCAAGAGTGTCTGGTATTTAGAGGTTTCACTGTACTTAAAATATTTTGCCAACAAAAAAATATACATCTTTCAAATAACTAGGTACCTATGTATCAGTTTTCTGCAAGTCTAATATATGAAAATCTTGATGATGTTTGTTGTATATATTGTTACACAGGGTAATTCTTTTATCAATGAACATTGATTATTACATAAAATATTGATTTTTGTCCTTATTTCATGGGTGACAAAAAATAATAGTAGTATAAAATTTTAGATCTGCTTATTTCTTAAATTGTCAAAATAATTTTTTATTTTTTTTTTCAAAAAAATTTATACTCTACAAAAAAATGAATGAAAACGATAAAAGAATCACCGTATATATGTTTGTTGATATAATATATAAATGTATCTTAAATTTGAAATATCCTTATAAAAATATATGTTATAAAGGTAATGCTTTTAAGTCTACCGACTTTGGAAGAGTTTTATAAAGCCTGTCTGCCAGAAATGCAATCAAGCGGTCCATGTGGTCGTCATCCGGCGCATGTAATTCAATTTTTAGTTGGTCTGTCAGATCAAAGTAAACCAATGGCTATCGGAGGTGCATGGAGTCCATCACTGGATGGACCAAACCCTGAGAGTGATCCTACAGTGCTTGTTAAAACAGCAATCAGAACCTGTCGTACAATAATTGGTCTTGATTTGTCTAAATGCAATTTATGGTATGTATTTATTTTGCTACTTGTTATAATAATAGAAGTCTTTAAAATTAAGTTTAAAGGGAGATTTTAATTTTAACTAGAAGATAATTTTGTTTATTTGCTAAAGCTTTCAGCTACAATTCAAATATTCTATTACATAGTATATAATAGGTCAATTTACTTTTATTAACATAGTATGGTAAATATATCATGTTATTCAAATTTTAAATTACACTGTTAACATTTATTGAATAGTTAAATATATTCTTTTAAGTGACCTGGGTAATAAAAATAATGATGTATCTAGGTATAATACATTTATACTTGATACTAGTTTAATATTACTATAGTCCGTTATCTATGGGTACAAAATTATAGTTTAGTGGAGAATTACCCATCAAAGAAGAATATCTTTGAGGGTATGATTATTGTTTTTAATATTGTAATTATTTACATGTATTCTTAATTATTATTGGCTAAATTTATCTACTACTTTTTATCTACAGGAATCTATTTTTTAAACTGGAGTACAGTCGCCGCAGTATAGATGGTGTTAACCGTACAGAAACTGTTGTTATGTATGTACCAGACGTATGGAATTGTGTTCCGACTAGCGATGAGTGGAAAACAATAGTTACCACTCACAAAGCGATGGCAGATCAAAAACTCAATGTCTTCCAGGAGCCTCTACAGACATCAGCGGTAAAAAAAAAACTTGAATAATCTTAGAGCTCGAGACTTTTATATTACTTAAAAAATAAATTAAAACATAGTTTTTTAAATGATACATGGTTTATTTTAGTTTTATAATTTGTAACATTAAGTTTGGTCACCATAAATTCTATAAGTATATGCAATATTGCATTTCTATAATAATAAATATATTTGTAGTGTTTTGCTAGATTGACAAATTGTATTGCTTTTTCTTAGTATCAAAACGTGAACACTGATTTGAAGAAAGAAGTTGATGAAAAACCTGACTCTAACACATTGTTGATGTGGATGCGGCAGGATACAGATCTGAAGACAGAACTGGAAAGCAAAAGTCTGTCTAGCGTTGGCAGTAGGGCAGTGTTGGTCGATCGGTTGATCAGCTATAACAAAGATCTAGTGGAGTCAGTTGGCAGTGGTAAAACAATTAATAAAATTAATGGTGACAACGGTGTGTTGGAAAGTGCATACAAAGCAATATACAATTTACCGGATCAACCAAGCCTGTTGGTGTACCCACACAGGACAATGAAGTCTAGCAAATTCGATTGTACCATTTTGTCCCTTTCCGAGTTATTGAATTATCCGCGGACAATGAGTCGCACAAAAGTTTGTAAAAGTTAATTTTTATTAGTGGCTGGTCATCCACCGGTGCGAGGCCGTTGTTTTAGCCTGCAAAATAATTTGATACCTTATTTTAAAATTTTGGTTGGATTTTATTATAGTATATAGTTTTCTTTTTTCTATATCTGTAAACAAAATTATAACTTGTTTCAATCATAAACATAAAGAGTTTATTGTACCTATCTAATTTTTCTGGTTACTGTTTTAACCCTACCTATTGTCAAATCCTTCTGTTAAAGAATGGAAAAAAGCTGAAAAAAATATTAAATCAAAGGTGGTGGAAAAGTTGAAAAAAATTATTGCCCATGTGATGAGTGTGAAAACTAAAAAAGGCTATTGGCCTACTGGTTTCTTAAAAAAAAACTATTTATAATATTGTAGAGAAACCTAACATTAATGCTTACTTACTCTAATATTGATGAATTTGATTCTTATGAAATTATAAGATTCTGAGCAGAAGAGGAATTTATTGGTTTTACAATGATGATTATTTTTTATTCTATAAACAACTTTTCTATCAGAAATTTGTCTAAAAGGAAATCTGACTGAGGTGATACTTTAGGGAGGTTATTTTTTGATTTTCCCAATAAATGGGAAAAACTGAACATTTTACAAAATTTATTATTTTCAAGTCATAAATATTATAGCTTTTCAAAATGTATAACTAAACTCCAATCAGAATCGTTTTTCGTTATCAATTATTAATCTATACATACAAACACACATTAAATTTCCCTTCTACCTTCCCAACTTCTCATATACAACTGTAGCCCACCCATCCTGCGAAGTATGTCTATTTGTTTTATTTATTACCTATTTATTGTAGATATTTTTGCAGGAACATTCATTTGAAGTGTATTTGTTTTGTGAGTTATTCAATGAAATGTTGACACGAGATTTTGGCTACAATATTTTCAAATCTATTGTTTTGACACACGCGATACCTTCAGTACACACAACAAAAGAAGATTTGAGTTTGGTAACAAACTTTATAAAAGCCCAGAAAATCGAATCAGCAAAGGAGATAAAAACTGGCCAAATACTTGATTTACAAGTATACTTATTATCGTATGCTTTTTTCGACGTTCATTCTGCTGGATATGTACTGGAAACGGATCTCGAAAATTTATTTTATTGCATTGGATTAGAATTATCAAAGGACCAAGTATGTAATTTTAGTTTCGTTCTCTTAATAACTAGGGCTGTACATTTATAGCAAATACAATGTTTTAATTTATAGGCTTTTTCAGTAAAAATTTTAAATTAGATGTATAACAGTGAACTTAAAAATGTGTTTTTCTTCACCTCCATTCCAATTATTTGTGGTCAACCACCTTTATCCTAAACTTCAACTTGACCAGGTCCCCCCACGTTGTCAATCATATCCAACAATTCCTCTCTGTATTTTTCCTCCTACATTAATTTTCATTACAATTTTTACTGCTTCAGATTCCTCTTTATTCATAACATGCTCAAACCATCCCATTTTCACTCATTTTCTCCATTTTTAAAGCCATCCCTAAGAGCTACCTTTTATGTATTCATTCCTTATCCTATTTTCTCTCATAATTCCACTCATTCTCCATTTTTTTGTAGATTCTGAGCGGAACAAGGAATTTATTGGTTTTACAAAGATGTTATTATTTTTTTTATATTGGCTATAAAATTTCTACTAGAAATTTTGCTCTGAGGTATCAATTGTACTCTTCCTGAAAAGGAATTTTTCTATGGTGGATTTTCCCAGAAATATTTATAATAAATGGGAAAAAAAGGAAAATTTACTTAGTATATTAAGGTGGGAACAGACTATTGTCACGTCATGTGAGCTCACGTGTTGTCACGTTGGCATATTTTAACCGTGATGTCACGCTTAGAAACAAACTATTGTCACATTATCAAGTTGTCATGCTTTATCACGTCACAGTTTTGTTCAGAGTCACTTTTGACTGTAAGATTGTTGAATGAACACCATTGTTTATGTACTGTGTTCGCACACATTTTTATTTTATAATAAATTTAAAATGGATAGAGAAACTTCAAGTAGTTCAGAGTGGGAAGAAGAATTGGAAACAGCAGCTGTATTTGTGGTTTCAGATGAGGCAAATAAAAAAACCACCCGATCAATCTGGGTACATGAAATCAATAAAAAAAGGGAACAATTGGGCAAATTCCATTGTTTGGTTCATGAATTACGAAATCAACCAAAACGGTTTCACATGTATTTCCGAATGAAAAAAGAATAATTTGATTATTTGCATGATCTTACAAAAGACATACAAAAGCAAAGTACTCAATTTCGAAACATGATGTTCGCGAACTTTTTCAATGAGAAGTTCATCCATAATAAAAATTTTAATTTTTTTTAAAGTTAATGAACTAGCTTAAATTGTTCTTAATATTAAGAACGTTATAATAATACGTTATAATTATATGTACATACAAATTATGAATAATTAATAATTCAAATTATAAATAATAACAAAATAGACAAAATTTGTGAGCTCACTCAGTCGAAAATGTGTGTGAAGTTAGAAAATCAAAACGTGTCATCATGGTTCATCACGCGTGAAGTAGGAAATATGACACGACACGCGTGAGGTGACGTTAATGTGGTGCTGATACATTAAAATACTGTATAAACCTATATTCCACACTTTTTTCTCGTCACGTGAGCTCACGTGACGATAGTCTGTTCTCACCTTTACTTTCAAATTGTAAATATTAAGGCCTTTTAAAACATGTATAACCAAACTCTGCTCAGAATCGACTTTTCGTTAGTAATGATTAATCGTTGCGTACAGATGTACATTAAATGTCCTTTTCTTTTGTTCCTTTCTTTCTTACAAATCTTTTTCAAAGCCACTATTCTTTAATTTAAAACTTTTGTTTCTGTATTTTTTATAGGTACCTATTTTTAAAATTTTATGCTAACTTTTAATAGGAGACAATTTGAAACATTAAATACATATAAATATTATAGTTTAATTATAATTCACTTATTTTTTTAAAGCTATATTATTAATCAACTGTTAAAAATATTAATTAAGGACTATCTTAGGAAAAATTGTTTGTTTATGAAATATACGGGTAGTGAATTTTAATGGACATATTTGTTATAATAATGTATGACATCATAGGTTCTGCCAACTCTCCTCCCGCCTAAATTAAATATTTTCATTCATTTCCACAAGATGCACTCAATGATTTAACCATATAATCTCTTCAGTAATTTCAAAAATAAAAAAAAAATCTGCTAATGATTAAATATAAACTTCTATATGTTTATACACAATTTGTTTGTTATTAAGAGAACATTGTACCCGCATGTTCTATTTCCGCCATACAACTGTGTGACACCAAAATTTTGTTCCACAGGGACAACTTAAACTACTGTTAGTTTAAAAATTACGAGTGAATTGTTATCAAACTCAAAGAAATGAATATTATCATGTTGTCATATCATATATTTGTTTTCGTTATTTCAATTTTTAATCGAGTTAAAAGCATTTTCAATTGTAATTTTTCAAACGATCAGATTTCACGTAAAAATTAAAAAAATAAGAAATAATCAACTAAACAACACAAATAATGTTTATATTTTTGAATTTGTTGTGTCCATCTGTATATTTACCGGTGTTGATTTGGTTGCTGATAAATGAAAATTGAAAATTAACGTCATATATTTGAATTCACACAGGTTCGGAATTTCGTTAAGTACATTGAAAAATAATTTTTGTAAACTTTGGATATAAGTTAACCCCTTCACGTGCATCTAAGGGGTTGAAGTTAGTAAAAACATTGTGGTTTTTAAATTATTTTGTTTGAATTTTGAACATACAAAAATGTATCGAAAACTTTATTATAGTAAAAAATATTTCCTACATAATAGCTCTCTTTAAAATTTCAGTGAAACTTATCAATATACGTGAAAAATCAGTTTAAAATTTGGTAGATTTTAAATTTTAAATAATCTTGAATTTTCTATTACAAATCTACCAACTCTTAAATCGATTGTTCACATATAACTGTAAGTTTCACTGAAATGTTAAGAAGAACTATTTCATAAGAAATCTTTTATACTATAATAAAGTGTCCAATAAATAATTTGTATCTTAAAAAATTCAAAAACATTCACTTTTACAAACTTTAACTCTCTTGAGGCACGTGAAGGGGTTACTTATCATACCCAAAATTTACAAAAATTATTTTTACTATGTACCAACAGAATTTTGGGTCCGCAGCATAAAATTATTAAAGTTCAAAAAATAATCACCTTACAAATTTTAAAAATGACCTGTCAACTATTTACAAATTATGATATTTAATTTATTTGATTTCTACACGCAGAAGTTAAGACACCAGTAACTTTGTATGGCGGAAAACGTGAAATCATTTTTTAAAAAGCTATGTCTAACAGAGTTGCTAGAGACCTAACCTTTAAGGCTACTAAATATTTAGTTACAAGTACGAATGATGTACATGTACAATTTTTCCATGTGTGGCCCTTTAACATAATGAATTTGTTATTTTAGACGAAAAATCTCATGTCTAAGATACTACAGAGCAATTCATATAAAATTAATTACGTAAGAATTTTGAAGCAATTGCACAGTTACAGTTATGACGGTTTAATTATTTTTCAAGATCCTCAATCTGGTAATAACCTTTTTATGTTGCATTGTATCATTAAAGGATCATCCAACTCAAAAAATCAAATTATTTTATTACCGTAATACATAGAATATAGTTCAACTAGCATTATGATAACTGTGCTACACTACTAAAGGGTCTCTTACATTGAGCGATTTTACACGCTGTGTGTCGGCGATTAAAGTTGCGCGCGCGTGAGCGTGTAGCGACTTGTCCGATTACATTGAGCGATTAATAAATTCGCTCGCTCGCTAGTCGCGCACACGCATTCATGTGATATACATGTATATGCATGTGACAAGAAGTTGTCATTTGTTATAGATATTGATATAATTCATTCTTTCGTCTAGCAATCCAATTTCTAACCCAAATTCTTTTCTTCTTCTTAGTTTTCCTTTTTTCCAATTCCTGACGCAATAAATGAGATACAATAACAACACTCGCGCGAGCTACAACCTCCGACATCTTGCAACAACAAATAGTCGCAAGCACACTAGCGATTTTACTCGCTGGAGTGTAAAATAGCCAGCGAATAGCGACAAAAGTAGCCCGGCCGTCAACTTTAATCGCGGGCGAGCAGCGAGTATTCAACACGCGGCGTAGAAAGCGACTAGAACGATTACATTGAGCGACTTTGGTCGCAGCGAGTAAATTCACCGGCGACTAGCGTGTAAAATCGCTCAGTGTAATCTACCCTTAAGTGAAAACTATCAAACTATCTATTTACTCGGTTCTTTCTAAAAACGATCGACTATTGAAATTATTAGATCATCGAATAGTTCATTTTATTTAAAACAATCACTATTTAGTTAAAAAAAACTTGATCTAATCGATAGTCAAAACCTGTTGGTGCTACTACCGAATGTAAACGATCGACTAATTCATTCGATGACGGATAAAAATATTTATTCAATCGATAAATCACTGTTGTTTTTTAAACTATTAATAATCAAACCTAGTCGGTTCCGCCCATCACCATTTGTGACTATCCATTGTTCGTTAGTTACGGTGATTTTTAACATTGCGCGTGACGTCACGGATTTATAGCGGCCACATACAATGCAATATTTATCCGTTTTTGGTTTAACGTAAAATAACTGCTAATGAACTTATTTTTTTTTTCTGAATGATCTAATCAAATGTATTTAAGATAAAAATAATACGAATATTACGAATTTACTATACATTATTATGATCATAAAGATATTAATAACTTTAATACATCGATAAAACTATAATATTGTTATGAAAAATAAATATTAATGATATAAAATTAAAAATAAGCTCAGCAGTACCACAGAATATAATAAGCACTCTTATGACAATGCCACAGTGGTGTTTTATAATATAACAGTTATTTTTTTTTTTATAATAAACCAAAATGTGACACAATTATATGAATAAAAAGATTATAAGTTACATTTGATTAGTTCATTAGCAGTCAAACTAAATTACCAAAAACCTAAAAATATTTCCGCGTATTAAAATATATGACTGCGGCAAACGAATCCGAAACATCACGCGCAATATTAAAAATCACTGTAATTAGTGAATTAGTTTTTGTCATAGTATGTGAGTACTATAATTTAAACCAAAGATAATTGTTTGAGTTGGATGGTTCTTATTAAATATACCTAATTAAATATTTCAATTTTTAACATTTAGTAATTATGGACATATTCAATGGGAAATCTAATCATGAGATATATGGTTTAAGACCTATTCACAAAGAACAATTAAAAGGTATGTTACATCTTACTATATCGTCTATATACCATAAAGACTGTTCCATTTGGAGTCCCTTCTAGTTTTCTCAATAAATGGGAAATCCGGGAAAATAAGTACAATAACATGATGTATAATATATTGTTGACAAAGCAATTACACTATCAACTGATATACATTAAATTACCTATAATAATGGTTGCACCTGTCCCCATTATTCTACGACAGCTTTTATTTTATGCAAGTGGTTAACATGTAAACTGTGTAACTAATATGCACTAACTGTGCATCAACATTCAGATGGAACGTCTTCTTTATATATTCATTATATTAGTAGGTATATATTATAAAAATGATTAACGGTCATTAAAAATAAATAGGTGATAGTTCTATACAAATATCCAATCAGAAATCCAAACAGTTGAAAATATATGTTGATCAATTTAAAAAGAAAATATCTACAATAAAAACAAACTTGATAAAAATAGAGGTAATATGATTTTAATTATTTAACATTATTATTTGTACCTTATTCCATCAAATAGATTACAGAGAACGAATTGAAAGGTATCCTGGAAAAAATGGAATAGATGATGGACTGAAGGGAATATATGAATTTGTCAAAAAAAAAAAAAAAAAAAATGGAGAACAGAGTATTACTGGTCAACAATGAATACAAATTCAGTTTTAGCATATAATGTTTGTTTATTGTAAAGTCTAATATGACCGCAAAACTTTCATTAAATGAATTAATTAAATTTAAAAATTACACAATTTATTCAATTTTTTTTTTTTTTGTTTTAATTGTTTTATATATAAAGTATATTAGTAGTGTAATAATTCTGCCAAAAATTGAAAAATTATATTATTATAATCTAATGTTAATACATCCTTCTTTAAATGTACAGTAATAAAAAAATATAAACTGTTCACAAAAAGTACAGGAAGGATAAACATGTGCACACCCTATTGAAAAAATAATTCTATGGACTTATTTTGTATTAAAAAAAAAAAAAAGTACAAAATATAAATAAATAAAAAAAATTACACAAAAAAATTGAGATATACATCAAGTTGTAGGCATTCTATTATGTACATACAATACATACACATCATTATATGTTAGACCCTGATAGACGTTAGTCCAAGTATTTATACACTTTAGCCAAAGGATCCAATTTTTATAATTTTTTTTTTTATTTAACTTTTTATTTATATATTATTGTACATAAGCAAAACGAAATCAACAATACTGCTCACGCAAAACAGTATGGCATATGATGACTGTGTAAATGGCTCGGCAATAGGCATTTAAGCAGACGTCTTGACAGGTTTTCTTTGAGGAAAATCTAATAAAATACATTTATTTTTAAGATTAATAATAATTTTTATTCAAATTCAATTCTTATCAATAACAGAACATTAGTAAAGTTCAATTAATTAAAATGATATATACAATACAAATGGTTTTTTTTTTCAAACCCCATCAAGCAAGTTAATATAATTATTTCAAAACAGTCATTAAAATAAAAACAAGAAATATCCCATTACTTGAAAACACTTATTGTCTTTAAATATAGAATACAAAAATGTTTTTTTATTTTTTTACTTTCCCTAAAACAGTTAAAACCACTAAATCATTGATTTAGGAATCATGTATTAAAAATAAATATTGAAAGTTACATCTGTAAATTTGTAATATGTTTTGATGCCTTTTATTACACAACCCATTTGATATGGTATTTAAATGATTCAATAAACAATTTCATTGTATAATAACATTGATTATATATCAAATAAATTAAATAAATAATACAGAGAGTAGATAATTACGAAATATGAATTTTTAATGATAAAAATAACAAACATATATCTAGTATAAAATTATTAATTCTCAAAAAGTATAATTTTATTTTACATATGTTCAATAATTTTGAAATTTAATCAATGGCTATCATTTACCTTTTCCTCCACGATTTCCATGAACACCGCGTGGCGTAGGTGGTTCATAGCCTCCGTACTGGTAATCTTTAAGTAATATAAATTTATTTCATGAATAACCTAGGTATTAAAATTATAAACAATCATACTAACCGGCTCCGGCACCAGCACCATAACTTGGATAGCCATAACTGTAACTATAATCTGGATTATATCCACTATATTGGTTATAATAATCAAATCCTGAAATAATAGATTAAAAAATATAAATATATAAATTTATGAGTTAATACAATTTATTAATGGGCTCTCAAATGTATTTCATCTCAAAGATTTTTTTTTAAATCAAAATTTTAATAGTATATAAGTATTTTTAGATTTTTATTGTTGGAATTTCATATACAGAATATGTTAATACACAGATTAACATAACCTAATTTTTATAATAGTGTACAGAGGTCTATAAATTGTGAAGCAAAGGAATAGAAAATGTAAATACAGAAATAAAGAATAGATCAATATGTATTTTTTTTATGTCTTCTTGATGATACAGATGAAAAAAAAATGGTTATTAATATTTGTTTTCCTTCAATACCGTGCATCGGCAAAGCTGTACAGATCAACTAACAAATATTACTATTTGTTTAGTGGTTAATTATAAAATTAAACATTTATTTTAATTTTTCACTACAGTATATGCGAATATTGATCGATAGTGTTATAGTTTTTCGATATGATACAATATAGAAAAACCACTTTGATATTCAGAAAATTGATTGAGAATCCTAATAGTGTATAATATAAAATAAAAATTAATTTACCTCCATAGCCGTAACCAGGAGCACCAGGGGCATATCCAGATTGTGGTAGGAAACCTGTTATTTATTATGATTATATTATGAATGTTTAAAAAAAAAAAAAAAAAAAAAAAAAAAAAAACAGAATATAAATTTACAAAACCCTACCTCCTCTACTTCCTCGGCCCCTAAGATTTCCTCGCATTCCTCTCATTGGTCCTGTTGCACCTGGCATCATTCCATAAGGCTCAACTTTTAATGCTGCTTTTTTTACATCAACCTAATAAATAACAATAAAATAATAAAATATGTTTAGCCATTTTCATAGATTCTTAATCAATTAATTACTTGTTTGCCATTGATCACATGTTTTGGCGTTTTCAATATTTCAGTAACTGCCTGCATACAATCAAATGTGACAAAACAAAAACCTTTTCGTTGGTTTTTAACCTTATCAAATGGCATTTCAGCATTTACAAGGGGAGCGAAACGTTTAAAATAATCTTTAATATCATCATCAGTAAGATCAGGAGACAATCCCCCAACAAATAATTTTACATGCCGCGCTTTGGCTTTCTTGGGGTCAATTTTCTTGTCATTAATAACATGATTAGTACATGCCAAAGCCTAAATAAAAATAATAAGTAAACAAATTAAAAAAAAAAAAAACTATATATATATATATAATATTATAATTACTACAGAGTATTGTTTCCCTATTAAATATTAAAGAAAAAACTTACAACTAAACCAAATTTGCATAAATACAGTATAGTTGTATGATTTTTAAATTATTATACTGACACATATTGTAAATAGAGTAGAACAATAAATCCAGGGGCAAAGGACAATATTTTTTTTATATATAAAAAAAATAAACATTATTGTAGGACACAAATTATGTAAAGTATATAACGGGGCTCTATTTTCGAATACTAGACCCTGGTCACTAATACAGTTAGTAAAAATACATAATATAGAGTAATAAGTAATAAATAATAAATTAAATATTAAACAGTAACAACTGATACTATAAATTTGAAACTACTAAAAAGCATCATACAATAAACCATACACCTCATACCAATACTTCCTTAGAAATGCATTGCACATCTTGTAAGTGCGACTAATTTACTTATGGTTACAATTAGAAACGAGGTTACTTAGCACTCAAATTCCATAATTTTTTTTTTTGCCAACTAACACCAATAATTTGTAGGTATGAAAGTTTTTCTTAGTTCAATAAGTTGTGTTTTTCAAAGCTGATTTAAAAAATATTTGAATTTGTTAATGGAAACCATTATTTTAAGTTTTATTATTTTGAACTGTATTTTACTATAGATACATAATATGCAGAACAAACAATTTAGGATATGGATAAACATCTCACTTATCTAACCTAAATTTCAACCTAATACTATTGCAAAGAGGATAGTGTCTTAAATGTAAACCTGAACTTCACTACTTCCTTTCGCTTACTTCAAGAGCCATGTAGAACTTGAAAAACCATACAAATGAAAAAATTTCAATAGCTATAATTTCTTTAATAATAGTTTTTGCCAAACTACCATAACACCATTGTTTATATTTATAATTTTTTCTAGGTTTCAAAAAACTGTGTCAATTATTATTTTTCACTTGCATTGTATTATTAAGTCTAGTTTTTAAAGTAAATTCAGATTGCAAAACTCTGATCAGCATGTATTCAAAAATATATACGAAGAAATCTGAAAGGGGGTTTAACTATATTTATAATAAAGAATTACTTACACAATCCTTTTTATTAAGAATAAAATGTTATACTAACATTATCTAGGCCTTCCATAGTTTTGTATACAATGAAAGCGAACCCTCTCGCTCGACCTGTGGCAGCATCTACTTTTACATTAATATTTTCAATTTCTCCAAATTGACCAAAGTGTTCGCTTAAATCTTCTAAAATGTAAAAAAAAAAAAGCTACCCTTGATTTTTTTTATTATATAAAACAATCATTTTTGGACACTTACTTTCTGTCGTCTCTCCTTTGAGTCCTCCGACAAATATTTTTCTGTAACATTATAACAATAGAAATAATAAATTAGTAGAAAATTAGGAGAGCATAGAATGTGCGGGAAACTGTAAATGTATTTTTAATGTGTTTACAACAAAGGTTATCATGACGATAACCATCATCACTGATGATTCGAAAGTTATTTTAAATGCCAAACGTGAAAACATAAAAGTAAACTCATTGTAACTTATTTTTCTGAATAATAATGCTATTATCGGAACGATGCACTCGGATCCTAACCTAATATTATTGAATACGCCATTAAAACACGATTTCACAGGGAATAATAATGATCGACAATTGTCGGGACTCTGTCACTCGACATAAAATGAGGACCATTTGTTATTTGAATGGCTAATTTTTTTTTTTTTTTAAATAACTGGTTAGCCCCGTGTCGTCAGCATGCACCGAAGGCGTATCAACAGACACGGGGCGAAACGGCGATTTACACAATGATAAACAATGACAATTTTTTTTTTTCCTGACCTATCGTCGTCTCGGACGCATTCAAACTGTCCAGAATCATTGTTCATGCTGGAACTGTCGGCGGTGCCGTTTAGCTGATGCTGTCCATCTATGTTTTCAAATTGTTGCGACCCGTTTTGCTGTTGGTTGTCTGCCATCTCGATTCGTACGTTTATACTTCCGCTTAACAGAATATTAACACTAAACGCTTAAAATAGTTCTTAAAACGTGAAAAAATAAACTATATTCTAACAATATAAAATAATAATATTTAAGTAAAAATGTACGCGTCTAAAAATAGGAACGAGAGCGAATTTTAGAGGATGAGAAGACGCTACACAGAAAAGACATGGGACGAGATAGCGTCTCGTAAACAAAAAAAATGGCCGCTGGAATATCCGTAGCAGTAGCAGCGCACACCGGCGAACCGCGATACTGAACAGTTGTCAGCATGCCGCTACCACGGTATTTCAAAATGCATTCTCTTTGGAGGACACGTGTGGTGGTAATGCACATATGTCCGCCAAGGACACGAAATTATTTTTTTAACATGCGTAAGATGCAACGCATAATATATGAATTTTGTCACGCGTGTACGCAGTCGCAAACCCAAAACGGTTATAAAACATATTATACCCATAGAATAGATAAAATGTTACAACTTACAATCGTCTATACATATACCACAGAATAGATGAAAACTAATTCATCGATCCTGTGCATATAGCCTAACCTATGTCCTTGATCAATTTATTTATATTAAATGGCAATGTTAAAATGTCAGCTATTTCAAGTTTAAACAATTAATAATTAAAAGATTTAAGACAACGATTACAAAACATTTTACAATAGTAAAAAAACAGTAAATACATATTTTGCAGTCATAGATTTACAATATTCAATTATTGTTATTAAGTACCTACTGTATCATTGATAAATTTATCTTTTATGATAGTATTCAACATTTACTTCATATCATATATATAAATTAACATTCCAGACATATACTTAACAGCAATTTTTTTTTTAAGCTATCTTAAATTTTACTTATTTAATTACATCAGTGTCCACGCTATAATATAAAAACAAATTGACACTTTTAACAAATATACCTACTTTAAAATAATACATGAATCACCATTCAAACAAAAAAGTGCATTTTCTCCATCAAAATAAAATTAATTACTTGACTCATAATTTTAATAATAGTTATTAAAATGTAAGAGTATATTTATCAAAGTAGTTAAACTACATTGATATTTACAAGCTTTCTATTTTTAATTCCAAAATAAAAACAAATTGTTTATTCCTGACATTTTCATCAAAATAACTGTCAATTTTTTTTTTAAATGTAGTTTTTGTTAAAACAAAATAATCAAAAATTATTCAAAATAGATTTAACATTTAATTACTTCAATTATAATATTGACTACTTAAAAAAAAAAAAAAAAAAAACAGGAAAATACCGTACAAATTAAAATCTTTATTTATGTATATATTTAGAAAAAAATCAAGTTTATGAATATAATATTGCAACGTAATTTTTATATTATGAAAACGCCTTGTTACAAAAAAGTATAATACATATATTATGATTGGTATAATATGAAAACCTATATTTTATTTTAGATTAAATCAAAAGTGTTTGTTTTCAACTAAATTGTCAAATCTTCATAATTGAATCAATACTATTTCGTAATTAGACATTTTAACTAGTTATGGATAAATTGACAAACATAAGTCGATTTTAATAATAAAACAATCAATACACAAATTTAACTATGCAAAGTTAATTTGACAGTTTTTTTTTTTTAAATTCACTAAAATATCATCCACCAAACTAAGTCTAGTTTAGTGATCTTATATATTATATAAAGGTTATTAATTAAAGTAGCTAATCAGTATCGAATATTCATAAATAAAATATATCATGAATACCAGTTTATTATCTAATTTATAAATAAATAAATACATAAAAACTTCTAATGGGACAATCATATCTATATCTATTTGTAATTTAAAAGAATTTTATGATCTTTAATAAGATCCTATAAAAAGATAAACATATTATATATAAAAAAAAAAAATCAAACACTCAATTAAATTTATCATATAAAAACATACAAGGTAAACCAAAACAAACTAGTATATATGCACGAAATGTGCAGTCTTTAAAAATGTAATTACTTTTTATTCATTGGAAAATAAAAATATAATACTAACCTAAGAAGTAGAAAAAATGTATATTAAATTTACTAAAAATTATATTTGTGCTTAAATAAATAATTATAATTTTTAGTATTTTATTTGTACATTATATTTATTATGTTTCCAACATAAATCACTAAATAGAGAAAAGTGTCATTCTATTATTTTTACAAGTCCATTATTGTCATCAAGGAAAATGATTTTTTTATATAAAAAGATAATGTCATTTTATAGTGTATACACGCACACATACAAACACACACAAAATAAGGGAGAAACTTTAGTAGAAAAATGTTTAATATGGAGCATGTCTAGCGCCAGATCCTCGAGATGCTCCTCTGGTTTTACCTGCACCATTAAACGCAGCTGTAAAATAAGTAGAATATTAATTATTTGATAGTTAATCGGAATTTATTAATTTATTTATATATTACCTCGGCCTCTAGTAGCAGAAACAGGAGCTGGTGGTGCTTCATAACCATATCCGTAGTCTAAAAAAAAGAAAATTAAAATAATCAGTTTATACACCTATAAATGTTAATCAGTTAAATGATTAGCAATTTATTTGTTTAGCAATAATTAAATTATATACAGCTGACAGGTAAATGGTAGTATTTAGCATTCCTATCAAAGAAGGAACCATGAGGTTTTACTCTATTATGTACATTTACCCATATTGTTTTTCAATTACTTTATTTTAATTCTTACCATATCCTGCATATCCATAACTACCATAATAGTCAGCTTCATAACCGGGGTAAGCAGCTCCTCCATAATAGTCATATCCTTGGGGAGGGTATGCTGTAAACAATTATTATCGTATTAAAAATTATAGAATTTAAATCTTAAAATAGCTTCAAAAATATTTAGGAGAAAAAAACAGTTATTTTAAATTGCATTAGTAACTATATTATAAAAGACAACTTTAACTAAATTTAGTAGCAGAACTAAATGATCCTTTTAAAATTACATGTTATTTATAGATTTTAAAAACTATAGTACATGAGAATTTCATAATTATTCAGGTGGCCCACACAATACTATGTTTTTTACGCTATGAGAACAGTCCATTAATGAAAATGTTAACATAAAAGACGCATGTACAAACACTCTACAAACTGGTTAGATATTTTTTTTTAGTTAATCGGTAAAATATTCTGGCACCGGGGGCCGATTTCACTAGGTACAGCACTGCTAAAAACAGACATTTCTCATTAGGAATCACTAACCAAGCAATACATTATTTCAGAATATCATTATCTTCAATTAATACTCAGTAGCAGAACTGACAAACAATAATTCATCATTAATGTAAACAAAACAAATTTATTTTATCAGAATATCATTATCTTCAATTTATATTCAGTAGCAGAACTGACAAAATAATAATTCATCATAAAAATAATAAACCTGAAGCTGCAAAATAATTTCAGAATATCATTATCTTCAATTAACACTCAGTAGCAGAACTGACAAATAATAATTCATCATAAGTATAAAAATTAATTTAAGTATAAATCAATTATGGAAAAATAATTTCAGAATAATATTATCTTCAATTTATATTCAGTAGCAGAACTGACAAAATAATTCATCATAAAAATAATAAACCTGAAGCTGCAAAATAATTTCAGAATATCATTATCTTCAATTAATACTCAGTAGCAGAACTGACAAATAATAATTCATCATAAGTATAAAAATCAATTATGGAAAAATAATTTCAGAATAATATTATCTTCAATTAACACTCAGTAGCAGAACTGACTAAATTATCTGTCATCATAAAAATAAAAACTTATTTAAAATATAAACTATTTGTTGCAAAATTATTAGTTCATATTATATCTTAGATTTATATTCAGTAGCAGAACTAATTAATATATTAATATATTGACATTAGTTAATCATCAATAATGTTATATATTAAATTATTGAATTTTTATAAAAATCCTTAAATGTAATCTAAAACAACACTGTAACAAACACAATACAAAAAACCCAGAGATGATAAACAAGCATATGATCAATATTCAGTATTTGTATACAGTATATCAGTATTCGAAAAATAAAATATTAATAGAGTATTAATAATACTCTATATTAATAGAGTATAATATAAAGAAATTATAAATACAATTTCCTTAATTAATTTGAACTAATAAAAAATTAGTTATTTTAGTATGAATTAGTTTTAAATATTTAATACAAAATATGAATTTATATAATTTTCTAAAGAAAATTAATCTTACCTCCATATGTCCCGTATGGTGCAGCATACGGCCCATATGCTGAAACAAAAAAGGTTAAAAAAATAATTTTATTTTAAAGAATATTAGGCAATTTTTTAGTTTAATTGAGATAAAAATTGAATACCCATTAAAAACCAATGTTTTTAATTTCCAAAAATTGTTTTAAAAAAGAATAATTATTTTTCCCAAACAAAATTTGATTTAAACCTTTTGTTTCAGCATAACATATTAATACTATACATATATGAAAACAAATATATTCCCGTGAAATGGTTATATTTTCAACATAACTAAAATGATATAAAATAGTTGCTTGATGTTTTTATGTTTCTTTATTAAGTCTTAATCATTCAATAATTAAATTGAAAGCTGAAGCATAAATAAAAATGAATATGCAGTAAAATTGTGCATGGTTATAAACATTTGAAGAAACTAAATAATTGTGTTCCTTAAAATTAATGTATTGCGACCCAGGTAAATTAATTTTTCTAGGAGAAGTTTATGCTCAGTTAAAATAACAAAATAATTTTATTGCATAAATAAGACCGAGATTAAGGTGGGAAAATAGAGTGAAGAAGATGTAGAGAAAATTACGCCAGAAATAGATTGAAAGAAATTATCGTTGGCAGTGGCTGCTCGGGGGCGCTAATTAAGAGTATGATGATACAAAAAAATAATCTTAGAATTACAAAAATATAAGCACACATGATTTTATAATTAAAAAAAAACATTTTAACTTTTAGTATCACATACAAACGCACTAAGTTCCAAAAATGTGGTTACTCGGTTCTATAAAATTATTCCATCGTTTCACTTACCTTTCAATTCTGTAATAATGACTTCTTCTGAAAATTATATTACTTTTAGCTGTTTTACTATTATAATACCTATTGAATGCAAACTAGTATTCCATTTTAATTCTTTATACCAAATGATAAACCAGGGACGCAATACAAATTAAAATAATTTATTTTCAGATACTAAATTAATATAATCCAAAATAAAGACACCAAATTTGAATTAATTAAATTCAATAGAATATATTATATGAAGTCATTTTTTTTTGTAAAAAATAAGTTATAACATATATATTAAGTGAAGAAACTGATAGTTTACCAATATAAGCCAAATTATGTAATATTGATCAATAGCCAACTATCTTAAGCTACTAGATTATTTTGAAAAATAAAGCCAAAATAATCACATATTTTTAAGCTACAGAAATAAATGCAGGCATTGAAAAAAATAAAATAAAAAATGTAGAATAATAAATTGTTAAATACAAAAAAAGAATAATTTGTTTGTTGAACTTTGGTTTTTTTAAAAATATTAAAACGTATCAAACAATTTTAGCAACAGCTATTAAAAAAATATTAAGATATTTTGTGAAAATATATCTAAAATATATGCATAAAATGTTTTATTAAAATAATATAAACACCAAAGTAATTTTGAACAAAATAAAACTAAGAATTTCCTTTCTTGTATTTAACAACAGTTCATAAAAAAAATTAAATGTTTTTAATTTTTTAGTTGGAATTACTTAGAATTTTAATAAAAAGCAAATTTGAATTACTATTGGTAAGAAATAATGCAACTCAATTTACCTCCACGAGCAGCTCCACGACCTCTCATGGTTTTTGGATTAGCATACGGATTGGCAGGCTTGGGTGCTGCTTTTTTAACATCTACCTATAATATAAAGATTATGAAGAATTTGAAATAAGAAAAAACGGAACAATAAATACTTACTTCTTTGCCCTTAATAGTTTGTTTTGCAGTTTTGAATAGATCTTGTACCTTATCACTAGATTCGTATGTAATAAAACAATAGCCTTTGCGTTGGTTTTTCATTTTATCAAAGGGAACTTCCAAGTTAACTATAACACCCCATTTTCCAAAAAAATCTTTGATTTCATCATTGGTAACATCAGATGGCAATCCACCAACAAACACTTTCTCTTGTTTGGCCTTTGCCTTTTTAGGATCAATCTTCTTTCCATTAATCACATGGTCACCAGCAGCAAAAGCCTACATCCAAATTAAAATATTTTATACATATATATAAATATCAAATTATTACAACAAATTACATTATTCAATCCATCAACAGACTTAAAAATGATAAAAGCAAACCCTCTTGAACGTCCAGTTGCAGGGTCTGTTTTCAGGCTTATGTTTGTAATTTCTCCATATTGAACAAAATGTTCTTTTAATTCCTCTGTTAAAAAAAAAAAAAAAAAATGTAATAATATAAAACAATTAATTTTTTTTCACTTTTATTTAAAAATCTAGAAATGTATATTAGACAAAATAATTATAAAAAAAAATGTCAAAACTAAAGTGTATTTTAAATAACATATCATTAATTTATATAATTTTAATGCAAGTCGTTCTTTGAAAATCAAAAAGCTGATACAGTTATTTAACATTCAGAAATAAGAAAAGTAAAAAATAACTGTAAAATAAAATTGTAGAGCCATTTTTTTTATATAAATTGTTCAAAAAAAAAAATTATTTCAAAAATAATAGATAATAAATGTTTTATCAAAGAGATATTAAATTGTCAACATATTTTAAAAAAATATTTTCTTATTTAACCTTATGGCTTGTCTATAATAAAAACAATAGAGGCAGGTACACATTCTAATTTATCATACTGCCTACAAAAATAATAACCACTGGCTAATATTATAATTAATTAAATTATTTATCAATAATCAATCTTTACATATTTTCTATATAAACAAAAATAATAACGTAATTAATTGACTTTTTATTTCTTAATCTCCACAAAGTGAAATATTAAGTTAAACTAATGATATGAAAAATCAACTCACTTTCTGTAGTTTCCCAACTCAAGCCGCCAACAAATAATTTCCTAAAATTAAATAATTTAAATTAGATAAAATAGTAAAATAATTTTTTTTTAAGTAGATTATAAATGGGATATAATCAAGATAAGGAATATAAGACAAAGATTGCGCTGTTCATAAAAAATAAAATTAATCCAAACCCGTACAAGAATTCACATTTATTTTCCCCAATATAAGATATTATATAGCATAGACGCATAGCAACTTTTTATTAGCAGTAATAATCATAATTATAATAATAGTAATAATAGTAATATAATTATTTATATAGGTATAAGTATAAAAAAACAAAAAAACAAAAAAAAAAAAAAAAAACAAGAACAATTACTAATTGATATCAAAATATATATTTTTTAAAATTTAATTTCAGACCAATATATAAAACACTGTTTTCAACCTTAAATTATTAAATTTGATTTATTTCCCATAAAATGTTTTTAATTAACAAAGTACATCAATTAATTGTATAATCAACCTACAACCTAGTCATAAATATATGTAAAATAGTTATAAGATAGGTACCTAGTAAAGACAAAAAAAATGTTGTGGAATACTCAAGGACAAGAATAAAAAGGACTTTTATGATTTAAGAACTTTCAAATATATTTCAACATCATGAATTGTATTTGAAAGCTCTATACAATTATTATATTTCTCATAGCTGTATTTTTGTACTGATAGCTAATTCAACAAGTAGGATTTAAGAGAAATATCGAGAAAAAAATACACAAAATTAATAATTTACATTTAGTCTTAAAACAAATTCACAGCTATTAGAAATTCTTAAACTAAAATGTAAAAAATCCAAAATAAAAAATCAATGGATAAATTTTTATTAACCATTATTAAAATTAAATTATGAAAAACAATTATAGAATCCTAGTAATCTAAACGTTTTAGATACTATTAATATTTTTTTACTCAAGATATTAATATTAATATCAATTTTTTTACAGTCAACAGTATAATTTCAAGTTTTTTTTTATATTTTATACTTATTTCTTGGATTTTTTACTTAATATTAATTTTTAATTCCCATAACCAAACATTGCTTGTTTGCCAATTTGCAAACACACAATCTTTAAAATAATAAAATTATTAGGAGAATGAGGAACCTACAAAAAATAAAAAAATAAAATTAAAAAAAAAAATAAAAAAATAAAAAAAAAAAAAAATAGAAAAAGAATAAATGAATTGATATATCCATATATATTTTAACTTAATTATATAAATTCAGAATACAAAATTTTATTAGAATTACATCAGAACAAATTTTTTTAAATTTATTTATTTAAAATACTACACAAGCAGGCCATAAATTGTCGTTCAAAACAAAATCTTAGGCCAACAAATTCTGCAATGAATCAATGTGTCTATAATTTAGTGACGAGAACTGTAACATAATAAATTGCATAAATGTTTTTTTCTTGAACTTCAATATAATATTTACTCTAAAACAGTTTTTACTGAAACTCGATGCAGTTAATTTTTTTTAAATTCATTATTAAATTTATTTATACAGTTCATTCTCCATTTATTTATTGTTTAATACTTAATGATTCCTACCATTTGGTAGGTGATGATACTGCATCAGCCGCCGCATTAAAAACAGTCAGCCGGTGTCAAACGTATACCTGTTGTACAATGTGTCCATTATTAAAACATCCGTTCTTCAATGAATGACATGATCGTCACCTGCGCATATTTATACACCACGTTGAAAGGTAATCGATACATATGCCTATACGGTCCTGAAGAGACGCAGATTATCATGAAAAGTATTTTACATTAACTTTTCTGCTTGTACAAATTGTTATTTTAGTTAAAATAGTTTGTTTGCATCCAAAGTAAAGGATCTTGAAGCCCATTGAGAAGAATTTGTAACCCTTGAGAAGTAGGTAAGCCAATTTGAAGATCTTCATTAAGTTAACACAATTATTAATATAAACATTATACGTTAACATTATTAATAAGTAATAAAAAAAAAATCAAACAAAAAATGTACAAGTTATTTAACTTAAGTTACATGATAAATAATTGATTTAATTATCCTAACCAATTTATTGTAAGTTACAAATTCAGTTAAAACTTAAAACTCTTATAAACCAACATTAAAGGCTATGCTCTAATAAAAATGAATCAAACAATAATTAATTCAATAGTAGCGTCTCTTTATGACCAATACAGCAATACTTACTTATAATCTGTCAATAATTGAAGTATTATAAGTATTTTTAATAGGTAACAAAGTTTTACACAATATTTACAACATTTTTTCGTTGAATTGGTCATAGTAAATTTAAATTAAAAAAAAAATTGTAAAGAATATTTTGGTTTAATTTAATACTGAATTAAACAATTTGCACGAGTTTTCTGTAATAATAATGAGAAGTATTATGCATATATATTATACCTATATAAAATACCTTTTTTTATATATTAATATACACAAATATAATTAGTTTAGAAAATTTTAAATTGTGTAATACTTAGGAGTATCTATATTATAATGAAATTATATTTTGTATATTAATATATAATGTACACAATATTAAATCATAATTACGGGAAAAAATAAGGCAATTTTTGATTTGCTACACTTGATGTTCCAAAATGGTAAAACTATTTTATTTTAAAATAGCTATGTTATACAATTGGGTAGATTTATAGATTATTTAAAAACTACATAACATACAAAAAAAAGTGTCACAAACAAAACATTTTTAGCAATTTAAGTGAGCTATGTTAAGTAAATATTCTAAAAAATCATACATGTATGCAGCAATAGAGATATTTATCAGTTCACATACAGAAAGCATGAAGTGTAGCAAAAATCTAATTGAATAATATTTTAACTTAAAGGATATATAAACTATGAACATGTGTTACATATTATATAAAGGTATAGGTAAAAAAAAGGGATAATTTTTTGACAATTTATAGAATCAATAGATTAAACAATTTGATACCAAGATAGTATCTTCATCAAAAATATCTGAATACCTAAATGGATGAATCCAACATTGACTTATTCTGAAATATAAAAATTCACACTACCTACATGAATGTTATCAAATAATATTGCCATATCTTTTAGGCATAACAGATCAGAAAAGGGTAAAAATGATGGATTGGGTAATTAATAACTTTAAGGTGGTTAGGTTAAGAAATTCACACATGGAAATATATTACACATTAAAACAGAGTGGTCAAATTGTTAATAAAAAGACAATTTTAATAGTAATGATAACAAAATTCAAGTTTGTTCCACCAATTACTATGTTTACATAGAACAAGATAAACCATACTTATTTAATAATACCAATTTTATAAGGACAACAAACCCATTTCTATAACAAACATTCATTATTTAAATATGGACTGAGCAGTAATAAACTACCTACCTAAAAATAACATAGCAAAATCGGAAAAATCATTAAACATTGTGGACAATAATTTAAAAAAGGCATTATACAGAATATGAAAGTAAAATTTCAAAAGAGACAATTATATCCAAATCGGGCGTTGGCGGCAACCAAATTTTAATTTGCCTAGCCCTCGAAGTCAGCGTAAATTGTAGGTCAGTGAAGTCATAATTAAATTGCGAATCACTAAACTTAACAAATCGGTTCAAAACGTTACCTATCATCTTCTTTGACCTGCTCTTCTTGGTTTGATTGTTCGACGCCATTGTTGTCGTTGGTGCCGTTGGCCTGTTCTTTCGGTTGTTCGTCAGACATGATTAACAGTTTCTTGTTGATCTCAGACGTCTGTTACAATGGTTAAATGCTGTCGTCAGTTGGACGACGGAACGTATCAGCTAATAGGCTGAAAATAGTGAGATGAGACTGAACAATTTGGAGAATGGAGACAAATTAAGATTGCAGAAGAAACGGGATACAGAAAATTTAGTTTTTTGAGAGTTCCGGTAATGGATACAGCAGGGCGTTCGGCAAATGGCTAGACGGCTTGGGAAAATGGCCGCAAGCGTCGGTACGGGCGATGACGGGGTAACGCTAAACTGTTACAGTGTGGCCACCATCCGTGAGTTATAGCTATTAAAGTTAAATGTTCCATGTCAATATTTTAGTTTAGTTAAGGCGGCCAAATGAAAACAAAATTCTATCAGTTTATAATAATTATTTTTATTATAAGAACTTATTATGTATATAATCTTACAATCTGAATTTAATATTTCAATGATAAAATTTGATAATTAATGTTTGTGAAGATAAGTAGTATTAAGTCAAATTTACGTTCAAAATATTGTTTATACCTAATTGTACAGTTTTATTACAGTGAATAACAAATTAATTTCATTATTTTTTGGTTGCTAATTGTCATAGATAAAAGGTAATTGCCAATTGCTAAACGCATATATATTTATAAAAATACTTTAGGTCGGGTCACCAGTATTTTTGATGTAAGGCCACACAAACAATTTGTATTAATAATATATGAAACCAAACAACAATTAAAAAAGACAAATTTAAATTTTAGAGCTATGAATTGGGGATATAAGGGACTTTAAAATAATTAGTTATAGGTGAAAATCATTAAACATATTTTCTGGTAAAAATTGGTACAATACTTGGTACATCTTCCAGTAATACATTTGTTAATACAAATAATAACAACGTTAATACAACGTAATTTCTATCTAGATATAGAATAACAAAGTAGAATAATTAAACTTTGTATTTAATGTTATCTCCAAATATCAGTGGAAAAGACAATAATTAGGTATAGGAAATTCATAAAGCATTATTTAAAAAAAATTGTCAAGTGAGATATGACTAGTTTTTATTTCAGAGAGCTGATCAGAGAGATATTATTCTCCCGTAAACAAATATATACTGCCGCCTGAAAATGTAGGTCATTATTACGTATATTACATATGATATGATATGTGAAATGAGTTATGAGCTGCATACGAACTGAGTCCCAAATCCCAATAAAACTTTTTAGAACTAATTAAGTCATGGTTTGTTTTTAGGTACCTATATACTAATTGAGTATATGTTTTAATACTAACTGAATCTCGTCAAACTTAAAAAAAAAACATTAAAATTACGTTTTATAAAAAAAATTTTATTCTACAATGAATAATTTAAATGTTACTTGAGTATAATAAAATATTGGTAAAAATATATTATAAAGAATAAAGGTGATAAAATTATAAAGTTTTTGGAAACAATTTTGGTGATAGGTAAACATTATACATATTTAAATCATGTTATTTTCTTTAATTGCAACAGCTGCATATTTGTTCTCCGATTTCTTTTTCTTTATTTTTGATATCATTTCTTATACTAATAATATGAATAATTCTAATTTTGTTATTTGTTTCACAGTGTACCTATATTTAACAAAACGTTTATAAATTGATGTTTGGATGGGCTGAATTGGTTTTTGAATTTTGAATAGAAAGATTCATAATATTGTTGGTGGTCCTCGCCAATAAATATGTAAATTAGGCCCATATTTCCGGAGAATATTGTGAGCTTTCGAAGACATAATTTTCTAAAATACAATCAGTAAAATATTCTACTCGATAATCTTGAGATAAAAATTAGAAATTAGGCAATCATTAACATCAACACGCCGTACACTTTACCGTATTTTCTTCTTTTCCCTCCTAGTTTTTCGCAATTATTAAGAAAACTATACAGAAAATCAAACAACTTTCTTACTCACAAATTAGACAAAAATTGTAATCAGAAAATATGCTATTCTTGAAACTTGGTCAAATATTTCTGGTAGAAAACTATAATCTTAGAAATTTTAAATAATGAAATCGTTGCGTTGTAATTTTAAAACATCGTACTTATTTTTGGTTTTTTCCAATTACCTATTATGAAAATTACTTTGGATATCAAATAGGATTCTTCTTTGTTAGTGGCTGTGTATTAAAAGGAACAAAATTGATCTCTGGTTATTTTTCAATTGGAATAATATTTCCGGTAGAAAAGCTTTTTACAATCAGAAAAAAAAAATAAACATCATAGTAAAACCATCTAATCATAAACTAAAAATATTATGTTATATTAATAACCGTATTTTAACGAGTTACAAAAAAAAAGTTATTGTTGAACGTATTTTTTTCAATTTTTCTCCAAGTTTAAAAATTTCTAGCATCCCCCTTGGAAATTTACAATACCCCCCCCCCCATTGATGAAAATCTGAAATAAACACTGGATATGAAACTCTACCTTATTCTCCTGTAAGTGCATCTGTGTATACAGGTACAATAATACAAATAAACGGAAACAAATACCAAGATTTTATAAACAAGTTCTGAAAAATAAATAAGTAATAATTATTTCCTGAATTTATACAAAATTTGAGCTAATATAAACTTCAAAAAAATTATTATATATGTAGGTACCCGTACTTATAATGGTACAAGAGTGCAAGACTGTATACTTTTCAATCTGCGCGTGTGTGATAAATGAGGATTAATCACTATAAGTCCTCGATAAGACACTCATTATCTCAGAAAGGTTTAATTTTTGTTAGGACAATTTATAAAACAAGCAGCTCTAAAATTTTGTATTTCCATTATTTTTGGGGATAAAATCACTTTAAAAACAAATAACAACCTATATTAAAAATTAAGTTTAATATTTAAATTTCAAATTTCTGTCAATTCGTTGACAAAATATTCCAATTTTAAGTTTGTTAGTGGGAAAACTGGAGTAATGCTTGAATAGTTTTCAGTTTTTTCACTTAGGATGTTTTCCTATGTACCACAAAACATGCAAATGCATGAACTTATCAGCACAGGTTTGGTATAATTAACCTAATACAATTTTTGTTTACAATATGAAATATGATTAATAAAAAGTTATTTGTAAATAAATTAAATTGTTTTCATAGGCAGGTAATCAATTTTAATTGATGTATATTGTATATATACAGTGAATTCCATTTCAGTTAAAATGAGTCACCGTTTAATGTGGGCAAATGTAATTGGTCCCAACATGCTCACATTAAGCGGAATCCACTGTATTAGCATTCTCTATTTACTTTTATGACACACATTTTGGTTAAATATATATAGTAAGTATTGATAAATAATAATTTACGGGTGATTCACTAAGCATGCTCATTTAATTTTTTTTTGTTAAATTTTAAATATATTCAAATTCTGTTTTTTAAGTGTAATTAAAGTTGATATTTTTGAATACATAGATTTTACACAACATTTAAGTAGTATCCTGTGGCGATACCAATTTTAGGTTTTCAAGTAAGAACCAATATTAAAAATTCCATTATTCTATATTCTAAAAGTGAAATATCTCGTCAATGGGTCGGTTGGTGGAAATCAAAAATTTTAACACCAAATGTATTTAAAGAATAATAAATAAAATAATAAAACCTGATATACAACTGCAGATGTTCTATTTTTATTATATCACAGAACATGTGACGTGATGACAATGAGATGTGGATTATTTTTATATTTTAGTATTAGTTTAAACAAATTTATAAAAATGGATGATTATTGCACCTATAAATAATTATGCAAAGTATACTATATAGGAATGTTATTTTAAACTGCTGTTCATAAAAAGGCAACACTCCATTATATTAGATTTATAAAATAATATAAAATATACAAAGAGATAATGTAACAGTTATATATCAGTAATAATCATGGCAATTGTCACAGCTACATTCGTTATAAATTCTTTAGAATATTTCCCATTTTTTAAACTTGAGACCATACAATTAAAATCATTATAAAACATTTTGCATTTAATAATACACAAATTGTATTATTATTGGTAAATTTATAAATAATATCATTTTTATTAAACTATGCTTATTATTGCTATATAACATACAAAAATAAATATATGTATTCAATATATTTTAACAAATATTTTTCGTTTTTATAATACTAATATGGTTTTCTTAAATCAGTTATATGCTAAAATAACAAGTATCAAAATACTTATACTATAATATATATATATATATATAAAAATATATAATACATGGTTATTTTCAATGAAAATTACAAATATTGTATTACTGTCTAACATAGACATAATTTACACTAGGTAATAAATTACCTAATTAAGAATATGGAAGACTTGGTAAATAATTCGTCCAATAAATAAAAATTATTAATACAAAATAAAAAATATTAATGTAAAATTAACCGTAATCATCTATTAGGTAATTTCCAGTTTTCTGCTGTTCGTTCATTTGGTTTAATTAATTGTGGAATTTCTTTCAAACAACTTTTAGCCCACTCAGGCAGGAGATGTTTATTTTTTTGATCAAAGTTCATTTCTACTCCCTGATTGGTTACACATTTTATTTTACCAGTAATTATATCAAGATGTACTTGTGAGCCATCTCCATTAGTTGTACAAATTTTGTTAGATTTGATTGATGAACTCATCACCTTACGATTAATTGGTATGTCAAATTCATCTATCGCTATAGGTCTTCTTCCCAATGTCACTGGGAATACTGTAACACTGCTGTTAGTATTTGTATCAAGAGTCGATAAAGTTTGTTCAACTAAACAACAGTGTTCATAGTATTTTTTGAAATTAATATAAATATTTTTTTCGATTTCATCTAAACATTCTGGTCTGTTGAAAGATTTTGATTTTCCATTAACTACTATTTTTATATCTCCATTTCCAATACTAGATACCATAGATCCATTATAAAAATGTGCTTCAAATGTTTTTCCGTCTTCCATAAGAAGACATTTAGCTTTATCACTATAAAAAACTACTTTGGCTGTCTTAGAAGCAATTAGTTTAACAAATTGAGCTGCATATGCATATTTTTTCCAATGATGTCGAGGCAGTGATTCGTAACTAAATACATCATCAGCGCCTTTATTTGGTGTAGGTGGAGGTTCTTCTTGTAATGGTACACCTCTATCTTTGTTTGGTTTATATATAGCCATTTGCTGACCATCAGGTGAAATTCGAAATACTTCTACTACACGTTCTTCATTAGATTTTAATTTCATTTTAATAAACTCTACACAAACTTCTCCATTATTTAAAATACTTAATACTTTATTTTTTGTTTTATGTCTATGTTTTTGTAAACGTGCCGTGGTTAAGCGATCAGCCATTTTATTTACTGAACTTGTTTCAGGAAAAGTTTTAAATGACTGTACAAATTGATCATCAAACATAATAAATTGCCTATTTTCAGAATGTTGTGATGGAGCTCTACGATAAATATTTTTCGAATTATTACAGTGTTTGTAAAAACTTAAACCAGATGTACAATATTCTTGTTTATTAATATCTAAAAAGCCTCGGCTAGTTAATAATGAATTCAAATTAGAATTCTCTGTTTGCTGATTTACTGCAATACAAGGATTATGAGTAGAATGCATATAATGTAATCCAGTTGATGAACTGCATTTTTCTTTATTAAATGAAATAGTGTTAAAACCACTATCTTCTGTAAAGTGTGATTTGTGAAACCATATAGAAGGCCCATTTTCTTGCATAAAATCGTGTTTTAACACACCTTGTAAATCAATACGGTCTCTTGGATTTTTTATCAGTAAACAACTTATTAAGTCTTTAGCTTTATTTGATAAATAGTTTGGCAAAGCAAAATCACTCATGACTACTTTTGTTAGCGTATTTTTAATTGCATCAGTATCAAAAGGAGGATGTCCTACTAACAGAGTATACAATAAACATCCCAATGCCCATAAATCAGTTTCCAAACCATGCGAACTTCGAGTAGCAACTTCTGGTGATATATAATTTGGGGTTCCACACATTGTCATATGTTTTTCATCCCTAGAATTTAATTGAGTAGCAAGACCAAAATCAGCAATTTTTACACGCATGTCCTTTGTTAACAATAAGTTTGTTAAAGTCAGATCTCTATGAACAATATTATGTTTATGCAAATATAAAAGACCTTCAACCACCTGTTTTAAAATATGCCGAGCATCAATTTCTGATAATTTGTTTCCATTGCGTTTTAAATACTGGAGTAATTCACCATTGTGACAAAGTTCTAAAATTAAATAAACATAATGGTCATCTTGAAAAACTTTATATAATTCTAATATAGATGGATGTTTAAGTTGATTATGTATTTCTACTTCTTGTCGAACACGATCAATCATATTCTGTTTTTTCATCATCCGAACATCAATTTCCTTGATAGCCACTTGATGACCAGTACGGAGACATTGAGCACGATAAACACTTGCAAAACCACCTTTTCCCAAAAGTTCCAATTTTTCATAGTCATATATACTGTTAGGCAATGACATTGTGTTGAAGGGCAACATTGAAATGTTCCTAAAATAACAAATTAAATATTAAAACAATAATAAGTTTTTTTTTTTTTAATGTACTACCATAAGTTATTATATATATTTTAAAAATGCAACTAGGTACCTACTGAAATGAAAAAAAAAAAAAAATCTAATTTTAAATATTATTAATATACAGGTAAATATTGAACACAGAGCTAAAGAAACAATAAGTCTTCACAGTCGTACATAGTAAAAAAAATTATTGATCTGACAAAGACAATTTTATAAAACAATATGAGAAAATATTCAAAAATAGAATGAATAGGTAAATAGTTTTTTAAAGTAAAAAATAAATAATATTAAATAATTGTGTAGCCGTTTGACACTAATAAACAAAGAAGTGTCACTAAAAATTAATTTTGCTGATATCTTTACTTGAACCTACATCAAGATTTTGTGTATCCAGAAAGAATTTGATGGAAAACAATTTAAATAAGAAATAAATAGGTATCTATTCACGTAATACCGAAACAACTTAAGAATATATAAGTTTATTGATATAATACACTATATACACTTTGTTTATTGTTCTGTAGAATTAAACATTTTAAATAATATACAAATACAATTTAATATACCTTTTTTCCTTCTTAGTATTAATTCCGGAATATTTGTTTTAGTTGTTTTCTGTCGTCCAATTGTTGTCATTTTCAAATTACAAATTTCATAACGTGAATATTAAATAGACAATAGTCTGATATCGTAAATTCAAATGATAACGGCTTTGAACCATATGGTAGCCCGTGGTTTAAACATATAATCATGGAAGAAAACACTTAACCACCAATAAGATCGCATAACCGTGCGTCAATTAGTTCCCCCGTCAATTTATTCCCCATTAATAATCTAAATGTTTGATTAAAGTTTTAAGAACAAAGTGAAAAAAAAAAAACCATTTCAACTAGTCATGGTTTACTAGATTTAGTACTTAGGTTTATACGTACGTTGCAATGTTTGTCGAATTCATATTCACACATACAAAACATAAGTTCCTACTTATAACATGTCAGGTCAATATTATATAATTTAATATTTATAAACACATTCGTGCATGTGGTAAATTCTAAATGGTAACTAAAACAAACTTTTCAATTATAGTAGGTACTAAGCACTTATAAGAAAACTGAAAACAATAATAAAATAATAATGGAAAATCAAGTAAGTTTTCAGAACTAAAAAAAAATCAGAATGATACCATATTTCCTAAAATTAGAAGAAAAAATAAATCAAAGTTCAGAAAGAAGGTAGGATACATTAAGTTATATAATTTACCTATATCTCTGCTACGAAACGATTGTTGATGAAAAAGTGTTTGTTCATTCATTATTTTTTTATTTCGTGAAACATTTTTATGTCCAATATTTTGTATATTATCAAATTTTCCAATTGGTCTTTATGAGTAGATTTTATGCATATAAGTTCCTCAATAACTTAAAACAGTTGCAAATTAATAGGTTTAAGATAGGTAATTACAATAGTTAAACAAATTAGCACAAATCAAATTGATAAAAATGTTGTTTATCATAAACTAGTATCTGAAGTCGCTTATTATAACCATTAATAATAATAATAATAGTATTTATTTATTTTCCAACTAGTATAACAAATTATAATGTATTAATAAAATTGCAGTAGTTAGCCACTTCCAAGTCATTGGCTGCGCGGAAGTGAGAGGTCGAACTTAAATTAATAATAATAAGTTATATACGATGTATAAAATACGTGAAAAGCAATTACAATGTTATGAATAGGTATAATAATAATATAGATACAATAATAATAGAAATAAGAGCTGATACTGGGAATGGAAGCGGCCACTGTTGTAGGTGAGAAGTTTGGGAAGGTGGGATACATAAGGTTATTTCATTTATATCTGTAAGCAACAATAAACTATTGCTTGACGAAAGACGATATATAGTCTCTAGTTCATTGACATATGTTTGATATGCTGATTTACCATTATGATAAATTGATAAATATAATCACTACTATTCGCTCACTTAATAGGTAAAGGAATGTCCTTAGATCATATCGTATATGATCTAAGGGAATGTCCTATCCATTTATATTTTATCTATTGTACATAGAAGAAAAATTCTTCACACTAGGAAAATAAATCCCCAGTAGCATTTTAATAATGATTGATGGTCGTAAATAAAATAAAATAATGAATAAATAATACAATTCATTGTATGTTAAAAATTTAATAATTTGGTATACGGTATATTAAAATACTAGTTGTCCCGCTCAACACCAAGGCAACGCCACTTGTGCAAATTTTGAGTTATTTTTTTTTACCCATATTCCTTTTTGGTTTCAACCGTGTCGGTAATAAATAAAAACAAATAGGTGGAAAGTGGGTAGTCTACGTTTGGCGGACTAAAAGTGTTCTGTTATGACATTTTTTCATGATTTGCATACGAAAAATATCGCAATCAAGAATTTTGTTTTTGAAAAGGGGGGTTGGTGGATTTCAAAGGGAGTAAAGCATAACCTAACCTATCGAGAAATGAGGACGCTCGGCAGCGGGAAAGCGGGTGTACCGTATCATAGCTAGTTGTCGCTCGTAAACGGGCACGGTGTTCGTTTTATACCTTTATGTGAGTATAGACCGACAGTTTATGTATTGATATAAAATTAATAACTCGATTACTAATCTGTATGTATAAAAATGGATCAATATTTTGTCGGTGACGCCATAACTTGAATAGCACTTAAATTTCAAACTTTTGCGCCAGATTTTCCAAAAATTTCCCTTCATAATAATCTTGTCTTAATAATTACTAACACACACAAAAAAAAAATCAGATATAATTTAGGTTTTTAATGACTACCAATTCCCAATGAAATTGTTTAGTAAAATATATTAGTCGTTTTTATTGTATTATTTATAACCTTATCTCTTAAGACCGTGTAACAGAATAACAATAAAATTGACAACCCATATATTTAGTTTAAATGACTATCAAAGTTATGTAACTAAAAAAAAATAATAATAACAATAAATAATCAAAATTAAACAATAAATCAATCAAAAAATATTATTTCTAATTTCTATAAGTATTTATATACGTAATATGTAATATAAAAAGAGTTAAGGGGAGGGACGATTTCTTCTATTGCCCACTACAAACCACCACTGACTCATACTCTGTTTTACTTTTACTTATCCTTAGTCCCTTTCTTTCAAGTGCTACTCGCAATTCCTTAAGCCTAATATTAACTTATTCCAGATTTTCTCCTATCAAAGCTATATTATCTGCAAAACATCACGCACTATGATACCTTGTCTTAGCCTTGCGCACATATGAGAATTAAAATAAAAAAACTTAATAAAAACAAAAAAATAAACAAAAATGGTTGCCAATGAAAACCTACTTTTAATGTTTTTTAATCTAAAAAATCAATTTTTCCTCATTATCTCGAATGTTAATGAAAATTTCAAAAAAATCATCTCCCTAAAGTATCAACTAGAGTTCAAATGCAATAAAAAATTGTCTTTTGTCATGTTTTGGTTGGAGCAAGATTTCTAGGAGTAAAGTTGTTTACATATGGAAAAATATAATAAAAAAATACACATCATAGTAAAACCATTAGATCCTTCGCTTCTCTCAGAATCTAAAACAGAAATTAACTAAAGTATTTAGGTTGACAGTGGTACGTGATTTAATTAAGTAGAGATATGCAAACAATCAAATATAATTAGAAAAACTAGAAAATAGCAATTTGTCTAAAACAATCGGAATGAGCTAAAAATCAGCACTTTCAAATTTCATAACTGAGATCATTATAACATGACATGATTATTTTGTTAGATTTTATGTTATCCAAAATAATAAGTAAATGCTTGAAGTCCCGAACCCGGGTCATAGTAATAATAATAATAATCGATTAGCGCGAATGCGATTATAGCCTGCTGCATAATTATGCGCACTTTTTCTGAACTTTAAAAAAGTCATTAAAAATCAAGAATTTAATTGATATTATGATATTATGTTCAATATTATTATTATTTATTCGTACGTTACATTTACAACCATAATTTTCAGCCACAACAATAGTTCTTAAATAATATAGCGATTTATAAATAATAATAGATATTATTGAAAATGCCCGCACGATAATAACTACAAAATATTTAATTGCATTGTATTTTTTTAACATATACAAATATATATATATATATATATAATTAGATATATATATATATACGTGCAATCGTAAGACTTTATTAAAAAACATCATCTCAACAAAATCAAATTAATTAAGTGAAAAAAAAAACCTACGACGTTACAACGGGGTGTGTGTGTGTGTCGTCGCATCGGTTTTTAATATTGCCGCCTCATTGTTTTGGATTGATCGTGGTCGTCGCGGTCTGGTCGATCGTTGGCTTCGCGGTCTGGTCGATCGTTGACTTCGCGGTCTGGTCGATCGTTGACTTCGCGGTCTGGTCGGTCGTTGGCTTCGCGGTCTGGTCGATCGTTGACTTCGCGGTCTGGTCGATCGTTGGCTTCGTGGTCTGTTTAATCGTGGGTTCTGCGGTCTGGTCGATCGTGGGTTCTGCGCTCTGCTCGATTATAAGCTCTGCGGACTGGTCGATCGTGGACTCTGCGCTCTGCTCGATTATGAGCTCTGCGGACTGGTCGATCGTGGACTCTATGGTCGGTTCCTCCTCGGACGAGGCGGACACGAAATCGTCTTTTTTGCTCCAAGGCCATAACAAAGACCTGGGCTGTCTGCTCGGCTGGCCGTTGACCGAAATCGGCGTGCTCTCCACGACGATCGCGGTTAAAACCAGCGCCGAGATCAAAACCGGCAATTGCATGGCGGACGACGGTACCGTTGTATAGAAAAAAGTAAAAACGGGTTACTATTCAGCCGGAATGCGACGCGGGTATCTGTGCTGTATCTGGAACGGGTGTTGTATAACGAACGGTACAACGTTTGCAGCATACACACTTTAGGACTCTTTTATTATTTCTATTGGACCTGCATTGACAATCGAGTCATACTAAGTTCGCCCCGTCATCGCATCGCTCTTATCGTCCGTCGTAATTACATATTAGGTATAATAATACTATACGTGACAATCTCGACCGTTGTAAAGTTGTTTTTTTTTTTTTTTGTTTTTTAATTTTAAGCGGTCTGACGATTAAATACCGATTTTCGGACTCGGTCAATTACGATACGGGCACGCAATTTAATTTATTATAACACTGTGCAGCCGCCACCCATTATTATAGGTTTATTCGCAGTACACGATACATTTTAATTCCTACACTCGCATTGTTATCGCGATATTCCTTCCTCAAACACTCGTTTCACGCGTATCATGATATAATAACGTGCGCCTCGTACAGTTTTTGCAGCGTCAAGTCTAATAATTATATACGTGCATATATTATTCCATCTATCATAACTAATTAAACATGTTATATTATAATATTAGAATAGAATAGAATTAGAGACGTAACGAACCCTGATTTTTAAGGCCGAACCGAACCGAAACGATCCTACACATTTTTATTCGAACCCGGACCGAACTGTGAACTTTTAAAATATTTTATCGAACTCGAACTTGAACAAGTGCACTTAACATAAATAAAAACTATAGGCAGAGATGCACCGCTGCTTAGGCGTACAAAAACAATGTTAGAATATGAATATCTACGTACGCGCTCAGAAAATAAAATATGACCACGTTACGAATTATTGAAAAAGACGGGCTGTATAAATGAATGCAATTAAATGCTGTAAAAGCAAAAACAATATGGTTGTTTTATAGTACAAATTATGTATTATATTATGTTGGTCATGACGTCTATTAATATTTTAATAATTATTATGAATAATGAGTACCCATTATTTTTAATTTGTTTATTGAATATTATTTAATAATAATGTATCATGACTTAAAAGACTAATAATATTTTATTGTTTTTAACTAATATGATTAACTTTTTTTTTTTTCCAAACTTCCTATCATACTATTTTCTAAGAGATTACACAAAGTCACTAACTCATATTGTGTTAATATCATGACTATGTATAAGATTGTCTAATTTTTTTTAAAATTTACCATATCCCATTGTACTGCACATACGTGCTGCGAGATAATCATGAAAATTTCAGCGTTGCTAATACAACTATTACTTTATGGCACTATAGTAACTATAAAGTGTTAAGTTTAAACTCTAATATCAGTTATTTTTTTCAAAGAAAATTCCAAACAGAATGCTCAGAGAAGTTGTCTGTTAAATTTGTATTTAATATGGTGCAGTAATTACTTGAATGGTTTTGAATAACCTATTATAGTTTTAAGTATAACTATTAAAACCTAGGTAAGTACTTAAAACCTGAGCAATGATTATCTATATATCGGTCATTATTTGTAATTTGTGTAACACTGAATTAGAATGTTTGATTAAAATAATTTATCAAAAACATTACCAGCTATTGTTTAATACAAATAATTGTTCACTATCTCTTTAAAAAATTACGGTACGGTTAATATTATTATATTACATATATACATATACTGACTGACTAGGTACTACAATAGAGCATTGCGTACCTATATAATGTCATGTATATGTATTATATGGACAGTATAAGCACAATTTGGGAGATGGGGCACGATGTTTATAACAAAAAGTATGTTTTTTTTTGACTGCATACTAATTATAAATTAATAATCGTTAAACATATAATGTATGCAATTTTTAAAATTAATAAGACTATTTGTTTAGTTCATCATTAAAATCTAAACGAACAGCAGCCACAACAATAATCTAAGACCGTGAGTCACAGTCTGTATCAAGAGCTGCTTCTGTAAGCTAAATATCATCACACTGTGGTTATCCGCTGTTTACTATTTGTATTTGTGATTAAAAATTGATTATTATAATGCTATGTTATTTTATAGTATTGTCAATTGGTGGTTTTTCATTTTTGCCATCGCTATTGAAAAGTCTTGAAAGATTTCAAAAGATACGCTAAAGAGTGATGTTTGGGGTGCGGGGCGAAACCTGCTACAATTCCATTTGGAATAAATTTGTCTTCCCCTACCTCCAATTCAAAAATTGAAATTATGTTTATGCTTATCGTTTGGGCGGAATTTATACATGAACTCTTAAATTGTATTTTATTTATTTGGTTAAATATTGGAGAGGCTCAAGTACAAATGATATAATTTGTTCACAAAAATAATTAATAATAATATGTCTGGTACATCGTTTGGGCAAGCTTTCATAATACTTTCATTGTTTGACCGTTTTATCATTTTTTGAACACAATATTGTTTTTCCTTATAATTATTATTAAAGATAATTTTTGTGAATAAATCAACTTTATAGAATAGGTTTTTACAAAATTGTTTAAAGCTAAACAACAAGCAGTTTAGTAGATACTTAGTAACTGGGTATTTTATATAGTGGAAAGTGTAATATTGAAAAAAAATCCTTACAAAAAATATTTAATTCCCGGAATGAAAGGGTTAATAAATAAATAAATTTGATTTCTAAAGAAAAATTAAAAACTTTTCACGAATAAAATTCTAAAAAAAATGAATTAAACATATTACAATTAAAAATGATTTAAATTATTTCTAAGGGAAAAAAGAACGAACAAAAATCGTTTATGTTCCTCCAAAAAACGAACGAAATTCCAATACGTTTCTTTACGGAACCGTTCTCGATAAATTCTTAAATACCGAACTAAATCAATGGAACTCATTCCTTACAATCCTTTCCTTCTAAGAACTATAATTATAACTGTAATACCTATTACGTTGCACCGAGTATTATTATTCACAGTGTATGTTTGCGACTGCTGTGAGTGTTACGCACATTTTGTACATAACCCCGTCATTTTATTTAATTAATTTGTTCTTGAAAAACAGATAATAATATTCGGCAATTTCATTTGCTTCGTCATGACATCAATTTTATTGCCGTCGTATTAATCGTTATGATCTACCCGACAATACACGACAATATACGAGTATGTCGTCTAAATAATATAATTATATCATAATAAAAACATATAAGTACACAGTTTTTTTAAATTTCAACTCGTCATGTTAAATTACATTATCAACCATCCATCAGTATGTCCAATTATAATATAACACCGTGTATAATTAAAATGCACAATAATTGTTAAATTGTCACGTTAATTGTATAACAATGTAACGATAAATTATTGATTGTAAATTTCACATCAATACATTCGGTATAATATGTTTTTGTAACAGTAATGACGATTGATATAATATATGGCCTATTATTAGTCTTTTACATAAATAAATATGATGCAATTTATCCACATCAGACTAGTTTTTATTATGCGTTATATATGTTATACCGTTATCTATAAGAATTTAATAAACACCGATTGGGATTTAATAATTGGCGATAAAATAATGTTTAAAATTCTGTGATCAACTGTCTTTTATATGGTTTGAAAGTATCATTTTATAATCATATATAATCCAAACAATTTAATGTACCTAACAGGTATATTGGATATTTGTTTTTTATATCATTTAAGAAATAAGTATCTCTAAAATGTTATATTACATTTATTTTTTGTGGCCCTTATTTTAAGGAGTGAAACCACTACCTACTTTTGATTTTAAAATGATAACCTGTAGTAAATATTTTATAAATAGATAGAGTATCAGTCTATTAACGAGATAGTTCACTTTTAAGTCTAGGTAACGGAAGAGTGGTGGAACACTGTTAAAACGTCGCGTGCTGTGCTAACACATAAATGATGCTAACAACTATTCCTCTACTTAAACTTAAAAGTGGAATATCTCGAGTTGACGGAAATCAGAAAATTGAAGACGTTAAAATTTGATAGGATAATCCTGTGTTATTATAGGAATTCTCGAAGTATAAATAATATCATATTTCACACAGTCAGTTAAAATTTCAACTTCAACCTGGTACCAAAGACTTAATTCGAAATCTAGTGTCATTACACCGAGTACCAAATTTTAAATGGAGGTTATATGGAGGAAACCCCTGCTGATGGATTCAGAGAATTGGGAAATTAAACAGGAAAATTGATGACAATTTGAAATTTTTTTTTATATAATATGAGAACCGCGAGGGGCTGAACTCCGTCTTATGAAGCTCGTGGGGGGCTGCAGTCCCAAAGCTCCCCTGTACACGCCGCCCTTGCCGCGACATATTCTCTATCAATTAAAAAAAAAAAAATAAAACAAATCGATCGATTCAGTAGTTTCGGAGATTACCCGTGACTAACAAAATTTCATATTTATGTACATCGATCATACATCTACACCGTCGGTGCTGTTGTACGAAACCCGGGCGTAGACCACGGCCTTCGCGGTGACCACCAGCACGTAGACGAAAACGGACGATCGCATGGTGAACAGTACTGTCGCGGGGCGCTCTACTAAAAAAGCGTACTGTTTCTTTGGTAGGACTGTGACGGTGGAATCAACTGATGCGGCCACGCGTTGTCCATCGGACAGCACGCGCTGTTCGTCACACTGGGGACTTAGATTATTGCTTTTGTTTTTGTACTGAAGACGCGGACAATCGATTCGCATTCCACTCGCTCCGTAATCGCGTGTATCATTCTCTATCGCCGCTCGCCGTTGTTCAAATATTATTAGTCATAAACAATCATGTGCAACAGCTGTTTAATAATTATACTGTTTTTCGAATAGATTGGTTTCATAAAAGCTCAATTACAATAATATGATGGGTACTAACATAATAACATTGTTACAATAATAATTATTGTCCTAACGTTAGATTTTCGGAGTTTTCGGAAAAACATTTATTTTTCAACTTTTTTAAATCGGAAAATCTACGAAGTGTATTATTTTCAAATCGTAAATATTACGGCCTTTCAAACACGCATAACTGAATTCGGTTCAGAATCGCTTTTCGTTAGCAAATGATTGATATTTGCGTACAGATATACATTAGTTAAATTTCCCCTCTATCTTCCCAACTTTTCACCTACACATGGGCGTTCTCACGAGAGGGGGGATATGGAGAATGGATCCCTTACGGCCTTTTTTTTCCTGAGTTTCCTGTTTGACTGATATTTAGTGACAATAATCAAATAAATAAATATAATCAATAAATATTTTTTTTGACTCGTAATCATTTTTCACAATATTCGTATATAGATTACAAACCACGCACGGTTACAAACTGTGATTGCATTTTTATATGTCTGTGATTACAGATCAATATCTTTATCGTGGTTCTGGTTTTATAATAAGCTGAGTTCATATATAATTGATATAACATTATATTATTGATCTCATGGTACTACCGGCGAACAACGATGGAAGTTTTAACATATTTTCTCGGGCTTCTGTTGTTGTTATCAATCGTTTTTAGTGAATAATTTAGTACGTGATAAATATTACTGACGTGTTACTTTGCGATTTTGTAATATGTAACTATAGTGTATTACCGATGTATATTTGATCAAAATGAAACGAAATAATTCAACTAATTCAAGTCTATTATTTTTTTTCTAAAAAAAAAATTTGTGTTTCCTACAAGTACTGATATAGAAAGTATAAAAGTTAATGGTGTAGACTGTAGATGATGTAGACAAAAGTAAATTGCCTGAGCAGTTTGATGAAAGTTGTTGTAGCGGTAAGAATAATGTTGTCAGTGGAACATAATGTAATATAATATTTAAATAATTTTAATAATTTTTTTTGTTTAAATCACATTTTAACGAAAATCTTAAATATTACGGCCTTTCAAAACATGTTTATACGAACTTCGTTCCAGATGTTGTACATTTAGAAATTTATTAGGTATCGTTTATTTTTCGTAAAACGCAGTGTACGCTTCGATAATCTAGGATAATTGACGAGTTTGCGTTGTTTGTAACATTATGTCCATTGCTCCTTCTTGTATTAATTGTATAGTTATACAATATTTTATAATTAAAAACCACCAATGCTAGATGGTATACTCACCTCTTAAATTAGGTTCGGCGCCATTGAATTGCATTATTTATCGGCGAAAGCCGTCAACATAAACCTCGAAAATATAAAGAACAGTAAAAATGTCTGTGATGCGACGACTACCATATTTATATAAAACCAATAAAATTACTAAAATTCAAAATAATACAATTTTTATTAAATATAAGTAATTTACAACGGAATCAGTAATCATAATACATTATATACAACAAATATGTTAAGTAACCCACCAGGATTTTCCACAATATTAGAAAGCGATTCATTAAAATGCAGTTTAATGCCGATATAGATAATATTAAATAATGTTGTTCTGAAACGTTATGCAGCAACATTAGTACTTTGGTTTTCGCCGGGATATAAAGCTGTTGCCGGAGTTGGCGCATTAGTTGTCACCCATTAGGTTTACAAATTAGCGTTCGTTGAGGTCGATTCTATCAAGTATTCTTCTATAAAGACGCACCTGCCGAGATAGTAGTTTGGCACCATGCCTTCCTGACAGACCATATTCGCCTCTATACATTTACCGAGCATTGAACTGTACACCCAATCCTCCGGACAAAATAGCGGCGTAGTAGAAGCCTCGGTGGTGGGTTCATTCCAAAGCCAAGGCCATTGCATATTATCCCAGATCGCACGGCGATGTCTTAACAGTTCCTGGACGTCACTGTCGACTTCCGGAACCTGGGCACTCTCCACGGCCATCGCGGTGGCCACTATCGTCCAGATCAAAATCTGAAATTGCATTTTAGACTTGCGAGTACCCACTGGGAAACGATAGTCATGTACACTCGTATATCGTTATAAATTATAATTTTATATGAGTTGCTATTTGTACTCGGTCGACTACTGTGCTGGTTTGACATCAATGACTGTTCGCAATATCAATCAGTTATTTCTATGTGTTGTTGTATGATCGACAACACACGAAAAGGCAATTTTAAACATTTAATTGTCCGTTTTATCTAGATAAAAAAAAAAAAAAAATCCGGTAATTATACTCTTATAAATAATTACAATATACAAAAATTAGTTAGGTTATTAATAAACCGACTATCATTATGGTTTTAAACGGATGCCAAATAATAATTAATTAATTTAATTGTAAAATATTGCGATTACGATTATTATTGTACAGATACTTTTATATATTTTAGAGTTATTAATTGGTTGATAATATATTTTCTCCGATTCGATTTCTTTTTAACGATGGTTTATTGTTGTTTACAGATATAAATTAAACTCGTTTATGTATCCTACCTTCCCGCAACTTCCTACCTACAACAGTGGCTCACTGGTCCTCAGTATCAGCTCTTTGTTTTTTTTTTCAAAAATTTATACAAAGGATAAATTTGAATGCAAATCAATTGATTTCGTTTACTGTTGTTCGAATTTCGTGAATAACATCGGTATATTTTCTCCACGCCAAAATGTTTGAAAATCAGTTAAAATTAGTTATAGGTATCTGATGTTAAAAACGAATTTGTTTAATAAAGTAATTAGTTTATAATTCTAAATTCAAATTTTGACGAAAATTACAAAAATATCGCATTCAATAAATAATTTAAATGTTTAATTAAAGCCTGATAATTTGAATTTAATTTTAAATAAGTCTAACTTATTTCGAATATATTTTTAACAATAAAATGAACAAATTATAATTATGATAATTCAATAAATAGATATTCATATAAGAATAAATTAAAATAATATCCATAATTTTCTATGCAATTTGTTTTATTTAATAATAGTGTCAAACAATAATAATAATAAAATAACTAATAACTATGACTAATAATAATTATTAGTGTTTATTGCACTGACCAACAAAGAACATAGGTACATATAACGTTGAAGAATATAAATTATTATATTAACGTAAATACATCGCATATTGATATTACAAGAAACAAAAATAATGAATTAAAAATAGTGGGGAACGAGGGATACATAAAGTTATTTAATTTATACTTGTAACCAACGATAAATCATTGATAGCGAAAAACGATTCGGAGTGAAGTTCGGTTATAAATGTTTTGAAAGGCCGTAATATTTACGATTTTCGTCAAAATTTGATTTTAAAACTTATAATAATGAAAAAAATAAATAATAGGTACTAATTAATTAAACTAATTTTTTTTTCGATCACTAAGTACGACTTATAACGAAACTCCTAATAAATGTCCAAGCATACCTGTTAAGTCTAACAGTTTATCTACAGAGTTAGGAACTAATATAAATTAAGTAAAAAACTAAAAATTTAAATTAAAAATTAAAATGCTTTTAAATAGCTTTAGGCACACTGTAGAAACTAATTTAATGAAACATGAAACTTAAGTTTCATGAAACCAATTAATTAAAGAACAAATAGGTATGCACACTGAGTTTGACGAAACGAAAGTTTCTCATATAGTTGCACAACCGCGGTTTCATGAAACTTTTGACGAAACTATAATAGCAATTTTTGATTTATACTTTGGAAGCTTGTTTTATTTTTTATAAGTAGGTATATTAATATTTTATTTATATATATATATATATATATATATTATATTATATTTTACATTTTTTCTGATCCCAAAGCCATTTTCCAGTTGAAATCTTTCTTATTTGTTATACCACTGTGGTCCAACTAAATGCACTAAACAGTGAAACGCAGCTTAAGACATTCTATAAAAATTTCGGAATTTATCCTCATTGCTGGATAATTTCTTTGCAACTACATACCTACTATGCTGCTTATTATTTAAAAGTGAATGAATCTAATTAATCCAATATTGTTTTTTTATTTTTTTTACTATGAAGCTACCAATAGTATGAGTACATCTTCATTCTCAGACGATATTGTTGAAACTATGAATTTTTAGTTTCACATGTGTGTGTTAAAATATGAAACTAGTTTCATGAAATTAGTTTCTTAAAACTAGTTTCTCCAGTGTTATTTAAGGCTCGCCTTAATGATGTATATAAAAAACTTTCTTGCTCAAATATTGCTCAAATGTTCTGAAAGTTTTATCAAGTCTAGAAAAAGTAAATATAACTTTTCTGTAGACATTTTAAGTCTCTACGAATATTTTAACCGAAATTACAACGACAAAAAAAAAATTAAAAATAATAAAATTATTTCCGTCAAATTTTTCGTTATATCTACGTTTTTTTTCGGTTTTGTTCAATTATTAAAAAAAACTACAAAGAAAATTAAAAACCGACTTTCTCGGTGACCAATAAGCTAATAAAGTTATGACTGAAAATTTAACTGTTGTTTCAAAATGATAAGAGACAGTAAAATACTATACTTTAACTACCGTTATAAAAATTAAAAATATAAAATAATATTAGCTTCAGTGAAAACTTTTGTACAGATATTTATTAATTAACTACTATGGGTATCACTCGTCACTCGACCTGCGTACCACTAAGTTGCCAACTACGTACCACTAGTGATTCACGAACCACAGTTTGAGGACCGCTTACCTAAATTCAAATTTTCCAAAAATAATAAAATAAAGTTACTTTTTAAATTTTTTATTAAAAACAAAAATTTAATTGAAATATAAATATTTGTAGTCCTCATCCTGTCAATAACAGAATTTGATTATCTTTATTATCTCCGTAGATATTTAAGTGATATACCTTCGTGCGGGACACTTTGTATTTCGTCCTTTTTGGTTTTCCCCAATTATTACGAAAACCCGTCAGTAGCAAAATATTATAAGGAACAAAATCGATGTATTGTCATTTTTCGATTGAAGTAATGTTTCTATAGTAGAAAATAGTACAACACAATGAAAACGGTAACACCGCGAAGCACCGTAAATATTTGCCATTTTACTTACAATTTTCTTTCGGTTTTTTCCAATTATTTCGAAAACCCCTTGGAAAATCAAATTAAAATTCTTTTATAAAATAATAATACTACATAAAGCTCAAATTTTTCTTTTTGACTATAAACTACGACATTTAAAGAACCTCAGGCGCCCCGTGTTAAATTTGCATGACACAAGATTTTTAAAAACATTAAAACCAATAGATGGAAGGGAGTATGTACTTACCATTCAATGGCCTCAATACGCCACTGCTCGTATGTGTACGGATAACCTTTACCATATTTTTATTTTTCAGTCATTGACCATAACTGCCAGTGCCAATTTTATGTGTACAATATAATATATATAATAATATACTATAATATAATATATACTTTGGCGTAAACGGCCCACATATCGCCCCGTAGTATCGATTATGTATAAAGAGTCTTTGTCTGGGGCGGAATTAATTTTGGAAGGGTGATTTGAGCATCAAACCCATCTGCTCATGCCGAAATATCGTCCGTTTCAGCGAAAGAAGCCGGTTTTCAATTTTCCCCGTCCATGTAACCTCGATATAATAATATTATTTTCTTTGGGTACAACCTTTTACGCGAGCGGCGCTGATAAAAGATACTCCCTGGATGAATCGTGGTACGATCTTTTTCGCTGCGTTCAGCGACGATTATATTACGGCATGTTATGTACGCAACAGTGTTTGCATTGATTATTTCCCTACGGATAACACGGGAAATAAAACGTGGAAAATAGTATTACAAACGAATAAATAATTTATGAAAAATCGTCCAATGTTTTGCTGAACGGGCGTATAACGACGAAATCGAGTTAAGTTTTTTTTTTTTAAAATAATAACAATATGTATGTATATAAGTGGAACCCGTCGTTCCGGTACGGTTAAAATAATAACACGCCGGCGGTGTACCGTATACATCACAGAACGATATTTGTGAATCGACAGTGAATATTAGCGTACAGTAATAACATTTGTAACATTTGTTGCAGCGTGTTGCCGATCTCGACCGCGACTATAACGGAACGTGCAGTGTCCGCCGGGGCTCTGGCTCCACGTATTTAGCGTTTGAATCCGCGGCACTGTCGAGGTGGAAGTGATTGTTCGGTTGGGAAATTGTGCGATCGATTTTCCGAAAAGGGCGCACGTCCACTTCCACGGGCACGGGGGGTACAACCCCTGGCCCTCCGCGGAAATCACTGCGACGGCGATCATCAGCGGCCATACATATCATTAGCGGGCGTTTATATACGACACACGCAGCAACCCCGTCGTCTTACAGTAAAAATTATCGGCAGATGAACAATAAATGCGATCCTGCGATTTCATTCGCTCCCTCGTCGCGTGTTATCGCGTTGTTATCGGCCGCGTATTAAATCGTTATAATTATGTTATTATGTACTCGTTAGCGCGACAATATTATATTTTGTCCTGTAAATAAAATACTATGATAGAATTATTTATCGTTTTTCGAATTTCGAGAACAAATACACATTTCATTACCCGCTGTAAATACACGCAATTATAATAATACGTAAAATAATAATAATAATAATAATAACTATAATTTCGAGATTATTTTATGGCACCCGCGCGTTGTAAATTTCGTGTAAATACATTATATATTGTACAAGTGCGTAATATAATATATAAATTAATAAGTTTAATGAAATAATAAAGTAAAAACAAAATTATTAAAATGGTTAATGCTCGTAATTATATATATATAAATAAAAAATTTGTATATAAAAATACAATTAATTAATTAATGAATGCGTCACCATACAGGAGTATTATGATAATAAGTGTTAAATACGACCGGTTTCAAATTAAAAATTCATCAGATAAATCGCAATAAAAATGTAAAACGCGACTGAATATAAAACATTGAATGAAGAAATACACAGAAAAAAAAAATTTACAAATTGGTTGTTTTACATAGAATATACAAATAATTTAATTTTAATAACATGATTTTCTTAAAAAAAAACAATCGTACTAAATCTAAAACCTAAAATTTTGACAATTTTGTCAACGAAAAAAATATTTGATCAGAATTTGGCAATGCGAGTGTTGGGAAAACGTTTTACTGGCATGCACATAAAGAAACCATGTTTTTTCGTATTTGGAGGGTTGTACAAAATTCTCTGCACGATAGTGTACAAAAAAAACCATAATACTATCAGAGTTTGGTATTGAAATATTTACCCAACCCCGATATCAGCAGTGAAAGTGTTGACGAATCGGATCTTCTATTCATGATAGAATAAAAGAAAATCATGGCGAGTGCATTCATAAGGCTTCTCTTATATTGGATTATATTTTACATTTTGTAATTTGTTTGCTATAAATGATTGCATGCATTTTTTAAATTATGAATGCGAATTTGTATTAAACTAATACATAAACTACAATTTGACATAATTAGTTACAGTTTTAATTTATAAAAAAAATGTTCAAAGTGGGCCAGCATAAGCAATCAATTGATTAATTTGGACCAAGTAAATATTCAATTGGATCACTGTATTAAATTCTTATAATCAGTCGAAATTATTTTAATTAATCTTGAAATTTATCATCAACTCATTCAACGCGAAACACAATGTAGCTTTTATATTCACATAAAACCTCAAATATTTACGGTGCGCAGCGGCGTTACAGATTTTATTGTTTTTATATTTGTAATTTATATTTCTTATCAGGAATATTGCTTTTATCAAAAAATAAAACTTGATCGATTTTGTTCCTATTAACATTTAGTCATTGACCATGAAATTGTTTTTTGATATCGAAAGTATTTTTAAAAATACAGTGGCTTCCGGCAAAAGTGGGCACCGGTTAATATGGGCAGCCCCCTATTATGGGCAAAATAGTCTGTCCCAAACCCAGTTTATTGCTCATCAATTTATGAGCACTCGGTTCGGTTTATATGGGAAAATTACTTGCACAAATATGATGAATTGTTCCGCTTATTGGGGATTTTCTAAATATTTTAGTCCAAAGCCCGAGTTGTCTTCAGATTCAAATGAACAATACTTACCTGCCTATTCAAATCTGTAACGAGTTCATAAATATTGATAAAATACTCTTTGCTTTGATAATACGAGAATGAAGATAATTGAGATAATAATGTAATGAAGATGTTTGTGAAGTTGTACAAAATGTTCTTAAAAAAAGCTGTCCAAGGATAATTGAAACGGGTGCAGCTACTATTGTAGGTGGGATTAGTGGGAAGTTGGGAAGATAAGGTGTACAGACGGTAATTTAATATATACCTGTAAGGAATACAATTTACTATTTCTAACAAAAAACGATTTTGAGCGGAGTTCAGTTAATAGTGTTGATTTTTCAACAATATATATATATGTCATATTTTGGTAAAATAATTACATGTGCATTACACATTTTCTTTGATAATATTAGTTTAATATTGTACCTATTTTCCCGTTTTTTCCGGTGTTTACCATGTTTTTCCCATTTATTGGAAAAACTCGTAGGAAAATAAAACATTACTTCCTTAAAGTACTACCTCAGTTAGATTTCTTTTCAGAAAAAGTGCTATCATCAATCGGAACGAAATTGCTAGTAGAAAAGTTGTTTATAGAAATAAAAATAATAATAAACATCATTGTAAAATCATAAACGTTTTCTCTCCAATTAAAATCAAAAAGGAGGTTGGATTACAATTAACTGGTTACTGATCTCCAGTTACAGCTAGAGATGCTAAAAATTGCATTGATTTGTTACAGAAGTTCTTCATACGACAGGGTAACGAAAACAGTCCATCTGATAAGCATGAAAAGTTTTATGCAAACACTTTCTACCAGAAAGTATACTCCGATTATCAAGAATAGCACCTTTTATGAAAGAAAATTTTCCCTGAGTGATACTTCAGACAGGTCATATTTTGAAATTTTCATTAATATTCGAGATAATAAGGAAAACCTCGGTCTTTAGGTTAAAACAGATTGAAAGATAATAATAAGGTTGTCATTGGGAATCGTTTTTATTTATTTTTTGTTATTATAAAGTTTTTATTATTTTAATCATTTTTAAACAATCATAATTTTCATGGAAATGTGTATTGTTTTAATCATTTTACCATAATCAGCGTTGAGCATTATCTAGATAAATTATCTAAATAAATTATCGAGATAAATAATTAATTATCTTTTATCTCATCTAGATAATAAACAAAATTAGTAATCTGATGAATTATCTTAGATGAATAATTGAGTTATCTAACGTAATTTATCTTGATATATAAATATATTTACAGAAAGGTTCGAAAAATTGAACTAGAAAGTTAAAAACCCACATCTCATTAGTAAACCATCCTTGTACAAATATAGAACAAAATTAAAAACATAAAGTAATAATATTAACCAGGTCCCTTATTTATGTTATTTCTAAATTCTAATTATATCCGGGCCGATATCGCTATATCTATAAGCTACAACTGAATAGGTTGGTCTAAACGAAGTTGACTGAGTTGACTGCTTATAGATTTATTTTATAACTATCAAATTAATACTGAAGTTCAATTAAATATTATAAATGATGAAAAAATCTATACATTGTACTCAACAAACCTTCAAAAATAAACATTAGAATACGGCTAGTATTATTTATTGAAAAGAGTAAATAAATATAAAATAATTATCAATCAATAATAACAATAAAAATGAATCTTAAGATTTGAATGAAATAATATATTCTAAATGATTATAATTATTGAATATTATGTAATTATTAGTTATTAGTTTTATTAAGTGTAAGTATTAAGTTCATTTCATTTTATTTTATTTTTTAAGTAGAAATTGAAATATAAAATTATAACAATTTATCTTTTATTTTATTCAGATAAATTGTGTTTTATCTTTTATCTTTATCTAGATGAATTTTTAGTTATCTTTGCGCAACACTAACCATATATTGTATTGTTGACAAAGCAACATTATCAACTGAACTCGACTCAGAATCATTTTTTCGTTAGCAATGGTTTATCGTTGCTTACTGATAAACATTAAATTTTTTTCTGTAGCGTACCTTCCCAACTTCCCACCTACAACAGTAGCTTCACCCACGTGCTAATTATGTCCGTCCTTTTTTTTTTTAAAGTTTAAATCAAATTTTAATGAAAATCTTAAAAACAAAATTCAAAACATGTAAATCCTAACTTCGCTCCGAATCATTTTTCGAAAATAATGGTTAATCTTTAGTGGCAGATATAAATTAAAAGCTTAATGTATTTCATCTTCCCAACTACCCACCTACAACAGTAACCACACCCGTCATATAATATAATTTATACAAAATTATATTATTCTTGTAATACAAATTATATATAATCTCGGATATAACAAAAATAGTTTAATAATAACAATACTGTCGTGTATTAATTCTCTATAATAGCCTGCGTTCAACAGTGCGAACTAGATGTAGCCACTAGCCACTGTTGTAGGTTTATAAATTTATTAAGTACTATTGGTTATTTATCGTAAAACACAGTGTACGCTACGATAATCTTGGAATAAACTAGTGTGCGTTATTTGTAATATTATGTCCACTGTGCCTTCTTATATTAATTGTATAATTGTATAATTGTACAATATTTTATACTTAAAAATTACTAATGCTAGGAGGTATACTCACCTTTTAAGTTGGTTTTTAGTACCACTGAATTGCATTTATTTCCCAGTGAAAGCTGTCGACACAAACTTCGGTAATATTAAGAATATTAAAAATATCTGTGCAGTGACTACCATATTTTACATAAAACCAATAAAATTACTAAAATTCAAAATAATACAATTTTTATTTAATGATAATAGATTATGTACAGTAAATATGTTAGATAACATACCAGGATTTTCCAACAGATGAGAAAGCAATTTATTAAAATGCAGTTAAATGCAAGTATAGATAATATTAAGTATTGTTAATCTGAAGCGAAATGCGGCTACGTTCCTTATTTAGTTTTCATCTGTGTTGGTGCTTTAGATGTCGCCGTGGTTGGTGCCATAGGCGTGCGCAGGGGCGATGGAATGCCGAGTATGCCATGGAATCCCCTGTGAGCGGAGCATTTTTTATGTTCTTACATTTCAGTGAGGTGTTTCATGAACTTTGTTATAAACAGAAATTAGTAAAGAAATGTTAAGCCTATGTTTTTAATAAAATTTTCATCGCGGCTATAGATAGTATCTTTAATCATGGTTTTCATCAATTACATTTTAGTGATAATGGGGGTTGGTAATTGGGATATCACAGTTGCCATTCATGTTGCCTTGCAGAGTTGCAGATAACCAATAACCCAGACATAATAATTTAATATGTTAATATCCCCTAAGTTAGAGAGTTTCCACACTGGTGGGCTTTCCTTCTCCCGTTACGTTATGTTGTAAATATCTAGTTAAATTACCAAATTTATATATTGTATATAAAAATATTGATGATTGTAAATGTATTTTTTTTTCTAATAAATAAAAAAAAAAAAAATGCTAGTATCACAAATGTTTTGTTTAAGCTCGGATTTTAAGTTGTTCAAAGTTTGAATTTTTTTTTATAATTAAGAAAGTCAAAGTTAAAATTACATTTTTACTAATAAATTTTATTGATTATTTTCTGTGAACTTTATAGTTGCGTAAAAAAAAAATTTAAAAAATTCTGATTTATGTCTTTATGAAGTGATTTAAAAAAGAATCTATTGTTAAATATACCTACTGGCTACTTCGACAAAATCCTGGGCACTTCTATAGTTTATGCTATAGTTGTTGCTTCGGTTGACGAGTTAGTTTCCGCCGAGATTGACTCCGTCGTGGATACTCCAATATAGATGCACTTCTCGAGTTGGAAGTCTGGTTTATAATCTTCCGGACAGAGCTTTCCCGCCACCACACATTTATTGCACATTGAACTAAACAACATACCCGTTGGACACAAGCGTGATATAGTAGTGGAAACATCGCTCGAATTTTTTTTCTCAGGCCATAGGAATCCTAACCTGAGCCCACGGAGATATCTTAACATTTCATGGAATTCACTGTCGACGTCCGAAACCCGGACACTCTCCACGACCATCGAGGTGGCCACCACCGTCCAGATTAATATCAGAAACTGCATCTCAGACTTGAGAATATCTACTGGGAAACAATACTAATGTCTACTAGTATATATTGTTATAAAATAATAATATTTGTGTTGCTATTTGTACTCTGTCGACTGCTACGTCGTCAATTTGGTATCAATGACTGCTCGCAATAGCAATAGGGTATTTCAATGTGATACTGTATGACTGACAATATACGACACCGCAATTTTAAACAGTTGATTCTGTGTCTTCTTTCGACAGAGAAAAAATAAAAAATTCGGTAATTATTTTACTCTTATCACCGCCATAAAAATTATAATACATACAAATGAGTTCTGTTAATAATAAATCGACTTTTAAATTGGATTTAAATGAATGCGAGTAATAATTTAATATAATTGTAAAATATTGGGATTGTGATTATAATTATACAGACACGTTTTCATACATTTTAGATTTATTTATCGGTTGATTTTATATTGGCTTCTGATCGTTTTTTTTAGCAATGGATTATTGTTGTTTACAGACGTAAATTAAACAACTTTATGTATCCTACCTTCTCAACATCCCGCATACAACAGTAGCACACCCGTTCACAGTATCAGCTCTTATTTTATTTTATTTGTAGGTTATGTACCTTTTTTTATTAGTACCTACCTATACGTTTTATTTTTTATTGCTTGTTTTTTTAGACTTTTGTTATATTATTATAATATTTCAATCTTCAGTAATACTTACTTATAACAATATACTGATTATTATGTTGGGAGGAATACACTTCAGAGGAGGGAGTAGTAAACCTTCTTTTTTATACCTAATAGATATTTAGTTTGCTACAGCCTGTCGACCCCCAATAATTTACCCTAGATTACGCCTATGGCTATAACCTTGTTTAAGATTTAGAGCGTTTAGTTTAATAATAACAGTACTGTCGTGTTTCACTTTGTATAGCTTTCATATAAAATCACGAATCAGCTGTAGACTCTGTTGTAGTTTTAGACATTTATTAGATACTATTGGTTATTTATCGTAAAACACAGTGTACGCTACGATAATCTTGGAATAAACCAGTGTGCGTTATTTGTAATATTATGTCCACTGCGCCTTCTTATATTAATTGTATAACTGTATAATTGTACAATATTTTATACTTAAAAATTACTAATGCTAGGAGGTATACTCACCTCTTAAGTTGGGTTTAGTGCCTCTGAATTACATTTATTTCCCAGTGAAAGCTGTTGACACAAACCTCGGAAATATTAAGAATATTAAAAATATCTGTGCAACGACTACCATATTTTATATAACCAATAAAATTACTAAAATTCAAAAGCTAAAATGTATATTAAATATAATTAATACAAATATAAAAAAAATATATATATAAAAAAAATAAACAATAATATATTTTTAATATATAAAAAAATCAGTCATGATAATACATTATATACAACATACATGTTAGGTTATTAAATTGCAGTTAAATGCTGCAGATATAGATAAGTGGCACAACTAGGTTCTTGGGGCCCCGATAATAAGGTAAGTCTTGGGCCTTTTCTTGGGAATATTTTCTTTTAATACTGACTACTTATCATTAAACGCGCTATTTTATGAACTCAATTTTTAACTATGATCAGCGAAATAATAATACATGCATGTTATAGTAAAAGTAAATTGTAATAATAAACGATAAAAACAATGACACATTATAAATTATAAAGAAAAAATGTATAATGATTTATGATTTATGATAAATGATCGCAGCTTTAATTTGAATCTATTAAGTAAAAACACCCTCCCAGTTTACAACTATGACGGGACCCCCTTAGAGCCTTATGGCCCCGATGTTAGGCATCGCCATCCTCCCCGGTTGTTGCGCCACTGATGATGTGGCTACGTTAGTACTTTAGTTGTCGCCAGGGTTGGTGCTTTGGTTTTCGCTGAGGTTGACTCCGTCGTGGATTTTTCCAAGATGCAATTACGGAGGCTGTAGTCTAGCTTCGAGCCTTCCGGACAGACCATTCCCGTTATTACACATCTATGGCTCTTTATGCTATACAACATACCGGGTGGGCACAAGTGCGTCGTAAGATCGGGATTCTCGGTGGTGTTGATTTGCTAAGGCCATTGGAAATTTAACCCGAGTGCACAGCGATGTCTTAACAGTTTTTGGACGTCACTGTCGAAGTTCGATACCTGGACACTCTCCACGGCCATCACGGTGGTCACCATCGTCCAAATCAAAATCGGAAATCGCATCTCAGACTTGCGAGTACCTTCTGGGAAACAACATTTATGTGCACTCGTATATATTGTTATAAAATAATAATAGTGTTGCTATTTGTACCCGGCCGACTGCTGCGCCGGTTTGATATAAATTACTGCTCGCAATAACAATTTGGTATTTCTGTGTGGTACTGTATAACTGACAACACACAAGCACCGGAATTTTAAACAGTTGATTGTGCGTTTTCTCTCGACAAAAAAAAATCCGGTAATTTTACTCTTATCACCGCCTTAGTAATTATAATACACAAAAATGAGTTTGGTTAATAACAACAGACTGTCAAATTGGTTTCGAACGGATGCCGAATAATAATTTAGTATAGTTGTAAAATATTGCCATTGCGATTTTCATCGCAAAATACAAGAACATTATCTGGACAACGTGAGGACTCTTCGTTCGTAATTTTAATTTTCATGAGAGACATGACTGTGCGAAATATCATATTCAAATAATGCTTATAATATATCGATTGAGAATTAAATCAACGCCAACGTTGCACAGTTAATGTTCATATCTTTAAATTTCATAATTGGTTTATTTATTTTGATATTAAAACTACCACAACTGCACAAGGTTGTCACTACTGAACGCAAATTTGCTACGTTGTACGCTTGTAAGACAAAGACAGCATATTCGCGAGTATCACGTCGATTTAAACGTGAAAAGTTTGTATTTATTTATAGGATCCATAATAAACAAACAAATTGGTTAAATTAAAGTTATACGACAAACATTTAAAAACAAATTTAATTAATACACCTACCCAACTATTCGTCAATACACAGCAATATTATTTTACTATTCAAGTCAATTAAAATATAGGTCACATAAATAGGTCCTTTTCAATAGACACATTATAAGCATAAAAGTTTATGATGCTCATCCGTCATTGATTCTGTAATTTCTTATTTTATTTTAGATATTTTACATTGTTAAGCGTAAAGTGAGAAAATTATAGCATAATATTTAATTTTACAACAATGTGTGTAGTTTTATTTTCACTATGCTTATACGTGAACATAATTATTATTTGATTGCATTGCATTACGGCATTATACAAATTAAGAGAATTACACAAATTTCAATTATTATTAGATACCTAACGAGTATGATTATTTTAATTATAATGTTTAAACTGTTTAAAGCCACATACATTTACGGATGACGACATATTTGATTTTAAATTTTTTAATAGCTGATTATTTATAAAAATGAAAATCGTGATAAACTATAATAGCTGACTAATATAATATTGTTGATTTTAATTAAATTGGTTCTAAAAATGTTACCCAACCGATGAATTTACTGACATTCAGTATTCACATGTTTTATTATTTGTATAATATAAATAATAATATATATTTTGTTAAAGCTGATGGAATGATGTTTAAAACTTTAAATTTAAAAATCTTAAAATACAAAAAACAACAAGAATAATAATGTTGAAAAAACCGTTAAAATGAAGCAAATCGTTTTTTTTTTTTTTTTTAATAAAATATGTATCATTGCTCTTAACATCAAAATAACAATATTTGCTTATTATAGGTCCAGATTAAAAAAATTCAGAATCCGGGGCTCACAATCTTTAGGCACACATACTTCCTATACCGATGATTAATTTTAGTGGGTACACTAATTTTCTCGGAAAGTAGATATTAACTTTTTTCCTGAATTTGTTTTCTAGAAAATTTAAGAAACAAGTGGCTCTACAATTTTATATTTATATTATTGTTTGTCACCTTTAATTTTGGGTATAAAACCATTACCTACTTTTGTTTTTCAAAACGCAACCTATATTCAAATTTCCATAAATAGGTGGAGTATTTGTTAAAATAAATTTGAGTGTTGGAATTTTTGATTTTTGTCAATCCGTTGACGAGATATTCCACTTTTAAGTTTGGGTGGAGGAGAGTGGTGGAGTTTTATTAACACGCTAAGCGCTGTACCGCCACACAAATGATACTCCACTACTTTCCTCCGACCAAAACTTAAAAATGGATTATCTCATCAACGATCAGATAGAAATCAAAAATTCCAACTCTCAAATTTATTTCAACTAATATTCCTTCTTTTTATGGATATTTTAATATAGGTTACTATTTGAAAATCAAAATTAGGTAATGGTTTTACCGCTAAAAGTAAGGGTGACAAAAAATAACATAAATATAAAATTTTAGAGCAGCTTGTTTTTTAAATGTTCTACAAATAAATTCCGGGAAAAAGTTAATACTTTCTGAGATAATAAGTGAATCCACTTAACTGAATAACCTGGTATAGTGTGTAAAAAAAAGTATTAATAATGAAAAATAAATATATACCGAGTGATCAATTTAAGTTAAATACACTCATTATCTCGGAAAGTTAATATTTTGTTTAAAATATCTTTTTTTAACAATCAAAGACCCGAACAGCTTTAAAATGTTATATTACTATATTAATTTTGTTACCCTTATTTTCGGGGTAAAATGACAATCTACTTTTAATTTTCAAATACCAACCTATAATAAAAATTCCATAGATGGAGTATTTGTTTAAATCAATTTTGATGTTGACATTTGAGTTCCGTCAACCCGTTGATGAGGTATTCCACTTTTAAGTTTAGGTTGGGAGAGAGTGGCAGAACACTATTCGAATGTCGCTAACTATGCCGCCACACAAATGATGTTCTAACACTATTATATTCTTCCTCCACCGAAACTTAAAAATGAAATATATCATCAGCAGATTAATGAAAATCAAATATGTCAACATTAATAATGATTTAAACAAATTAATGGAATTCGTATTATTGGTTGGAATAAAAATCAAAAGTAAGTGGGAAGACAGTTTCATCCCCTAGAATAAGATGCAGAAAAATGATTAATCTACCTTATTTTTTAAATATTCTGGAAAAAATTCTGAAAAAAGTTAGTACTTTTCAAGACAATGAGTGTTTTACAATATGTTGATCGCCCTATACATTATATTCTATTTTAACATATTTTAAAACCAAAAACGTTTTTTTTTCTAGATTTTTTAGAATAATACTCATGTATTACCTATTCCGTTTGTAACAATTTATTTGGACATTTATATATATTTTAAGGCTTTTTTAAAACTATGAGTTCGATCAGTTTTTTCGAGAACTACTTGTTCTTTATTTGATTTGTGTTCTAGCTAGTTTAGAAATTGCAATTAGCAATAGGAATAGTTAATTATATTATAATTACAGTACCTATATATGGATTCCTAAAAATTAGGAAAAGATAGTTATCAATAAGTTATTCTATATACTATATAGGTAATTAATTATATTAAGGAACGACATTTTTTTTGAAAAATAACCAAACACATTTGTATTTATTTACATTTTTGCCTGTAGTAAATACTATAGTACTACGATATTACGTTACCCAGAGGCCTGGAAACTTGGCTACTGTTGGAAACTTTTATTCTGGGCCTGAGTTTCTCCGAATCAGTGATTTAGCTATTAAGTATAAATTATATAATATAGATGTATGCATGTATCACATATTATAATTAAACAAAAAACGTAGTAACGTATTAACAAATAATATTAGTGATGAAAATAGTTATCACCGAATTATTCGATAGTTTCATAAAACGAACAGTTTATACTCGGTTATGAAAAAAAAAAAAAACTATTCAAATACGTGTAGTTCTTGTTCATTAATGGAAAACACTGTTAATATAGTTTTTCAAAATATTGGATAGTTTTACTGAATTAGGTCATGGGAAAAAACTATTCGAGTGAATAGTTCATTGAAACTACTAAAAACCGTCGAAAATATAAACTATTATATTGGATCTGCTCATCACTAAATAAAATTGGCTAAGACTCTCTAAAATTCTTTGAAAGAAGAAAGTATTAAATAGTATTCTCTAAATAGTTAATTATAAATTGTATAAAATATTTTTGAATTTATTAGTAAATATTTTTATTGAAATCACAAATCTAAATTAGTAAGTAGCCGTATATAGGTACTAAAAATTATGAATTTATTTTTAAAAAGACAAACGTACTTTGTTACTACGTTTGCACGATAGGTGGGCCATTGTTGTAAGCGAGAAATTGGTAAGGCATGATATAGAAAGGAATTTAATATATATCTGTACGTAACGATTAATGATTGCTAACGAAAAACGATTCTGAGCGGAACTTAGTTAATAGTATTGCTATTTTAATAATATATTATATGTTTTATTATAGTGATGTAATAGTAATATAATTTTATATTTTTCAATAGTCATATATCGTAATTTTTCACTAAAACTATATTCATCAAAATTTGATATTACAATTCTTATAAAAAAAACTACTGCCTACATTAACTCAATTTTCTTTTTTTGACCATAAAATACGACTTATAATGAACCTACAGTTGAATTGTCCTAATCTTCCTTCCCCCTCTTCTTTCTCCTATTAAATTTTCAACCATTTTTGTTTAGTCTAACCAGAGTATCCAGATTTAGTATCCAGAATACCTACCAAATAAAAATTACGTAAAAACTCGTAAAATTAAAACGTCTATAAATAGCTCGAAAATGGCTCAAATATTTTGAAAATTTTACTACGTCTAGAAAAATCAAATTTGTATTTTATCTAAAAATTTCAAGTCTCTATGAATATTGTTAATTGTATTACAACAACAAAGAAAAAAAAAATTGAAAATAATAAAACCATTATTTTCGTAAATTGTCCTGTTCTTTCTACGTTTTTTTCGGTTTTTCCTTCTATGAGAAAATCAAAAAATAACATTCATATTCACCAACTAGATAAATAATACAACAACAATAAACTCTTTTTCGTTTTTTTATTGAAGCAATATTTCTGATAAAAACATAAAGCGTAAAAATTTAAAATAATGAAATCGGTATGCCGTAATTTGAAAAATAACCGTATGTTTCGTCTTTTTGGTTTTTCTTAATTATTATGAAAACTTTTTGGAAAATAAAAATAAGTGTCTTTCTTTGTGAGGTAACTAATCTATAATGCAACAAAAAAAGGACTCTTATCATTTTTTGATTGAAGCATGATTTCTAGTAGAAAACATAAATTACAAAAATGTAAAATAACGAATGCCATAAATATTTGTCTGTTTATCTTTCGTTTTGCCTAAGTTTTTTCCCGGTTTTCCAAATTATTTTGAAACGTGTTTGGAAAATCAAAAAATGACATAGGGACTTAAGGTACCTACTAGTTAAAATTTCCTATTACATTTGATAAATCGAAGCAAGATTTCCGGCAGAAATATAGTACTATAGTACTAAAAGTATAAAACAAATAAATAAACATCATTTACAACCAATACATTCCTCTCTTCGCTCAGGATCTAAAATATACCTAGGTGGGTTTATAAGAAAACTAATATATTTTTCTTTCTTTATAAAGATTTATAATTGGACGTGTATCAATTGCGCCGTTCGATATTCGAATGCAAATAAATTTGTATTGTGTGTCAAATGTCAATTGCGTCTATCAATTTATGAATAAATACAAATGTGTATATATGGTATGTATCGCATATATCTTTTGGTTGTTAGTTGTTTAAAAATAGTTTCGCCATTTATGTTTTGATTAAACGTAAAAATGTAGTTTTACGTTTAGGATTCTGCCATATAGTTTCATCTAAAGTAAGATTTATCACATAACAATATTCATAAATTGATCGAAATGCATTTAAGTCTCGTTTTACTCGAATGTAACTACGTTTAATAAAATTATTATTTGCTGTATATTATACTGTTTGATTGTTTGAGGATAAAACAAAATCGGGACAAATATTAAATCCGTTAGGTATATAATATCATCTATAGAATATTTGTCTCGGGTTAATGTTTAAATATAACTATTATGATCCTAGGAGTTCTGAGTTCATACTCGGATTTTAAACAAAATGTATTTTCCTTTTACCTAAACAAGGAAAAACAAATACATTTTGGGTGTACCAAGAGACCTATGCCATCGCTCCCTCGGGCTATTTTAATCTCGTAAAATTCCTCTCGATTTGTTGTGCAAAAATTTTTACCAGAAATCTTGCTCCGATGTATCAAATGTAGCTGAAAGGAAACTTTATCTCCATGGCAACTTAAGAAGGTCATTTTTTAATTTTTCAAACAGGTTTCATATTATCTGGGAAAATCCAAGATAAACTGTCAGAAAAATTGAAATTTTATGAAATGTAGGTATTAGTAAAAAAATATTTCAGCCTTCTTTTTTTCCTGTGAATTTTTCTACCAGCAGATCTGCTCTGATTTACAATGATAGCACTTTTTTTGAAATTAAATTTAACTGGGAAGATATTTTAGGGAGGTCATTTTACCAAAAGTTTTTCCAGCAAATAAGAAAAATTGGGAGAAAATGGGAAAATTGGGAATATCGGTACAATATTAAACAAATATTATTAAGGAAAATGTATAATAACTAATTATTTTACCATAATTTGACATAGATATTGTTGACAAAGCATCATTATCAATTAAACTGTGCTCAGAATTGTTTTTTCGTGAACAATGGTTTATCATTGCTTACAGATATACATTAAATTACCTATAACAGTAGCTGTACCCATATCCATTGTCTTAGGACGTCATTTTTTCGTTGTAATTTGATGAAAAATTATTGTAGCTTTGACATTTTTACTAAATAGGTACTTACTTTAGTAGGTATCTAGATATTTAAGAAGCACCAATCAACTTGGAGGTTTAATTATTTGACTTCAACTCTTAGGGAAGAAGCAATTAAAGCTTCTAAAGATTATATTAGATTATAATAGATATTTTTTAAAACCTTTTTCGTTTTAGCATCTTTGTGAGATATTTTGCTTAGCCCTTTAGATAATTACAAGTATGTACTTACTTATATTTAAAATCACATAGTTTTAGTTGAATTAAGAAAATATAGTATTAAACAAGTAGCACATGACATCATTGTGGTTATAAAGTAATACAATAATATTAGTAAATATTATATTATATTATAGGTTAATTATAGACGTGTAAGAATAATGGTCGACTCCAATCAACATGGCCGAGCTCTTTGTCTGACTTGTCTTGGGTTTGATCGTGATCTAGGTCGTGTTTCTCTGTTCCTTAGACGTTTTGTCAGGTATATCCACACTCTTGTTACGTATCCAGCCCTTACAAGTGCTATTACCGCAATTACATTTTGTCCAATTCTTCGGCCATTCGTTGGTGGTAGTATTGGCGTTGGCAGTAGTATTGGCGTTGGCAGTAGTATTGGTGTTGACGGTAGTATTGGCGTTGGCGGTAGTATTGGCGTTGGCGGTAGTATTGGCGTTAGCGGTAGTATTGGCGATTGCCCTCTCGGTAGTGGTACTGGTGGTCCACAAATCCGCGGGCCAAACGTGATCATCCAACCAATCGCGGCGATGTCTGATCCGGAATTTGCCGACGACGTCTGAAATCTGCAGGGCGGCCAAGACAGCGGCAGCCATTAGTGCCCACGTTATATTCGACAATAATTGCATAATAACGAGCGGTATATTATCGAATAGGTATAGTTGCGCTTAATATTATTGCATCAATTTGAGGCAATGTATAGGTATATATGTCTATTCGGTTATACGTCGTCGCGGTAGTAAGTATACAATCTCAGAACAGTTATTCTCCCGTATTCGCAGACAACTAAATAATTTCACTAATTCAGAACTCTGTCATTATCACTCTTATATCGCCGTCGTATTAACAATAATTGTACTTAATCGCGTGGTTTATTATAATTAAAAGTTATGTAGTTACTTATACATAAATCATGTTACTAATGAAAGAAATTTTGAAAAAGTATATTCATGATTATAAATTATAATAGTAGGTATTAATAATTAATAATAAAATATAACTTCGAATTAGTTTATTTGTTTATTTAATTGGCCTCAGTCCAATTTACATCGAAATATATATAATTAGACATCTAATAGTGTAGACTAATAAATACAATATAGAATAGGTACATTAGGTATCATAGATGCTAAAATATATTAAACAATAAATGAAAGATAAAACACAAATAAGTATACAATGATAAGTGCAATTAAGTTTGATTGATAGAGTAAAATAAATCTAAATGATTTACAGAATTCCCAGTAGACAGCAAGATATTTACAAGTGTACCTACACGACCTCGTAGTTTTGAAAATAATGTTTTACATAAAATAACTATTTATTTTGAATGTTATGTTTATTTACTTTTAGAGTAATATTGTTTAGAAGGGAGGTTTCGTCTATTTTGTTATCAAGTAATTTGAATAAGAAAGTTACATACAATTTTTTTTTTTTCGATCTTTTAATGGTTTTAATTTTAAAAAGTTAAGAATGACAATGGAATAAATAGCAGAATTTTTTACGATACCGTCACTAAACGATCGGCCGCCCAAGTAGATGGAAGTTATTATTAATAATATCGGTAGCGGATGTAGGACAAGATTACCGACGAGCTCAATTATCATGAATCAAACTAAGAGGATATTGGAGAGCGTCTGGGGGCAGGGGGAATCGGGAGGAAAGTTGAGGCTACTTTCCTTCCCCCTAGATCCACCGCTGGATAATATGTTTTCATTTTACACACAATAAAATTATTTTTTTATTAGGTAGGTACAATTATTGATATTCGTATTTCTATATTTGCTACAGGTATATTTAATTAAATATAAGAAACATTTTCTTTAATGATTATATTTATAAAGTTTACATTGTTTTAAAGAAGAATTTGTATTATTTTTAAGAATTGTCAATTTTTATATTATTATAAAATACATATTATCATTTATTATGAATAAATTGAAATTTATATTTATATGTATATCTTTGACTATATTATTATATCCAGTGTCGAATTGCGGAGAGGAGGTGCGCCGGGGGACGGACATCCTCTACTATTTTCTTTATTTTTTTGCGTATCCCAACTATTATTTTTTATCGGAACGGAGGGAAACTAATGTCCAAAATAATTTTTAATAAAATGTGGATTTCAATTGTTGTCAATTATTATGAGACAAATTGTATTATTTTTAATTTCAAAATTAATTTTGATATTGGTTTGATATTATCATCTTTTCTATGGTCCTATATTTTTTATCATATGTCAGGTACATCGACATTTTATCACACAATTCGGCAATAACCAAACGATACCGTATAGTTGAATTAATATAACTAAATTTTTGACTATGTGGTACCATAGAGTAATAGAGTAATTACTCTATGGTGATTACATACATTAACTACAGAAAAGCGATAACAAAAAAAAAATGGTAAAATATTATCATCAGGGTCAATATTCATATAATTTTTATTTTCTACTGCAACATATAGAATGTAGGTATTGCTATTAAAAATCAAAATATATTTGCAATTTTACTATTTGTAGCTGAAAGGGTCTGTGTTAAGTGTCTATGCACTTGGAACGCAGTTTTTAAATCGTTGGATTGAGTTCCTCTACTTAATTTTTCCCAATCCGAGCACTGATTATATTTAATGATTTTATTATGAGCTAACACTAATTTTTCATTGATTTATACCAATTAAATTGAAAGAAATTTTTATTTCATGGTCTGCATTGATTTGGTGAAAGCTGAAAAACTATCACAAGTACTTGGGTCTATGGAAATAAATTCCAAATATTATGGAGCTGGTTAATTTTAATATTGCCACCGTCTTAATTTTTGTTACGAGTGTTTCATTCTTCCATGATTAAAATGATAACCATAAAATAATACATTAAATTTTGGTGCATTCCTTGCTTTCTGTTTAGTTCAGAAATTTGGCGGTATACCCGTATCAGTATATTTATTATTTTATATTTTTATCACGAGGTTATCAAAGTAGTAAAGGTAATATTCTCTGGCAATGATGTGATAAACTCGATAATTCAAATTTAATAATATTTTTCATTGTTTATTGTTTAAATGTATTTACATTCAAATTTTAAAAATTCATTTGAAAACCGTCCGATGATCATTAATAATATTACGATCAATAATACAAATTATCAGTTAATCAACAGTTTATCGTGAGTAAATTATTTAATTATTTCTTCTACGTATATACAAACTTTTTATTAGGTACTTTTTTTTACCTACTTAAGTTTGAGTTCCTGTTTTTATTTATTATAATAAAATACAATGTTTGTATTTATACTTTAGATGATTTGCTGTGCTGCGTTAGGGGATATAGCCTCAACAAAATTGTTCACATAGGTATATAGTATGGAATTGTGGGCGATATTGCTCTCACATCACCCTGAAAAGTACTAAGTTATTTGTGTTTAGAGGTAAAAGCAGGAGTGGTTTTTTGGAGTTAAATTCCCTAAGAAGAAAGCCCCTTGACTTATTGATTTGTATTAATTTATAATCAACATATTAAGTAATAATATTAAAAAAAAAAAAAAAAAACAAAACATTGTAACTTGCATACCTATGTAAAGTATATGAATACAATATAGTTAAATATTTAAATTAAAAAATAATTCAAATTGACCATGAAAATAAAAAAAAAATACTTTGGATACTGTTTTTTTTATATATTTTTAAAGATCGTTATTTTTCAATGGTAAAAGAACTAAAAATTAGGTATAAATAAATGATAAAATTATGTTCAATCCCAGATATATTTATATAATTGGTAACTCAAGGCACTGTGCTTAAGTGCCCATTTATATTACTTATTTTGGTGTTACGAAAAAAGTCAAAACGTCAACAAAATATACCTTTTAAACATACTTTTCACCCCTTTTGAAATGTGACACCTGTGGTGATTACCCCAATTTCCCTCCCTTCCCCCTAAATAATACATCCCTGTTTAACCTTTTACTTTTTCCTGCAATAGTAATTAAAACTTCATCAAGATTAAAATTTTTTGATATAGGTACCTATGAATTAAAGATACATTTGAAAATCTTTCATTGGTCATAGTGGTCATACAAACGTATAAATTTGTCACCTTAACAAAAATAATCTTTCAAATGACCCTGAACTTATCCGAATTGGAAATGCTACTTGTAGAAGTATACAGACATGTATAAAAAAGGGAAAACTCTAATATTGACACAGATTTAATATTTTTATTTTTACAAATAACATTTTTCTTTATTAAAATTTCATTGCTTGTATCAATATATCTTCATAATATCTTAATATCTTATAATTAACAAAAACAAAGTACTATACAGTATACATTTTAAAAACCAAAAAAAAAAAAACTTTTGTTACTAGTAAAATAGTTATGATACAAAATTGTCCTTTCATATATTTTGTACATTTTTGCAAAAAAAAAGAAAAGAAAAAGAGTAATGAGAAAACCATTTACTACACATTATTTCTCAGGGGAAGCTGCAAGAAATTTTGGAGAGGCTATAGTCCAATTATTCCTCCCCACCCCCATCATACATCATTATTAATATCAGGACAAACTATAAAATCTTAAAGATAAAATAAATATATTAGACAATAGATAGTATTTGTAGTAAATAAAATACCGTGTAACCAATTTTGGACAGATTTCAAAGTTTATTTTTTAAATTTAAAAAATGTTCATTAAATAATAATTTAGAAAAATAAGTTATTTTATCTGAAGTCTGGGCAAAAAGTGTGTTTTACCATATAGTTTATTATTTTCAATATTTACACAACAATTGTATTAAAAAAAAATAATTCTGAATTAAACTAGAATTTAAATTTAAACTTGTTTTTGTTTCTTGTGTAGGTAAGGAGCAATATAGATATTTTTTTCCCCATATTATGAGTATTAAATGAACAAATTTAAAATATTACTTTTAAAAATCATCTTTAGTTTTTCTCATTTGATATGTCATGTTACACATATTAAGCATATATTGTTTAACTTAAACTATTAGAATAAACATAACAACACAAATTTGCTCGCTTTGCTTAATTTAGTAATATCTGAAATAAATAAATATAATATAATAAATATCTCGAACATATCATCAAAATTTTAGTTTTAGTCTATTGTTATATTTACTATGACAAATGAATAGGTATTAAATTTGTTTATTAGTCATAGCATGATAAGTAAAAAAAAAATGTAAAATATAATTTCACAAAGAAAAAACATAAAAATAAAATTTATTTAAATGTATTTATATTGATTAACATATATTTCTATTAATTATTTTCCTTATAATGACTTAAAATATAATATAAATATGTTAATTTAAGTTTGCCTATATCAAATTACTAAATTGTTTTATTATTTGTAGGTTGAAATAAAATGAATAATATGGAGGAACGCAAATGGCTTAAAAAAAAAGAAAAAGCCTTATTGGAGAACAATTATGAAAATCTTTTTTATGCTTGTAAAGAGTTAGCTGATATTTATGTAAACCAAGAAGATTATCAACACGCATTAAGCCAATATGAACAATGTGAAGAAGCAGCTAATCGTTGTGGTGATGAAATTAGATTGGCAGTTGCAAATCGAATGATTGGCGAAATGTATTGTTATCTTAATGATTTTGAAAATGCTATTAAGCACCAGAAAGTTCATCTTAAAATATCTTATTCAAAAAATGATGTTGTTGAGCAACAGAGAGCTTTAGCCACACTGGGTCGTACACATTTTTTACATTCAGAAACATTAATTAATAATGAAGTAAATAAAAAGTCGAAGGCTTTAAAGACATCTGTCAAATATTATGTTAAAAGTTTAGAAGTATGTAATAAACTAGGGAAAGAAGTTGGTACTAAAACATTATTTGAAATGAAAGCTAGACTTTATCTTAACTTGAGTCTTTGTGAAGAATCAGCTGGTGATTTAAATAAATCAATGGAATATATAAATAAAGCTATGAAATTATGTTCTGATGCAGATTTAAATGAGGAACTTTGTAAATGTTATTCTGTTAAGAGTAATTTATATTCTCAACAGAACAATTATTCAAAAGCAATTGCATGTGTTGATCAGGGTCTTCAAATAGCATCCAGACTTCCAAACAAAAAAGATATTGGAACAGAACTTTTATGTTTAAAAGCTGAACTTTTAATTGATATAAATGACTTTCAAACTGCTAAACAATCAATGATAAAAGCTTACAAACTAAAAGTACCAATAAAAAATGAATTTGAAGAAGTAATAAAAAAATTGAAAATAATTGTTGTTATGTGCCAAGCTGAAAATAATTTACTAGTAGCTTCACAAATAGACTATGAACAACGAAGGCAGCTGAATGAAAAACTAGGAGATGCATGTGTAGCATTAAAAAAATATTCAAAGGCGATCGCTTATTATGAAAAAATGTTGGAAAATTCTGAAAATTGTGGTATGAGTGACAAAAGTTTAATACCTTGCTATGTTTCACTAGCTCAAACATATAAAGATAATAAACAGTATTATCAAGCATCAGAATATTTTTATAAAGAATTGAATCTGTACAGTGAAAATAGTATTGAAGCTTGTAAAACATTATTAAATATTGCTGATATTATGGAAGTTCAGTATGAGCCATTTGATAAAATTTGGTCAGTCTATGAAAAAGCTAAAAAAATAGCAATGGAAAATGATGATGGTCATCTTCAATTAGCAGCTGTATGTATTTAAGAAAATTTGTTGTAATTTTAATATTGATTTTTTTTTTTAATGTATCTTTTTTAGGTTAAAGGTATGAAGTGTTTAGCTGTGGATAGAGATCAATCGGAACTAGTAAATGAGTTAACAAGTGAACTTAATAGTCTAATGAAGTATGAAACAGAAACGATTGAAGATGAATATGACGTTCCAGACATTTGGGACGATGTTTCTCTAAAAGATCTTTCAGATATTGATGAAGAAGATGATGATAAAAGGAGAAAGAGATTTAAACAAACAGCAATACCAGAAAAAAAAAATGAAAAAGGTGAAACTCCTATCATACCAGCTTGTGCTAAAGGAAATGTTAAATTAGTTTCAAGCTTATTGAAACAAGGGCATTCAGTTAACGCAGGTGATGCTTTAGGTTGGACAGCTTTACATGAAGCTAGTAATTATGGGTATGTTGATATAGTAAATGTTCTTTTAGACCACGGTGCTGATATTAATAACCGTGGTGGACCTTGTTGTGAAGGCATTACACCTTTGCATGATGCTGCAGCTTGTGGTCACTTAGAAGTTATAGATTGTCTATTAGATAGAGGTGCGAATCCTTTAGTTAGAACTAATAATGGTGAAACACCACTCGACTCATTGATAGCTTGCCGTAATAGAGTGATTCTAGAAGAAAAAAAAGAATTGGATCCAAATAGACTTGCTCATTTTTGGTCAATTGTTGATCGCCTTAGTGAATGTTTGCGAAAAGCTGGTCATACACCTCCTGTACCTTTGACTGATGTAAAAGAAATACTAAAAAATGAACAACAACCCAAGAACCACTATTTAGGAATAATTCCCGATAATGCTAAGAGATCAAGAAAATTATACAGAAGTATTGAGGATTCTGAGAAATTTGAGAAAAAAGAAAGAAATGTGGAATTAGATGATAAAAATACATCTGGTGCTGCAGAAGATTATAAGCAAACAATAAGTCTCTTAAGAAATCACAAGAGACACCGAGAGAGTGAAATACCATATGAAATTTCTCAGCCCCCTTTGGTTGAAAACTCAGTTGATGAATGGTTAGAAGATGATATTATATACAAACCAAAAAAAAGATATTGTACTGAAACTAAAACCAATTATTCGCCTATTAAAGAATATAATTTTGAAAATGAAGATGATTCGTCTGTGAGTGAACAATTAGCAGATTTTACTTCAGATATTGGGTCCAATAAAGAAATTCAATGTTCTATACTAGATTCTGATGAAGATTCTGAAAATATTTGTATTCCAAATAGAGAAATTGATACAAGTAAACATAAGTATAAATCTCTTATGTTGTCTACAAGCAAAAAAAAAAATGTTCAAAGTAAATTAGAACATCAAGGATTTATTTGTATGGGCAATATTTCACCAAATTTTGATGATTCTTCTTCTGTTCAAACCTTTACACCTTTGAAAAGAGATGAAAATGTGAAAAATATTAATCGTACAATCAAAGTACGTATTGAAAATAGACTATTTCTTGTACCTATACCAGGGAGTGAAGAAAATATAAACCTTAAATGGCTGTCATCAGAGGCTTCAAGACGCTATCAAAAACTTGAAGGTGTCAATCCAATTTTAAATTTAACAACAGACGATGGAGCCTTATTGGACGAAAATGATCCTATTGATTTAGTTTATGGGTTACAAGAAGTGTTAGGTAATATTGTTGGTTGGACTACAGAAACTCTAATTGAAACTTATAAAAAAATGTGTTCAGAATCAAATACTATGATCAATGAACAAATACTTCAATTTTTAGATGTTTTAGAGGCAACTGGAACTTTGGACATGTCTGATTACATAATAATGCCTAATATTTTAAATATTGCACTTAATGTAGCATGTCATCATAAACATTTACAAGTATTGTGCTTGTCAGGTGTGGCACTTGAAGATATCGGAATGAAAATGTTATCTGATCACTTGTCTAGTTTGCAACAATTAACCAAATTGGATGTAAGTTGTAATAATGTCAGTTCTATAGGAATAGGATATTGGGCTACATCGCTAGCTGATAAAAAATCGTTAAATAGTCTGGAATCATTCAATATCAGTCATAATCCTTTAACCAATGCAGGTGTAGCATACCTCCGTTTAATTACTCAACATTTAACTAGTCTACGATCATTGTTTCTTCGAGATGTAGATATTGACCATAATTGTTATGATGATGCATCTGAATTATATTTGGATAATATTGAAGACCTAGACTTGAGCTTTAATATGTTAACACGGACTGGTATTTCTGGTTTTTTCATAAGACTTGATCCAACGCGTTTGAAGTATTTGAATGTACGAAACACAGGTTCATCAACGGTGTTGCGCGAATGTGTCTTGTTTTTGGAACGTAATCAAGCAGATTCTCTACATTCCGTTGACTTCTCTGGGCTAGATCTCGAAGATGAAGATATAGATTTATTATGTAGTTGTTTAGAGTCTGCAGGTAATTTGGAGCATTTGTGGTTAGCCGATAACCCGAGAGTTACTCAAATGTGTATAGATAGAATCAAACATTTAAGTGTCAAATTTGTCCATATGGCTGGTTGCAAGCCAGTTGATATATCACTTATTGAAACCATAGATTTAGAACAGATGTCTTTATCTGGGTATGGACAGTCAAATTTATTTAAAAATGCTCCTTACAATGTAAAAGTATCACTGTGATTTATTATAATAATAATTGTTATGAATTATTAATAATTTATATTTATGTTGAGAAATGTACTATAACTTAATTAATTACTATTAGATTTAAAATTGTACTTTTGTGTAAATTAATCAAACATTTGATAATAAATATTAATTAAAATTAAAAATAACATTTTATTTTTAATAATAAATATTATTTTGTGATATTTTAAGAAATATATGTTAGTTTTATTTTTAATATAGAGTAAATTCTGCTTAAAATGGGCAACCATTTAATGTGGGCAAATGTAACTGGTCCCAGCGTGCTCACATTAAGCAGTTTCCACTGTATTGGTTGTTTAATGACTATGGAATATTATAGGACAATTATTTATTAATTAAATCATATTGTGAATAAACTTATAATTAATTTTAAGTAAAATCAATAATATCTAATATATTTAGTCAAGGTAAAAATCTGGGTCATTATAAATTATGAGAATACAAACTAAACATTATTGGACATTTCAATAATAATATCTGTTAACCATTTTTTAAATGCTTATTTGCTATAATTTTTCAAATTATGAAATTAATCTTATTGATAAGAGTGTATAAAATATATTTCTTAAACATTTTGTATGCATTTTATTTTGGTTAATATTTAATAAATATAATATTTAATTTTACATATTGTTATATTTTACAACACAAATTTTAAACTAGATTTATATTCTGAAAGATGTATAATATGATAAAGGTTATTTATTTCTACAATATTTTTAAACTTTTACCACTATTTTTTGTACCTATATAAATAAATATTAATGCTTGATTTTTAAATGTCAATCCTTTTTTAGTACAGATCTGAAAAAAGGTATATTTTCCTAAAAATGTTGATGTTCATAATACCTAGTCATGCTTAACATATTATTGCCTATTGGATTTATCATTAATAAGTTATAAGCTATAATAATTAAGAATTTAGACCAGATAATGATAAAATAATCACTCTGTATGTATTTTTCTAATATTCATTAGGTACTTATCGGCTATCCTAATATATTTTTTTTTCATGTTTCATACAATATACTTGCATAGGCATACCATTAAAATGTATTTATATCATTCTTATTTTCTTTTGCCTTTATCCCAACTATTTGGGGCATGCCAGTTGATTATATTATTAGTTTTAAAAAATAAAAACCAATTGAAATGATATTTTGTACCTACATCTAGATATCTATGTAAGTACACCTACAATTATTTTTATTTTCAACCAAACAATAAGTACAATTTCCATGTAGTTATAAGTAGTTATAACACATATTCTATTATATTAGGTATGTATTTTATACTTGATTCACATTGTACATTCATTCATTTAGTGTTTATAAGTAGGTACCTATATTTGTGTTTTACAATTTTGTTGGGGGTAAGAAAATATTTAAAAAAAAAAATTGGGCAGTATCTGTGACTGTAGGTACTAGGTAACTAATACCTATAAGGTTAAAAAGCACTCCAATAGTCTATAACTTATACACATAATATCATATTGTGAATTTGCGCAAACGGCCTGAATGGTTATCGTAATTCGTACCAACTCGTCATAAAGCTGCGATAATAATAATATTATAACATAATATTTAATATAGCGATACGGCTTTGGGCGTATGCAACTCCTGTATAACGGGACAGGTATGATACTTTGGTACCTACTTATCTATATCTATGTATAACGTGTTGGCTGCCATTTAACCAGTTATACTTATATGATTAAAACCTGATTATTTTTAGCAATATCGCGGAGCCACTCTCCTTGGACCGTTTTAAATTTCATTCGTTTCCCTTACTTTTGAACTCTTTCAAAATCGTATAATATTCACCCAATTTTTATTTTTTCCTCTCAAGTTTTTATTCGTATGTTGGTCTGCGTAGCTTTATGCACTGCATATGTATGCAATACGGGTTTTTTTAAACCAGTATAATATTCATTAACAACGATTTCACTGTAACCACAAGTGATATTTATTATGCATTTAATACATATAATTCATAGAAGATAATATGATATAATAAATAGTAGGTTAAGGATTTATAAATAGTAGGTAGGTAGGTTTTATGATTTTCAAGGAAGAAAATATTAATGGCCGATACAAATTATAGAGCGTTTAAATCGTTTAATATAAGAACTTTAAAAAATAGACGTCTATAGAATATACCAATAAAATGTTTAGCCCTCAACCAGAGTTCTTTACGTTCCTCCAATAAGCAGTAGGTATCGCAGTCCATATTTTAAAGTGACTTCGAACCACTCAATCCTATATATTTGTACCAAAATATATTACCGGGTAGGGAGCCAACCGGGAATTTAAATGAGAAGTTTTATTAACAATTTTTGCATATTGAATAAAATATCTATATACATGTATATATATACGAATATACCTATACATAATATATTTATTAATACATGGATTTTATAAATTTGATTAGAATTTGTTGATGATGATTTTAAAGTAGGTAACGCTGGCAAATCAATAATGGTCGGATTACTCAGCTTCAGACAAGATAATCAAACTACCAGATGTACAATACCAGTAGCGCACGCAGGATTTTTTTTCGGGAGGGGTTTTGTTTATAATAATTTCCTAGAGAGGGGGTATAGTACATAGTATTATCAGTACAATTCTATCAATACTATTACCGAATAAATAATTTTTATAGTAAATAAATATATTAATAAATATTTATATATACAAATAAAAAAAAAATAGGTAAATTAATAAATGCGTCGCCTGGAGTATTATACGACTGAGTGTATTATCAAGTATATCACACTCAAAATATAAAACGCGACTGAAAATAAAAAATAAAATGAAGGAATACATAGGAAAAAAGAAATTGTACAGATTGGTCGTTTTACGTAGAAATAATTTATTTTAATAGGAGAGATTATTTAAAATGGGTTATTATTTATTATCTAAAATGTATTGATATGATTATTATAGTATTTTTAAAATCGGTTGTACATTTAAAATTGTATACAAATTAATTTTTCTGTATTTCATTGTATACAGACTGACCATGAAGATATACCATTTGAATATTTCCGGAGATAATTAAGATAATCAAATTATATTTTTCTTACATTACTCATATGGATGAGGACTACAAATATGTATATTTGATTTTTTTTTTTTTATTAAAAAATTTAAAAATAATTTCTATTTTATTATTTTCGGAAAATTCTAAGATAGCAAATCTGTAGAGTTTATTTTTCTGAAAACTTCTGTGTTGTGCGAAAACATCAGTTTTCACATGGATTAATACAATTTTAAACGGCTGTTGCTTAGAAACTATTCATCGGATATAAATGTGTGATACATTAAACTTTTCAGAAAAATAAACTCTACAGATTTGTTGTCCTAAAATTTTGTGAAAATAATAAAATACAAAATTATTTTTTACATTTTTTTAATAAAAACAATATATTAATTCAAATATACATATCGGTAGTCCTCATCTCTGTGAGTAATGTAAAAAAAACATAATTTGATTAACTTTTTTATCTCTGGACATATTCAAGGGGTATATCTTCGAGGGATAGCCTGTGTAATGTAGAATTCTTCTAAAACTGAATTAATGTAAATGTTATTTTGAGTATTTAATATCTCTAAGTCTGTATTAATATCAAAGTTTATGTTATGGTTATTTTCAAAAACATGTTTAGCGAAATTTTAATTAGGTGCAGTCTTTTTAAATTTTATTTCAGAAATGTGTTATTTATATCTTATTTTAAAATGTCTATTTGTACCTACCTAAAATTTATTACAGTTACATTTAAGTTTATACATGCCAGCATTATCGAAAGAAGGGAGATTTTTTCTGAAGTTTTTAGTTCTATTGTTTATATATGTTTAATTAAATTATTATTAGTCTTAACAGTTATTTTTACATTATTTTATTATTGTCAGAATTTTGGCGTATTCGTTAAACATATTATTCATTATTTTGATATTTCATACTACAATAGATAACAATATTATTTGGTGAGTTATGCATTATATTTTATTTAATAGTATTTAAATTGAAATTATTTCTATTCTCAATATTATAGATAATATTGAGCTCATGTTGATAACTGTGTTTACTTAATGGAATACGTTCAAGCCTATTGAATTAAAAAAATATATATTTTTTGAGAATAAGGGTGATATTTTTAAATTCAATATTCTATTTTTTTCTTTAATTAACAACACGAGATCAATATTATTTATGTCGTTTTAGACGAATTTCATCATATATACAATGAAATAAAGAAAAATAATTTTAATAATATTTTAAATGTACAAACTGATTTTAAAAATAATATCTTATATCAGTACATTTTAGAAAATAAATAATAATCAAATGATTTATGTTTCTTAACATATCTATGTCTAATAATAATCCATTTTAAATGATCTCTCTTATTAAAATAAATTATTTCTATGTAAAACGATCAATTTGTATAATTTTTTTCAATTTAGTCGCGTTTTACATTTTGGCGCGATGATGAATTTTAATTCGAAACCGGTCGTATAATACACTTATCATAATACTCCAGGCGACGCATTTATTCATTTATTTATTTTTTATTTATGTATTTATTAATTATATTTATTTACGAGTATTAACCATTTTAACAATTTTGTTTTTACTTTATTATTTTTTGAAATAATTTTTGATGAAATTCAATTGTATTTTATTCTGTGGTGTACCTAAAATATTACGTTGTTAAATGTAAAATTTGATTTAAAAAAATGCAGTGAAGAATTATATTTGACCACCTAATCCCTAATCCCCCCCTCTGTGTGCGCCACTGAATATACCTTACAAACAATTATGACTCAGTCGGTTTGACGATCGGACGAAATCAATGCTTTCATGAATGATATAAATGTATAAATATTATATTATTACTTTTTAATACCTAATCTAGATGCATTTTATAAATTTATATTTATAATATTGGCATGCATTACCATTGTCAGTATTGGTTATATGTTGTAGGGATGCCGTACACACTATGACGTACAAACCTTGTTTTCTTTGTGTGAGACTATTAATTGCTTGAAGCCTTGTACAATACCTGCAATAGTTAGAATCCGTGTATTTTTAATTTTTTTTTCATAATTTCTCCTAGTGTTTCGAAGTACTGTCGTTAAATTGGTAGCACAGATGGATATTTACTAATTTGTAATAATTATGTAGGTAGTTAGAAGTTATTATTATTAATAATTATGATTGCAGTTTACAATATTATGCATAATATTAAATAATATATTACTGAAACAATGAACGTCGTTTTGCGATTTTTCGTGTTAATAATTGAGCAAAATAGGGAAAAATTATAAATAGAACGAGAAAGATTATGGAAAAAATGGTTTCATTATTTTCAATATGAATTTTTTTTTTTATTGTAATTCAATTAAAAATGTTCGTAGAGACTTGAAATGTCAACAGAAAACATAATGTAATGGCCTTTTCTAGACGAGGAAACAGTTCTGGATTTTTTTCTATTATAAACATTTTAATTTTTCGAGATTTTTATTTTGTTTAATTGTTTATAATAGATAAAATCGTTTGCGTGAACAAAACAGCTTGACAATTTAATACGAGGTTCATTGTTAGTATATACGTGATTCGAATTAAGATCATCGGGTAGCA